GGCTCGTTGAAGATCGCAAAGTAGCCAGGGTACTCTGGCTTCGGCGTGTACTCGAAGTCCTCGATGTCCTCGCTGATGATCTCTCTGTTGGTGATCAGATACCCCTCGCCGTCGATCATGTACGAGATCATCATGATCTGGTCCACAGAGCTGTCGGGAAACTTGAGCGGCGCCTTAGTGGTCTCGATGTCGAACGCGAGCACCACGGGGTCCGCAAACGCAAGCTTGTCGGCCCGCTCCTCGAGCTTCACCTTGCCCTGGTCCGCCTCGACCGTGTACCACTTGCCGACGCGGATGTTGCAGTCGATCGACACGCGCACGTGATACGGCACGTCGTACTCGCGGATATCCTCGATCAGGTCGGTGATGTTGCCGACCTTGCGCTCGGCCTCCTCGCGGCCGTCGTCGTGCCTCAGAAACGTGTTGTAGTTCAGGTTCACCGACTGGTAGATGTCCTTGCTGCTCTTGGTGGACCTGTTGTGCTGGATAATGGGCTGCAGCTGCCGTCTGGCCTCCAAAAGGTCCGACACGTTGTGGAAACTCAGCTGCAGCAGCTGCCGCTTCAGCCCGATCAGATGGTTCGTCAGAGCAAGGTCCTCCTTCTCGACCCACGACAGCTTCTTCAGAGTGCCTTCGAGGAACTTGCGCAGGTACTCCTCTACCTCTGTGGCGCGGTCTGCCTGGACCATGAGCAGGAAATACGGGTCGTACTGGACGCTCGCCTTGAACGAGCCCCCCTCCTCGTCCAGGAAGTAGTAGTCGACTCCCGAGCATCCGGCTAGGTTCTCTGTCGTCGGCAGCGTCGTCGGATGCATGTTGACGAGCCACCCGACCCGTTTTGCGCCCGAACTGTACCGATCAAAGCCAAAGACGGAGTCGATCCTGTCGACCTCCTGGACGGCCTCGTGGCGCAGACGCACGCGAGCCTCGCTATTTCGCGCGTGGTTCTCGCCTGTGCGCGTGGCGCCGCGCTCGTTCTTCGCAAATCTCACAGGGTTGTGAGGTCTCATCGTGGTGACCGACATAAAGTTGAGAAAATATTCAAACGCGAAGACGCGTAACTAAATCCGCGTCGATCGTCCCAGACAGGCGTCCCTTAGCAATGGCGGCAACAGCGTCCAGACGCTTCGAAACAGCGCGGGGACGGCCGAGGCAAGCGTGCACCAGCTCCGTCTCACTGCTCTGAGCTCTGCCGTCAGCTGTCCCTGCCGGCCGGGTCCCTCGTAATTGCCTGCTTCGTTCCGCCCTGGTACACTGCCAACTTTGAAATTCTTGCAAACTTATTTTCTCTCGCCAATGTACAACCCGTACGCCAATCCCCAGGAATTGCCCAAGCAGGAGCCGTTCGGCACCGCAACGAACGCCCAGCAGTTCCAGTCCCAGGCGTACATGAACGCCAACCACCACGGCCCGCGCACGCAAACAGCAAACATCAAGACCTTCTTCAACGATCCGGCCGCGCAGATGGGCCTCCAGTTCAGCCAGTCGGCTTTCAACGCCTCCCACCAGTACATGCAGCAGAACTTTGGCCAGCTGGTGGCCAACCAGGACATCAAGTACTATTTTAAAGTGTCGAACCAGTACGTGTTAAGCAAGCTACTGCTTATTCTTTTCCCCTTCAGAAACAAAACCTGGACCAGACAGCTGCGGTCGGCCGACGTCTCGCAGAGCGTCGAAATGTACGCCACGCCCATCGAAGACGTCAACGCCCCCGACCTGTACATCCCGCTAATGGCGTTTGTGTCGTACGTGCTGCTGTGGGCCGTCTTTAGCGGGATCAACGGCACGTTCCACCCCCAGCTGCTCGGCTACGCCACGACAAGAACACTGGCCTTCTACCTGATGGACATCTGTCTGATCAAGATCTCGTTCTACGTGCTGGGCGTGAACCAGAAAAACAGAAAGCTCTGGGACCTCGTCAGCTATAGTGGCTACAAGTTCATCTCGATCTTGGTGCTGATGCTCATAAAGAACCTGCTCAGCTCGAAAGTCCTCATCTACACGGGGTTCCTGGCCAACATCTCGTCGCTCGGCTTCTTTCTGATGAGATCTCTCAAATACGTCGTTTTGCCGAGCGGACTGGACGCAAACAGCCTGTCGTCGGGAGCGAGACGCATCCGCACCCAGTTCCTGTTTGTGTACTCGTTTGTGGTGCAGGCGATCATGGTCTGGGCGATGGCCTGAGACTGCATGCGGGTTTTTACCCGGCAGGGCAGGGTAAGTCCCCATAGGCATTTCCATATTTGTACACCCAAAAAAATTTTTCAGCCTGGTGGGATTTTGTAAGGGTTGCCAATTGTAACTAGGTAATTAATCTTGATTCTTTTTGATAAGTTTGGTGAACGTTAGCAGAATCAACTGAATAATCAAAAATGGGTACGTAAGGCGCGATGCTGGAAAACTAACATTTTAGTTAACTTCACTGTTGAACAAATCAGAGAGTTAATGGACAAGGTTACGAACGTTCGTAACATGTCCGTTATCGCTCACGTCGATCACGGAAAATCGACTCTCACTGACTCTCTTGTCCAGAGAGCCGGTATCATTTCTGCTGCCAAGGCTGGTGAGGCCAGATTCACCGATACCAGAAAGGACGAGCAAGAAAGAGGTATCACCATCAAGTCCACCGCCATCTCTCTCTACTCCGAGATGGAGGACGAGGATGTGAAGGAGATCAAGCAAAAGACCGACGGCAACAAGTTCTTGATCAACTTGATTGACTCGCCAGGTCACGTTGACTTCTCCTCCGAAGTGACTGCAGCCTTGAGAGTTACCGACGGTGCCCTGGTCGTCGTCGACTGTGTTGAGGGTGTGTGTGTCCAGACCGAGACTGTGCTGAGACAGGCTCTTGGTGAGAGAATCAAGCCGGTCGTTGTCATCAACAAAGTCGACAGAGCCATGTTGGAGCTGCAAATCTCCAAGGAGGAGCTGTACCAGTCTTTCTCCAGAACTGTTGAGTCTGTTAACGTCATCATCTCTACCTACGTCGAGCCGGTCTTGGGTGACGTCCAAGTTTACCCTGAGAAGGGTACCGTTGCTTTCGGTTCCGGTCTGCACGGATGGGCCTTTACCGTCAGACAATTCGCCGTCAGATACTCCAAGAAGTTCGGTGTTGACAGAGCCAAGATGATGGAGAGACTGTGGGGTGACTCCTACTTCAACCCAAAGACCAAGAAATGGTCTAACAAGGACAGAGACGCTTCCGGACAGCCATTGGAGAGAGCCTTCAACATGTTCGTTCTGGACCCAATTTTCAGACTTTTCTCCGCTATCATGAACTTCAAGAAGGACGAGATCCCAGTCCTTCTTGAAAAACTCGAGATCACCTTGAAGGGTGAGGAGAAGGAGCTGGAAGGTAAGGCTCTCCTGAAGGTCGTTATGAGAAAGTTCTTGCCAGCTGCTGACGCCCTGCTTGAGATGATTGTTATCCACTTGCCATCTCCAGTGACTGCCCAATTCTACAGAGCCGAAACCTTGTACGAAGGTCCAGCCGACGATGCCTCTTGTCTGGCCATCAAGAACTGTGATCCGAAGGCCGACTTGATGCTTTACGTCTCGAAGATGGTTCCTACCTCTGATAAGGGTAGATTCTACGCTTTCGGTAGAGTGTTCGCTGGTACCGTCAAGTCCGGTATGAAGGTCAGAATTCAAGGTCCAAACTACGTTCCAGGTAAGAAGGACGACCTGTTCATCAAGGCTATCCAAAGAACTGTGCTGATGATGGGAAGATTCGTCGAAGCTATCGATGACTGTCCAGCTGGTAACATTGTTGGTCTGGTTGGTATTGACCAGTTCTTGCTCAAATCTGGTACTCTGACCACCAACGAGGCTTCTCACAACATGAAGGTCATGAAGTTCTCTGTTTCTCCGGTCGTCGAGGTCGCCGTTGAGGTCAAGAACGGTAACGATCTTCCAAAGCTGGTGGAGGGTCTTAAGAGACTGTCTAAATCTGACCCATGTGTTTTGACTTCTATCTCTCCATCCGGTGAACACATTGTTGCTGCCACTGGTGAGTTGCACTTGGAGATTTGTCTGCAAGACCTGGAGAACGACCACGCTGGTGTTCCACTGAAGGTCTCTCCACCGGTCGTTTCCTACAGAGAAACCGTTGAGGCTGAATCTAGAATGGTTGCCTTGTCCAAGTCTCCTAACAAGCACAACAGAATCTACCTGAAGGCCGAGCCAATGGATGAGGAGGTCAACCAAGCCATTGAGTCCGGAAAGATCAACGCCAGAGACGACTTCAAGCAGAGAGCCAGATTGATGGCCGACGAGTACGGTTGGGACGTTACCGACGCTAGAAAGATCTGGTGTTTCGGTCCAGACGGCTCTGGTCCAAACGTTGTGGTCGACCAAACCAAGGCTGTCCAATACTTGCTTGAAATCAAGGACCATGTCAACGCTGGTTTCCAATGGGCTACTAAGGAGGGTCCAATTCTTGGTGAGACCATGAGAGGTGTCAGATTCAACATCATGGATGTGACCTTGCACGCCGATGCTATCCACAGAGGTGCCGGTCAAATCATGCCAACGATGAGAAGAGCCACCTTTGCTGCCATGCTTTTGGCTGAGCCAAGAATCCAGGAGCCTGTCTTCCTGGTTGAGGTGCAATGTCCTGAGAACGCTATTGGTGGTATTTACTCTGTCTTGAACAAGAAGAGAGGACAAGTCGTTTCTGAGGAACAAAGACCAGGTACCCCAATGTTCACTGTCAAGGCTTACCTCCCTGTCAACGAGTCCTTCGGTTTCACTGGTGAATTGAGACAAGCCACCGGTGGTCAAGCTTTCCCACAGATGATCTTCGACCACTGGTCCACCATGAACGGTGACCCAACCGACAAGAACTCCAAGCCTGGTGAAATTGTTACCAACACCAGAAAGAGAAGAGGTATGAAAGAGGAAGTTCCAGGCTACGAAGAATACTACGACAAGTTGTAAGCGACATGTTTTTGATATATACTTGGATTTAATCAGACACAATTCCTATAATTACAGTAGTTTCATCCGTTCACTTGAAAATCAAGTCCCTCTGCCTTCACACCTGGAAACAGTTTCCTGTTTCCCTTTAGCAACGCGCGCTCTGCTTTCTGGGCTCTGTCTATGGTTTGTGACCTCAGCCTTCGCCAGTAATTGCGAACATGCCTGTATATAGCAGTGTGCGGGTCGAAATTTTGTATGACATAATTGTCCACTGCGGTGAGGTCGTCAATAAGCTCGCTAACTAGCTGATATTCATAATTCTCGACTTTCTCCACTATTCGCCTGATAGAAGGCACGTTGGAATCCTCAAACTTTGTGGAGATTATGGCGTCGTTCCTGTCGTGTTTGAGGAACTGATCCAATAAATCCTTAATTAAATATTGCATCGGCAAATAGTAAATATCCATCTGGTCTAGCAATTCATTAGTGGACTTGAGCTCAAGTTTCGCCTTTTTTACAGAGAGAGAGGATATGTCTGCCAGTTTGGATATGTCCTGCTTGATCAGGTCCAGAGCCTGAAGACGCTCATCAACCTCCTCGTTAGTGAGACCACCGAGATTTGCCGAGTCCGGACGTCTGATCAAAGGACCTCCGGTGGCTTCTCGTTTCAAAGTCCAGTATTTTGCAAACTCGTATAGATAATTAATATCCTGCGGAATTCTGTAGCTCTTGAGGACCTTCTCCAGCTTCTTGATTACAACAACAGGAAGGATAGGGGCCCCGCGCGCCGTCTTCCATTTGAACCAGTGGTTTTTGGTGTCCTTCAGTTCCTTTTTCTGGGCTTTGCTAATTACAACTTTGTTTTCTGTGTCTCGGTTTTTCCCCGTGCTGTAGTAAAGCCTGGTTTTCTGGATCCCTAGCTTTGTGTCGTGATAGAGGTCCCACTGTTTTGGAGAATGTCTATCGCAGTAGGACACAACAGTGCTCTTGTCATGGATAGCCGTTTGAACCCCTTGTTTCATCTCCATATAAAAGTCTGAGCGTCGCGCACACGTAACGTGGTAGGCAACTGAACAACTGGGCTTGCAACACTGGATACATGCTCCCACTTTCTGACGGCAAATGTAACAGGTGAGCTTCCAGCGGCTCCTGGGAATATTGCCGATCCCCTCGATCGGCTCCATGTAGACAGGGTTGGCAAAATACAGTTCGTTGATCCACAAGGTACAGATCACGTGGCCCCATCCGCCGTTGTCCGTCTGCTTGAACGCGCCTGTGACGCTAGGGCAAAAGAGGCACCTGCTCCTTTGATTTCGGGCAATGAGGCATTTACGGCACAGCCAGGGGCCTTCCGGAATAAATGCAACTCCGTAACATTCCTGGTGGACAGCTATATCGCAGCCGTCGCAGAACACGATGGCGTTCGAGTTGTCGCACTCGTTCCTATTGCAGACGGCACAGCATTGGTCTTCCTCTGGGGCCACTCCTATTCCGTCGTCAGATCCATATAGCTGGGCGTGGAGCTGAGCTTGTTCTTCATTTTGATGCTCGTTTTTTATTTTGGGTGGTAGCAGTTTCTCGATGAAACACCACTCCATTTCGAAATAAGTCATAATCACCTCAAAAAGCTCCAAGGAAATATGCTTGCCTTCCTTGGCAAGTCTCGCATTGACATGCTCAAGATAGCTCGCATCCTGCTCGTCCATGTCATACAAAGAACGCACTTTCTGGTCCAAGGTAAGACTGTCCGTTATGAGACCGTCTCCACGATCTGTTGGTCGCCAAAAAGTCGTTTTCTGCACAACCTTGTTGCTATTGTAGCCAAACTGGAGCATATTCCTGGCAACAGGAGCCTCTTCTGTGTGTTGATCTGGCATTTTCCTGAAAGACGGTCGTTTCAGCCGTCTCAGAATTTCCCGGTCCTGCCGTTTCCTTTTCAACCTATACTCCTCGTACTCGTCGTCAGCCCTGCTTTCTTGCACTAGTACAGGCAGCGGCTCAAACTCATCGAGGCCTTCGTAGTAGTCCGTGAAATTCTGTTCCTCACGGGGTTTAGACATCTCCAAATACTCGTCTCTCTCCACGGGTCGAGGGCTCCTAGGCGTCGGCGACCTTCTAGGCGGGGACACCTCTGAGTCGCTATCCAATAGACGCGGGGCGAGCCTTCGCCGCCGGAGACTCTTGCGCACTATTGGAGACGGACGTTCGCGCAGGATGGCCATAAACAAAAAGTTGATAGATTTTGGTCACGTCTCACATCTTTACACCATGAGACAAAATCGGGGCAGGAATAGTAGGCATGGCCATGAAGGCGGCCCTGCGGCAGCATTGAAGACGCAGCTATCTCTGCCGTGATTGTATTTATCTCCTGTTTCATCTTGTTTGACAGTACAGCTCTAACATGACCACAATTCCTGTTTAGCCGGTGTGCCTTATTATTTTGCTATTATTTTAGTGCATATTTTTAACGAGCGTCGCGCTGCAGCAAACAGTGAGCTTCGACCATTCTTTCGCGTGTGCCCGACTTGCATTCGACTGGACCGGCTTTGGTTTTGGAAATGTGCGATTATCTGTATTCTGCAACTACCTGATGAAAAAGCTCATGGCTTAGCCAACTTTGCTATGGATATAGAGAACAACCGTCCGGTGCCCGAGACCGCAGAAAAACAGGGCCCGAAAAGGTGGTTTTCACATGTATTCAGACGTCTCTCGCTGCCTTCTTCACGAGCAACTTCAAAGCTCAAACTCAGGGATGTCCTTGTGCCATACCCGCTAGGGAACTTGGAGGTGGATAGCAGCTACCAGGAGTTCAAGTCACAGGTGTCAAAGGAGTCGAAATATTCGCAGATTGTGCGACTGGCCGAGCGACAGTCGCAAATTGCTCCAAACCGCTCGTCTTCCGACGTTTCAGAGCAAGAACATAGAGACCGGTCAACGTCGCTCATCTCCTTCGGGTCGAGCGTCCACATCGAAGAGGCCGTCCCGGTCACAGCCATATCACCAGGTTCAGAGCGGTCCGTCGCCACCTTTGCTCCAGCGTCTTCCCCGTCTCCGGAAATGGGGGCTTCTCTTAACCCAAGAAGCGGCTCCCCAATGCCACAAAAAATTATCCTTGTCAATCTGCCCGATAGCGAAGGATCCCCAAAAATCCCACATAAGCAAAACGACCGGCCAAACCCTTTTTCACTTGAAATTTCGTCCTCTTCTGTGTCGCCAGACAGATTATCATTAAGAGACGACACAGGAGCGATAGTCGACCTGTACCAGAACTACGCATCTGAGATGGGAGCCAACGCGTCAAGAGAGTCTGTTAACAGAGACCACAAAACAAAGACCAGGACAAATACACCTACAAAAGAGATCGGCTCTGCTACCGTTTTCACCACGCCCCAGTCACTCAACCGCGATGTCTCGTCAAGCCGTTACCCCGTGAGCAGTTTTGCCACGCCGCGCCTGGACGACGACAGCGAATGCTTCATCGACTGGAGCGACTCCGATGGGCCAGAACGACGCGACTCTAGAAAGCGGATCGTCGAGACGTTCCGAAGTCTGTCAATTTCTAAGCGGTCGAAAACTAGTCCGCGCTCAATCCAGCCGAGCTCTAAACGGGCATCCACAGTGGCTTCCTCCATATCGACTCCACGGCTTGCCTCGTCGACCACAGAGTTGCCCGAGAAGCTCTTTCTGCGGTCACCGTTCAGAAGCCACTCCGAGCAGCTACCGACGTCGCGCCATCGACCGTTGAACGCTCCAGAAGAGCCGCAGCTTACTCCTCCCCGGCCCCCAAGCCTTCCACCGTCTTCAAGCGTGGACATTGATACAGCAAAGCCCTCTAGAGCCCAACCAAACCTCAAATACTACTACATGTAGCGTCCGCCTTTTCTATATTATGTAATGCTAACAGAAATAAATGTATTAATTTAATCTCTACAAAACACTTTATCTAACAATTAGCAGCTTGCCAGCATGGACAAGAATGAAATATTTCTTCCTCCGTCGAATGGCGACCAGAATTACCAAGACACTCTAGAGCAACTAGACCAGTTTGTTGACAGCCTAAACGCACAGGGATTGCCGAATAACCAAGCACAGGACCATCCGTCTCCATTCGGGTTCCACGAGTACAAAAATGGCCCCGCTTTGAACGTGGAAGCTTCGGACTTTGAGCCATGGGATATCGGCCAATCTTTCAGCGCGAACGACTTTACTGAGGCTGCCTTGAGCCCGCAGGGTCTTCCTCCCGTGGAAAGGTCGGTAAGCATTGGAGGTGCCAGCGGGCACAATAACAGCTATCAATACTCGTCTCCACAGGTGCATCCGCTGCTATCGACATCGATGAACCGCCGGTCAAACAGCGTCAGCAACCAAGGCCGCAGCTACAGCTCCCAGTTTGGTACGTCGCTGAACAACCTTATTTCCCCAGCGTCTACCTACGATGGACTTCTAGACTCCCCTTACGGTTCGTACCAAGGCGGGAGCTTTACAGACTCCTATCTGAAATCTCCGATCAATTCTCCGTCTCACAAATCGATCGGGTCGCCCGCGTCAATTGGCACACACATGAATCCGAAAAACGCCTTAAGCAAAGAAAGTAAGCTGAGTCGCCGCCGAGAATTACACAATGCCGTCGAGAGACGACGCCGAGACCTGATCAAGGAGAAAATAAAAGAACTGGGTACTCTCATTCCACCCTCGCTACTGAATAATTTTACCAAGTCGAAAAACAACCCCAACAAAGAGATAAAAGCTAACAAAAGCACCATCTTGACGAAATCCATTGAGTACATAGGTTATCTGAGAGAGATCTCGGGTAACCAGGATGAAAGGCTCAGCTTGTTGCGACAGCGAATTGATGAACTCTCTCCAGGAACGACCTCGGAGCCGCAAAACTATCAGCCACCAGCACAGCCAGTTCCCCAGATTAAGCGAACCCAGTCGCCCGAGTACGACGAGTCGTACTCAACCCCGGACGTGAGGTCGTCTGAGGAGCCGAAACCGGACTTCCAGGATTTCAAAGTGGAGGATCCCGAGGCGTTCTTTCAAGAGTTGTTGAAGGAGCCTGCTGGTCAAACATGGATGACGTAAGGCGGCCGATTTTTACTGGAGTTGGCTGAAATTTATTGTGGCAATAAAAACAATCCGATATGTCAGGCAATGCTGAATTTCTATCGAACTGGCGAACAACACGAGGAGTCCAGATCGGCGACGATGCGGAAGGAATAGCCAGCAAGGCTAAAAGCATGTTCAGCGCGTTCACGGACAGAGTGCAAGAGGGATACAGCTCAGCCTACAATGCCCTCCCGCTGCATAATCAAGATCTCGATGCACAACAGGAGCCTTCCTGGTTCAAGCTTTCAAGATTTGAGCGTCTTGTATGTTTTTTCTGCTTTATTTCGGGGTCGATAGTGTGCTTTGCTCTGGGAATCCTGCTATTTCCCGTTTTAACATTAAAACCTCGCAAATTCGCCATGCTGTGGACTCTGGGCTCACTCTTGTTCGTTCTGAGCTTCGGATGTTTGCAAGGGCCTGTTGATTATTGCAAGCATCTTGTATCCAAGGAAAGACTGCCATTTACAGTGGTGTTTTTTGGCAGTGTTTTGAGCACGTTGTACTGCGCAGCGATTTTAAAGTCGACAATTCTCACTCTGATCACAGGAATCATTGAGATATTTGCTGTTCTCTACTACACATTGAGCTACTTCCCGTTCGGGGCGCAAGGATTTCAGATGGTGGCCACAATGGGGCTTCGGCAGTTCAGTAGTGTTTTCGGGTTTTAGGTGTATATTACGGAGTAGATATCTAAATAATATTTAACGATTTATTAATCATAGCCTACAAAGCAACATGTCAATTGCCCACGAAGCCTCCTGTATTTTTTGCAAGATCATCAAGGGTAGGTATTCCAGGCCTGATTCAATGGCTGGTTTATGAGCTCTAACCGCCTAGGGGAAATCCCATCGTTCAAACTCCTCGAGACCAAGTACTCCTACTCGTTTTTGGACATCCAACCAATTTCCAAGGGTCATGTATTGGTGATTCCAAAGTACCACGGGGCCATGCTGCACAACATCCCAGACGAGTTCCTTGCGGACATCCTGCCGGTGACCAAGAAGCTGGTCAAAGCACTAGGCCTGGAAGTCAGCACTCCTGACGAAGATGGCTACAATGTCTTGCAGAACAACGGCCGGATTGCTCACCAGGTCGTCGACCACGTCCACTTCCACCTGATCCCCAAGCGGGACCCAGAGACGGGACTCGTTATCGGCTGGCCAGCAAATAATGCAGACATGGGCGAGCTTTCCGAGTTTGCAAAGGAGCTCACCTCAAAGCTGGCATAAGTCGACGGCAGCAGCATTTTCATACTATAAAGTTCGATCAGTTATGGTCTTTGTGTAGTTGATGGTGGCAACGCGAGATGATGTTTGGTTGTCTGGTGTAAGGATGTTTATATGATTCCTGGATCTCCCAGTCTGAGTGGCAAAAGCTAAATATTTCGTATTTGCCCTTGATCATTTAACATCTTTAGTTTTTCTGATTGCTCAATTGAAAGATAATTCAATCAGATAGAATGGTGGATGAGAAGAAGCCTTTACTAGACGCCTCTGGCAGAGAAGTCGTTCCAGAAGACTCGACTGCTACCGCCATTTTGAGAAGAAAAAAGAAGGATAATGCCCTGGTTGTCGACGATGCCACCAATGATGACAACTCCATCATTTCTATGTCGTCCAACACGATGGAGCTTTTGCAATTGTTCCGTGGTGATGCTGCCCTGGTCAAAGGAAAGAAGAGAAAGGACACGGTCCTGATTGTTTTGGCCGACGATGATATCGAGGATGGTGTCTGTAGAATCAACAGAGTGGCAAGAAACAATTTGAGGGTTCGTCTTGGAGACATTGTGACGATCCATCCATGTCCGGAAATTAAGTTCGCCACCAGAATCTCTGTCTTGCCGATTGCAGACACCATTGAAGGTATCACAGGATCGTTGTTCGATGTCTTTTTGAAGCCATACTTTGTTGACGCTTACAGACCGGTCCGTAAGGGCGACCATTTCGTTGTGAGAGGAGGCATGAGACAAGTCGAGTTCAAGGTTGTGGAAGTCGAGCCGGAAGAACACGCCATTGTTTCTCAGGACACCATAATACACTCCGAGGGCGAACCTATCAATAGAGAGGACGAGGAAAATAACCTCAATGAAGTCGGTTACGATGACATTGGAGGATGCAGAAAACAGATGGCCCAAATCAGAGAGCTCGTTGAGTTGCCACTCAGACACCCACAGTTGTTCAAGGCCATCGGTATCAAGCCTCCTAAAGGTATCTTGATGTACGGCCCCCCTGGTACTGGTAAGACCTTGATGGCCAGAGCCGTTGCCAATGAAACTGGCGCATTCTTCTTTTTAATCAATGGCCCAGAAATCATGTCGAAGATGGCTGGTGAGTCTGAAAGTAACCTTAGAAAAGCTTTCGAAGAGGCCGAGAAGAACTCCCCGTCTATTATTTTCATCGATGAAATTGACTCCATTGCTCCAAAGAGAGACAAGACTAATGGTGAGGTTGAAAGAAGAGTTGTTTCTCAGCTCTTGACCTTGATGGATGGTATGAAGGCCAGATCTAACGTTGTTGTCATTGCTGCTACCAATAGGCCTAACTCCATCGATCCCGCTCTAAGAAGATTCGGAAGATTTGATAGAGAGGTCGACATCGGTATTCCTGATGCCGCCGGAAGACTTGAAGTTCTGAGGATCCACACCAAAAACATGAAGCTGGCCGATGATGTTGATCTCGAGGCCCTGGCTGCTGAGACTCACGGTTACGTTGGTGCTGATATTGCTTCCCTCTGTTCTGAGGCCGCCATGCAACAAATAAGAGAGAAGATGGACTTGATCGACCTGGAAGAAGAGAACATTGATGCCGAAGTTCTCGACTCTTTGGGAGTCACTATGGACAACTTCAGATTCGCTCTTGGTAACTCCAACCCATCCGCATTGCGTGAGACTGTCGTCGAAAGCGTTAACGTCACCTGGGATGACATCGGAGGTTTGGATGGTATCAAGCAGGAGCTGAAGGAGACTGTGGAATACCCGGTCTTGCATCCAGACCAGTACACCAAATTTGGCCTTTCGCCTTCGAAGGGCGTCTTATTTTTCGGTCCTCCGGGTACTGGTAAAACGCTTTTGGCTAAGGCCGTTGCCACAGAAGTCTCTGCCAACTTCATTTCCGTTAAAGGTCCTGAATTGTTGAGTATGTGGTATGGTGAGTCCGAGTCCAACATTAGAGACATTTTCGACAAGGCTAGAGCTGCAGCTCCTACAGTTGTTTTCTTGGATGAGCTGGATTCCATCGCCAAGTCAAGAGGGGGCAGCATGGGAGATGCAGGAGGAGCATCCGATAGAGTTGTTAACCAACTGCTGACTGAAATGGATGGTATGAATGCCAAGAAAAACGTCTTCATTATTGGTGCGACGAACAGACCAGACCAAATTGACCCTGCTATCTTGAGACCAGGTAGATTGGACCAACTGATTTATGTCCCATTGCCAGATGAAGCCGGAAGACTGTCGATTTTGAAAGCTCAATTGAGGAACACCCCATTGGAGCCAGATCTGGACCTGGCTGCTATTGCTAAGACTACACACGGCTTCACTGGTGCCGATCTGCAGTACATTGTCCAAAGAGCTGCCAAGTTCGCCATCAAAGACTCTATTGAAGCTCAAAAGAGATACGAGCAAGAGAAGGCGGAAAGGAAGGCTGCCGAAGGCTCCGATGATGTTGAGATGAAGGTTGAGGATGGCGAGGAGGAGAGTATTCCAGATGCTGTTCCATATATCACAAAGGCTCACTTTGAAGAGGCTATGAAGACTGCTAAACGCTCTGTTTCCCCTACTGAACTGAGACGTTACGAAGCTTACGCGCAACAACTTCAATCTTCCAGAGGTCAATTCTCGAACTTCTCGTTTGGCCAAGGAGGAGACGCTGCTGGATCGACCGACAGAGGTACTGGAGGAGACGGTGCTGGTGCTGCCTTTGGATCTGTCGAAGAAGAAGAAGACGATTTGTACAGTTAAGCACGAGAGGGTCTATAGGCTTGACTGAGTTGTTAAGATATATTGATATTGAGTCCGGCTCAACACTGTAAACATATAAAGTATCTCTAGTGTATGGAAGGCAGCATGTCTGGGTTGATGACCCGGAGATAGGGGCCCGTGATGTGATTCTCTTTATTTTCTGCCAAGTCACGTGACTGCGAATTTGGTAGCCTCAGCGGTTCTGGGTTCAAGTCGTCCACCGGGTATACTGTCGAGGTGGTGGAGCTTGTTGAGGCCAGAGAGGGAATGGAGGAGGATGTCGAAAGCGAAGGAACGGATGCGGTAGTTGGTAGCGACTGGAATGAGTATGGTTTCTGCAAGTTGTATGCAGAGTATTTATCGTTCAGGTTGGTGGATCCAGATGATCTTCTAATGGTCATCTTTGGCCTCTGTGGAGATGGAGAAGGCAGGTGTGATTGCGAGGCAGGTTTGGTCCAGCTAGCATACAGCGGCTGCGTTGGAGAAGGCACAGGGGATGAGGCGTGAGTTTTGGTCAGGTCTCTGGTGAGTTCCCTATGTTTGGCGATCTTAGCCTCGAATTGTCGTCTGAGCTTGAACTTAATTGGTTCCAGGAAAGGGCTGAACGTTGCGATGAGGTCTGATTGTCTGATTCTGATGTTATCCCAGCCCAGGTATCCTATTAGTTCCATCTCGAGGGTATTGACGTCTTTCAAGGAGAGCAGGCCGTTGGTGTACTTGCACCAGTGTTTGTTCAGAGGCGACGAGTCGTTGAGGTTTTTCGCGGCCAGGATCAGACAGCCGAGGAAGATCCTGTGTCTGGTGGTCTCCATTCCTGTGCTGTTTGGCGGCAGGATCTCGCGTAATCTGATCAGATAGACGAGGCTCGACATGAGAGTGGGTGTCTGGACGTGGGAATGGTCAATGAGCGCCTCAATAAAGCGGTAGAGGGAAGGAACGGGCGTCTCCAAAGGCGAGGCTGGCGGCGATGGCAGCGACGAGCTGGAGTAGTCGGGAACGGCAATCACCGAGCTGGTGGTGTTGACCAGACATTGGATCATGTCTGGCGACACGGGTCTCCTGAGAAAGTGGTAGAGGGCTTGAACGTCCGACATGGCAAAGCGTGAAAAGAATGAAGGCCCAAAGTAGCGAGATACGACCAGCAAGCTAGGTATAAATTTTTCAACCTGGTATGTCGTCCATATTTATGCATGGTGCCTGCAAAGTGGTCGGGACGCGACGCGAAAATAATTATCACCATTTCGACAGGCTTTTTTCACGGTCAGATAGCAGATGCGCGCTCTCGAAAGGGGCAAGATAATTCAGATTGACGAGATGCATCCTACAGCGTACGCGTAAAAACGCTTATTCAGCTATGCAGTCTGCATAATAGCCAGAAAGTCTCTCTTGGCGCGGTTAATTTAACGGCCTTGGAAAGAAAGAGCAACGCCTGCTGCTCATTAAAAAACATGCTTCTCTGAGCAGCATTGTCCTAATTCGGTCACTGTAATATACTAAATTTTGTCCCCTCCTCAGACTTCCCAGTGTAGAAGTAATCATACGTCGACCGACGCAAAGAATTACTGTGCCGCGCTTTAAAAAACAATAATCTTACTAGCTTCTCTTGTCTGTCCGTTTCACCTCAAGGGGTCCCATTTGCTAGCGTACTATGCCCTCGGAAGATACGCCATTGATGGTCCCCGCCGCCATCACCGACCAAACGAATAAGTTCCCCCATGTCGTCAAGTTGACTTTGGGATCGTCTCCCATTAACTTCCTTCTGTTTTTCGTTCCCCTGGGCTATCTAGCAGACTGGCTCGGGTGGAAAGCCTCACTGGTCTTTTCCTTTAACTTCCTCGCCATCATCCCGCTAGCATCCGTGCTGGCCTATGCCACCGAGGAACTAGGAGAAGCTATCCACAATGACTCGATAGCAGGGCTGCTCAACGCCACGTTCGGAAATGCAATTGAGGTTATTGTCAGTGTTATCGCGTTGAGCCAGAACCAGATCACCGTGGTCCAGGCCTCTATGTTGGGCTCCATCCTCTCGAACGTGCTCCTCGTGCTCGGCTGTTGCTTCGTGGCAGGAGGAATCTGGTATCCTCAGCAGTCCTTCAACCAGACGGTTGCTCAGACCATGAGCTCGCTGTTGGCACTCTCGATGAGCGGACTGCTGCTTCCAGCAGCGTTCCATGCCTCACTTCCGTCCAAAACAAAGGACCTGGAATCCAAAATTCTCGATTTCTCCAGAGCAACCTCGGTGCTTCTGCTTATCGTGTACTGCTTGTACCTTTGCTTCCAACTGAAAACTCACAAATTTCTGTTTGAGCAGGTTCTGGAGCCCAGTGACGAGGAACAATCTCCTCCTATAGACGAGGCCACCAGTAACACCACGCTGGACTCTCAAGACACAGCCCACCCAAGAAGGGGATTTTTAGTGAACAGGCCGAAATCTCTTTTGGAGCTCGGTCCGGGACCGCAGCCGAAACACATTGGCACGATGGCCTCTGTGGCTGTGCTTCTCGTCACCACCGTTCTCGTGTCGTTCTCCGCCGACTCCCTGGTGTCTTCTATCGACGAGGTTGTGGAGAGTTCCGGTCTTTCCAAGACTTTCATTGGTCTGATCGTCATCCCTATCGTTGGTAATGCAGCAGAGCATGTCACTGCTGTGGTTGTGGCCTACAAAAACAAAATGGACCTTGCTGTTGGCGTTGCCGTGGGTTCGTCGATTCAGATCTCCTTGTTTGTCACTCCGCTCTTGGTGCTGATAGGCTGGATATTCGACGTTCCGATGTCCTTGTACTTCTCCACCTACGAGACGGCAGTGATGTTTGTTGCTGTTCTGATCACAAACTATCTGATTTTGGATGGAGAGTCGAATTGGCTCGAGGGTGTCATGTTGGTCAGCACATATCTGATCATCGCCATCTCCTTCTTCTTCTACCCAGACACGCTGGCCCAGTGAAAAATATTCAGCACATAAAATTATCTACGCTTTAGGATAGGAATATAGACATTATCTCCGGTTGTTCTTGTATATCTCATTTGTAATGCAGCATAGCACGACTAACACTTCTATCGCAGATTTTACATTTGGAGTCTGTCTGAAACATTTTGACACTGTTGCCAAATATAAACCGGGCCAGGATGGCTCTGATTGGACATCCTAAGCCACAATTTGCACGCTGCGTCTCTGCACATTTATGATGAGTTTGCAGTCATTTTGGAAGCCTCGTAGCTGAAATTGACTATTTTGCGTGGCGGATCATCGCTAGTCTGCGAAAACTCCAGATCGGACAATCTTAGCTGCGGTATGGAATACTGCTGCATCAAAGCAGGAGGCAGCTGTGGATCTATGAGCTTTGGAAGCATGCCGGCTTTGACAAACGTCTCTATGTTGTGGATAAAAGTGGCAGATCTGGAAGACTCCATCGGGACGTCAAATCAGTAATTTTTTGATGCTCGGTAATTAATTAATTTACCTCTTCCGACGCATCATCTGATTATGTAAAACAATGCGGTTTCAAAATTGACATTGCCTGCATCAGGCGCACATGGGCATCCAGAACTTTGTCGAAGCTTCCCGCTAGGTGCAAAATGGCAAAACTGGCCGAACCCCAAATAACTGCCTAGATTACGATAACGCTTATCTATCTAGACTCTCGCTTCACCGGAACTTCCATCTTTGCACCACAAAAAAAATTTTAATACTATCAATCATTTGTCCTCGTCAATGTCCTCCAATTCGATTAAATTGCTAGCCAGTGATACCCAGAGAAATCTGGCGGAGCTTGTGGCGAAGCGGTAGGTATTCTGCTTTCATAATGTTGAGCTAATTCTCAGCTTGGGGCTCTCGCTGACCCCTGTGGACATCAAACGTGATTCCAACAAGGAGGTGTCCTTCTCCATTGGAGAGTCCATCAGAGATGAAGATATCTACATTATAATGCAAATCGGGTCAGGAATTGTCAACGACAAAGTTTTGGAGCTGCTGATCATGATTAACGCCTGCAAAACCGCCTCAGCGAGAAGAATCACTGCTGTTCTGCCGAACTTCCCTTACGCCAGACAGGACAGAAAAGACAAGAGCCGTGCGCCCATTACGGCCAAGTTGATGGCAGATATGCTTACGAGCGCCGGATGCGACCATGTGATCACCATGGACCTACATGCTTCCCAAATTCAAGGCTTCTTCGATGTGCCCGTTGATAACTTGTATGCAGAGCCTTCGGTTGTTAGGTATATTCGTGAGAAGCTTGATGTCAATAACGCTATCATAGTGTCTCCGGATGCGGGGGGAGCCAAGCGTGCTGCTGGTCTTGCCGATCGTCTGGACCTGAACTTCGCTCTTATACACAAGGAGCGCGCCAGAGCCAACGAGGTGAGTCGTATGGTCCTTGTTGGAGACGTTACCGGAAAAACCTGCATCATTGTGGATGACATGGCCGATACCTGTGGAACTTTGGCCAAGGCTGCGGAAGTTCTGCTGGAAAACGGGGCCAAGGAGGTCATTGCGATCGTGACGCACGGAATATTGAGCGGAAATGCCATCGCGAATATCAACAAGTCGAAGCTCGAACGGGTTGTGTGTACCAACACTGTGCCGTTTGAAGAGAAACTTAAGCTTTGTCCAAAGCTGGACACCATTGATGTTTCTGGTGTCTTGGCCGAAGCCATCAGACGTTTGCATAATGGAGAGAGTATATCTTTCCTTTTCCGCAATGCTCCCTACTAGACTGGATTTATAAAGATAAATTATTCTCGTGCTTGTATTTAAAAAGCTTATTAATTAATATCAGCTCTATAACTCTAGATTATATTTGGCAAGGTCGAACTCCTTCAAACTGCTCAAAAGTTCACCCTTTGCACCGTTCTCCAACAGCTCGTCCGGCCTGGTTATCTCGAGAACATGTGGATCAGGCACCCAGATGACGTAGCCGCCAGCACGCTTTCCGGAGATCAAGCCAGGAACCGCGTCTTCAAATATCAAAACCTCCTCGATTTTAATATCCTCCTGTATACGGCCCTCGCTGCGCAGCTTGTCGTTCAGCTCTGACAGCCCTAACCACCATATAAATGGAAGAGGCTTGCCTTTTCCTGCAATCACGGGGTTGTCTCCCGTGATCACCAGCTCGAAGTGCTTGAAACCCTCTTGCAAATGTGCGGTTTTTATGTCATACTTGTCTTTGTGGGAGGAAGTGCACACAACCATGGGAACTCCCTTGGCTGCAAGCTTCTTGATCAGATCTAGAGCTCCTGGTAGAAATTGCACCTTCGGCCATAATTCTGCCTGTTTTCTTGAAGTCCACTCATACAGCTCCTGAGCAGTAATCCCTTCGAGTTTGTACTCGTCAATTACCGTCTGAGATGCCTGCGGTCCCGGGAGACCCTGGAGTTTCATCTTCACGTCCCACGTAAGACCGCCTGGAATGTTGAACCTGTTGCTCAGTATGTCGGATATAGACACGGTGTACACGGATTCGGAGTCTATGAGAAGGCCATCCATGTCAAAAAGACAGGCCTTCACCTGTTTCGGAGGCCCCATTTGAAATGACTAAAATTTGGACTTTTATTTATTTCATTTATTTTTCTACAAGGGTGGCAGACTATTTCTGCACACGGGACACTGTAACTTGTACTTCATCCAGTTTTCCAGGCATTCGGTGTGGAATATGTGTCTGCAAGGCGTCACCATGTAGGAGCGACGAGCCATCAGACCAATGCTGCTGTTATCCTCCTTATCATGACCGCTGTGGAGAACTGGAACCTCGAAAGAGTTCATACAAATGGTACAATCTATCTTGCATCTCGAGTGTGAATGCGACGTGTCAACAACCTCGTGGTCGACGTTGAACGAGTTTTCGAGATCGTCGAAGGAAAGAACTGGATGATAATCGTAAGTCTTGGGCAAATATTTGTCTGGGAGGAAAAAGCGTGGCCCCAGTAACTCCTGCAGGTAAAGCATGAATACTTGCAATGCCATCCAAAGAGTCAGCAATGTGACAAGCTTGTAATCCCTGTGGTGATAGAATGGGTTCTTGAACATCGTGACGTACATGATTGGCAGGAGCCTGATGATGGAGGTGCCTATTATGAAGTCTTTTCTGAAAGACCGTCTGGAGCCTCTGATCACGTTCCGGTAAATTTGCGGAATCCAGAACGAGTTCATCACAAGTCCGATAATGTACTCAAAGACGACACGCTGCGGTTTCGGCCACAGAGTCACATTTAGCACCAGGAAGGAAAACACAATTAGGGAGAAAAAGAAGCGCATGTACAACTGGCCACTGATGGTCTGTTCGTCTTGGGTGGTCACAGGATTGGCTTGGTTGGGCTGCGTGTTCTCGTTGTTGTTCTCGTTGTTGTTCTCGCGCTCGTCTATCGGGGTGCCCTGGAAAGCAGTTCTCCAACTAATGTTTCTCTCGTTGATCTGTGCAGCGTAAATGAGAATCATATACCTCATCTCAAAAATGGACGAACAGGTAAACGCCAGAAAAGCACACACGGCAAACTGAATGTAGAGCGAGTCCATCACTAGCGAGCACAGAAGTGAGATCATCGACAAGGACCCGTCCACAAGGTTGATGGTGGCCACAGACCAAAACGAAATGCACGACATCGTGGACGGAGTGTTTGTGGACCCCATCTGCTTGACGAATAGCCAGATCTGCGCACTCATCAGCAAGATCCCGAAAAGAAGAACGTTTTTGACTTGATTCTGTTGGACCTCGTCGCGCGGTCCCACAGCCTTGTTCACCCGAATCGATAGACCGCAGTCTGGCGAGTACAAGAGGCCGGAGACTAGATTGATCTTGGGAACAGGCTTGTGTGGTCGTCCCAATGGGGTTTCGAGCTCGGTGTCAATCACCTCAAGTTCCTCCGAAGTTAGGTTGGTAGCCTCGAAATGCATATACGCTATGTATTCGCAGTTGGCGCTCTTCTCGAGAAGGTCTTCCAGATAAGACATGTCTAGCGAGTCAATATCAGTGCGGTTGACACTGCTCTCCATCAGCGCCCTCGTCTGGTTGAAATAGCGGCCGTCTTCAAGGTTCAGATGCGGCAGACCATATATTCCGTTGAACTTGCCCGAATTCGAGACGGCGACCAAATTTCCTGTCTCCTGATGGTACGCCCCTTGGAGCCGCAAATTGTGGTCATGTTGTTCTTTCAGATCGCTCAGTTTAACGCTCACGCTCACGATGGTGGTATCTTTACTCTCTGGAGTGTAGTTGAAATTGTGCAGAGTGAGCTCAATAAGTCCTTTTTCATCTGTGACGTTCCCGGGATGGACTGTCGAGTTGCTAGTAATATCGCTGTATTCCGTCAAGTTCTGGTAAAACTCGGGTATGGGCATGGGTATACGCACAAACGCGTCTTGCAGAGAGTACTCGCCACGCAGCGTGCTGGTAATGTTTCGCCAAAATGCTCCGGAAGCCGCATCGCGATGGCTCCAAATTTCCCATGCCTGCTGGCTGATTTTATTGGGCAGTATACTATGCTTCTCGTCCTCTAAAAAACCTGAGTGGTCCGGAAACGGCCAGTCCTCCACCTTGCGGCCTTTCACTGCGTCCCCGTAGCTCAATTTGTATCCTGTCACGTTTCCGTACCCAGAGGCGTAGTCGTTAGTCGTCATTGCGGTTCTTGCTGTCCTGATGGTATCTTTCAAGTCGCCCAGCATTCGCTTGCGCTCCTCCGGCGAGAGGTAGCCAGCCTCCTCAGGCGGGGCGCTCGGCAACAGGAATGTCAAAAAAATAATGAACAGTAGCAACTGTCCGCGGTTTATCTGGGGCATTAAGCGTAAATCACAAAGAATAAAATTAATATCAAGTTTTTGTGCCAGATAAGTTTGGAGACTCAACACAGGGTCCTCTTTTGATCACATTTTATAGAAATGTATTACTGCCTCCCGAAGGCCTCTCGATGTGAGAAGAACGCCCTACTCCCAAAATCTGTCTTGCCATGAACACTTTCTTTTTACGCCCGTATCTACTGGAGCTTCTCTTTCAGCAATTGTTTGCGAAGCTTTTTCTCCTCCTTCTCCTTCCATCTCTGTTCACGCTGCTTCTTGGCCTCTGGCCCAGCCTCAGTGTCCAGAGTGTAGTCCCACCACCGGAATGATGAGGCGTAGTTGCCTATGAAGTAGTGGTGATGGAGATCGTGGTGCTCTGCACCAGCCCAGAAGGGGATGAAATGGTGCAATGACCATGGGAAGTCGTAGCCGGAGTGTGCGTCAACCGCTTGGAATAAACGTAGGCAAACCCAGCAGGTAATGGTGAATAGATGAAGGTCTCGCGTGAAGTATGCATAAATGATAGGGAAGCCAATGGTTCCAAAGCCAAGCGACATCACCTCTATTGGATGAGCATACTCGGCGGTGAGCCCAAACGGAGCAGAGTATCTGTGGTGCTGTTTGTGAACATATTTGTAGAAAGGACCGTAATGGAACAGTCTGTGAGCCCAGTAATGCCAGAAATCCTCGAGCACAAAGAACAGACAAAACTCGAGGCACATCTTCGTCCAGGACGGGAATGGGACGGCAACGCTAATGCCCAGTCTCTGACACATCGGATGGAACGTCCAGATCGGAAGTGCCTCGACCAAAAAATGCGAGCGTAGCACAGACTTGAGACACTCCCATTGCTCCTTTTCAGAAGGAACATAGGACGGCTGTATCTTCCAGCGGCGGAAGTATGGAATCTTGTCAATCACCATCCAGGGCAGACATCTTCCAAAATAGACAAGTTCGTGTGTGAGGAAGAAAAGCAAGCCGGTAGCAAGAACGTCGTTATCCATATAATCGTACCAAGATTTCCATAGCTTCTCGAGCACGGTGAGGTGTGGGTGGTGCTCAAACACCTCGCGGGCTGTTCCAATAAGCGTCGAGTTCATGGCTGGCAAGAGGGTGGCTACATGTGGGACGTATTTATTCTTCAGAGTAAACGACCGGTACGAGAAGAACGAGATCGGTGGTGTGATCTGGAGAGATGCGGTTTCCTCCTTGCACCTCTACCTCCGACCACTCCTGAGGCCAGAGAAAACGCCCTTCTTTCTGGTGTCACGTGAGTATAGACCCGGGTTGGCGGCCCTTGAAAATATTAATTTTTTCAAGCTGAAAATTTTATACATTTCAACAAGACCAACATGTCCCGTCTTTACGAATACCAGGTTATCGGCAGAAAGCTGCCTACCGAGTCCGTGCCTGAGCCAAAGTTGTACAGAATGAGAATCTTTGCTCCTAACGACGTTGTCGCCAAGTCGAGATACTGGTACTTCTTGCAAAAACTGCACAAGGTCAAGAAGGCCTCTGGTGAAATCGTCTCCCTCAACGTCATCAGCGAGACCCACCCAACCAAGGTCAAGAACTTCGGTATCTGGATCAGATACGACTCCAGATCTGGAACTCACAACATGTACAAGGAATACAGAGACGTTAGCAGAGTCGGTGCTGTCGAGACCATGTACGCTGACCTTGCTGCCAGACACAGAGCCAGATTTAGATCTATCCACATCTTGAAGGTTGTCGAGCTTGAGAAGACCGACGATGTCAAGAGACAGTACATCAGACAATTCTTGACCAAGGACCTCAAGTTCCCATTGCCTCACAGAGTCACCAAGCCTGCCAAGCTTTACTCGGCCAAGCGTCCAACCACTTTCTATTAGGTAATAAATGGTGAAGTAAGAAACAGCTAGCGACGCTGGAATTTGTAGTTTCGCTGTAAAACGCACCCTAATGATTTAATTTGATTTCTACATTTTTATTTTTTCATGCCTAAGCGTTTTTCAGGTCTACAGAAAGAAGTGCTTTCTCTATATCGCAATTGTCTAAGGGCGACCCGGACAAAGCCGGCTGTAAGTGTCACTGCCATTTCCGTCCTAACATCAGGATAAACGTGCGCATTGGGTGTCTTTCATCCATTCCGAGTTCGCTCGCTACAGAGACATCCCCAAGCGCAACTTCGCAGCAATCGAGCATCTCCTCCGAATAGGCCACAGGAGACTGGAGATGTACTCCAGCACGAGCATCACAGACGTCAACTAGGCCACGGCTCGCCTGAAAAGATCCTCGTGGTGGCGGAACAGAAACTCGGTCACGGCGGTCTTGGCTCCGTTGTCGAGAATCTCTCGCTGCGGGTTGAACGTGTTGTCGCGAGCCAGCGTTGGCGCAAACACCGTGGCCAGCGAGCTGTACGTCATCTTCGTGATTTTGGAGTTGCGCACCACCACGCCCATATGTTTTGCTAGCTGGAAGAGCACCAGAAAGTTCGCCTCAGGCAGGTCGTTGAGCAACGTTTTTAGCCCTGCAAACCTGCCTGCCTCGTTCTGGATCTTGGACACCTCGATGAATTGTTCATAATTCTTGAACGGTATCACGGGATCCGGAATTTTCTTCAAGTATCTCTTTAGCATTCCCGCCACAGCATTTATATCGCCTTCTAGGACGGATGGCGCCTTACTAACGTCCTTTTCGTTGGAGACTTCCACAGTCTCGAAATATTTTTCGATCTTGTCAATCGCTACCGACGATCCGCTCACTCTGTAGATTCCCTCCCGTATTCCACGCGCCTCGATTTCTGATAAACAGCACGAGAATACGAACGGCACCGTTCGCAGCTCCAGCTCGGCACGTTCCTGCAGCGTGCACTGGTACAACGACTTGCCCAACGGATACGCGTTTCCGCGCAAAAAGTTGGACGATCTTGACTTGATCATCGCCGAAAGACCGCTCGCAGGCTTGCTCTCCTCGATATCTTCCTGCGACGTGTTGAAAGAGTCGTCCATCTGTCTGAAATTCCGTGGCGACCCAATATCCTGGACCGAAGGAGACCCGATCATGTAGTTGTTCTGCTGCGACGTCTGTGTGCCGTTTGCACCAAATATGCGCCGGATAAAGCCTCCCTTTTTAGGCTTGTCGCCCAATTCCTCTGTCGAGCCCATCTTCCTTGACTGCAGAGAGATCTTGGACGGCAGCTGGGGCAGTGTGTCGTCCGACTGTGCAAACGACGGCGAGTCGGTGGACTCCGACTCCTTGGACTCCGCCACGGTATCTGTCTCCAGCTTCTCCTTCTGTTCTCTCAAAACAGCGATCTCTTCCTCTAATCCGGTTTTCTCAGCGGTCAGCGACTGGATGTCCCGCATCAAGTTCGCCTTTGCGCTCGTAAGTGATGCTAGCTCGCTTTTGAGCTCCTTGAGCTGCTTGTCCACCTGAAGTATCTGCGCTTCCGGCTGATATTCCTCATAAACGACGTCGGAGCGAGATCTCAGGTGCAGAGAAAACGGATTCGTGGTGAGATCTGATTGGGTGCGCTTATGGCTGAGCAACGGCGAGCCGAAGTCGGGGGTCTTGAGGAGCTCGTCCTGGTCCAGTGGGGGGGGGCTCGCATCGCGCAAGGTCTGGGTCCTGGCATGCTCCAGCCCGGCTCCGCTGTTGCTCTTCTTGTGTCTATGGAAAACGTTTTTGATGGACAACGACCGACTGAAACCACCTGACGACTTTCGCGAATGAAACCCTGTGTTCTCCTTGTCCCTGCTGACTTCCCCTGGCAACTCGTGCTGGCGCTGATCGTCATCGGCCAGCTGGAGGCCGGAAATGTTGAGTCCCCTGTACGGCGACGAGCTCTGTCTCTCGGGTGCGTGTGGTATAGTGCCGGTAGGGGGCCTCTTGCTTGGCGAGCGCACCGGGTTAGGGGCCTCTTTGGGGTTTTCGTCCGACTCGTCGGTTTCGTCGTCGCTCAGATCGACAAACGACTCAGGTTCCGGCTCCTGCTCCTGCTCAAATATAAAAGCATTTCTGTTCCCAGGCGAGACAACGCCGGTCATTGTGATCGGAGACCGGTCCGCTTTGAGCGGCGTAAGCGTCATCATGTTGGTTTCGGACAGTCCGTCAACTTTGGGCGACGTGAACGCCGCCACGGGCTGAATGTTGGGAGAGCGTTGGCCTCTATTTGGTGAACGCAACGGGATGGTGAGCAGCTCCTCCGGCCGTTCCCGCTCGATCGCGATGGGAGACCTCTCCACCTTCTGCAAGACAGGACTTTTGGTGACTTTGGGAGGAGACGCCACTTGCACCTTTTCCGTGGCAGAAAGGGGCTTGCTGTCGTCCAGATCATCGTCTAGGTGTCTTTTCTCGTCAGACGGCACGGTGTCTGCGGACGACTGCGGCTCTAGCGAGGAACCAAAATTGCGCGACTTGATCGCCTCGTACTTGCGTTTCCGCTCCACCAGCTTGTGGTGACACGGCATACAAAACAGGCCCTTGGAGGTTCGCGCGTAGCGCAGATCCTCGATAGGGCGCTTGCAGGACTTGCACTTGAAGCAGTTCGCGCAGTATGCCTGGTCGCCCGTAAGGATTGCCATGTCGTAGATCTTCTTGCCGCACGATTTACACGAGTAGGAGCATTCGGAGCACACCAGCGAGCCCGTTCCCAGCATCAGGAAGTTCGAGTTGACTCCGAGCTCCTTATCGCACTTCGAGCACCGGAAACACTCTATGTGCCATCTCTCGCCGCCCAGCTCGTACGCCTGGCCCTCTGTAATGGAATTCTGGCAATTTTTGCACTTGTTAGTGTTGTCCATCACGGAGGCGAGCTGATTTGGAATCTGTTTTATTTCTATTCTGAGCTGAAAAGTAGGTGCACTCCTCGCACCAGTAGAATGGACACGGGTGATCCTTCCAGTTGTCGTGCACAATAGACGTAGGTTGGGCGAATCCTCAGGCACGGTGCAAGAGAGATCCGAAAGCTACGTGTATATCTCACCCGGAGCTTGGGGAAAGGTAGTAAGGTGGCTCGCAGACACTGCGCTGCGCAGCAGATAAATAAGAGAAAAGGGCTGAAGCGGCTCGCTTCTGTCTGCTAGTTGAGTCTCGCAATCGCTGGACATTAATTTATGCATAAACTTGGAAAAGTTCAATCGTTTGATGAGGGTCTGGAGACCCGTGTACTCGAGAATTATTTTGGTAGCAGGCTTTCATCGCCCGAAATAATTAATATTTACAACTATGTGTCCCGTATGACGTGAGGTACGGAGTCCCCTGCTAATCCTTGGAAGCTTGCGTGAGATATTTGTGGATGAAACAAATTGGCTCTGGAGACATTGAACTGGTTTTATAGTTAGCAGAACCCGAAGCTGAAGACTGACCGGTGCGTTTGGCATTGCTGGAAAATAGTGGCGCAGCAAGATCACAGCCCTACAATGGGGTGTCAATGCTGAGGTAGTATTGCAGCCGTTTACTTCCTCATGCTGGTGGCAATGCCTTAATTATCTGGTGGAGCTGGAGTTGCAATTTGAGGACGCGCTGCAGCTTATAAGTTGCCTTCGGGCCCTAATTTGGAGTCATAGGTCCTGGTATATCCGCAAGAGGGCATTCCATTGTTATAGATATGCTAATGGCAGCACACTCGGTCAACACACTAGCTGGAGAAATTGACAGCGATGCGCTTCATCTGGAAAAGACCGTAGATCTCTCGCAGTCTACCGCTCTCTGCAGATTCTCAATAGAGGACAAGCAGATGTGTTTGTGAACATCCCAGAAAACCTCTTTTCAGACAAATGCTGTGAATTTCCGAACGCCAACGGTTGCTGGCAGCCGTCACCGGTGACGGTTCCAGCTTGCTAAAAAAAGCACGAGCCTTTCGGAGCATTATTGATGCAATGTTCTCCAGTGACAGAATATCGTTTCCGTGGCGGAGAGCTGATTTCTCAGGAGACGGTAGCGGAATATGATGGCCGAATTCCAACGTGAGGACCTGACCCTGGCCGTCGTACTTCAAACTGTTGATTGGTGCACGGGTGAATAGATCATTATCAAAAAATATATATTGAAAAAAAATATTTTCAAGCTAAATACATGAGTCTATTAGATAAACTGGCCGAGGACCCCCAGAGCGCGCTTGCTTCTGGGCTCGATGAGGCAAAACTGCTGACAGAAGCGAAACAACTTATAGACCCAATCGCTAAACAGCACTCTGTGCTAGACGAGATATATGTCGAAGGGCTCACGCCGTCCCAGGTTTGGGGCCAGATCAAGCTCGTTGTTGAGGGAGTGAACGAGCGTGTTTGGAGCGACGAGTGGGAAGACGTGGGGAGTGAGGAGGAAGAAGAGGGGGAAGAAGAGTGCACTGAAGATACAGAAAGACCAGAAACCGCGTCGGAGAACGAGAGCGAATCTGACAAGAGCACGTCTGAGAGTGACCAGTCCGAGGTCTATGAAAGTGCACAAGAAGGCGAAGACCTTGGCTCTGATGAAGAGTTTTTTGGGAACGTTTCTGAGAACGGCGAAAACGAGTCAGATACCTCTGTCGATGTGGCTCCGTCCAAGGATGCGTTTGGGCTGAACGACCAGTTTTTCTCGATCGACGATTTCAACAAGCAGGTGATGGCGATGGAGGAGGAGCAGAGCGAGGTCGACTTGGACGCTGAAGAGTCGTCTGACGAGGAAATGTATCATTATGACGATTTCTTCAAACCGCAGGTGGATCAAAAGGAGCAGAAGGAGCAAAAGACAGCCCAGCCGAAACAGAAGGCCGTTTCGTTTGATCTCAAAGAGGAAGATTATGACGCTGCGTTCGATTCTGTCATGGCCGATTTCAACAACACAAACGAGCAACTAAGTACCTTTGAAAAGCAGCAGCTCAAGTTGCAGCGCGAGATACAAGAGCTGGAGGCTGAGGCTATCAAGGAAAAACAGTGGCAGATGAAGGGAGAGGTGCGGGCCAAGCAGAGAGACGCAGACACGCTTTTGGACGAAGAGCTCGAGTTCGACAGGGCCGCGAAGCCGGTGCCTGTTATTACGCAGGAAACGACCGAGACGATCGAGGAAATCATCAAACGCCGCATCAGGGAGGAGAAGTTTGACGACCTACCCAAACGGGTTGTCTCTGAGCTTGCAGACTTCCGTCCGTCGAAAAAGGTCGAAGTGAGCGAAGAAAAGTCGAGCAAGTCTCTGGCAGAGCTGTACGAGGAGGAATATCTGGGCAAGCAGGACGACGCTGCCAGTGCTGAGCTGAAACAGGCGCACGACGAGATTAGTGTGCTTTTCGACAAGCTGAACCACCAGCTGGACTCACTTTGCTCTGCGCACTTCATTCCAAAACCTAAGGAAAGACAGCTGGAAGTCAAGGTTCAGACGTCGACCATCTCCATGGAGGACGCGCAGCCGCTGACGATGTCGGACGCGCAAACATTGGCTCCTCAGGAGGTGTACAAGCCCGTGTCGAAGGTCGGAAAGGACGAGGTGCTGCTCAAGTCTGGAGTCGTGATGTCGAAGGCAGAGCTGTCGAGAGAGGAGAAGCAGCGGCTGAGAAGAGCCAAGAAGCGGAAACAGCACAACGAGCGCAGGGAGGACAGCAAGAAGAAGCGCGTGGGGAAGGCCCAGCAGGTGTGATAATTAAAGTACTACTGATTAATCTGTAATGGCTGCGGTGGTGGCAGCTACGCCGAGGATTGCGGCGGCCACTATGACCGCGTGGTAGAACCAGGCGTTGGCCGGGCGGCACAGCCGGAGATAGAACGCGCAGGGCAGGATGATGCAGATGATGGTGCAGAGCGACGCGCCGCTCAGGCCAATAATCTTGTCGAATTCTGGGTAGACGATGGCGATCAGCACAAAGAGCATGTTGACGAGCAGCTTGGCAGCTACGCGTAGCAGTTTCTGGAAGAACGACGGCGACTCGATCTGCTGGGGCGAGACGCGCATCACAAACTCGAGAATGTTGATCACGGGCATCGCGTTGATCGGCGTCTTGGCTATGGGAACCATAGAGACGCACGCACTCACCAGCAGATACACGAAGTTCGGGTATCCCTTTGTGACAAGGACGGACTGCGTGATCTCGTTGAGGATTCCGGCGCCGAACATGGCGAAGCCGGCGATGGCCATGGTGGAGTCGGCGAGAAAGCCGACGGTGTAGGTGATCGAGAGACATTTTTGGAATTTTTCTGGCTCTGCCAGGTCTGACTTGAGAGCAGGGAACAGCGAATGCGACCCGAACGGGCCCAGAATGATGCCAAACGAGACCAGAAAATTGTGCAACGAGGCCGGGTACAGGTTGGTGGGCATGGGGTGGAGTAAGGAGCCCGGACTCTCTGGCTTGGCGAGCCCGATGAGAACGATGGTGATCACCAGAGAGATGGTGCACGTGATCCCCAGCAGGCTGATGCCGCTCAGCACGCGCAGCGAGAGGAACGAGAACGGCGTGAGCACGCAGAACGCCATGATCTTGAACTGGACGACCGAGATGTGCGGGAACAGCGCGTTCAGCGAGTCTGCAAATAGCACAATCAGAGACACGCCGACGCCCAGCAGCTCGATGGAGAAAAGCACCGAAACAAAGAGCCTGCCCTTCGCTCCAAACGCCTTGTAGCCCAGATCGGCGTATGTGCACAGCGTAGGGTCTGTGTCCATGCATTTGCTGAGCAGCGTAGCAGTCCAGTACGTAATGGAGGCAGAAAACACCAGGAGCGCAATTCCGCAGTACCAGCCAGAGTAGGTCATGGCCTTGGACAGCGCAAGCAGCCCGATGCCGATCAGCACGTTGATGCTGTTGAAAATGGTCTGTGGAACGGTCGACCGCGGCGCGATCATCGTCACCATCTTGCCGTCCCTGTCCTCGACCTGGCGGAAGGTGAGCGAGTCGTCTGCGGTGAGAAACGACGCCGCATACGAGTGCAGCGAGTTGGTGCGCGAGAGGTCCAGGTAGCTGTGGTCGGCAAACGAGGCGTCGTCGACGGCAGCCTCGTCGAAAACAGACGAGTCGGCGATCGGCCTGTTCTGCAGCACGGTCGAGATCTTGTGGCCGACGGCGGACGGGGCCATTGTTTCTGGGTCGATCAGCTCCTCGTCGTCCTGGAAATACGAGCGCGACGCCCTGAACCGCGGCTCAACCGACCGGAACGACTGCGCACGGTGGAACGAGGACGCAAAACCGGACAGCGAGTTCGACGTCTTGTAGGACCCGAGCGGCGAGTTGAACATCATCGACCGCCTGGGCATGCTGCCGCGGTTCGGGATCGGGATCGCGCCGTACGCTGTGGTTTTCGCAGAGGGCGAGTGGTTCGAAGCAGACATAGACGTTATCTTATTTTTCTGTGCGCTGCATAGAAAGATTGGATTATGTAATGCAGAGAACAGAAAAGGGGCCTGATTAAAACGGTGTGGCTTTGTCCATGGTAGCAAAATGAGCTCGCAACTATCTTGGTATGGCAAGAAGCGGTGGACGATGCCAGTATGTTGAGCGGACAATATATGGTTCTTCCAGCCGGTTAAACTTCTTCTGCCTCCACTAGCAGCCAGGGATAAATACCAGGGGCCTAAATCTGTCTAAACAGCGTCACTTCGTGCACCGAGGCCACTGGCGGTATCGCATAGAAAACACATTCACGCTTCATAGTTGGCCCCATCAGCAAATTCTGCTGCCTCGCTACGCATTCCATGTATCGCGGAATTAAAATTCGCACTCTATAAATTCGCTATAATTCTATGCGAGGGGCTGCGGAACAACATCCGCCAGGCCCTTGTATTTCTCCGGGTCCTCTCCGTGCTTGGGAAAAGTGATGTATCCGTCATTGGAGAAAATCTTGTAAAATCTGGACCTGTCGTATGGTGTCAGAGTGAGACCCCTCTTGAGTCGGTCTGCAAGATCCGGGTTCGAGGTGTAGTATCTCGAAACACCAATCAGTGTTCTGTCGTTCGCATTGACGTCCTCCTCGATGAACTTCGAGTTCTGGTTCAGGTAGGCACCCGATCTCAATAGCACGCCCTTCCAGATCTCGGAGATCCACGAGGTATTGAACTCTCTTTCGTCCTTGCTGTCAAAAATACCGTTCACCCTTGGCTCCACTACGGACACGTAGGCCAGTCTCTTGCCTTCCTTTGCTCTCCTTTCCAGCTCGCTGAGCACGTAGCCGATGTACGAAATCGGGTGGATTTCGGCATCCACGCCCTCAAGACCCTGGACAGCAGCATACGGAGACAGTCTAATGGCCACGTGCTCGGCTCCGACAGCCTCTACACAGGCATCCACCACCTCCAAAGTCAGCCGAGCACGGTTTTCGATCGAGCCACCGTACTTGTCGGTGCGCTTGTTGATGTTTGGCTGGATGAACTGGTCGAGGAGATAGCCGTGTGCGGCGTGGAGCTCGATAAAGTCCGCCTTGGCCTCGAGAACGGCTCGCTTGGCAGCAGCGGCGAAATCTTTCACGATGTCCTCGATTTCCGGAATCGTCAGCTCTCTGAGCTCGTTGCCCGCCTCCTTGGCGGCCTTTTCAGACGCCTCATCCATGTACAGCTTGGAAGGGCCCACCAGCGGCACGCCTTTGGATTTGATGAACTGGGCGTTGGCCGTTCTGCCCAAATGCCACAGCTGGATGCTGAGGTAAGACCCCTTGTTGTGCACAGCCTCGATGATCTGTCTCCAGGCCTCAACCTGCTGCGGAGTCTTGATCATCGGCGCGTTAGGGTGCGGACCGAAGCTGTAGTCGGGACAGGTCGCCTCGGCGACAAGCAGGCCGCCGTTGTTCTCTGCTCTCTGCTCGTAGTACTTGAGCATCGAGTCGGTTGGCACAAAGTCGGCAGTGGCCCTTTGCCGGGTTGTTGGTGGATACGCGAGCCTGTTTTTAAGCTCGACGTTTCCGACTTTGATTGGTTTGAAGAGGTTGCTCTCGGCAAGCGATTTGATTTGAGACATGTTAGGAACTCACGAGGAAGTGCACGCCATTTTATACTGCTGAATTATTAAGCACGACGCACAGATGAAAGATTTCCCCGATGCTACTACATGCATATAACGTTTTTCTGCCCCGCTCTCTCGGCGAAAATTTGCCGGTGAACAATCACTAAAAGAAATTTATTGACGTATTTTATCTATGCCAGAGCCTTCGGAGGTACGTCGGCCAGATCCTTAAGTTTTTCCGGGTCCTCACCGTGCTTGGCCCACGTCAGGTACCCGTCGTTAGAGCCCCTCTTGTAGAACCTCGATCTGTCGTAAGGAGTCAGAGGAATACCATTTTTCAGTCTCTCCACCAAGTCGGGGTTCGAGGTGTAGTATCTCGACACGCCGATCAGGGTTCTGTCGTCCTTGTTGACGTCGGCGGCGATATACTTGTAATTCTCGTTCAAGTAGGCACCCGATCTGAGCAGAACGCCCTTCCACACCTCGCCGATCCACGACACGTCGAACTTGCGCGTATCGGGGTTGTCCTCGGAGCCGCTCACACGTGGCTCCACCACAGACACGTACGCCAGCCTCTTGCCCTCTTTGCCTCTTCTCTCCAGCTCGCTCAAAATGTAGCCCCAATGAGCGATCGGGTGGATTTCGGAGTCGACACCTTTTGCGCCCTGGAACTTGGCATACGGCGACAATCGGATGCCCACATGCTCTGCTCCCACGGCCTCAATGCACGCGTCAACCACCTCCAGCGTGATTCTTGCCCGGTTCTCAATTGAGCCACCGTACTTGTCCGTTCTCTTGTTGATGTTCACGTGATTGAACTGGTCCAGCAGATACCCGTGTGCGCCGTGGATTTCGATGAAGTCGGCCTTGGCCTCGTGGATAGCCCTTTTGGCCGCCGCGGCGTATTCTTTCACCACGTTTTCGATCTCCGGGACCGTCATGGCCCTAAGTTCAACGCCAGCCTCCTTGGCAGCATTCTCCGCCGCCTCGTCTAGGTGGAGGGCGGACGGAGCCACCAATGGCACGCCCAGAGCCTTGTTCAGCTTTGGATCGGCTGTTCTTCCCAGATGCCACAGCTGGACGCTGAAATAAGACCCCTTGTTGTGCACAGCCTCGATGATCTGTCTCCAGGCCTCAACCTGTTGCGGAGTCCTGATCATCGGCGCATTCTCGTAGAGCCCGAAACTGTAGTCGGGAAAAGTAGCCTCGGCAATCAGCAATCCGCCGTTGTTCTCGGCTCTTTGCTCGTAATACTTGAGCATTGAGTCCGTAGGCACGAACTGCTCGGTTGCTCTGAACCTCGTAGTTGGAGCGAAAACAAGCCTGTTTTTAAGCTCGACCTTGCCGACCTTGATCGGCTTGAAAAGATTGGTGTTTGCTAGTGATGGAGTTGGCCACATGACGAGGCAGGTTTCCAGCTGCACAACCTTATATACTATAGTATTACTAAGCCAGATGCAAAAGAAAGCTAGAAAAATAAAGATTGCATGTAGGAGAGCTTAATTGCAGAAAAATCTCGAGATTTCCAAGTCGATCGTCGTGGGGGCGGCGGGGTGCGATACGGTTGAATTTCTGCAATTGGGGCGCAAGACGAGGTCCCGCCTCACCTGTGCACCATACGAACAGGTCTGCGTAGCCTGGCAGGAGCCCGTGAATGTCGGCTTGCCTCGCCCTGTTTTGCAGTACGTGCATCGCAGCTGGTTTTCTGGAGTGGGCTATGTTGATTGCTCGCCACATCTGGCAGTGGCGTGCTACACGTCAGTGGTGTTTATCTGGCCGGAGAATGGTTCTTTTTACGCTCGTCAGTACGGTCCATTTGCCTCGCAGATAGCTGCGATATTGTTTCATTGCAAGTTTTAGTGGGTTACAAAACAGAGACCTGTAATATCGCCGCAATAGCGACATCGTCCTGGAACAGTAGTCCACCGAGACAGCCGAAGTTGGTTCCGAAGGCAGTTTCAATGAACTTGCGTTGGTGGTCGTAACGGAAGAAAATTAGACGACATGAGGTAGCCTTTGAAAACCAAAGCCATTCTGGGGCACAAAAGTTCGCGTTGGGCTCCAGTGTGTCGTGCGGCAGGTTTCTGCTTCTGCTTCCGCAAATTGTGCCGTCCGAGTAGTGCGCATGTCGTTGACGCATGTGGAAGCCTGCCACAGACTGACGCCGGAAATGCTCGGATAATTGCACTGCCAATAACACCCCCTGCATCGCCACAGCTATCTGCAGCCTGTCTGATGTCCTCGCGACGGCTCCGCCAATTGCCGAGACGTGGGGTGCAAGGGTGTGATCAAGAAACCGGTATTTTTTTTTCTTGTCTAATTCAAATTGAAAAAGATAAACACCCAATGAAGGTCCTAGTGTACTTGATGCTGGCATGCCAGCTGGCGGCTCTTCCGGTGTTGCCATCGCAAACGTCTCTAACGGAAGCTGTTCCGTCCCAGACACCAGTCGTTTTGGAGAAGCGGATCAAGAAGGCGATCGTGAACAAGGAGTACGCAGAGAGAATGCAGGGCAAGGGTCTGGAGTCGACCAAGACGACCGAAAAGCCGGACCCCTGGCTGCGGACAATTTACGGGAGCATTCCGGAGATCGTCACGCCGACCGTGATTGGCGGAATCACGTTCAGCGCAAAGCCTCCTGCCACGACTGACGGGCTCGAGCCGTGGGTGTCTCTCAAGAAAGACGGCTCTCCAAAGACAATCCGCCCCAAGATGAAAAACGGAAAAATCCAAAACGGCCGCCCGGACCTGAAAACGTACTTCCAGACGGCCACCACGGTGACATACAACAAGGAGCAGCTCAAGGCTCATAATATGGCCGAAGACGAGGTGTTCACCGAGGTGATCTGGCAGCCAGAAGACGACACGTACGTGTCGCTGAACCCGCTCATGAGGTGCACGCCTGACTTCTACTACAAGAAAGGAGTTGCGCGGGAACTGAGCTCGGAGCCGTTCTGCTCTCCGCATGAGAACCAGAGACTGTACGTGGGGAAGACGTACTTCCTCACGTGGTTCACGCGCTACTTCGAGGACGCCACGAACGTGCGGATCCACTACGCGTTCCTCAAGGAGTCGGCCAAAGAGCAAGGATTGGTCAAGAGAGACCTGGTCGACCTGGGGCCTCCGGTGAAGCCCAAGTCGAAAAATATTCATCACTCGCAGGAGCACAGGGGAGGCGCTCTTCCAGGCACTTTCTTCTCGTCCGACTGGTTCTTGAACAGGGACGGTTTCTTCCCTATTGAGGTTCTGGACACTTGGCTTGGAAAACAGCAGAGTAAGGCCGTTCTCATTGCGGTTCAGCCAGACACCGTGGACGACGAGGAGTTCAATCTGATAGAGTCTGCTCACGTCGTGGTGCATTTCCAGAAACGTGCGGTGGTGGCCAAGAACAGCAAGATCGACAAGGAGCTGCAGGACCGCACGGGCTCCAGCGACAACGTGTACTACGTGATCATGTCTGCGCCTACGGTGGTGATCATAGCTGTGTTTGGGATGTACGTGTTCCTGTACATCAACAGAAAGCACAGAGACCTGTCGCACTTGCGCAAGCCGAAGCGCAGTCGGTACGGCAACCAGGGAAAATACAACGAGCTGTACGCCGAGACAGATATCCGGAAACCTAGCAAGCAGGTGTAGTAGTAATGGCGAAAAAAAAATTAATTTTATTTTATTTATTTTTTTATGGACGCCTCCACGTTATTGGAACAGTACATGCAGGACCTGTCAAACCTGCCGTCCGAGCTGGCGTATTTGCTGGAGGAGCTGAGGGAAAAGGATCTGAAGCTGTATGATATACGGAAACGCATCAGCCAGCGAGATAACCAGCTCTTTAAACATATCAAACAGCAGGGCTCTCTAGTCAAGCATCCGAAGGAGGACCAGATATATCAGAAAAACAGAGAGGATTTCGAGAAGGGCAGCAAGATACAGGAGGAGAAGTGTGTTTTGGCGAACACCGCGCTGTTTCTCCTGGCAAAACACCTGACCAAGCTGGAGAACGACATCGAAAAGCTCGAACAAGAGGGCGTGGTGCCGCCGATCTTGAACGAGGAGTCGTCCGACGAGGAGGACGCCGAAAACGGTATGCTGGACATGCTGAGCTCGCAGATCTCGAGCACGTCGCTCGACTCGCTCGGGTCTGTGCCGCGCAAGGGCCGGCTTCCGCGCAAGTCAAGACACTCCACGCCGTCGAACGTGTACATGGGCAACTATTCGGGCTCGATGCTGGGACTACGAAACAGAATGACATCCGAGGAATTGAGCGATATAGAAATGGAAGACATGATGATACGAGCACCGCGCAAGAAGAACTCCTTGCTGGAGCATGGGGCGTCCGGCACAGTGACCATTCCGAAGGCCCCGAACCACAATTCCAACGAGGAGGACGAGCTCTACTGTTTCTGCCAGCAGGTCTCGTACGGGAACATGATTGCGTGCGACAACTCCGACTGCAAATACGAGTGGTTCCATTACGACTGTGTCGGGCTCAAGGAGCCTCCACAGGGAATCTGGTACTGTCCAGACTGTCGCAAGGACATGGAGCTGGGCCGCAAGACTGAGCGGCGGCGGCGTGAACGCTAACTCCGCGTTTGCCAGGCATCTTTAAGCTGTTTCTGGCTGACAAACGGCCGCACGACAAGAATCGAAGCAACGAGAACCGCGATCGTCGCCAGCAGAGTCGATTTGCTGAAGTCGCCTCGCATCGAGTCAAAGGAGCTGGATGGACGCACCAGCGTCGCAAACAGGTCGGTTCCTGCCCCAACAACGAGCGTCGTGGACTCCAGCTCTGTCGGCACTGAAACTAATTTGCTGGTGGCCATGAGTTTCCTGTAATGAGACAGTGTGAGTTTGGGGTTTACCGGCAACACGGGCTGGTATTTCATCAGCATCTCCTCGGGCTCTTTCTTGCTCACGGCGAACGGCCGTCTGGCATTGGCCAGCGTGCGAGGAATGGCGACAATCTCCCCGGAGCGAAGCGCCACGATCAGCCATTTGGAGGCTATGTTGTATTTTGTCCGCGTCACAGTCATGGCGGCCACTTGCGAAGGGAGAAAGTATGTGCGCACCTGGTGTTCCGGGACTTTTGATCTCTGGTCAGGAGTGAGCGACTCATACAGCTCGATGACGCCTAGGAGACTGGTCTCTGCGTTTTTCTCGCTGGTGGTGAACACAATGAAGTTCTCCTCAAACACCAGTTTCAGCGACTCTGGGTTCTTTGTGGAGTGCTCGAAGGATGCGTATGTCTGGTTTGTGGCCTTGTTGTACACCACAAACTTGAGAAGAGCAGCGTCTTCGTTGTAAAACACACCAACAGACGTTTGCGGGTTCAGGTACTTGTACAGAACTCTGCGACTGGCCAAAACAACGGCAGGAGACGCCACTTCAGTGTTGTTATATCCTCTGGCAGCTGTTGTCAGGAGACGGTACGAGCCGTCCAGATTTGGGGGATACAGCACTTGCTGTTCCTCGTTCACGTCTGTCTCCAGGAGCTTTCCGTCCTGTACTGCATATACTTTCTCATTGGCAGCGTATGCCTGATTATCCAGTTTGAAAATGCGGGAAAACCCGTGCTCCTTGATACTCCACTCGAGATGGCCGTAGCTGTCATATCCGTAAAGATTTCCGTTTCTTGTCAGCACAACAATCGTTTTGTTGAAACCAAAATGCTTGTCGGTGTCGGTGTGCTGCTCCTTGAAGAGCAAATGCAAATTGTGCTTGACTCTATCGATGTAGCCGGACCAGTGCTTTTCGTGCTCAAAGTCTCCGAGCGACACGCTGAGCTCTTCGTGGCGGTCGGTGATTAAGATATCGCTGATCTCCGCCAGAGACTCGTCTCTGGCCCATACCAGCTCTCCTCCAACAAACAGCAGAAGATCGTCACCGGAGACAACAAAAACTGCAACCGAGCCGTCCACCGTGTCAGCCTCAATCATGTCGGCTGGTGAGTTCAGAGCGTGCGACTCAATAAGGCGGCTTGGGTCGTCCAGATCGTAAATTTGTATGTTTTCGTCCGCAGTCACCAAGTACTGGGAATTGACCACTCGTGCTGTTCTTCCGGCAACGGCAGCCACCGGCGAGTTCTTGTATTTTTGCAATTTGCCGCTCTCCAACTTGTATATGTCCTTGTTGCACACAATCCCCTCGTCTGTGACCAGAATGTCTTCAAACTGACACCCCAGACTGCCCTCCTGTCCGTCAAAAATCTTGTAGGCCGTTCCTGCTGAGCTCTTACTGACCAGCACCAATTGGTCAGCAAAGAACGCCAGTTTGCTGGCCTGAACAGGCCCGACGTGCGCAATGGTGCTTTGGCCGTAGTCTTTGTCGATTTGCAGCACAGACCCGTCTTTTTGCACGGCCAGCAGCGTTTCGTCGCGAACATTGTGGAGCCCGGCCAAACTGCCCAGATCTAGCTCGTGTTCAATGAGGCCGTCTTTCGTCCAGAAAACGAGGCGGGAAGTCGCTTCATGGTTGAAACCACAAGCAACAAGTCCGTTCCAGGCAGGAGCTAGCAGTGAATCGTGTTTGACGGGCGCGTCGCTTTGGTACCTGTACAAAACTTCGCCCGTCGACGAGTTCAGAACAGAGTATATGTTTTGATCAGTAAGCGAGTAAATTCGGCCGTCTTTGAACACAGACGCGAACGGCCTGCCTATTTGCACGGTTTGCCAGTCCACACGGAAAATCTCGTCGGCCGGGAGGCCACTGGCCAGTAACACGAGAAAGAAGAGAAAAAGCATGGAGTTTCAATGCGAAAATTCGAAAAAAATATTATTATAATTACGAATTGCGACTAGAGAGGCTGTAGTGTAGCGAGTGCCTTTTGTCTACTTGTATGGGATTGGAAATACGGAGGTAGACTCAGGAAAGAGAATTTGTTCCGAGCAGACTACACGATTGCCGAATCACTGGTCACTGTGTCGCAGCTATTTTTTATTTTTGAGTATTTTAATAATCGTGGTAAAAACATTTCTGGCCCGAAGAATACTACCTGCAGCCATGGCTACACAATGTCAGTACAGCTGCCTGGTGCCACGTTACGAGAACTAGAATGCAGCTGCCTAGTATCACTATCTTAGAATTTTTGAGCTCCAGATATTTGGTTCTTAGTGGAGCGGAAATGTCACCAATTAGGACTTCGTGGCCAAGCTGGTTTAAGGCATGCGACTGTTAATCGCAAGATCGTGAGTTCGATCCTCACCGAGGTCGTTTTTTTTGCATTTTTTTTTTTTTTTTCCTCCTATATTTCGGATGTAAAAAGTTTGCCGTAGTCCGAAAAACTAGATTCAGTCACAGTACATTCTCTGCTCTACAGCACATCTACCATAAATCATCATATCATTGCGAATCCATTAGTACTATTAGTTCTTCTTGTAGCTGATACTGAAGAACTCGCCTCCAATATTACTCTCGAACAGCTGGCTAAAGCTCTTGGCTTTGTTGCCATTTCTGATCTCGTTCATGATCTGCTTCTCCTTCTCAGCTCCGTAATTGAGCTTGGCTTTGAGATCGTCGGTCTCGGTGCTGTTTTGCTGGTCTTGTTTTCCGAACATAGCGATAAGTGATTGCGAATAAAGGGAACTGGGCGAAAGATGAGGACGGATTTAGTCTGTATTTATTATATGTCGATGCACGGCGCTGTAAAATTGAGATCTAGAAAGGTCACTAGTTACGGAAAAAGAAACGAGCAGTCCACATAATTATTTTTACTTTGAGAGCTGTGCCGGCTTAGATGCAAACTCCGATTCGGGTTGGGCAAGAAGGCGAAACGTGGCACCGTAGACAGAGACCAATTTTAGTTGGTCCGGAAGCTACTGCGATCTCGGCTTCTTAGTTCTTTCTCGAGTTAACGGTGCCCATTCCTCTTTAGGGGTGAAATAGAGGGGTAGTGAACCGCTGGTCATAGATCGCACGGGTGGGGCCTGTCCCGCACTCGCTTTTTAGAAATGACCGCAACTCCGTTATCTTCGGTCGGACGCATGGAGTGCAAGGTTGTGGGACAACGAGAAAAAGAAGCCGAGATTTTGTTCGTTTTGGTGCAAAGTTGTGCGCTGTCCGTCGGTATGAAACACGGGATTCAACAATATTCGCACGGGATTCAAAATATGCACAAGCAGCATACACTCCGGTGACCGATTTACTCATGTGTGACAAGCAATAGTTTCGGGATTCCAAGTATGCTAAGCTCAATCCCCGTGCGTCCCCCGCCAACGTATAAATACCGCCGGCTTTTGCCTAATGTCTCTTACTATGACTGAGAAAGGAACTCATACTATCGAGTTGGAAAAGGCCTCTGAGAAGGAACTTGTTGCTATGATCACCAAGCTGGCCAACATCCTGGAGGAGAAAAGAGAGGCGGCTGGTGTATCCGAGACAGACACCGAATGCGGGAGGAAAGGCCATAAACAGAAACACCGACACCACTCAAGGAAAGAATTCGAAAAACTCGGGCGCGACTTTAGTTGCTTGGGCAAGTATGAGGGCTTTGGACAGTCCGGATCCCCACCATCGTTTCCTCGTCCACCACATCTTTTTGCTGGGGGTGCTTTTGGAACGCGTGGGCTCCGCCATCCTCCACCTCCTCTGCCTGGATACCTCCCACCCAGCTTCTTTGGCTCGTGTGGTTTTGGCTGCAGCAGACCACGGGGAAGAGGTAGAAGCAGAACCCCCCACTTCAGACACGGCTGCCACGCGCGCTCACCTCCGCCACCCCCACATGCGTTTTGGCATCGCCGCTACTCCTCAGATACTCCTGCCTCCGGAACACAGACAGAATAGGAAACCGCGAAAACATCCCAAAAAACTCTAATTTATGCAACCACAATATCTAACAAGAGAAGCTATGCGCCCAAACAATACGCAGCCACGCGATCGCTAGAAATCCAATATGTATATACTTATAATGTAGAAAAAGAGTCACCTGTGTACGGGTGTCTAAAAACATTTCACTGCCGCTTTATTTACGGAGGAGCCTATGTATGTCAAAAAAATTGTACCCTTTTGTTGTTCAGAGTGCATGTAAAAAGGCGTTAACATCTGGCGTATACCAAATTCAGAGCCGGTGTAAAGATGTCTAAGCACAAGCTGACCCATCCGGAGCTGTCCGAGACCCCGTCGCAAACGCAGTCGTCCGGTTCCAGGCCCTCCACCCAAGCAAGCAGGGAGTTTGGCAGGGAAATACTCATGAAGCCCAGCACCTCTGCGCCTCCCAAGATAATTATGCCTGCGGGCTCTGACGGCGCAGACGGCTCGTCGGGAGTTGTGCTGCAGAAGAAGCGTCGTGTTGTTCGCGCGTGCGACCGTTGTCGAAAACTGAAAATCAAATGCTCGGGCGACCAGCCCTGTATCCATTGCACGGTCTACAGCTACGAGTGCACGTACGACCAGCCCAGCAGGACCAAGAGGAAGACTGCCGCCGGCAGCGCGGGGCTCCATTCAGGCACGGTTGCCGGCTCGCACCCCTCCAGTCTGCCCGCCAATAATTTAGAGATGATGGCCAGATTGACCGACAGACTCAAATTGTACGATGATATCCTGCACAGGCTGCTGCCCGACATCAAACTGACCGATCTGAACGACAACCCGAAGCCTATCAACCCGATGAAGTTGCTCACGGCGATGAACAGACTGCGCGAAAAGTCGTGCGACGACTCCAAATCCTCGAGCAAAGCAATTGCCGAGGAGTACGAAAGCCTGCCCGATATGCCGGTGCCGCCGGTGCCCAACGTGTCGAAGCCGGCGCCGCCGGTGACGGCCGTCAAGGCGCACGAGTCGCCGTCCGAGCGGTCGCAGTTCTGCGGCCCCCACCAGGGCATCGACGGGTCGTACGAGTCCAGCATGGGCAAGGAGATCAAGATCATTCTGCCGTCGCGCGAGGTGGCCCTGCGGCTCATCACCAAGACCTGGGAGAATGCATGTGTCCTGTTCCGGTTCTACCACCGACCCGCGTTCATTGAAGACCTAAACGAGCTGTACGACACCGACCCGGGCCAGTACACCAACAAGCAGCAGCGGTTCCTGCCGCTGGTGTACTCTGTGATGGCCTGCGGTGCGTTGTTCCTGAAGAGCGACGAGCAGACCAACGGGTCGAAAAACGGCGAGCCTAGCCCCGAGAACGAGTTATTCGAAGACGAGGGCTACCGCTACTTCATTGCCGCGCGGAAGCTGATCGACATCACCGACACGCGAGACACGTACGGTATCCAGACGATTGTGATGCTCATTATCTTTCTGCAGTGCTCCGCCAGATTGTCCACGTGCTACGCGTACATCGGCATAGCGTTGCGAGCTGCTCTGCGAGAAGGCCTGCACCGGAAACTGGACTACCCTTTCAATCCTATCGAGCTGGAGATCAGGAAGCGGCTTTTCTGGACCATCTACAAAATGGACATCTATGTGAACACGATGCTGGGACTGCCGCGGACGATCAGCGAGGACGATTTCGACCAGGACATGCCGATCGAACTGGACGACGAGAACATCACCGTTGACGGCTATCGGTTCGAGAAACAGGGCGACCGTCTTTCCAGTTCGGGAATAGCCAACGCGCACACTAGACTGATCTTCATCATGAAGAAGATTGTCACCAAGTTGTACCCTATCAAGCCGCGCAAGGTGGAGAACGGACGGCGGCCCGACCTCATGACCCACGACATTGTTTATCAGCTGGAGATCGACCTGCAGGACTGGATGAATAGCCTTCCTCTGGAGCTCAAGCCGGGAGTCGAGCCTTCTAGCGAATGCCTCAAGGCTAACCGGCTGCTGCACATTTCGTACCTGCACGTCAAAATTATTCTGTACAGGCCGTTCATCCATTACCTCTCGTCAGACCACATGAGCAGACCGAAGTCTTCGAACGACCTCAAATGTATCGAAAAAGCAAAGAACTGCATCAATGTCGCGAGAATTGTCGTCAAGCTTGCCGAAGACATGATCAACAAGAACATGCTCAGCGGGTCGTACTGGTTTTCCATCTATACCATATTCTTCTCTGTCGCGTGTCTAGTTTACTATGTCCACTTCGCGCCGCCAATCACTCCTAGCGGAGACTTCGACCCGGAGTACATCGCCATCAAGAAAGATGCAGAGAGCGGGAAACGCGTGCTGGACATTCTCAAGGACAGCAGCATGGCGGCCAGAAGAACTTACAACATCCTCAACGCGCTGTTCGAGGAACTCAACCGCAAGACGGCGAACGCCAGCATCAACCACGAGCCGCCTAACTCGCAATTCCTCACACCGCAGGTGGGCAAGTCGCAGTTCGAGCGCGAGCAGAAAAAGGACCCGATGTTCATTCCTCTGCCTCCGTCCAACGTGAGACCTGCAGAGCACGCGCCGCAGCCTTTCAACGGGTACTCCAAGATGGAAAACTCCGAGATCAACAACATCGTCAACGGGGTCAACTTCATCGACGGAGTGTCCACGGGCATCAATCTGAATATCCCGTCCAACAACAGAAACTCCAGCCTGGAAGTCGATCCAGCGCCGTCCTCCGTGTCGCCGCCGGAGCAGTCAAAGTACAGATACGTGCCGGGACCGATGGACCAGCTGGACATGAAGATATTCGGCCGGTTCCTGCCTCCGTACATGCTGAACTCAAACCAGCAGTCGGCAGACACCACGCCGGAGACGGTGCCGTACCTGGACCAGTACCAGGAGCCAGAGCCAGAGCAGCCAGGCAACGATCTTTTTGGGTCCATTCCGTCTGGACTTTCGACGGTGTCTCAGTCGCAACACTCCAACAAGGGCTTCAACGGCATGCCTCCAAACTACCAAGCCTACCCCAAGCGGTACGACTTTGAGGATATCTTCTACAGCGACTGGTCTGCTGGGCCGTCCGGCGACTTCAACCGAAAATCCTGATTAATATTGACTAGGTAATCTACTTAACTAGCTTGCCAACCAAACCTATACTACAATACAAAAACACTCTATGTGTGACCATCCGCCAATATCCCATGACATTGCCTAAATTCCCTGTGTTCCCTGCAGCGATTCGGAGTTCTTGACGCCTCTGCCCCGGCCACGGATGCCTCTGTTGAGATTCTTGTATAAATCGGCAAAATACAGCAGCAGGTCTCTTTCGTTGGGCGGGAGCGCATCGATCGAGTTCCCCGAGGACGAGATGTGCGCCAGCTTGTTAGTCAGCTCATTCAGTGTTTTCATGTGGAACCTGTTCTGATGCGCCTTGAGGTTACCGAGCTGCGTGAAGCTCTTGTTGCAGTTGTCGAATTTGCACACAAAAGGCCGCAGATTGTTGTGAGTCAGCATGTGTGCTTGTAGATTCCCCTTTCTCGAGAACGACTTGTCGCAGACCTCGCATTTGAACGGTTTTTCTCCCGTGTGCAGCCGCAGATGCGTTCTCAGGTTTCCGCCCTGAGTGAACCGCTTGTGGCAGAACGAGCACTCGTACGGCTTCAGCCCGATGTGCGACCGGATGTGCACCTCCAGATGCGTCGACTGCGTGAACTTCTTGTAGCAGTACTGGCACTGGTGCTGTTTGTGGCCCCTTATGTTGGGCTTTTCCACTCCGCCCACCAGCTCCACCGGGTTTGGCAGCACAGAGTTGTTTGTGCCCCGGGGCCCAACTTCCTCCAAGATCGTGCCGTCCTCGGCCTGTTTAATGTCACCAGTTAGTCCCTTCTTGCGCGCCTGGATAACCAGCATCAATTGGTCCACCTTCGTCGCCCCGATCAGCGGCCGTCCGTCTTCTCGGTGGAGGGCCTGGCTCGCGGGAACAAGGTTGCCCATGCTGCCGTACTCCGGCTTCATCTGCGGAGCCACCGGCACCAGATTCGCCGACGGCTGCATATGTGCTTTTTTGCTAGCGGGCGACACTGCGCCCTCCATCGACACGCCTGTATTAGGCGACTCTGTAGGATACGTGTCCGGCCGCTTTCTGGCCGCCTCGTCGCCGTCTTTCTTGGCCTCCTCAGGCGGGACAGACTGGCCAACGTGCTGGGATTTCTGAAAACTCTGCGCACCGCTCTTTGTAGGGTCTGTGATCATGCGGGTCGGAATTGGAAGCACCGGCGCGCTCGAATACATGCTGCCGGGTCTTGAGTGTCCAGGCTGGAAATGTTGCTGGCCGTGCGACGGCTGCTGGTCCTGGTACGGGATGCTATCCAGCAGATCGCCATTCTGGTCGAATATCTTGTTCACACTGTCCCGTTTTAGAAAGCTGTCCACGTCGCCAACAGGAAGGTCGCTGTTGGGCTGGCTTATCGACGGGAATCGCCTGAAAAAGTGGCTGTTGCTCCTGGAGGCCGTGCCCGCCTGTGGAATCTGGTACTGTGCCTGATGGGACGCAAGCTGGGCCTGCTGTTGCTGTTGCTGCTGCTGCTGTGGAGTCATGAACGGCTCGAGCTGCTCGCTCGGCCGTCTCACGTAGACGCTGTCGGCGGAGCCAGGGTTGATGGCACGCTCCGACGAGTAGGGCTGGAGGAAGTTCTGCATCGAGCCGTTGTGACTTCCCGGAGGATACGCAAACGAGTACTCCCGCTGGATGTCGCTGTACGGGAAGCCCTCCGGCGGCGGCTGTTGGGAGGCCGCGCTGAAACTGCCCGGTGGGGCATTGGAGTCGAACGAGAACCGGGGGAAGAAGATGCTATCCTGGCGCGGAAAGAGGCCCGAAATCGAGTTGTTGTGTATCTGCTCAGCCCCCACGGTCGGGTTGTTGGGCTGGTAATAATCGTTGGGCACGCCGGACGAGCCCGCTAACAAGGAGTCCCGTCTATTGGCAAAATTGAAGGACGCCTCATCGGGGGCAGGGTTGTGCTTGCTGCCGGACTTGCCGTTTAAAGAGTCGGTCTGGGTGCCGTGTCCAGGGTCGGGTTGCTGGGATGAGTAGATCATCGGCATAAACAGAGACCCTTTGCTAGTATCAGTTATTCTTGCACAATGCCAATTTTACGTAAAATGTTTTGTTTTGGCTTGCAGGAGCAAGTTTAGGCTGATAATGTAAGGGATTACTAAGCAGAAAGGGGACGCGGGCGGGCGAGGAGCGGCGGGCGCTGGGAACAGGGCGGCGCACTGGTTCGATTGGCGCTGTGGCGGGCGTCGACGTCTGGTGCAGTCTGATTGTGTGGCAAGCACGAGCTTTATTCTGGAGAAGCCCCGGGCCCAGATTTGTCTAATATTTTTTTTAATAAAATAAATATTTTTTCCGAGTTTTCACCATGTCAGACGCACCGATGGAGGACGTGGTAGACGAGACGATGAGCCAGGACGAGGTGGATACCGAGAAGATCAAGCTGCTGCCCGGCTCGACCCCCGACGGCACGGCGGCATCGTTCCAGATCAGCGACGAGGACCACACTCTGGGAAATGCGCTGCGGTACATGATAATGAAGAATCCAGAGGTCGAGTTCTGCGGATACTCGATTCCGCACCCGGCCGAGAGCAAGATGAACATCAGAATCCAGACGTACGGCGGCATGAGTGCTGTTGAGGCGCTGCACAAGGGGCTGGACGATCTGGTGGACCTGTGCACGCATGTGGAGGACGTTTTCGGGGAAAAAATCAGTTCCAGAGACTACAGCACCGAGGAGCCGTAGGGGAGTGCTTTAGAGGGCTACATAGTGAGCCAGAGGCCAAACGTGTATTTTTAACGATGACTTAGATACGGTAGCTGTATTTCTTTTCCCGCTCCGGGTAAGTAAAATTTTTCTGCAGTAAGAAATAATTTTTTTATCAAATTTTTTTATCTAAACAAATTATCCCCTTTAACATGTCGTATACTAACAACAACAGGAATAGCTACCGGACGTATGGCGGTGGAGACAGAAGTAGGTTTGGCAGAGACGATCGCAATGGCAACTACGGACGCAGAGACGATTACGAGCTTGGTGCAAATTTGACCAAGCCTAATTTCGATCTGAATACTTTGCCCAAGTTCGAAAAAAACTTCTACAAAGAGGCAGAGGCGGTTGCTTCGCGGTCGGAAGATGAGGTGGCTGCGTTTAGAAAGGAGCACGATATGACGGTGTATGGAAGAGACATTCCTAGACCTATCACTTCGTTCGACGAGGCTGGGTTCCCAGACTACGTTCTGAAGGAGGTGAAGGCGCAGGGATTCCCTAGTCCTACCGCCATCCAGTGTCAGGGATGGCCAATGGCCCTCTCCGGACGCGACATGGTGGGAATTGCTTCGACTGGTTCTGGAAAGACCCTGTCGTACTGCTTGCCGGCTATCGTGCATATCAATGCCCAGCCCCTTTTGCAACCTGGCGACGGTCCGATCTGTTTGGTTCTGGCCCCAACGAGAGAGCTGGCTGTGCAGATTCAAAAGGAGTGCTCCAAGTTCGGGCGTTCCTCCAGAATCAGAAACACCTGTGTCTACGGTGGAGTGCCGAAGGGCCAGCAGATCAGAGACCTTGCCAGAGGAGCCGAAATCTGTATTGCCACTCCTGGTCGTCTTCTGGACATGCTGGACTCTGGCCGGACAAACCTGAGGCGTGTGACGTATCTGGTTCTGGACGAGGCCGACAGAATGCTGGACATGGGATTCGAGCCCCAGATCCGCAAGATCGTCGACCAGATCCGTCCAGATAGACAGACGCTGATGTGGTCTGCCACCTGGCCGAAGAGCGTCCAGACCCTGGCCAGAGACTACCTGAACGACTACATCCAGGTCAACATCGGTTCTTTGGACCTGGCCGCCTCGCACAACATCAAGCAGATCATCGACGTGTGTTCCGAGTACGAGAAGAGAGACAAGCTTGCCAAGCACCTGGAGACTGCGATGCAGGACCCGCAGGCCAAGGTGATTGTCTTTGCTTCGACCAAAAGAACGTGCGACGAGATCACGGCGTACATGCGGAGCGAGGGCTGGCCAGCGTTGGCTATTCACGGCGACAAGGAGCAAAGGGAGAGAGATTGGGTTCTGAGCGAGTTCAGGTCCGGACGGTCGCCTATCATGGTGGCCACGGACGTGGCTGCCAGAGGTATCGGTAAGTTTTCGCATGGGAAGCGCCCCGTGCCGCTTTTCGCTTGGCTACACTTTGGTATAGAAATATATTCGAGTTGGGCGGAAAGCACTTGGTATTCGTAAACTAACGCATTAGACGTCAAGGGAGTCACCACGGTGATCAACCACGACATGCCGGGCAATGTCGAGGACTACGTCCACCGGATTGGAAGAACGGGACGTGCTGGCGAGAAGGGAACGGCCATCACGCTGTTCACAGAGGGTAATTCCGGCCAGGCCCACGACCTCATCACCATCCTCAGAGAGGCCAAGCAGGAGATTCCTCCGCAGTTGCAAGCGTTGGACAAGAAGGGTAACAGAGGCAATGGCTATGGCTATGGCAGAGGCCGCGGAGGATATGGCAGAGGCCGCGGAGGCTACGGCAGAGGTGGCCGTGGCGGAAGAGGCGGCGCGCGAGGCTTTTCTGGCAGCAACACTGCACCGCTGGGAAACAGAAGGTTCTAATAGATTATAGATCCGTTATACAGTTATTCGTTATTTTGAGAAAGTAGGCCTGAGTCTGCTGGTTCTTCGGGCTGTTCTGACTGTTCTGACTGTTCTGGCTGTTCCTGCTCGCTTTTCGGCTGCGCCACGCGCGGGATGTTGGACGCCAGATACATGGTGTTGGTGAGCACCTGGAGCTTGATCCAGGGGTGGTTTTCAAACCAGTACTTCTCCACCACGTCAGGGTCCGTGAGGTCCTCGTCCGTGTGGAACGCGCCAATGATCGAGCTGACCTCGTCCTTGCCGATGGCGTGTTTCGGCGCCGGCTGGTCGATCACCCGCTGCACGCGCGAGCCCAGCGTGGCCGCGTCTCTGAGCGACTCGGCGTACTGTTCGTGGTACTGGTTGAACTTGGCCATGATCTTGGAGTGCAGCACCTTCTCGACGTCGGCACGCGTCAGGTACTGCATCCAGATCAGGTCAAAGTACTGCGAGATGGTCATGGGCATGTAGTTTTTCGGGCCCAGCCAGTACGTGCTCTCCTCGCCGTCCTGCATGGCCTTGTCTCTGGCGAGACATGTTTCCACGTAGAGCGGGTTTTCGTACGGCCTCCATGCGTAGCTGAGCTCGTGCGAGCCGCCGAGAAAGAAGGCAGACCCGAGCACAATGCGTGCGAGCGACGACGAGTAACGGCGGAGCGCAGGCAGGCCTCTGAGCCGGGGGATGCGCACGATCAGCGCGGCGCCGACGTACGACTGCGCAAGTCCCATGAGCGCGCGCAGCGTCGTGCAGTCGTGCGCGGGCGCCAGCGGGCCCCACAGCGGCAGGTTGGGCAGGGCGTAGCGAAAACACCGTTTCTCGACTTTGTCCAGCAGGGTGTCGTTTTCGTCATGCAGCTTGCGGAATTCCCAAAACTCCACGTCTGTGTTCATTGCAATTGGGCGGTAGGAAGAATGCAGAGGGATGGGAATGGTATAAATAGAAGAGCTGAGGAGAAACGATTCGGTGCACAAATATTTCAAGTGAATTATTTCACCTACAATTTATTTAATTTGCATTTTTAATTCAGGGATGGGATTTTTAGCCTGTTTGTTTACCTTCTCAGTTATGAATCTGTTTGGAATATACTCATTTATTTAGAAGTGTCGAGAACGTATCTGCCCATGATCTTGCCCTCCTCCATCTTCTTGAAGACCTCTGGCAGCTCGGAAAGACCAGCAATCTGGAATGGAGATCTGACAAGGCCTCTGGTGAAGAAGTCGACGGCCTCGGTGGTGTCTTGTCTGTTACCAACGTAAGATCCCTTGATCTGGATGGACTTGACGACGTGCTCAAAGACAGGAGACTCGCAAACAGCGCCGGCTGGAAGACCAACCAGCACGACCTTACCGAGTGTTCTCACGTACTGACAGGACTGAGAGATAGCAGCTGGAGAGACGGAGACGTTGATCACACCGTGCGGACCGCCGTTGGTCATCTTCTGGATGGCAGAAACAATGTCCTTCTCCTTGGTGAAGTCGACGTAGAACTCGGCACCGAGCTTCTTGATGAACTCGCCCTTCTGCTCGCCGCCGTCGATACCCAAAACTCTCAGACCCATGGCAACGGCGTACTGGACAGCAAGAGAGCCCAACCCACCGGCAGCACCAGAAATGGCAACAATCTGACCTGGACGCAGAGCAGCAGTCTTCAGGGCCTTGTAGACAGTGACACCAGCACAGAGAATAGGAGCAACAGCAGCGAGGTCAGTTCCAGGAGGCAGCTTGGCGGCCTGGACAGCGTCGGCAGTAGCGTACTGCTGGAAAGAGCCATCGTGCGTGTAACCAGACAGGTCGGCATCAGGACAGTTTGGCTCGGCACCCTGTTGGCAGAACTCACAGCCCATACACGAGCCGTTCAACCACTTGATACCGGCCAAGTCGCCGATCTCGAAGTTCTTGACGTTCTCACCCTTGGCAACGACAACACCGGCACCCTCGTGACCACCCACAAGTGGGAGTTTGACCGGCAGTGGCCAGTCACCCTTCCAGGCGTGCAAGTCGGTGTGGCACACACCAGAGTACTTGACGTGGACCAGAATCTCGTTAGGCTTTGGCTTTGGAACTGGGATCTCCTTGTACTCAATTGGGCCGCCGTTGGTCTCGAAAACGCACCCCATCTGAGTCTTTGGGATGGTTGGAGCAGACGCAGTGGAGAGTCTGAAGACCTGCTGGACAACAGCAGGCTTGGCTAGCCGAGCGAATTGGTTTCTCAAAGCAGCAACTCTCGAAATGGACATCATGGTTGGCGCTGTTTTTGCAAACAGGCTGGATTTCCAGCGATATAAATTCTTGAGCGTTGGACGTCGATACACGTCTGCGGCACGGTCGGACACCCAATCACAACGGGCCAAAATTTACATCTGCATGATATACCCCGTTTTAGACACCCCACTCTCTCTACCGACACCCCCGCTGTTTTGGCGAGCCATGATTGGCCGCGAAAAAATTCCATGTCTGGACTCCGTCTCCGGTGCCAATCGTCCGCGGCTTGCAACTCCGTGCTCGTCATTGCTCCTGTGCAATCCGGCGAACAAAGGCTCCTTTAGCGCTGTTCCATCTCTTTCCCGAGCGCATTTTACAGCCACGGGGGGTGCGAGAAACCCCCCTCGTAAAATTGGCACACGGCACAACCGGGCGGGGGAAAATAGAAAAGGGGGTGTCTCTTGTACCCCGGATTCGGATGCTGCTTATCGCACCCTCACTTCGCCCGGCCGGCGCCCCCATCACGCTACATACTACAACCATCTATTCCGGACGGTTTTGACAGCTGTATTTGTGTGCTCAATACCATATACTGGTCCCGCTTCGAGGACTCACAACACGAAAATACCTCCCGCGCTTACGTAATCACTGCTCCTCGTTCTGCGCGTAGAAGAAGTTGACAGCAAGCAACTGCAGCTCGTTTTTCTGGCTCCACTCTTCGGCGCCCCATCCCGGGACACCCGTGCCCCAACAAGCGCGATCTGCAGGCGCTTCCGGCTCGACCCCTGGCTTCTGCTTGTACAGCAAGAACACGTATCTGTGCTTGCCGGTCTTTGGTGGAGGAGCAGGGCCCATGTAGGGGACGAGGACTTCGCCATTGAGGTTTGTCGTGGTCAGTTGCTCCTCTATCTGGGATATGTCGACCGACTTGTTAGGGTCGAAGTCGTTGAGCTTTATATTCTTCACAACGTAGTGGCAGTACTCCGACCACTTCTCGTCGCCCTTTGTCGGTGCGTCTGGATCGGTGAGCACCAGGGCGAATCTGTCGGAGCTCGAAATCGAAAAGTCCGGGTCAGTGTCTTTCGAAAGATTGAGTGTAAAGGCCAAGTCCGGCTTCTGCTGGGTCTCCTTGACGGCGAGCGTGTTTCCCATGGCGACTTCCTTGTCCGGGCCGTAGGAGATGATCAGGAAGCCTTTAGGAGTGAAGGAGTCGGAGTGGATGACGGTTGGGACGACCTCGCTCTTTGTCAGGGCGTCCTTGATGGAGTTGGAGATCGTGACTAGTCTCATTTTATTGTTTATAGTAGGACGGCAGAGTGCTGGTCTGTAGCTTAGAGCTGGTTTAGGAGCAAGATACGAAGAATATCTGAGAGAAACTAGTTTGGTGCCTCGATTAATTAATTGTCCCAGTTTTAATTGGGAGGCCATAGCAACTGAGGGGCAGTGGATAAAGATTTTCTTAGAAAATATTCGATGTAGGTGCGTATTATTCGAGAGCTATGGGTGTTACCAGATATTATTCAATGGTGCTATTCGCCAATATCGTAGGATAGTTCGTTCTGCGGTCATCTTGCTAGTTATGTAATGTAGATTATGGCGTTGCGGCCGCCTCAGGGTCAGTGCGCACCCCGCCCGGCCACCGCAGCTATCTCCACTTCTCGTCCTGGATGAACCTGATGAGCGTCGGGCTGCCCGTCTGCAGCAGCGGGTGGCCCGCCACGATGTTCAGGAACCGCTCGAGGCCCTGTCTGCGCTCCTCTATGAAATCGTCGTTGAAGCGGTTGTTGTAGTTGAGCAGCGACTTGTCCGGCAGCTTCGGGATGACCACGCGGGTGGTCTCCTGCTGGAGGATCTTGCGGAACGCGTCGAACTCGCTGAACCGTCTGCGCACCCGCGAGTACCGTTTCTTGAACGCAGGGATGTTGGTGCGGCACACGATCTCGTAGTCGGTGTACATGTTGGTCGACTTGTTGCCGTGCGTGACCGGGTTGACGACCTCGAGCTCCAGGAAGTTCTCCGGCTCGCCGTAGAGCTCGTCGAACGTCTGCTTGTGCTGTTTCGGGCCCAGGGACGAAAACGACTGGAACGGGTTTGGCATCGAAACGAAAATAAATAATTTGGAATAATTGCGAAATATTCACCCAAACACCCGTTCCAGCTCATCATGGCCTTCGAGGAATTTGGAGACCAGCAGTACGCCATGGCCCGCTACAGCGAGATGCCGACACACCTGGACGAGGAGGGCATAGGCGTCTCGGACGATCTGGAGGAGGAGCTCTCGCCCGAGAACGGCGAGGCGGACAACGGGCCGGAGAACGACGCCGAGGACGACTCGGACGAGTTCGGAGGCCCGTCCGGCGCGTTCAGCAACGTCGGCCAGGGCCTGAGCGGCAAGTACAAAAACATGATGATGCAGTACTGGCAGGAAACCATCAACTCGATCGAGCACGACAACCACGACTTCAAGAACCACCAGCTGCCGCTGGCGCGCATCAAGAAGGTGATGAAGACCGACGAGGAGGTCAAGATGATCTCTGCGGAGGCGCCCATCCTGTTTGCCAAGGGCTGCGACATCTTCATCACGGAGCTGACGATGCGGGCGTGGATCCACGCCGAGGAGCACAAGCGCAGAACGCTGCAGAAGTCCGACATCGCGGCCGCGCTGCAGAAGAGCGACATGTTCGACTTTCTGATCGACATCGTGCCCCGCGAGGAGGAGAAGCCGCGCAAGAAGCACTCGCAGCACCTCGCGAACCTGCAGAGCCCGATCGACCCGGACTACCAGATGCGCTACCAGCAGCAGTACATGCAGCAGGTGTACTCGCCGATGCCGATGCAGAAGGGCGACAACTACGAGTACTAGCCTCGGGGGCCCCGGTTACGTAACGGCTTATGTAACGAATTCGACGTATGTTCTGGCGACGCAGCCCGCCCGAGAGGTGCTAATTAATGCGCACGTGGGCAGCCAATTTTTTTTTTTACCCGCCTTCTGAACCCTTGCTCGTGTGACCAGTTTCCTTTTCAGTTTTAGTGCCAAGATCCTGCGTCATGAAATTCTCGCACTCTTTGCAGTTCAACGCCGTCCCCGAGTGGAAGGAGCACTATCTGGCGTACTCGGCGCTCAAGAAGCTGATCTACGAGCTGCAGGAGCTCGTGCTGGAGAACGACAACTCCAACGCGGCGTCCTCGAAGCTGGCCACGGCGCACACGTCCGACAACGACGCGCGGTCGAATCTCGCCGGGCTCGAGCTCTCCGGGGTGGCCAGGTGGAAGGTGTCGCTCATGGACAAGATGGGCTCTCTGAGGCGCAAGAAGGAGGAGTCGACGACGGAGACTCTGGAGCTCGAGTCGATTTCGGAGCAGGAGACGCTGGACCTGGCGAAGGTCGATCTGGACAAGGTGTCGCCGACGGCGGTGTTTGAGACGGCTCTGCTGAAGGAGCTGCGCAAGATCGACCGCTTCTACACCGCGCAGGAGAAGGAGATTTTCGGCGAGGTCGACCGGCTGCTCAGGGACCTGCACTACTACAAGGAGACGCAGGAGGACCTGCAGCGGGTGCGGACCGGCGACGTCGAGCGCGACGCGGGCGACGATGACGAGGACGACCTCGAGAGCACGACCGCGTTCTCGACGCTGCTGGGCGACCGCGAGCTGAACCTCTCGTTCCAGCACGAGGTGAGCTACAAAAAGCGCATTGTGCAGGCGTTCATCGAGCTGTCGGAGCTCAAGTCGTTCATCGAGCTCAACAAGATCGGCTTCAGCAAGGTGTGCAAGAAGTTCGACAAGGTTCTGGAGCAGCAGATCCGCGAGCGCTTTGTCGAGTCGCTCGGCTCGCGGTCCGAGGTGTTCAGCGCTGCCGCGCTCGTCAAGATCGACGACTACCTCGACGAGCTGGTGGAGGTGTACGCGGGCGTGACGCGGGACTCCACGGAGGCCGCGCGGGCGTTCCTGCGCAGCCACCTGCGCGAGCACATCGTTTTCGAGCGCAGCACCGTCTGGAAGGAGATGATCGGCATCGAGAAGGACAAGCACAACGCCAAGGGCTCGAGCGTGCTGACGGGCGACGAGGCAGAGCTCAAGGGCATGTTCCAGGTCGAGATGTACACGGTCGACGTGCCGTGGCTGCCGTTCCGGCTCGGCGTGCCGCGGTTCCTGTTTGGCTGGGCCGCGTTCAAGATCGCGCTGGCCATTCTCGTGGGCGGCGTGCTGCTCGGCGTCAAGACGCTCAACGACCGCACGCAGAGCAACTGTCTCGCCATCGTGGCCGTCTGCGCGATCCTGTGGGCCACAGAGGCCATCCCGCTGTTCGCCACGTCGCTGCTCGTGCCGTTCCTCGTGGTCACGTGCAACGTGCTCAAGGACGCCGACACCGGCAAGGTGATGGGCGCCGCAGACGCGTCGACCTACATCTTCAGCACGATGTGGAACTCGACGATCATGCTGCTGATCGGCGGGTTCACGCTCGCGGCCGCGCTGTCCAAGTACAACATCGCGCGCATCGCGTCGTCGTACATCCTGTTCTTCGCCGGCACGTCGCCGCGGCGCATTCTGCTGGCCATCATGGTGGTGGCGCTGTTCCTGTCGATGTGGATCTCGAACGTCGCGGCGCCCGTGCTCGCGTACTCGCTGATCGCGCCGCTGCTCAAGAGCCTCCCGACAGAGTCCGGCTTTGCGCGGGCGCTCGTGCTCGGCATCGCGCTCGTGTCGGACGTGGGCGGCATGAGCACGCCGATCTCGTCGCCGCAGAACATCATCGCCATCGAGACGCTCCAGCCACACCCGTCGTGGGGCAACTGGTTCTCGTTCTCCATCCCGCTGTGCGTAATCGGCCTCTTTGTCGTGTGGCTCGAGATGATCCTCACCTTCAAGATCAACAACGTCAAGATCAAGCCCATCAAGCCCATCAAGACCGCCTTCACCCTCAAACAGTACTACATCTGCTTCGTGTCCGTGCTCACCATCGTGCTGTGGTGCGTCGAGTCGCAGCTCGAGTCGCGGCTCGGGTCCTCCGGCGTGATCTCCATCGTGCCCATCATCGCCTTCTACGGCACCGGCCTGCTCACCACCACCGACGTCAACAACTACCCCTGGTCGATCGTCCTGCTCGCCATGGGCGGCATCGCGCTCGGCAAGGGCGTCAGCTCGTCCGGCCTGCTGCACACCATCGCCACGTCGCTCTCCGAAAGAATCCACACGTACCCGGCTATCGCGGTTCTGGCGATTTTCGGCGTGCTCTGCGTCGTGTTTGCCACGTTTGTGTCGCACACTGTCTCCGCGCTGATCCTGATTCCGCTCGTGCAGTCCGTCGGCCAGGAGCTCGGCGACGAGTTCCTGCTCGTGTGCGGGATCACGCTCATTGCGAGCGTCGGCATGGCGCTGCCCATGTCGGGCTTCCCGAACTCGATCGCCATCTCTATGACCGACGACCTGGGCAAGCGGTATCTCTCGACGAGCCTGTTCATCTCGCGCGGCGTGCCCGTCTCGCTCGTCATGTTTGCGATGATCATCACCGTCGGCTACGGCATCATGAGCAGCATCAGATAGAGAAATGCACGTTTGTAGAATCAAAAAAAAAAGCTCTGCCGTCCCCAGGAATCGAACCTGGGTCGCTTGTGCCACAAACAAGAGTACTAACCACTATACTAGAACGGCATATCAGCCGGAAAACCGCGCAGGTATCCCCTTGTCGCACGCACGGGCCTCCGTTCTGCCCCTGCCAGCTACAAATACTATTTTTATTTTTCTCTCGCCTCACTTATGGAGTACATATACAACCCGCACGACGGGATATACTACGAGGTCCGGCCGCTCCTCGAAGAGCGCGCCGACAACTACACGGGCTGCGTCTCGTGCCCCGCGCTGCCCCCCTGTCCCGCGTGCGACTTCACCGAACAGTGCGCGCAGTCGGCCGGATCCTGCTCCACCTGTCCCACGCGGTACTGCGCTAATATCACGTCGAGCCTGGTCCCGCCGTCCAGCACGCCGGCCGCGTCGAAGGGGCCGAGCTCGGCGAGAGTGGGCGGCATAGCGGGCGGCGTGGCTTCGCTGGTGTTTGTGATCCTGTGCGGCCTGTTTTACCTGCTCTACAAGAAGTGGTACAAGAAAAGGTACCCGCACGGCTTCTTCTACTACTACGAGGACGACGACGACGACGACAAGGAACAGCTCGTGGCGAGCCCGCGGCAGCGGCGAAATTCGCAGTCGACGCTCACGACGATGACCAACTCGGTGCTCACCAAGGCGTCGAACGTGATCAACGTGACGTACATCCCGGGCGTGACGATACGCAACGGCAGCGCCAAGCTCACAAGCAGCCGTGCAGGCGGGTCCTCCAACGGCAGCAACCGCGCGCTGAGCGTGTACTCGAAGGAGACGTACTTCAGCGACCTCGAGGCAGCCTCGATCCACGGCGGCAACGTGGTCACCAGAGGCGGCGTGCCGCGGCTGGTGAACGTCGAGGAGGACGCGTACGACTACGAGCCGCCCAAGAGCCGGTTTGTGCTGGAGGAGACGATCGAGGAGGGCGAGGACGAGGACGAGGACGAGCCACAGACGGACTCGCGGACCGGGACCTCTGGCGGCACAAATGCCGGGTACGGCCCGCTGTTGCTGCGCAGCAACGACGACGTGCTCGGCAGCAGCGACGACTCGGACCTGGGCGACTCCGACGAGGAGAACATCGAGTTTCTCACCACGCAGCACAGGAAAGAGCAGCAGCACCACGCGCGGCCCGGCGGCGACACTGTCTCGCTGGACATTCCCCTGGAGACGCTGGGGCGGGCCGACAGCAGCGAGGTGATCCTGGAGGTGGATCTGGACGTGAAGGACAGCGGGTCAAATCCGTTTGAGTCTCCTCTGGATTTGCAGAAAAAGTAGTTTGCGACTAAAATTTTCCACCTGTGTTGACAAAATAAAAAGTATTGTAAATAAAAACAAAAATCAACCGACTCCACAGCTCTCTTATTTGTTGGTCTGCAGCACCCGATTGGCCCAAAAGTGTTCTCTAACAAGCGCAGCATGAGCGAAAGAAAAAGGTTCATCAATGAGGATAATGAGGTGAGTACCGGCGCAGGGAACTTGCTAACACATCAGGTATTCGACGACCCCAACGACCTCATTAACCAGGTTATCAAAAACCTCGCGGTGCCCCCAGACAACATCCCGACGACCGTCTCGCGCGTGTACAACAACGAGCGGAATCTGAACAACGAGGTCCAGGCGTACGCCAAGATTGCCGGCAGAGACTGGACCTTCTACGTGAAGTCGCTGAAAGTGCTCATAGGCCGCAACACCGACTCGCACGGCGCCGACCGGCACGAGGACAAGGTCGACATCGACCTGGGGCCGTCGAAGGTGGTTTCGCGAAAACACGCGTCCATCTCGTACAATCTGGAGGAGAGACGGTGGGAGCTCGTGATTCTGGGGCGCAACGGGCTCAAGATCGACGCCCAGCGCATCAACTCCACGTCGAACGGCTCGGGGCCCATATTTCTCAACTCGGGCAACATCATCGACATCGGCGGCACCCAGATGATGTTCATTCTGCCCGACGCCGTGCCGGTGATCTCCAACTACTTCCTCTCCAACCTCAAGAACAAACGGCCCAAGTCGGCCGTTTTCAGCAACTCGAGTGCGTCGCTCTACTCCACAGACGTGTATGCCAACAACAACGTGAAGGGCTTCCAGATATACGAGAAATCCCCCGCAGCCAACGACCTCTCGTCGCCCGGGCACACCATCAAGGGCTCCGAGCAGGACTACTCCAAGGACGACGCCAAAGACCTCAAGCCGCCGTACTCGTACGCCACCATGATCACACAGGCGATCCTGTCCAATCCACAGGGCATCTTGTCGCTGTCGGAGATCTACGACTGGATAGCGAGCCATTACGCTTATTACAGGCACAGCAAACAAGGGTGGCAGAACTCCATCAGACACAACTTGTCGCTCAACAAGGCGTTCGAGAAAGTGCCTCGGAAGCCCAACGAACCTGGCAAGGGCATGAAGTGGCAGATCAGCGAGAGCTACAGGAAAGAATTCCTCAAGAAATGGGAGGAGGGCACCCTCAATAAAGTGAAAAGAGGAAGCAGCGTTTCCAGACAGCTTCAGATGCATCTCATCAAAAACAGAGGCCTGCCCGACTCCGGCCGCTCGGCCATGCCGGCCACCAACCCGACCGCAGACTTCAACATGTACAAACGGCCCGACCAGCCCTATTACGAGTCCAAACTGGCGTCCGCTGCACCGCTGCATCCCGAGCCCCACGAGGCCCTGAATTACATCACTGCTGCAGCAAGCTTGTCGAACAGCAGCGTCCCGCCAAGCAGCGCTCCTGGCTCTACGTCGGGCCCGTCGTCCGCCCCTAATCAGGTGCCCAAGCCGGAACTCTCGTCGCCCATCAAGCAGCTGGGCGCACCCGAGTACAGGACCAACTTCAACGGCTCTGTCCCGCCTCTGGCCGGCAGAACAGGCTCCCAGGAAACGCCTGGCTCTGCGATTAAGCCTCCTGCCACCAACGCATCTGCCTCGTCGGGCAATGCCCTGTTCCCGCCAGCAAGCCCGAAAAAATACCAAATTAGCGCGCTGGAGGCTTACACACCCGACAGAGGCACGTCACGCCACCAGCTAGACCCGCCCTCGTCGTCGCAGTCACACCCGTCGGTCAACTCGTCGCCTGCGCTGTGGAACTACGTGCAATTTTCCACCCCGCTGGGCGGCCCCTCGTCGAACGGCAACCAGCAGCAAAATAGCATGCAGTCAGGCGCCACGAACAACCGGTCGCCGGCCAAGATCGAGTTGGAAAGCCCCCTGCGAGACAGAAAGGCCGATTCGCAGGTCGGCGACCTCAAGGATGTGGATCTCGTGAAAGGATTTAAGCAATAGAGAGATCATTAATGGTAATTTATGTCATAACGTAACAAAGCAAACGGGACTCATGACATCGGCGTATGTACAAGCTGGTTTCGATCCACGAATCACTCAACATCCATAAATTGATAGTAGCCGTTGAGATCCATCGCTGGCCTTTTTAGCGGGTCGCTCACGGGAAAGGGCTCCAGCTCCGCTGCGAAGAAGCTGGATGTTTTGCTGGACGACGGTGCCGCCGGCGTCAGCTCGTTCACGTCCAGCAACTTGCCACTTTCGGAAGGAGGTCCCAGCCAGTAGTCCGTAAAGTTTTGGTCCTGGGTCAAAATGGTTGCAAACTCTTTTTCGACCGGGCCTGTAAACTCGCCGTTGTCCCCGAGCGACGACGGCGACTCGGCCTGGTCCTTGTAGGTGCCGTTTTCGTCGTCCGTCAGGAACCTGGAGAAGTTGACTGTCTCCTTCGGCGAGAAGTCCAGTGCAAAATTATTAGCGACTGGCAGAGCACCGGAGCCCGGTCTGACCTGCAACTTCGAAACGTCGATATTCTCGCGCAGAAGAACCTCCGAGCCGTACAGGAACGGCGTGCTCGCGTCTGGGTTCTTTTCGGAGGATATCAACTTGACTTTAGCAGCCACAGTGTCCAGCAACTCGGTGTCGATGAAATGGTAGCACGAGATGGCCTCAAATTTGGCCAGGATCAGCTTGAGCATTTTAATGTTGATGTTCCTGTGATACAACATCGAGTTGAACATGCCGAGCATACTGCCCAGAATCATCACGACGTAGTTGCGCACAGGCAGACACTCCTTTGTGCTCGCCTCGAGGTCACCCCACATGCTCATTTCCATCAGGTGGTTGAGCAGCTTGACCATCGACTCCAGCTGGTAATCAGACGGTTTCTGGAAAAATCTGAGTTTTAGGCCGCAGTAGTGTAGCACCATCAGCACCTTCATCTGCGAGAGAAGTATCGCGTTAATCTGGTCGCAGTTGTCGAGGACGAAACTTCTTTTCTTTTTCAGGAGCATGATATCGTGCTCTTTTTTTTGAATTTTGAATAGCACCTCCATAATCAGGTAGTTGTCCTTTCTCAAACTGAGTCTGGAGTCCAGAACGCGCACAACAAGCGACAGGAAGTCGTCCGCCGGGTTTATCTCCTTCGCCTGCAAGTAGGCCTGCGGATTGAACTTGTGATCAAACACCCTCATCTGCTCAAAACTCTGCGACATGATCGGATGCATGTCCGTCACCAGGCACTTTAGCACGTAGAGACTGTCAAATTTCCGGACTAAAGAAGCGAGCTCGGGATGATGCGAGTAGGTGGTGAACACCTCGGCGGAAATTGAGAGCCATTCGTCGCGCTCAACGAATCGGGTCTCCATAAATAGCCACAGAGCCATGAACTTGGTTTTGCCGCGAGAGTATTTCGTAAGCTCGCGATAGTCCCTGATTTTGGCGACCAGCGCAGACACCATCGCGGGTCTGTCGATGGTGGCGTCGAAGTCGACAAGACGCTTGTGTTTAGGGTCGTAGGTGTAGTCCAGGGTGACCAGGCTTATAGCACAAGTCAGCATCACCACCTCCATGCTATGGAACGACGTGTCGAGCCTTTTCAACTGCCCCAGCAAGTCGTCCTTGTCGAGCTCAAAGTACACGTGCTGTTTGAGGTCGAAAAAACACGACACGAGGTGGTTCAGCAGATGCATATTCAGCACCTTGTCGTCTAGTATTTCCGGCAATTCCACCGGTCTGCTCGTGACCAGCGTCATGTGACTTTCGTGGAAACAAGGCACCGTGATGTAGCTCGGTGCGGCATCGGCCCGCTCGAGCGCCTTCTTCTCCAATTTGAAGATGTGGCCGGCCAGCTTTATGTTCTGCTTGCGCAGCTTCTCCACGTCGGACATCTCTTTCTCTTCCTCCTCCTCCAAAATTCCCAACTTGGGTTGCGGTGGCGAAATTTTAATCGATCTAAAGGTCTCTGGGTACTCGCAAGTGAGCTTTTTGCCCTCGCAGTTTTTACAAACCACCCCGCGGTCACATTTGATCTTGCGGCGGCGACACTCCAAGCAGGAGACGGGGACGGATTTCTTCACCTCTATAGAGTGCCTTTTCATGTCAACAGAAATTCGGATCACCTGGAATGTAGCTTGTATTTATAATTCATCATCTAACCTATGCATTATTCGGAATTTACGTACCTTGTAAACATTAAAGGGTAGAGTGCCGACGCCTATCTCCGAAGCCGTCGGGCAAACTACCGGAAGTAAATGTTATTTGCGACACTCCTCCCACCTCTAAGTTATAGCCGCATGATGTTATTAATCCACATTGTTATCTTTCTTGTGCCGCGTCGATACGGCTGGGGGCCTGAATAGTGACTCTTTCCACAATAGGCGACTCTGCGGCTGACCCTGGGCCTTCTGATTGCTCATCTATTGTATCGTCACTAGCGTTGTCATGCACCCCGTGAGCATTCGGCTCAGCACCCTGTGTCGTATCGTCCTCAGTCACGTCCTTCGGCTCTGATGACTCTGTGCCCCGGTGTCTCCGTTGCAGCCTCTCTGTCCTGGACGCCTGGTACATCTCCTCTTTCAGCTTCATGCGCTTCTGCGCCCGCATTTCTGCAGCATGTGCCCGCAACCGCTCCTCTTCCTCCCGTTTCTTTTCGTCTTCCTCCTGTTTCTGTTTTTCCTTGGCTTCCAGCCGAGAAGAGCGTTTTCTGTTAGCCAGCAGCGCCTGCATCTGGATTTCGCGTCGCCGTTGCAACGCCTGCCGTCTTTTTTTCAGGTCGTGCTGCGCCACCTGCTCCACAAACCCTTTCAGACTCCCGTACAGCTTGTACTCGTGCGACGACGTCTTTTTGCCGGCTTTCTGCTTCAGCTCCTTCAAGTACTGGTCAAACTGGTAGATCCCCGCCGTCTCGCACCGCCACTCCACCAGAACCGGCTCAATGTCGGCAAACGTCTCAGCAGGATCGCGAATCGCCTTCTTCGCGTCCGCCCGTCTCTTCGGAACCTCCATTGACGGATATTCTGTTTTGCGATAATACACACGCGAATCCTCCAGAACGAACCACTCGTTCAGCTCGCGGTCCTCCGTGTACGCGTACACGGGTTCCAGCCGCAAATCGTGCTGCGGCTTGGCGTACTGGTCCACGCTCTTGCGGAAATTGTCTCTGCTCTTGATGTTGGCCAGCTGGATCAGGTTGTGAAACAGCTCGGTCTTGCCGATCAGGTCAAGCGCAAAATAATCTATCGGGTCGTACTCCTCGTAGTAGCGTGCGGAAACGTGGTTCAACGCGTCGTTGACCTGCGCATCAAAGTTGTCCAGCTTGAAATTGGCCAGATACTGGACCATCCGCGTGACGAACGTGTTCACAAAAACAGGGCTCGCAATGCCCAGCAGCTCCTCCTCAAACGTCTCCACATCGAAGTTCTCTGTGATCTTCACCAGATGGCGCAGGAGATAGATCCACTGGACCACATAGGCGTATCGGTAGTCGTTGCGCAATTCGGTCAGTCGGTTGTGGTACACGGGGTCCTCGATGAGCAGGGTGGGCGGAGTCTTCAGCAGGACTGCACGCACGTCGTCGGCCACCAAATCGGACAAAGTCTCGGCCGGATGCGTGCTCTGGACAGGCATTTGGAGGCCGAAGTAAATAAAGACGAGTTTTTGAATACGCAGCTTTTCTTCTGCGGAATCGACGCGTCGACTCCGGAGACTTCCCACCTCGCGCCGAGATAATTCTAGAAGGATCGACGCCGGCTTACAAATCGCGCCGGGTTTAGAGCTGCCAGGCTGGAGTTAGCGCAGAAACATGGGGCTGTCATTTTAGCGGTGAGTCAAAAAGACTCGATTACAAATAAAATAGATTCAAACTTAGTGATAAGTTCTTCTTCTTACGTTTTTTCCCTACACCACATATAAGCCTATCGGTATTGCGCTGTGACTCAAAGCGACGTTTAGAGGCATATCGAAGGTTCTGAATCCCACATTTGTTACAACTATCTGAGGGGTTGCTATAAGATAATAAAAAAAAGACAACTACACAACTTCCAAGCCACACTGACCAAGCCAGTTGAAGGTTACCAGCCTGATACAAATTCACAACTAGGCCAAGAGGTTATATTTGCAAAATTTGCACACTGATTAATAATACACAAAACACCCAACGGAACCCACCGGAAATAGTAAATAAGTTTTTTGCTGTTTCAGCTTTTCATTGCTCACTATGACCTCTACATTGAAGCGCACTCTTACGGATATTATGGAGGACGAGCTGTACTCGCTGCCCCAACAGGGCCAGGATGATATTTCGGAGTACATTATGTTGAACGGATCACAGGAGTCTTTCAGACAAGGCGAAGACGAAAACATAGCCCACAGCGTCCAGGATCAGGTATCGGGCTTTGGTTTGCCCCAACACCAGCAGTCCTTTTACGACAACATCTACAACTCCTATGCAAATCCGAATCTCTATGCCAACGTTTCCTTCCCTGACGAATTATACGACTACGCTCAACAAGACAACTACAGATACTCCAACGAACATGACAACATTGACCCAAAAGCAGCCATTAACACGCCGCACCAAGATGTCAAGCCATCGGAACCTGAACAGGAAGTGATGCTGATACCTCAGGACGACTACATAGCGTATGACCCCGCTCATACGGAACAACAGTTCCTGCCGGAAATCCTGCAGTGGGAGTTCAACCACAAGTCGTTTCCACAGTCCAACGAGCTGAACATATTCAAGACCGACGACGTGTATTTAGACGAGGAGTTCAGTGACGACGACGAGGACGAAGAAGACCAAAACAAGCTGGACGACATGGAAATGGATCTGGACGATTTGAGCAGCGAAAGCAGCTTGGACGAGGAAAATGACAACTACGTGAAGTCCGACGAGGTTCGAGTCTCGAACACTCCAGAACACACCGACAGCTCTATCTACTCGCTGACGACGCCGCAAACCATCAACCCAAGACTGGTTCAACAGGACGATACGATGGACAACAATGCAGCTGTGTTTGATGATGACGACGACATGGACGATGACGAAAAGAACTATTCAGACGCCAGTGACGATTTGTACACGCCGGCATTCGAGCAAAGACGCGAGAGCGTGCTTTCCGAGCGCCGGCCGCCAGTGCTTAAGTCTGATGTCCAGAAGGTTCCAGCTCCGTCATTGAGAAAACTGAAAACGTCGCGTCGGACGGCCACTCCTCCGGTAGAGGAGGCCAAGGAAGCGGAGGAGGAGGAGCATGTTTGCTACATTGCTAACCCAAAGACGGGAAAGCCATGCAACAAGAAGTTCTCCAGACCGTACGATCTGGTGAGACACCAGAACACGATCCATGCTCCTAAGCGGTCGTTCTACCGGTGTATGTTCTGCGAGGACGATCTCAGAAGACGCAACAACATGGAGTCGAACAACGAGATCGTGTTGAAGCTGAACTACCGCAACACTCCGTTCTCTGTGGAGAATTCAAACGCGAACGTTGCGAACTCGCACAACTCCAAGAAGGTGAAGTCCTCGATGGACAACGGCGAGTTCCTGAGCAACAAGACGTTTTCGCGGTGCGATGCCCTCACGAGGCATTTGCGGTTCAGACACGGCCTGAACAACCAGCAGGTCAATGACGCCATGGATTATGCGAAGAAGCATGTGGAGTACTACGAGAACTGATCTGGGCACCAGAAGCATATACATAGCATAATAAATTATTTATGAAAATAATCACTCAACAATAAATATATTTCATCAGTACGGGTAGTTGTTAGGCTCTTTGTCAGGCGTGTAGCCCATATTTGCCTGTTCTTCTGCCTTCTTCTCCAAGTACGGCATGAGAACGTCCTTGAATATCGTATAACCCCTGTACTCCTGCACGTCTTTATCCCAGCTCTTTATTCCGTTCATCAGACGCAGGGGCACGAACGGCTCCTCGCAGAGCTTGACGACCGGCAGGAAGTACGTCCTGATCGTGAAGATCGTGACTCCCGTCTTTGGCAGTCTTCTGACCGACTGTCTCTCCGACCTGAAGTAAATCTTATTGATGTCGGTAGCAGGGCTGGCTGTGTACCAGCCGACCACCTCCTTGGACTCGTCTCCGATCGAATACGACCATGCCAGATCGTCGTCTGCCTGGAGAAAGTAGTTGTTTCGCACCACAGGCTTGTCGCACGTCTGTCTGATGAAGAACTTCTCCATGCCTGCCTTGAGCTTCTCGTTATATTTCGGCACGTCTCCGCTGGTGTGGATCATGCTGAGCGGCATGCCTAGTTTATCTTTGAGTCTCCAGAACCCGGCCAGCATGATTGCGCCTGCGCGGAGAACGTACTCGCCCTTTTCGTTTTCGATCATCACCGCCAGGTCGTCCTGGACCAGCAGCGAGGCCATCAGGATCGGGTCCATTTTGAACTCCGACTTGGGAACCCCTATGAACTCGAACGACTCGCCCGTTTCGAGGTTCTCGATGCCCTTAGGCGTTGCGCGGAACAAGCTTGGGTACCGCTGGGGCAGGTAGCTGCGGAACTCCTCCAGAAGCTCGAGCACGCCGTCCCAGGCGTCTGGCGACGTGCCGTACAGATCGCTATTTTTTTCCTCGAGCCGCTGCAGCTTGCGCGCGTGGTACTTGTGCCACTCGTTATCCAGTTCGATCCAGCTGTCCCACTCCATGTTGCGGATGCCCATGGTGACGAAATAGGTGTGTTTGAACGCCCGGTACGCGATCGGCGGAGTCTTCTCGATCGACCAGTCCGGATACGGTTTAACGGGAGGATACGTGAACTGTTCGGGCGTCCAGTGGCCGAACTTCCTGTTCTTGTTGTTAGCCTTGGCCACCGGCAGCGGCTTGTACTTTTTTTGGTACACTGGGCCCGGTTCAGCAGAGATAAGGTACCTGTAGACGAGAGCAGCAGCGGCCAGCGCAAGGGCGGCCAGGGCCCAGAAGGAAGGCGCCTGCGCTGCGCTGTAGAGACGGTGTATTCCTTCGACGATGACAGCCATGCGGATAAGAGCGCAGGGTGCGCGGTTTATATACTGGCAGCAAGAGATATCGAACTGAGCCCATGCTCTCAGTTGCCTAAAGGGGAAATAATTTCCTAGATAAAGTAGACGCTCCGGCGATCGAACAGCATGGCTGTGGGAAAAAACTGTGGCAGTGCAGTGGACGTGGTCAGGCCGACCGACCGTTTAGTCGTGGACGACCCGTGTCAGGGCCAAAATTAAATAATTCTTTTTTTTTTCATGTGATCGCACAATTTTCCAGATTGAGCAAAACGCAGAACCATGGGCAACTCCTTCTCCCGTCTGCTGGTAAGTACGTCCTGCGCGGTCTAACGCTCAGCGACGCAGGAACAAAGAGGTCCGCATGGTCATGGTGGGCCTGGACAACTCCGGAAAGACCAGTAAGTGCTACATCTCCCCAGACTAACGGCAGCCATCCTGTACAAACTGAAACTCGGACACGCGCAGCAGACCGTGCCGACGGTCGGGTTCAACGTCGAGACGATCAAATACAGAAACCTCGTGATGAACACGTGGGACGTGGGCGGCCAGGAGCGCATTCGGGCGCTCTGGCGACACTATTTCTCCGGCACAGACGCGTTAATTTTCGTGATCGACTCTGCTGACAGACCCCGGCTGGAGGAGGCGAAGAAAGAGCTCTACAAGGTGATAAACGACAGAGAGCTGACGGGGTGTCTGCTGTGCGTGCTTGCGAACAAGCAGGACAAGCCCGGCAAGATGGAGCAGGCGGAGCTGGTGAAGTTTTTGGAGCTGGAATCCATCAAGAACCACAACTGGTGCATAATTCCGACCGTGGCCACCGACGGCACGGGACTGAACCAGGTGCTGAACTGGATCCAGCACAACTTGGATTGACTACGTAGCTGTACTTTACACCGTCTTCTTTGTGATTGTGCCGTCGGCGTTGCCGATGTAGGCCTGCGCGGCCAGGCCCACAAACAGCCCTGTCTCGACGACGCCGACGAGCGCCTTGATCTTGGCGTTCAGCTCGGCCACTTTGGCGGGCGGAATCTCGCCGAAATCGCAGTCAACGATGAAATTGCCGTTGTCCGTCACCACAGGCCCCGCCTTGGCCGGCAGCCCCGAGCGCACCACAGGCTTTCCGCCCAGCTTCGCCAGCTCCAGGCTCACCTTGGTGTACGCGGCCGGAACCACCTCAATGGGCACGCCCTTGCGCCAGCCCTTGCCCAGCACGCCCGTGTCCTTGCGGTAGTCTGCCACGACGACCAGCTGCTTCGAACACGCGGCCACCAGCTTCTCCTGGAACAGGCACGCGCCGCCGCCCTTGATCAGCCCCAGATTCGTGTCGATTTCGTCCGCCCCGTCGAACGCAATGTCGATCTCCGGGTACTCCTCGGGCGACCCGAGCCGCAGCCCGTTGTTGATGATGAGCTGCCGCGACTGGAACCCCGTCGGAATGCACACCAGCTCGTTCTTGTTGCTGGCCTGGCCAACGCGCTTCGCAACGTACACGACGGTCGAGCCGGACCCGATGCCGACCACCCTGTGCGTCGACAGCAGATTGTCGTCGACGGCGGCGTACGCCGCCAGCTCTTTCGATTTTTCCACCAGGTCTGCCATGCTGCTGAATCGTTTACAAAGAAAAGCTGTTTGGCGAATTTTTAACATTGTCTGTCATAGAAAAAACGTGTGGGGTAGATAACTATTCTACAGCGCAACAGCGCAGCACGCAGCCGTTCCAGCTCTAAAAAACCCGGCACCGCTTGGGTGGGGGCGACGCTGCTCTTGCGGTCGTCGGCAACAGCAACTTTGCGCGCGCACGAGGCAACCGACTTTTCTAAAAACGTGCGCGCGTCGCTGTCGATTTCGTCGGCTCCGTCAACAGCAACGTCGACACCGCCCGAACACCGCCCGCACCAGCCGCCCTCCACGTACACAACCGTGGCGCCGGAGCAGATTCCCACCACCCTGGACGAGGGGTCGAGGTTCTGGTCCACCGCGTAGCTGGCGTTGTTCTTTGCGTTTCCGGTTGACACCACGTGGACAGGAGGTACCAGCTGCCGTGTATCAGGACACGGCGGCCGCTGCTCGCGATAGCCTGCTGCCACCACGGCTGCTACGCGAAAGAAATCCACACAAGCGGGCTGCGAGACCTCTGTCGCATCACGTGCTTCCCCCCTCGATTTGATAAATTTTTCAGCAGGAAAAAAATCTTCAACCAACTTTACGTAGTATGTCTGCCGCATCGAAAGTGCTCGCCAGCGAACCATCTGAGCTCGAATTGCAAGTCGCACAGGCTTTGGTCGACTTGGAAACCAACTCTCCAGATTTGAAGGCTGACTTGAGACCTCTCCAGTTCAAGTCCATCAAGGAGATTGAGGTTTCGGGTAACAAAAAGGCTATTGTCATTTTTGTCCCAGTGCCATTGCTGACTGCTTTCCACAAGGTCCAAATCACCCTTACCAGAGAATTGGAAAAGAAGTTCCCTGACAGACACGTTGTGTTTTTGGCCGAGAGAAGAATCCTGCCAAAGCCAGGAAGAACTTCCAGAGTGACCCAGAAGAGACCAAGATCCAGAACCTTGACTGCTGTCCACGACAAGATCTTGGAGGACCTGGTTTTCCCAACCGAGATCGTTGGAAAGAGAGTCAGATATCTTGTTGGTGGTAACAAAATCGCCAAGGTTCTCTTGGACTCCAAGGACTCCTCTGACATCGACTACAAGCTGGACACCTTCCAATCCATTTACCAGAAGTTGACCGGAAAGCAAGTCACTTTCGAGATCCCAACCGAGACCTTATAAATGTTAATTAATAAAGGTGAATGAGAATATCATGAATATGCTGTAAGTCGTTACTCGTAACGTGCTGCTCGCCGGACGAACCCTTCGTACTGGAAACTCTCGCTCCGCGCAAGGCCGTCGTCCTCGTCGCGCGCTGGCGCGTTGGCCGCTGCAGCGCGTCTCATCTCAGGTGCCTGGCCTAGTTTCACCACCGCTACGGCCAGCACCGCCACAAAGAAAAAGAACTGCCACCATCGTGGCGTTCCCGATGGTTGCACCGCTTGCGGGTAGTACCGCGGGCTCGGCGACGAGCAGAGCACGTACACAACCAGCAGCCCGACAACCAGCGACGGCACGTGAACGCGCGTCGTGATGTCCTTTGTGAGCGCGACGTTGATAAACAGATCGAGGTTCCACAGCACTCGCACAGCTTGAACGACGAGTTTCACGAGAGTTACAAGTATATCTGCAGCGTTCTGTATGTTGTTGTCCGTGTTTGCTTCTGTGGCTTCTGTCTGTCTTCTGCCCAGGACGGGCTGGTCCAGCGGATGGACATTTCTTTTCTGGGGCTTGCGCGGAGTCACTTCGAACGCAATGTCTTTGATCTCACGCAGCTTTTCGGGGTCTTTCTTTGGCGACGGCGGCACCACGGGCACCATCAGCTCGCTTGTCAGCGAGTTGGTCCTTATTCTGAAAAACCGTCTGGGAGCCGAGACATCGGTGGCTGCGGTCTCTGCCGAGTCTGCAGAGAAAATGGTCGACTGGTCCGATTTCGTCGTGTCGTTCGTGTGGACCCTGGTCAGAAGCGGGATGGTCGAAAGCGACGTGGTGTTTTTGCGGAATTTGGACAGGAAGGTCTTGTTGTCGACCATGGTGGGAAGATGTGACAGATCAGGGAAAAGGAAATTATATTTAGGGTGGCTATCTCTGATCGAAAGGGGAAAATAATAAATAAGTGCTACTGCCATCCCTACACCGGTCTACTCAGATAGTGATACATTTGAATACTTTGTACGTACTTACAAAGGTAAGAATAAAGCATCTAGAAACAAGCAAAGAACACTCATCCCAGCACTTATTTGAACTTCTTACCGAGCAAGATCATTTGCAGCTGGTCGTACATGGAGATGACACCAGCAGAGGCAACACCTCTCAAGATGTTAGCACCGCAACCCTTGAACAGAGATCTGATACCCTCAGCAGCAACAATCTTGGTGAAAGCATCGAAAGCGCCCTTGTACTTAACGGCTTGACCGGAGGTCATCATCATTCTTCTTCTGACAGTGTCCAATGGGTAGGAAGCAGTAGAAGCAGCGGTGGTGACAGTCCAACCCAGGAGGAAAGAGGCAAGGAAGTTACCCTCAAGAGGGCCGACCAGGACAACAGGCTTAAGAGAGTCGTAGAGACCGAAGTAGAGACCTCTGTAGACAACAATACCAACGACAGATGGCAGGAAACCTCTGTAAAGACCAGCAATACCGTCGGATGCAAGAGTCTTTCTGTAGACATCGATCAAACCGTTGAATTGTCTCTCACCTCCCTTAGCGGACTTGGCGTCGTTGGCCAATCTGGTTCTGGCGAAGTCCAAAGAGTAGACGAACAGCAAGGAGGTGGCACCAGCAAGACCACCGGAAGCCAAGTTACCGGCAAACCATTTCCAGTAGCCCTCCTCCTTCTTGAAACCGAACATCTTCTTGAACTTGTCCTTGAAAGCAAAGTTCAAGGCCTGAGTTGGGAAGTATCTGATGACGTTGGCGGTGTTACCCTTCCAGAACGAGATAAGACCCTCTTCAGCCAGGGTTCTCTTGAAACATTCACCGATACCGGTGTATCTTCTGGAAAGTCTACCTTGCTTGATCATTTCGTCCTGGTTTTGGATCAAAAGCTTGACTCTCTCGATTGGAGCGGCACCGGTCTTGGCGACGGCGGCGGAGACACCACCCATCATGAAGTCGACGAAGAAAGAGGATTGGTCAGACATTTTCAATTAATTGATTCTACGGAAATCTTAAAAAGAAAAACTGTTGCAAAGAGGATTCGTTCAAATTTAAATACTTGTCAATTTTTTCGAAATCAATTTCGCATTTTTTTTTTCGGTGCAAAAAGATCGTTTGATTGGTTGGTGAATCCGGTTTGTATCGGAAATATACAGGAAACGGCAGGGTAACCCGTTCCTTTTTCAGACCGCGTCGCACCTAGAACCTGCATCCTAAACTACAAACATTCCGTGCCGAAGGCAACCTTCCAGTTTCTGAGACTCTAAATCTCATACTTGCCGCTGCTAGGGTGAGAAGCGGCCACTTTCTCGTCTTCCACCACCGTTTATTACGCTTTCTCCAGCTATTCACCGCCAAAAAAATAAAAAAGAACTTTTCACAAGTTCACTGCTAAATCAACTTCAACGTCGCCCCGGGCCGCAAAACAACGGCCATTCTGTCCGGAGCCATGAACAATCGCTATGCCTGCGGTGGTTCTGCTCCTGGGCAAGATCCTTGCGTGATTGACCTCTTGGGTGTTTGTACTACGAAACAATTGCCTTATTCACGGCGCGGTTGCAATGAGCTGGCCGTGATCATGACTTAGGATGCCACTCGCTTGCGATTTTCAATGGCAGCGTTGAATGTGTGAGCTTGTCTTTCGAAGGAGGCATTCACACGACGTGTTTTCGTGCATCCTCAGTAGCTCGGTAGAAGAGCCCTCCCCTGATAACAACGGTTAGGTTCCGGTGTAGATTTTCGCGCATAGCCAATCCGGTTCCCGGCGGATACATTTTTCAAAGCTGGACTAGAGCGGAAACGGAAACGCAAGGAAAAAAATTAACAATCTTATTTCGCGAACTTGCGGCCGGTTGGTCCCGACCTGGAAAAAGAACCAAGTCCGACAAACCCGGTGTAGAGGTGTGAAAATTCTACTCTCGTCATATGAAACCCTATTATTTAGCTGTACACAATCAGTAACCAAGAGCAGCAAGCTTGGCAGAGGCCTCAGAGGCAGCAACAGCAGACTTGGCAGCAGTGACCTTTCTAAGTTGAGCCTTCTTCTTAGCGTAGTACTCTGCAGATCTGACCTTACGCTTCTCTTCAAGAGCATCGACGACGGACTCGTATTTCCATCCAACAGAGGAAGAAAGCTTGCCCAAAGTGGTGTACTTTCTGCCTGGCTTCAATCTTAAGACTCTCAGGGCCTGAGGAACAACAACTCTCTTCTTCTTGTCGTATGGAGGTGGAACACCTTCGAACACCTTCAATCTCTCCAGAGCGGCCTTACCTCTGGCGGTCTTGTGGGCAATCATACCTCTGACAGCCTTGTAAAGAATTCTAGATGGGGCTCTGAAGTGGAAAGGTCCTCTGTTGGCGTTGAATCTGGTTCTCTTTCTCAGGTAGTCGTGGTACTTCAACTTGTTTCTGAAGAATTCACCAGAGATGTTGAGAGCCTCACATCTCACAACGACGATCTTCTGGCCGTTGAGAAGCTCCTTGGCGATAGTGGAGGCCAATCTGCCCAACAAGTGTCCTTTTCCGTCAATGACAACAACCTTCTCAAAAGAGCTCATCTTGCTTTCTTGAAGTTTTCACACTAATTTTTTATCTTTATTTTTCATCCTACAAAACCACGCCCGACACCACCGCAGTCACAAACTGTCTTCCTGTCTAGCACATCCCTACACCTCCTACCAGCAAGCTTCTATCTCGCAGTCGTACAGCGTGCGCACGAACTGCTCGATCGGCCGCGACTGGAACTGCGCTCCGCGCTCTCTCTCCACAAACTGCATGTTAGGCTATTTTTCGCGTTACTTACCACCGTCGAGCACCCTGCTTTGTAGGCCCTTTCGCGTAGCTTCCTCATAAGCCTTACTACGCTAGCACTTGCTACCGGTCAGTAAAAGTCGAAAAATACGCACCTCCCGTGTAGTTTTTCGCAAACTCAAGATTAAAGAGTCCGCGTATGTCCTCAATCACTAGCAGATCCACATCTGCTAGCGATTGGTCAAGCAGCGCAGCAAGATTCAGACACCGCTCGATTCGCACCTTTGACAGCACGCTGTCGTCGAACTGTGCCCGCAGTTTGGCCACCATGCCAACGTCGAACGCGTGGATCGTCGTCAGATGCAGAGCTGAGCACCCTGTACGCGCTATCCGGTCCAGATAGTACGAGACGACAAACTGCGGTTAGCGCGCGATTTTTCGGCCTACTCACCTCCAGCGGGGCCACTGCACCGGGCCGTCTGTCTTCCGCCTCGTGCACATAGCACACGGCGTTTTGCAGCAGAGAATCCAGCTCCTGCCGCGAAATCGCCATCGTTGTTTATTCGTGCCAAATACACAGAAATACGGGGTATATACAATCCGGTGTAGGGGTGGAACTACACAATTAGACAGCAACCGGATTTCGAAGTCTCGGCCGCGGAGGCTGGAGGGAGAGAGGTGCGGTGGGCTGCGTGGCGAGCGTCAGTCTGTGTGAGGGTGTTTGGTTTGGCAGCGATGTCCTCCGCAGGGTTGGTGTTTGTGTGTGTTTTCGACAAGTCAGATAGTTCTTGGGCACCGCTATTGGCTGCGTCGGAGGCGCGTGGCGTGCCAGCCGTCTCGGGGCCGTCCTCCGTGGCCGTCCTGGTGATGGAGGGTCTTGCGTGGCGCACGAATGCAGGAACAGGAGTGTTTGAGTGCGGTCCACGTTTCTTGCTGCTGCGTTGGCCGTTCCGTGCGTTGGGGCCTATTTTCAGTTCCAGCTTGCGCTCCTTTGATGAAGACGACAGCTGGTCCTTCGGCTTCACAAGGAGATGCATTATCGGCGAAAGATCCAACTTGAGAGCCTCCAGATACTCGTTTGGGTCTAATCGACTGCCTAGATGCAATAGCTGGATTTGTTCTTCTATAGTGGGGGGCTGGATAGCGTTGTCGGCTTCTAGGCCTTTCCTGATGCCAGAATTCGATAGAAGGGTCCAGTTCCTGAAAAGATAAGCTCTGAGATCACCGACCCGGAGGGCCTGCGGTTCGCCTCCAAGTCCACAAGAGGCCACAAAGTTGTTGTCCAGAAGTAGATCGACCCGCGTGCCGTCTATGAACAAAAGCTCTACCGTGTTGTTCAAAAAGGACATAGATAACAAACCGGAGATAAAGCAAATTCTTCTATCTTATTTATTAAATGTGCCTCGCGCAATCCTAAACCAGGGTCGAGCGGTACGTTATCTAGGCGGCTCACGTAAAATACCGCGTAACAGCATACATGGCCGAGTGGTCCAAGGCGGTAGACTCAAGTTCTATTCTCAGTGATGGGACGCAGGTTCGAACCCTGCTGTATGCACGCGTATTTTTTTGCTCTTAATTTATGTCGTAGACCTTCATTAAATTATACTGAGATAGCTAATAACATCTTCATAACTATAGATTAAGCCTCGAAAGGATCTCCCCAGCAAGCGACTTATACAGCCACGTGTTACCCGAGATCTTCTTGAACTGCACGCCGTAAAGGCCAACCAGGGGAACCTTGACAATATGGATCTCGAACTTCAAAGGACTCTTGCTGGCAGAAACCTTTTCCGAGTGTCGATTGGTGTCGATCGCCGGGGCGTTGGCAACAGAAGGCGATCTTGGCTTGTTCTCTTGTTCCAGCCGACTCGAAACGAGCATGTCGGAACCTCCGTACGGCTCTTCAAAGGTGATCGACTCAGAACTATCCACGGAGCTCCTACGATTAACGTTGGCAGGTGCAGGAGTCGTAGGATACGTAACGTCCTGGTTGTTCGAGACGTTTGTGGAAAGCGAGAGTTTTTCTTTTTGTTTCCTGTGACCGCCTAGCACGGCATTACCAAGCGAGAACTTGCGTCTGTGGCCATTCTTTGATGAGGCTGAAGCGTTGGAGATCGCCGACACGGCGCGCTCAGCAACGTTTTCGATGTCGTGCTCGTCATGGGTTTGACGATGCTTTTCTCCAGAACTCGAAGACGACAGGGACGATCTTTTGATGTACTGTTTGGACGGAGTATCTTCGGAGCTCACCTCGTCAAGCTCGACGGCTGTGTGCGCCCTGCTTTCGTCTCCCTCCTTTTCAGGCTTTTCAGCCTTCTTTGCTCGGTCGCCAAAAGACACAATTGATGGATAGTGGACACAGACAAATCCGCCCTTCACCTCAGTGAATTTCACACCAAGCTGCGGCAGAACGCTGATGATATCGTACCTGATAATAGGCAATGGCTTGGTGGACGTGGTCTGAACAGAAAAGAACCCTTTCAGGAACAGCGTGCGCGGGTACTCGATGGACGGCATAGATCCTGGAGGAGCGTGCTCAAATTGAGAAATGATAGCGTCGTCCGAAAGCCTTCTGTTTGGCTTAGTACAGTCATCCTCAAAGGTGACTTCGTCCATATCCACAGGATCAAAGAAGCCATCGTCTGCCATGTTAGACGGCAGTCCAAGCTGTGGAACAGGCGGTGCGTCTGGGGCAATAGTATAGTTGTTGCTCTTAGGAATGTTGAGGGAGTTCTTCCTTGCGTGACCCAGAGACTTGGCTCTGGCTGTAGGATGGTACCTCGTTGGTAATGCAGATGCGTTCGTAGACGGTAGCTTTTGTTTCGTAGCCTGGTCAACGGCCTCCATTTGCGCAGCCTTGACGTCTGACGAGGTATATGCGGAGGTCGCTCTTTGGTGGTGCTGCATCTGCTGCTTCGACGATACTGGCAATGGAGGAAACTGCGACTGCTGTTTCTCCTTGCTGGTAATCTTCATGCTTCCAACCCTACGCACCACATCGTTCTGTCTGGAAGCAAACCTGGAGCCCCGCAGCTCTGAATTGTCCTCCACAGGAGACAGCTCTTCCGGAGCATACTCGTTCTTGGGCTTCTTGCCGCTGAATTTTCTGAACAGGTTATTGGTAAATCCGGATTGAGGATCGCCTTGTTGCTGGACAGGACTGAATACAGGGCTCGCAGACACCTCGTGGCTGACAACACGATTACGCTGGATTTGGGAAGCTGGTCCCACACTCGACTGTTGATGAGGAGACGTGTATGCTGCTTGTGGGAAGGTCAAGACTGGGGTGGTAGCATTCGGCTCCTGCGAAGGCGGCAATACCTGTGTCTGTTGAGTTTCCGATGAAGTAACCGGCTGGGCTGATCTTCCATACTTGTCCTCCTTGACTTTCTTTCTTCTCAGCATCTCGTCAACAAGATGATATATGGATATTAAAGGGTGATATGCAATGGTGGGGTCAGGAAGCGTAGGATCGTACTTCGACAGGTCCTCCTGAGTATTTTTAATGTACCAATTCCTGGTGGCCAGTTGGTATGCGTCGGACTGCAGAATCTCTGTCAGCTCTCTAATGACATTCTCCTCGGTTCCCAGCTCATAGTTAACGATGGTGCTGATCACCTCTGGATCTAAAGGCAACTCAATCGGAATCCTGTGAGGAAGATAATTCGAAGGAGCGCTTTCGAATCCCTTGACCATCCACGGATGGTTCATGACTTCCTTCAGTGTTGCTCTTCTTGTCGGATCAACGACCAGCATGCGAGACATTAGAGATACGCACTCCTTGGATAAGCCGTCTGGGTACTCCACGTTGCCACGTTTGATTTTTTCGTGAAGCGCACTAACGCTCTGGTCGTCAAATGGGACCTTGCCGCAGACGAGCACGTAGAGGACCACACCAAAAGACCACACATCGACTTCCGGGCCGATATACGGATGCGCAGAAAGGAGTTCGGGTGCCGCGAAGTAAAGCGAACCGCAATATGTTTTCAGGAGGTTGCGGCTGTCAAACATGTTGGAAAGACCAAAATCGATGATTTTTATGTCTCCGTTCTTGCTGATCATGATGTTCTCAATCTTCAGATCTCTATGGACAATGTTGTTGGAGTGGCAGTAATCCAGTGCCGACGCAATACCCCGGCAGAACTTTCTAGCCTGTCGTTCTTTGATTGAGCCGTGCGACACGATGTAGTCCAGCATCTGTCCTCCTGACACGTACTCAAAAAGCATGTAGTAGTGGTTAGTCATTGAAAACATCTCGTAGAGCCGGCAAATGTAAGGATGGTAGATGATTCTACCGAGCGCGCCTTCCTTGATCGTTCTTCTATCTCTGGCAAGTTCCTTCTCGTACTCCTTGCGTCGTTTCGCCAACTCGTTTGGATCAGAAGTTGGCGGATCATTCATATGCTGTCTCTGCCATATTTTCGCTGCCCGAGGCACCACTTTCACGGCGCAGATCTCATTAGTGACTCTATGTCTGGCCAATTTCACCTTTCCCATGGATCCGGCGCCGATCGTTTTGGCAAAATCCCAATCGCCGATAGACTTCCGGTGGAACTGCGGCTGCTGCTGTTGCGACGTGTGTCTTGAGCCAGACTTGGACGGCTGTCTTTTCGGCGTGCTTGGTGTTGCTGTTGCCGGCGTCTGGTTAAACTCCATGCCTGGCATCAGCCTCGGTTGCTGCTCTGCGCCCCCTGCGCCGGGCATATTTTGCTGTTGCGGTGTTGTCAACGAGAGTCTCCGGGCCACATTCTTGGTCTGTACAAAGGGGTCAAGCGCATCGTCTGCGAGATTCGCAGTGTTGCTCGTGCTTCGCAACATTCTCGGAGTCGCAGGGGCAGCGTTCGGAATATAATTAGTCTCCTTCTTAAGAGATCCAGATCGGGACACGGCATGTTGTCTTACCTTCGGTAGCGCCATGCTGTTCTGCTCCTGCTCCGGCCAGGGCCGATCAAGCCGTTGTCCTGGCGTGTTCGGATCCCTCTGGGACATTTTGGCACTCAATTGAATTAATTTACTCCAATCAGAACACAAGCTTTACTAGAACCTTGAATCAGTGGAGGCTTAGAGCAAAAATCGGACGATGACTGCGCTTGTAAATTCGGTAGCGGGTCGGTGGGCGAGATTCGCAAAATGCGCACAATTCAGGGGAACCCAGTTCGAACTCGACGGATGTGCACTCGAATGGCAATCAAGTATTGCCTTGTTTCGCACCTACAGAGAGATTTTTTATCTCTGGTTCTGGCTGGCCTCAAGAGACACGCCCTTGCACCGCCACAAGACCGGGTAACTCTCGTCGAGACCCAGCGGTGGCGAGATTGGCGAGCGCAGGCGACGACGCCTTCCTGAAGGACGCGCAGACCACTGTCGAGGTGGCGAGCTGCGCTTAAAAGTGCACCTGGCAGCACAGGCGCCGTCTCGCCATGACCCCCGTCCGGTAGTCCGACATCCTTGCACCGGCTCAACAAGTCGTACCATCGTTTAGCACAACGCCGGGAGCATGGAGCCAGGCACACCGGGGGCTGCCGAATCAGGCCCCGCAAAATGCTAATCAGGGACGGGATGGCAAAAAACACCCGCACATGCCCGGTGATTCCTCTTTGCCGACCCGCGTCACTCTCGCGACTTGGTATTTAACCCGGGCAATCGCAAATTTCTGCCATTTCGCGGCCCCAACAATTGTCGATTTTTTCCGGAGGGACACTTTGGGTTCAATTTTTCTCGTTTGACCTATACCTTAATTACAAGCATGACCCAAGAGCAGGTTCATTCAGTGGTTCACGAGGCCAACAATGTCAAAGCGCGGGCCACTCCGCAGGCATTTTTCGACAAGCAGCCGGCGCGGTCTCTGTCTTCTTTGGAGGAGTACAAGGCCATGTACAAGCAGTCGATCGAAGATCCAGAGGGCTTTTTCGGGCCGTTGGCCAGGCAGTATCTTGACTGGGACAAGGACTTCAAGGTTGTCAAGTCTGGCTCGCTCGCCAATGGCGATGTGGCGTGGTTTTTGGGTGGAGAGCTGAACGCGTGCTACAACTGTGTTGATAGACACGCTTTTGCCAATCCAGACAAGACTGCCATCATTTTCGAGGCCGACAACGAGGAGCAGAGCCGCAAGCTCACGTACGGCGAGCTTCTGAACCAGGTCTCGCAGGTTGCAGGCGTTTTGAAGAGCTGGGGCATCCAAAAGGGTGACACTGTAGCTATCTACCTGCCGATGACCCCCGAGGCATTGATTGCGATGTTGGCTGTGGTGCGTCTCGGAGCGATCCACTCGGTCATCTTTGCCGGTTTTTCGGCGGGATCCATCAGAGACAGAGTCAGCGACGCCGGCTGCAAGGCCGTGATTACCTGCGACGAAGGTAAAAGAGGTGGCAAGATCATCAACACCAAAAAAATCGTGGACGAGGGGCTTAAAGAGTGTCGAACCGTCGAGAAGGTGCTTGTCTACAAGCGGACGGGCTCCGACGTGCCAATGAAGGAAGGAAGAGACTTTTTCTGGGACGAAGAGTGCGACAAATTCCCCAAGTACTGTCCTCCGGTGCCGGTGAACTCTGAGGACCCGCTGTTCATGCTGTATACTTCTGGATCCACTGGTGCTCCCAAGGGTGTTGTCCACTGCACGGGCGGGTTCCTGCTGGGCGCTCTCCTGACCACCAAGTACGTGTTTGACGTTCAGTCGCAGGACGTTCTTTTCACCGCCGGTGACGTCGGCTGGATCACCGGCCACTCGTACGCGTTGTACGGCCCCTTGTCCATCGGCGCGGCCACCATTGTCTTCGAGGGAACTCCAGCCTACCCAGACTACGGCCGGTTCTGGAAGATTGTCGAGAAACACCGTGCTACCCACTTCTACGTTGCTCCAACTGCCCTGAGACTGCTCAAGAAGTCGGGCGAGGCCGAGATCGAGAAATACGACCTGTCGTCTTTGCGCACGTTGGGCTCTGTCGGCGAGCCAATCGCAGCAGAGATCTGGGAGTGGTACGACCAGAAGATCGGCAAGAGTCTGTGCCACATCTCCGACACGTATTGGCAGACCGAGTCGGGGTCCCACTTGATCGCACCACTGGCAGGTGCCGTTCCTACCAAGCCCGGTGCAGCCACCCTGCCTTTCTTCGGCGTGGACGCCGTCATCATCGACCCTGTCACCGGGAAGGTCCTGGAAGGAAACGATGTTGAGGGAGTGCTGGCCGTCAGATCCAGCTGGCCATCTCTCGCAAGAACCGTCTACAAGAACCACCACCGGTACGTGGAAACCTATCTCAAGCCGTACCCAGGATTCTACTTCACGGGAGACGGCGCTGGAAGAGACCACGACGGCTATTATTGGATCAGAGGAAGAGTCGACGACGTCGTCAACGTCTCGGGCCACAGACTGTCCACGTCCGAGATCGAGTCGGTTCTGCTGGAGAACGCCCACGTCAGCGAGGCCGCCGTCGTTGGAATCAACGACGACCTCACCGGCCAGGCCGTCATTGCATTTGTGCAGCTGAAGAACGAGTCCGAGACAGACGACGCGGAGGCGCTCACCGCCCTGAGAAAATCGCTCGTGGTGCACGTCAGAAGCATAATCGGGCCGTTCGCGGCTCCAAAGAGCATCATTGTCGTTCCGGACCTGCCAAAGACCCGGTCTGGCAAGATCATGAGAAGAGTGCTCCGGAAGGTGTGTTCCGGCGAGGCCAAGGGTCTTGGCGACCTGAGCACGCTGTCGAACCCGCAGTCCGTGGAGACCATCATCAAGAACGTGGAGGAGCAGTTTGGTGTCAAGAACTGAAAGCCGTGCACAAAGGCACGGGACAGTGTGTAGAATACAGGTGAATAATAAATTTGACACCCATACACTGGTTTTTTTCTTGGTTTTATTTTATTTGTGGCAAATGTCGTTGGAACAACTCACCTCCCAACTATCCAAGAGCTTTGCGGCGAACAACTACGCGGAGTGTTTGAAGCTGCTTCCGCAGATCAAGCTGCTTCTTGTAGAACAGAACCTGCTTGTTCCGTCGCTCACGACGGCCGCGAACCCGAGCGATCTGGCCATCACACGTTCCATCTTGGAGATCGGCGCGCTGGCGGCGATCAATTCCGAAGACCTCAATGCGTTCTCCAGCTACATCACGCTGCTCAAGCCCTTCTACGACCTCACCAACCTGCCAGACTCGCCCAACAAAAACAAGCTGCTCAGCTTGTATCTATTGCTGCTTCTCACACAGGGAGACCTTGCCCTGTTCCACATCGAGCTCGAGCGGCTGGCAAACTTTGGTCTCTCGGTGGCCGAGCTGGAAAAAGATCAGTATTTTGCCATTCCGATCAAGTTCGAGAAATGGATCATCGACGGCGACTTCTACAAGGTGTACGAGCTGCTGAGCTCCAAACACAGCTTCCCGTGCAAAGAGTTCAACCTGTTTGAGAAAGAGCTGCTCGACTCCATTCGTCTCACCATCGCCACCAACATCGAGTCCAGCTACACTTCTCTGCCGCTGGAGAACTTGAAACTGCTGCTTTTTCTGAAGAGTCTGGACGATGTCAAGTCCTACATAGACCAGATGGGCTGGTTTGTCGATAACAGCGAGGTTCACTTTGACAAGCGCAGCTCTGCGATAGACGACGAGATCAACGACGAAAAGCAAATACTGAAAAACGCCCTCACCTACGCCAAGGAGATGGAGAGCATTGTGTAAAGTAGTAAAATATCTATTATTTAAATATGTTACTTTACTATTTATTTTTTATTTTCCAGCTTATGCTCCTCCCGTTTGTGCTGCTCAAGCTCGCGCAATTGCTCATAGTGTATTTTGCTCCCGCGCCATTCGACACGTCCACACACATCTTCCTGGCAGACTACAGCGCCGACTATGCCGAACTGCCCCAAACGGTGCAATGGTTTGTCTCGAACGTGGCTTCGAAGCTCGTCGCCTGGGACGCCATTTATTTCCTCAAGCTGGCCGCCGATGGGCCCACCTTCGAGCACGAGTACGTGTTTGGCCCGCTGTGGTGGCGCCTGCTTGCGCTGATCCCGTCCGCAAACATCTACTACAAGCTGCTGGGCGGCCTGCTGATCTCGAACATCAGCCATTATCTGAGCTGTGCGGTGCTCTACAAGCTCACCAGACGCTACTTTGACGAGCGGACGGCCCGCAACAGCGCGTATCTCGCGGTGATCCAGCCGTCGGGGGTCTTCAGCACCACCATCTACGCAGAGTCTGCCACTCAGCTTCTGTGCTACACGGCTCTGCTTCTGCGCAGCTACGGCCGGAAATCGCCAAAGTACTTCCTCTCCGGCATCCTTATAGCCATTGCCTTTGGACTGCGCTCCAACTGTCTGCTGTACGGGATCGTGTACCTGTACGACACCGTCGCGGGACAGTCACTGGTGTCGCTGGTCTCCGGCCTGCCTCTTTTTTTTGCGCTCTGTCTGTCGATCTACGTCCCGTACCGCGAGTTCTGCCCCGACAGAGGCGAATGGTGCCACTCGGCCACGCGCTCGCTGGTCTCGTACGCGCAATCGCACTACTGGGGTAACGGCTTTTTGGCGTACTTCAAGGTTGCCAACATCCCGCTGTTCATCATTGCCGCGCCCAGCCTGCTGATCCTGGCAGCGGCGATCTTCCGTCTCCGAGACCAGCGCCGACTGCGCCCAATTCTGCTCACGTCGCTCGTCTACCTCGTCCTCCAGCTTACCTCCATGCACGTCCAGATCGTCAACCGCGTCAGCACGTTCCTGCCGACTCACCTCTGGTTCGTGGCAGCTACGGGAAATAGAAAAATAGCAGCCTTCTGGCTGTTCTGGGTGCTGCTACAGACAGCTCTATTTGCCACGTTCCTGCCGCCGGCCTGATCACTCGACAAGCCGTCCGTAGCTCGTCGGAAACAGGCCCTTGACACCGTCGATCTCGCCCTCTGTCCACCCGGTGCCCGGGTCTTCGGTGACCACGGCCACGCGGTCGCCAACAGCCACGCCAAGCTCGTCGTCGCCCTGCGGCTCATAGTCGTACAATATCTCCATATACTTGACGCGCCGGGCTCCCTTGCGCGGCGCCACTTTCGGGCCCTGCTTCTTGGTCTGCGACACCTGGATGTACGACGTGGGAACGAGGCCCGTCTCGCCCGCTGGCGTCTGCACGCGCGTCCATCCAGAACCCGTGTCCTCCTCCAGCACCTGCAGCTCGTCGCCGGGCATGATGGAGGCCTCGTCCGCGTCGCCCGCCGTGTACGCGTACAGCGCCCTGGCCGGCGGGCCGCTGCTGCCACCACCCGAAAATATGCTGCCGATCTGGCCAAACAGCCGGCCCTTGGTGCTGCCGTGCGTCGTCGTGGTGAGCCTGCTCACCCCGCTGGTGACGGAGTGCACGTCGTCGAGGTCGGGCTCGTTGGCGGTCTTCTTGCGCAAAAAGCCCAGCGTGCGCTTCTTCTTCTTCTCGACCGGCCGCGCCAGCGTCAGGTCTTTGCCGTCCGCCGCCGTCTGGATCGTCTCGACCTCGACCTCGGCCGTGACCCGGTTCGTGTCGTCGTTCGCAAACTTCTGCAGCGCCGCCACGCCCTTGCTCAATAGAAGCTCGTACTTGTAATACTCGTCCTTCGTCTTGACCTTCACCTCTGCAAACGCGTCCTCCATCAGCCTGCGCCGCTCCTCCATGTTCTCCGCGAGCTGCTGCTTCTCCTCGGCGCAGACCCGCTCGTACCGCTCGTACAAGCGCGAGCTCTCGCTCAAAGTCTGCTTCAACACCTCCAGCTCGCGGCTCGTCGTGATCATCGACTCGTCGTCGTGCCAGATGTTCGACGGAACGTAGTAGAAGTCTGCCGGCTCCGTCCAGTTGCCCATGTTGTGCTTCACGAACATCGCCGTGTCCAGCTTCGGCAGGTTCTGCTTCACCATGCGCTCCATGTTCTCCAGACACTTGAGGCCGTTCTCCAGGCTCTGCCGCTCCAGAGCGGTCGCCGTCAGCCACACACCGTTCACCCGGTTCACCCGCGACTCGTTCAGCGCCTGCAGCCCGTCCAGAACCTCGGGCAGGTCCTGGTAGTAGTACTTGTCCTTGAGCCGGTTTGCAACGCTGATCTTGATCAGATAGTTATTTTTCGCCACGTTCATCTCAAACTCCCGCTTCTCGTACTTGTGCTGCACGCGCTCGCCGCTGCTTTTTTCCGTTTTCGACCGCTGGTTCTCCATCGCCTGGCACGCACTGTCGTACTCCTTCTTCGCCTTGTTGACGTCCTCGAAATGCTTGTCTCTCACGGCCTGCAGCTCCTCATCCGCCTGCTTCCATCTCTGCCGGATCGCGTCGTAGCGCGCCTGGATATCCGAGAAAGTTGCCACGACCCGCCTATCGAAATGCTGCGCCAGATCGCTGCGCTCCTTGGCCAGCTGCTCCGTCTGCAAGATGATCTCGGTCCACGCAACCAAACTAGCACATTCCAAAGACCCGGGAGTTATCAGCGGGTCCGGCCCGACGCTCACCGCGGCAGAAACCTTGGCCTTCTTCTTGAACGTCTCCGAACACAGGCTCTTCAGCTTGTCGGCGTACTCGGCCTCAATGACGGCCCGCTGGCGGTAGAACGCCTCCAGGTCGCCGACCCAGTCCAGCCCGGCCTTCACCCACCGCTCCGTCGGCTTGAACGCGTCCTTGAGCTCGTTTCCAATGCTAATCTCCATACTATAGCTGTTATTTTTCAACTGCCAAAATGCCACTTACATAAGCTACTCCTCACACCAGAGCCTGGAGCCGGTGCTGGATTATGGGCCCCATGACAGCGTCGACACGAAGCCCCTCGAGCTCGTCCGAACGGCGGCTCAAGCCGGCCTGGCGCAGCAGATGTGTCGCCGTATACTGCTTCGTGCGCTCTGTCTCCAGGAGCACCGCTGGGTCCTTGCAACTCAGCCCCAGCAGGTCCCCTCTGTCGCACGCCTCGTTCGACACCCACGAGCGCAGACTCGTCCTGAACGTGTGGTGCTCGTGGGTGAGGCGTGTAAGGTACTTAGGATACTCCCGGAGAAGAATCTGGTCCACGTTGTGCGGAACGTAGGCCAGGACACCTTCAAATAGGACAGGTCTCAGCGGAGAAATCTCGTCATGCGTGTAGTAGTGCTCGTCGCGACAGCTGTATAGCTGCGAAAAATCGCGGTGGTCAAGTTCGTTTTGCGAGTAGAGCCGCTGAAGCTCGTCGAGCCGTTTTTTTCTTGTGGGTGGCAGCTGGCCGGGAGTGTTGGCCAGGCTCGTGATGTCGATGTAGAGGCCGGTGGCGGTGTCGATGAGGCGCGCATCAATGGCGTTGTTGCCGTTGCCGCGACTGCGGTCACAGAAATACGGGCTCACGTCCAGCAGGTAGCTCCCTGTGCCGTCGACGTCCACGACAAGCGTCTGGTTGTAGTCACGTGCCAGACGCAGCAGGCTGGCCTGCGTGACCTGGACGTCGAGGTCGAAGTCCCAGTCGAGCACGAGGCCGTTGAACTGGTACCCGAGCAGCGTTCCGTGGGCCAGCCACGTGCGCAGGCCGGCGACGCTCGAGAAACGGAGCCAGGTGGCCACCAGCTTGTGCAGCGTGGCTTTGCGCTCGATCGACGAGAGATTGCGAGCATTGAAGAAGCGCCAGTCGAAATGCGCGCCGTTGATCTTGTTGCTGTAGTTGTCTGCCTCGTAGAAGTACTTGGGCGGGTTTTCGTGGACTTTGTCTGCGGCAACGTCCCAGAAAAAGTCGTTTTCGGAGATAGGCACAGCCCTGCCATCGTCTGGCTGGTCGGTCTTCACACACAGGGCCCGCGACTGCAATATGCCGGCCTTGCAGTGAGAAGAGCTAAAGAGCCGCCGTGCCTCGGCTTTCAATTCTATCCCCGATGGCACGTCCGGCTGTAGCAGACCCTGGCCTGCCATTTTCCGGATAGTATACTCGGCGATCAGCTGGCCCACGGTGGCCCGCGAATGCGGCTCGGTGCCCACAATAGCGGCATTGTGTCTCTGGATAAACAGCACCTTCTCCGGGGGTGGCGCAGCGTCGAGCAGGTAGCTTGCCCCGTGGACGACTCGCGCGTCGACGGCCATCTTGGGGACGTACGGCGCAGCCACCCTCATGGTCGGGTAGTATGACGGCAGCGACAGCATCTGCGTCCCGTCGGCGTCTACACACGACAGCCGCGAGAGCCTGTTCTGGGATCTGAACGTTTTACAGTCGAGGCTGCGGCCGCGGTTGGCAACCATCCACGGCTGGGCCGGACGGAGTCGATCGTCCATATCCACCCAGTCGCGCCAGTGGAACGGGATCGCAAACGGCCGTCCCGTGTCCGGCAGTTTGGCGTCCAGACGCGTTTGCAGCTTGGACAGCCACAGAGCGGCCACCAGGCGCGGGTCGAACGGGTCATCAGGAGACGGGAACGAAGATCTTTCTAGATCTATTTTTTTTTTTAGATCCGGCTGTAGCGTTTCAAGTTGCAGATAATCGGAATCGCCGAGCGGGAGGCGAGCATGCAGATAGACCCAGTCGCTGTACTGGGCTGGCGACCGGGTCAGGATCCACAGGGTAATTGCCAAGAGACAGGCGGCGCAGAGGAGTCTGGAAAACTTGCGATTTAGTCTGGATTTCGAGTATCTCAGCCTAATAGCTATCTCGTCTATGGGAGACCCAAAGGAGGCAGGCGAGTAGGGCGAAAAAGAAGAGACAGACGTCTCAGGGAAGAACAGAGGGCTCGCAAGCTTGGACGGGCCCAGCACAGGAATGATCTCCGACTTCCCCATGGTACACGATGCAGACCAGGAAGCGCTCGGGATAAATTGGCAATTCCGCTCGCCGAATCCAGAGCGCTACGGGTCTCGGCGATAATTAGTAACGAGCTTAAAACCCGAACCTCTGATTGAAATCGAGCGCACCCCCATTGTTAAAATTAATAATCTACATTTTCTATGGTTGGCGCACGCCATTCCGAGCTAAGCAATAATATAAATAGCACTTCTATATACCGATTTTTGTACCATCCCACTGCTATTTCCATGTCTGCGGAAATGTATCGCGCCCGGTCCGGCGAGACCGTCGATTCTGTGAAGCCCTTTGATGTCGACGACGAGGGAAGAGAGCTTGCTGAGTTGCACAACTCCGTTACACACCATTCCATGGGACAAGGGCAACAAGGCGATGTTTTGACCCGTTTGTCCACCTTGTCGCGTACTATGTCGAAGATGAACGCCAAGCAAATGGAAAAGCTCGAAATTGATCCCAACGATTTCGATCTCAAGCGTATTCTCGAGTACATGAAGGGAAGGTCCAACGAGCAGGGCATTGGGGGCCGCACCACCGATCTTATTTTTGAGGACCTGGAGGTCGTTGGTAAGAATACCGCCGTCTCCATTGTGCCTACGGCGGGCGACATATTTTTTGGCCCCTTTTTGAAACTCGTCGACAGATTCTCCAACAAGCAGCAGCCAACTGACATTGTCAAACTGGAGAAAACAAGAAAAATTCTCCAGGGATTCAATGGAATCTGCGAAGCAGGCACCATGACGCTTGCACTGGGCAGGCCGGGAAGCGGATGCTCGACGCTTTTGAAGGCACTTACGGGAGAGACTCAGACCTATATCGGTACATCAGGTGAGGTCATCTATAATGGTATCTCCCAAGCGGACATGATGAAATACTTCAAAAACCAGGTCATCTATAACCCAGAACTGGATGTGCATTATCCCTATCTGACTGTGGAGCAGACAATGAATTTTGCCATTGGCTGCAAGACCCCAAAGATCAGAATCGATAATCTTTCTCGGTCTGAGTACATCAGAACCATCAAGGACCTTTATTTGACCTTGTACGGTTTGAAGCACGTGGAAAAGACGCTTGTGGGTAATGACTTCGTGAGAGGTATTTCTGGTGGACAGAGAAAGCGTGTTTCTATTGCTGAGGCCATGGCTACTCGTGCCTCTGTTTACTGTTTCGATAACGCAACCAGGGGTTTGGACGCATCCACTGCTCTGGAGTTTGTCGAATCTCTCCGTACCATGACTAATATCACTCAATCGACTTCCATTGTGACCATCTACCAGGCCTCGGAAAACATCTACCAATTATTCGACAACGTTACAGTTCTGTACAACGGAAGACAAATTTATTTTGGTCCTATCGAAGATGCAGTTGACTACTTCCAGAGACTTGGATTTGTCAAGGGTGCCAGAGAAACCAGCGCTGAATTCCTGACTTCGGTCACCGATCCCCTTGCCAGAAAAGTTGCTTCAGGATTCGAACACAAGGTGCCTAGAAATGCAGACGAGTTTGAAGCCCGCTGGCGGTCTTCTCCGGAGTTTGACGCTCTGATGAAGAAGATTGCTGAGAAAAAGGCCGCCTACGATCCTTCTGCAACCTATGATAATTTCCGTTCCGTGCACTCTCTCGAGAAGCAGAAATTCACGGGTGCCAAATCCAGATATGTGGTGAATTACCTCGAGCAACTCAAGTTGTGCACCAAGAGAGGCTTCCACAACATTGCCAACAACAGCGCCTACACGGCCACTTTGATGGTTGCTGCCTTAGTGCAGTCTTTAATTGTCGGCTCCCTTTATTATAATACCCCATCGTCGACCATCGGCGCATTCCCTAAGGGAGGTGCGATTTTCTTTGTCTTGCTCTATTTCAGTATCATGTGTTTGGCCGAGATGTCTGCCTTCTTTGAAAACAAGCCAATCACCAACAAACAACGAGGATACTCGTTTTTCCATCCGTCTGCTGACCTAGTGTCGAGTTTCCTTACCCAGACACCTGTCAGAGCCGTTGCCATACTGGTGTTCTCACTGGTTCTTTACTTCATGTCCAACCTAAAGAGAGAAGCTGGTCCGTTCTTTGCATTCATTCTGTTCACCAACATTGTTGTCCTGGCAGTCAACTGTATGTTCGTCCTGATTGCCTCGCTGTCCCCAACGCTTTCCGCAGCCAACGGGTTCGCGGGTATCATCATGATGTCTACCATCTTGTACAGTTCCTATATGATCCAGCGGCCGTCGATGTACTGGTGGTTCAAGTGGTTTTCGTACATGAACCCAATTCTCTACGGCTTTGAATCTCTCATCACTTTGGAGTTCAGAGGACGCAAGATGCCTTGTGCACCTTCTCAGATCATTCCAAGAGGTCCTGGCTATGAGAATATCAGTCCAGATAACAGGGTTTGTGCGTTCACAGGAGCAAGTGCTTCCAGGGCTCTTTATGGTTCCGGGGATTACGTTTCGGGAGAAGTCTACCTCAGCTACAGTTTCCAGTACACTTTCGATCATTGTTGGAGAAACTTTGGAATCTTGATTGGATTTGTCGTTGGCTTCCTGGTCATAAACATGATCATTGTCGAGTTTTACAATCCAATGGTGGCAACTTCTGACCAGCTCTTATTCGTGAAAGGAGCTAAATTGCCAGACTCTCTCTTGGAGGCCACTGGCCAAGCACGTCCAAAGAGTGACGAGGAGAGTGCAGGAAATTCGCGTACTGACACTAAGAGCGAGGTTGATGAGGCTCAACACTCTACCGCGGACACTACCGGCGAAAAACTCGGCTCGAACGATATTTTCATGTGGCAGCATGTTAACTATGTCGTTCCTTATGAAGGAGAGGACCGTAAGCTCTTGGATGATGTGCAAGGGTACGTCCTTCCAGGAACGTTGACCGCCTTGATGGGCGAGTCTGGTGCCGGTAAGACGACACTGCTCAATGTTTTGTCCAGAAGAACCGATGTCGGTGTTGTCACCGGTGACATGCTGATCAACGGTAAGCCAATCGACAGCTCGTTTGAAAGAAGAACCGGTTACGTCCAGCAACAAGATCTACATATTGCAGAGCTGACTGTTCGTGAGTCGCTGATTTTTGCGGCCAGACTGAGAAGACCAGCAGATGTTCCGGACGAAGAGAAAATTGCCTATGTCGACAAAATCTTGCAGATCCTGAACATGGAGGAGTATGCTGACTCCGTCGCTGGAGAGGTTGGTTACGGTCTTAACGTTGAGCAACGTAAGAAGCTGTCGATTGCCACCGAGCTTGTGGCCAAGCCATCGTTGCTTCTGTTCTTGGACGAGCCTACGTCTGGACTGGATTCTCAGTCTTCGTGGGCCATTGTTCAGGTCTTGAGATCGCTAGCTGCTGCCGGCCAGGCCATTCTATGTACTATTCACCAGCCCTCGGCCACTTTATTTGAGCAGTTTGACCGTCTGCTTCTTTTGAGGAGAGGAGGTCAAACCGTCTACTTTGGCGACATTGGGCCAAACTCGCGCACCATGTTAGACTACTTTGAGTCGAATGGTGCCAGAAAATGCAGTCCGAGCGAAAACCCTGCGGAGTACGTCTTGGAAGTCATCGGGGCTGGTGCCACCGCTGTCACTGACAAGGACTGGCACGAAATTTGGAAAAATAGTACCCTTTACGAGAAGACGTGCGCAGATGTGGAGAAATTAATCAACGACACCAAGAACATGCAATCGTCAGACCAGTCTCACTTGAAATCTCGTTTTGCTGTTTCTTACGGGACTCAGTTCAAAAACGTGCTGGTGAGAACGTGGTTGCAATTTTATAGAGACGTCGACTATGTGATGTCCAAGTTCATGTTGATGCTTCTTGCAGGTCTGCTCGTTGGTTTTTCTTTCTGGAACGTCAAGCACACCTCGATTGGTATGCAGAACCTCATGTTTGCTTGTTTCATGGCCGTTGTCGTTAGCGCTCCATTAACTAACCAGATTCAAGAAAGAGCCATTAAATCGAGAGAACTCTTCGAGGTCAGAGAGTCCAAGTCCAACACTTTCCACTGGTCTTGTCTGTTGCTATCTCAGTTCCTTGTGGAGCTGCCATACTCCATTACTTTCAGTACCATCTACTTCATCTGCTGGTACTTCCCTATCCAGCTTGACAACGAGCCTTCGAGAGCCGGACTGTGGTGGTTCTGCCAATCTATTTTCTTCCAGCTCTACTATGTGTCACTGGGATTGGCTGTCGTTTACGCATCTCCAGACCTGCCTTCTGCCAACGTGCTGATTGGTTTGGTGTTCAACTTCATCGTCTCCTTCTGCGGAGTGGTGCAAAATCCAAGTCTTATGCCGGGATTCTGGCATTTCATGTGGAGAGTGTCTCCGTATACCTACCTTGTTGAGAACCTTGTCGGAATCCTGCTGCACGATAGACCTGTCCACTGCGCGGAGAAGGAGCTTAACTACCTGGACCCACCTCAAGGTGAGACCTGTGGAAGTTACCTTGCTCAGTACTTTGAAAACTACTCTGGATACGTTGCAAACCCTGATGCTACTTCCAATTGCAGTGTCTGCCTGTACAAAGTTGGTGACCAATGGATGGATACTGTGGGTATGAAGTACAGTCACAGATGGAGGAATATTGGCTTTTTCTGCGTTTACATTGGCTTCAACTTGTTTGCGATGTTGTCCTTGTACTACGTGTTGAGAGTGCACAAGTGGAAACTGCCAGCATTTAAATTCGGGAAGAAATAGGAAAATTTATACATATTCAATGCTAATTACTTGCGCACTATAAGAGCTGCATATACTACTGCCTGATTACCGAAAATAAAAAAATATTTCTGGACATCTTAACCCAAAAATATGCCGTCCCCAGGAATCGAACCTGGGTCGCTTGTGCCACAAACAAGAGTACTAACCACTATACTAGAACGGCTTCTTATGTTATGTCAGCGGGTGCAATCCGACAAGTAGGATGCAGCTTCCAGAGCATGCTCGATTCATTTAAACCCGATCGACCACTACAACACACATATCATCTCCTCGTGTCTGCATTCCTCTATATACTACTCATCCATAGTAATCACAGCACGGATGCAGTCTCCCCTGTGCATGTCATGGAAAGCTTGGTTTATATCTTTCAATGGGTGTCTGTGTGTGATAAACTCGTCAACCTTGATCTTGCCGTCCATGTAGTCCTGCACAAGATCCGGCATCTGGGTTCTTCCCTTAATACCTCCGAAGGCACATCCTCTCCAGACCCTACCGGTGACCAGTTGGAACGGTCTCGTAGAAATCTCCTTGCCGGCAGGCGCGACACCAATGATGATGGATTCTCCCCATCCCTTGTGGCAGGCCTCGAGAGCATTTCTCATCACTTGGACGTTACCAGTACAGTCGAAGGTGAAGTCGCAGCCTCCATCGGTCATCTCGATCAGCTTGTCCACGATGGACTGGCCTTCTGGGAGCTTGGCTGGGTTAACAAAGTCGGTAGCACCAAACTTGAAGGCCCAGTCCTTTTTCGACTCATTGATGTCGATCACAATGATCTTGCCGGCCTTTTTCTGCACAGCACCCTGGATCACAGAGAGACCGATACATCCAGCACCAAACACGCCGATGTTGTTACCCTCGGTGATCTTGGCAGTGTTGATGGCTGCACCGTAGCCGGTAGTGATACCGCAGCCCAGCAGACAGGTTCTGTCCATTGGAGCCTTCGGATCAACAGCCACAACAGAAATGTCCGCCAAAACGGTGTACTGGGAGAAGGTGGAGCAGCCCATGTAGTGCAGCAGGGACTTGCCCTTGCAAGTGAACCGCGTGGTTCCGTCCGGCATCACACCCTTACCCTGGGTTGCTCTGATTTTGCCGCAAAGGTTGGTTTTACCCGACTTGCAGAACTTGCACTCTCTGCACTCCGGAGTGTAGAGACAGACAACGTGGTCGCCGACTTTCACGCTCGTGACGCCTTCACCGACCGACTCAACGATACCGGCACCCTCATGACCGAAAATGACGGGGAATTGGCCCTCTGGATCGTTACCGGATAAGGTGTATCCGTCAGTGTGACAAACACCGGTGTACGCGATCTTGACTCTGACCTCGTGCGCCTTTGGCGGAGCAACCTCAATGGTTTCGATGGTGAGGTCCTTGCCTGCCTCCCAGGCAACAGCGGCTTTACAAGTGATTGTTTTTCCGACAGTAGACATTTTGCTCTGGTAATTTTTAGGCGAATTCACTTCCTTAAATAGTCTCCGAACTTTTAAATACAGAAGGCTCCTGCATGCCTAATCGGGAATTAATAAGAGAGCTATTGTTATTTGCCAATTCTCGAAAACTGATCCCCGACGGTTGATCGACCCTGCTTTGGCGTATATTTTAGCAGCTGGCAGAATGCTCACATGGGCGTGAACTGGCAAGGCTGGTGTCGAGCAACTAGATCGGCATATTTGCGTGCTGTTGTTCTGGAGTATCAGGAGCAGCTTGCTACGGCTGGGAAGTGCACAAAAAACCCCGATACGTGCACTCCCGACTTTGAGCCACCTGTTGGAGCTTTTACGAAAGGGCCCTGGACAGGACACTCCAAAAGCTGATGGGGCCCGGGTGTCGCAAAAGTGCTTCTCTTCTACTACGGTGCAGGGTGTACTTGTAGTAAAAAATTAGTATCATATTTATGAGCGTCCTGTTGGAGACCAATGCTGGCAATCTGGTGATCGACCTTTTCGTGAACAGCGCCCCCACCGAGTCCAGGACGTTTATTGCTCTCTGTCTGAGCAAATTCTACCACTACTCGCCGTTTGTGAACGTGCGCAAAAACGTCGCCGTGGACTCTGGCAACCCGCACTTTCCAGACCCCATTGTTGCTCCGCAACCAGATAAATTTATAGACTTCACGCCATCATCTAATTTCAATCCAGGCAAACTGGGCGAGGTGCTGTTTACCTCCAACGGGGACAAGTTCGGCCCGGAATTCTTCATTTCTCTCGGCCCTGCGACGGACAAGTGCGGATACGTCTTTGGAACCATTGGCGAGGGTTTCACCACATTGGAGTACATCAACAACTGCGTGCTCGACGAGGCCGGCCGTCCGCTCAAAGATGTTCGGATTCTGCACACTTTTGTGCTCGACGACCCGTTCTCGCTACTGTTCGAAGCGCCTCCTAGCCCGTACCCTACACAGAAACAAATCGACTCGTTCAGACTGCTCGTGGACGAAAGTGCTCTCGAAGACATCAAGGCGGAGTCACATGCTCTCACGCTGGAAGTGCTGGGCGACCTGCCGTCGGCAAAAATTCAGCCCAGCGAGAAAGTGCTATTTATCTGCAAGCTGAATCCGGTCACCACGGAGGACGACTTGCGCCTGATTTTCCAGCGCTTTGGACAAATCACGTCCGTTGAAGTTATCAGAGACAGGGTTACCGGCCACTCGCTGTGCTACGGGTTCATTGAGTTCACCAACAAGTCGGCCGTGGAGCGGGCGTACCGCAAAATGGAGGGTGCTATTATTGACGATAGAAAAGTCCATGTCGACTTTTCGCAGAGCACGAAGCGCAAACGAAATAGAAACGATTCTACATAGCTACTACCCGCTCATCTTGCTCACCACGTAGTCCTTGACGAAAGGCACATTGTTGAGCACGTTCACACCAAACGACCGAGCCATCACAATGGGAGCAACGTCAGTAGAGTATATCTTGTGCAGCTTGTCCATGACGCCGAGAAGAACGTGGTTGGCAGGATACCGCTCGCTGAAATACGGCTCCAAGGCCAACTTGCTGCCGATGTCCAGCCCGCGTTCCATCGACTTCTCCAGCACTGCCACCAGACTCTTCACGTCCGCCTGGCCCATGTTCAGCCCCTGGCCGGCGAGCGGGTGTGTTGTGTGGGCGGCGTCTCCAACAAGGGCAACACGGTCCTCCACGTACGTGTCTGCGTGGCTCATCTTGAGCGGGAACTTGGCGCGCGACTTGGCCACAATGGCGTCGACCTCCAGGGGGTACTTTTCCATCTCCTGTGGCGACAATTTGCCGTTGAAGACGTTCAGTCTCCACGTGATCTCGCCGACCAGGCTTTCCGGGTCATCATGAGCCATCCTGTACAAAAACTCCAGCTCCTCGACCGGCAGCTTCACGGCAGCATTCACCATAGCCAGAAACGCGTCGTCGTCGAGCCTCAGCAGAATATCGGAGTATTCCGGCGTCGTCGACCACACCAGGCTCGTCCAGTTGTCTGGGAGCGGCAGCAGCGCCAGAGGACCGCTTGGCAAAAACCTCTGCCACCCTGTCGGGTATCTGAACTCTCCGTCTTTGAATTTGAACGTAGCAACAATGCCCCAGCGGTTATACGACCAACCGCGGCTCTCGATCTGCGCAAACTTCCGCACCGGCGAGTTGTACCCGTCGCAACCCACAAGCAGCCGACTTTTTAGAGACTCGCCGCTCGACAGCTGCAACACGGGCCATCCATTAGCTTCATCGCTCGTGATGTTCTCGACCTTCGTGTTGTCCACAATACCTGTCTCCTCATTCAATTCCTCTATCCGTGCAAGTAATGCGGACTGGAGGTTTGCATTCTCGCACATCGTGGCCAGCGACGGGCCGTCGAAGTCGATCTGGGCTCCCGAGACCCCGTCCCACGCAACGATGTTGTCGTAGCTCTCGACGCGGTCCTCCTTGATGTGTGCCCATACGCCAATGTCTGACAAATAGGAGACGGTAGAAGGCGTGAGCGAAACGACCCTGTTGGTGAAGTTGGAGGGCGGGTGCTGCCTGAAGCTTTTGAGTGGTCCGACGAGGTTGCCTCCTTCCACGAGCTTGCAATTGAGCGACGACAAGACCGGCGAGTTTTTCACGGCCGCGGCCAGCGTGAGTCCTGCGGGGCCACCGCCAATAATCACGATGTCGGCCAATTGCGTCCGGGCAGTCGACAGGAAACGAAGGGACATGAGAATAAAAAATAAAATAAAAAAATACCAAATGTTCAGTGCTCTGGTCAGGTCACTCGGGCTAAAACCGTTTATGCGGCGAGTCCATACCGGCGACACCGTCTCGATCAAAAATCTGCGGTACTGTGGCCTGATCAACGGGCGCCGGATGCCGCTCAGCCTGTCGACCGACCTGATCACAGACTTTGGCCAGGCCAGCACCGACGACGATCTGCGGTACTCCATCAACTACGCCGTCTTGAGCCGCGACCTCCGTTCGTTTGAGAAGAAGTACAGCCACAACAGCTTCCGTTCGCTTCTGCAGCTCGGCGAGGGTATTTTCAACGAGGTGCTTTTTAGCACCAACTGCAAGCGTGCCACACTGACATTAACCATGGACCATCCGGACTGCGACGTGGCCGTCGAAATGAGCCGTGACAAGTCAGACAGGCCCAAAATCACTCTCAGACTGGACAACTTAGGCGTCGACACCATCATTGGAGTGTTCAAGGAGGAGAGACTGGCAAAGCAGCCTGTGGTGCTGAACCTCGCATTGGACCTGGCGGGCGAGTTCTCTGTCGACAGTATTGTGTCAAGCGCAAAGAACTACGTTTCCAGGTCTCAATTCAAAACCGTCGAGGCGCTCGCGCTGAACGTGGCCAAGCTGGCGTTCCAAGCAGCCGAAAACGCTCGCCACTGCAAAGTGTCTGTGCTCAAGCCAAAGGCTATCGACGAAACCGACGGCGTCGGCGTCTCTGTGGCCAGATCGAGAGCCGATGTGCAACGCCAGCCACTCGTAGATTCCCAGTCGTCGGATTACGTCCCAAATCTCAGCAAAACAGCCATCGTCAGGGACGGAAAGCACACTGTGTACTTGGCTGTGGGCTCGAACCAGGGCTCCCAGTTGACTAACATCAACATCGCCCTCGACGAGCTCGCAAAGAGGAACATAAACGTCCGAGCCACGTCGTCGCTGTTCCGCTCGGCCCCAATGTACTACTCCAACCAGCCCGATTTCGTCAACGGCTGCGTGAAAGTGGAAACAGAATTGCGGCCGCAGGACCTTCTCAAACAGATAAAAGAAATCGAGTACGAGGTGCTGGGCAGAGTGAAACATTTCGACAACGGCCCGCGGCCAATCGACCTCGACATTATTCTCTACGACGAGGCAATCTACAACTCTGCAGACCTCACCATTCCTCACATAAGCATGCTGGAACGGCCATTTGTGCTCGCGCCGCTGTGTCAGCTTGTGCCGCCGGACATGCTGCACCCGGTCACCGCCGAGCCGATCCACAGCCACTGGCACCAGCTGCGCAAGACGACCAGAGCCGACGACCTGCAACCGGTCATTCCCATATCTGGTGCACGGATGTTGCCGTACGGCAGCAGGACGCTGCTGATGAGCATTCTGAACGTCACGCCGGACTCTTTCAGCGACGGGGCTGCCTCGAATCTGGAGATCGGCCACACGCTTTCCCGTGTGGAGCGGATGGCGGCAGCGGGCGTCGATATTGTCGATCTGGGCGGGTGCTCCACGCGGCCGGGCTCAGAGCAGGTTTCCGAGGCCGAGGAGTTGGACAGAGTGCTTCCCGTGCTGGAGCAGATCCGGAAACAGTTTCCGGAGCTTGTCGTGAGTGTTGACACGTACAGGGCTGAAGTTGCGCGCGCGAGCGTGCAACTCGGAGCAGATATCATCAACGACGTGAGCGGCGGGCTTCTTGACGATAAAATGTACGAGTTTGTGGCGCAGTCAGGCGTCGGGTATGTGCTGGGCCACATGCGCGGCAACATCGCGACGATGAATGCGCTCTCGAACTACGACGAGGTCGCGCCCGGGGAAGTCAAGCAGTTTTCCGATTACAGTCCTGTCATGGGCGGAGTGTGCCGAGAACTTGGTGTTGCTATCGAAAAAATGCAGGAAGCTGGAGTGCGGCGGTGGCAGGTGATAATCGACCCCGGGCTCGGGTTCGCGAAAAAGACAGAACACAACTTGGAGCTGATTAGAGACTTGAAAAAGCTCGCACAGTACCGCCAGCTGTCTTTGGAAACTGGACAGTATGTCTCGTTTGACGATGTGGCCTTGCTGATGGGGCCTTCGCGTAAGCAGTTTATCGGTGGAATCACAGGCAAGCCGCCAAAAGACCGGGTATTCGGAACAGCGGCAGCAGTGTCGGCATGCATTGCGAACGGCGCAGACATTGTGCGCGTTCACGACTTTGAGCCGATGAAAGATGTCGCGCTCGTGGCCGACAGCATCTACAGGACGTTGTGATTTCTTGCGTTATAATTATAACCACTTATAACCACTATGTACTTTACTCCGATTCCATCTCGCAGAACTTGGAAATGTGGCCGGACTCTCCACACTTGTAACAGGTTTTGGCGTTGTAGTTGGACCCACCGCTGGCAGACGTGCAGTCCTTGGAGATGTGGCCCGTCTTGCCGCAGGCATAGCACTTGACGACGCCAGACTGACAGTCTCTGGCAAAGTGGTTCAGGCCTCCACATTTGTGGCACGTGACCTTTGGCCCGCCCTTAGCAGCAGAGCAGCCTTTGGCCAGGTGGCCGATTTTGCCGCAGTTGTAGCACTTCGAAACCGGCCTCAGCGGCTCAGAGCACTCGCTCTGCACATGGCCGGTCTGCTTGCAGTTGTAGCACTGCTTTTGCGTGGTCTGCTTTGGCTCCGGGCACTCGCCAGACTCGTGTCCTGGCTGCTTACAGTTGTAGCACAACCTCTCGGTTTCTTGACAAGCGTCGGCAAAATGACCGACCTGTCCACACTTGTAACACGTTCTTGGGAACACCACAGACATCACTAAACTCCTTCACAGGTCTTATAAGACTGGAGGTGTTGCCGACAATAAAAATTTTCAGACCGCGCCACCTCCCACCAGCCATGACGTAACGGCTTATGCAACAACCCCGGCTTTATCAAATCTCCTTTTGATCCATGATGTAGAGCCCGTAATCCGCGGTGGACTCCATCATGTCGTACGCTTTGTCCAGATCGACCTGCTCGTCCTGTTTCACGATCCGCGCAATGATCTCTGGCGTGAGCACAAATCGCGTGAAGTAGCTGCGCCCCCAGAACTGCAGCACCTTGTTCGACTTTTTATCTGTAAGAAGATCGTCCAGTTGGCTTAGCAAATGCTGCGTAATGGCGTTCGCGCGCATAGACCCTATGTACCCGTGGTACCTCTGTTTGGGCAAGTTTATTATTTCGGAGTCTGTCACAAACAGGCGAGGCGAGGACTCTGCGTATTCCCGGGCAATCTCGTAAAAATACGAGGCCGTCTTCCCATTCAAAATATCCCTTGCCACAGCGAGCTGTTTTTCTGTGGCCTCCAGCAGCTCGCTTTTCGTGTATATTTTGGGCCGGAACGAACTGTACTTCTTTGAGGTCCGCTCGGTAGCCTCCGCATCGTCGTAAATATGTTTCATCGGCCCCTGCGTCTCGGCAATCGGAAGCACTTCGTCCGTTTCCACACTGTCCGCTTTGGACAAGAGCTTGTTGATATACTTGGACTCGGCCTTCTCCGGTTTCTTGATGCTGTCGAGCTGGTTCAGCAGCTTGTCTGTGTCTTGTTTTATGCGCGAGATGTCGAAGTCTTTGAGCAACTCGTCGGCGGAATTTGTGTGAGGTCGCTTGGAGGGCGGAACCTCACCGCACGCGATGTAAACATCGCGTTTGGATTTTCGGCGAGGTTTCGCAGAGTCGGACGACGACGGCCCCAGCAGCGTGTCCTCGGAGGGGATCCGCGAACTCAGCTTCCTGGGCTTCCGGATGTACGTCAAACTTCCGAACTTCGTCTTGCTTGATTCCATCTGGAATTGGAGAGGTTTCTTCGGTGTGCGGTGTACAATTTTGATATGAATCATATTATAGATATGAACGTGTTTGCTAGATAAGTTTTATATATGAGGTGTCAGGTGTGGTAGTATCGTACCTAGACAGCCCGATGTCAGCTATGTGTTGTTATCAGCGTCTGTGTTGTGTCCTTCTAGCTCGGAGACCCGCTTTCTGAGGCTTTCATTGTCAGTTTTGAGGTGCTCAATGTATTTGGTGACTATGTCGAGGATCATTGACTTGTTCAATTTCCTCCCGCCGAGTCCGTGGCCTTGGAGATGGTCCAGACCTGCCGCATCGATCTCAAAGGCAACGATCTCATTGCTCATCCAGGGAACCAGTTTCTGTAGATTTGCGATTTTGGAGTTGATGTTGATTCGGTATTTGCGCTCGATTTTATTGTGGGCCTTCCGCTGTGTTACTGTCATCGGCTTTTTCGACCGGGCAGTTGTGCTTTTTCTCCGGCGGCGGGTTTTTGCTGTGGTGCTGGGCTCTGGCTTCTCCTCTTCAGGCGAGGTTGTAGGCGAGGACGAAGGAGCCATGTCCATCACATCCGGAACTTCGAACAAATCAGGCTCGTAGCTTCCGACGCTGCTCAGCGAGTTCCGGTGCGAATCGAAATCGTACTGGAAATCGTCCATCCAAGTGAACTCTGGTATAGCTTGCGACATCACGGGAGCTTGGGCTTTCCTAGCTGCGCATGGTGCCTTTTTATATGATGTGAGGCTGGCCGTTGAATGGGCTCTGAGCATAGCACACCTGCGAGCGCCCACGCGACATATGCAGAATCATCTATTTTGTGCGTCAAGCGTTCCAATTAGTAAAATAAGACCACATTTTTTTTGAACTGGGAGCATCATTTGTTATTGTTTCCAGGGGCTGCATAATGCATATACGGGGCAGTGCAACAATTGTATCGGGACTCTGGGGCTGCTATCGCTATCCTGAACAGCCAGAGTGTCCATCTGGGTCCACCTCCCCGGGCCAACATGCAGAGCCAATTGCTAAGCCTCATCAATGAAGGCAGCATATCCACTATTGGTTGCTTTGCGCCAACCACGTGTGAAAGCGAGCGCTGCAGGTTGAATTCCGGTGGCGGCCATTTACCCCCATGTGGGATGCGATAATTGTCTAGAGCCTTCGCGACCCCTGCAAGGATGGAATCTTTTTCACGCATTATTTCCGGGTTTTTTTTGTCTCGGGTGAAGAAAAAAATCGCCCTTGGAGCTGGCTGCACCAGCTGCGCTAACCCGGGTTGTTAGTTACACCAAACAATAACTGCACCTCTACACCAGTAACTATTTTTCTAATTTTTGTTTATGGACTTTGATCAACAACTACAGCTCCGCTTCGCGCTCATCGAGAGCTCCAAAGTCTTGCAGTCGCTTCACCTGTACCATGGCGCCAAGTGGTCGAGCGAGGCTCTCAACGGCTTGAGCCCGCTCACAAACGATCAGAAAGTGGCCGTGTTCCAACAATCACAACAAAGGCCTCCGATCTCGTTTCTCCCTGAACACTCTCACGACGACTTTCTCGAGTTCACTGAGCAGGACAAACTGCTGATGGCTACGTCATATTTTAGTTTCAAGGAGTTCGACCGATGTGCTCATGTCCTGAAAGATTGCGCCAGTCCTCGAGGCCTGTTTCTGAGACTCTATGCCCTGTTCTTGAGTGGTGAGAAGACGAAGTACGACGAAACGGGGGGCGTGCTTGGCCAGCAGGACGGAAAGGTCCAGAACCAAAAATTGACGGAAATATCAAAGGAACTGGAAACTTACGGCAAGCAGAGCGCAAGGGGGCAATTGGAGGATCCCTTTTTACTTTTCCTCAATGGGCTTGTCGCAGCCAAGTTGAAAGACAACGCAGTGGCTCAGGACTGCTTTTACAAGTCTCTCACTATATACCCTTTCAATTGGTCCTGCTGGTCTGAGCTGATTGCCAATCTGGCGAGTTTTGGAGAGGCGTTGAACGTCCTTAATAAATTCTCCAAGAATGCCAAGTTCATGAACAACATACTGTACCGTGTTATGCTGCGCTTTTTCAAGATCACCATCAGCCAGGAATTTTTTCAGCAGCTCAATGAGCTGTATGAAGACCTGTCGTACTTGCTAGACATTTTCCCTAAATTCAGCTACTTGAAGATCCAAAAAGCTCTCATTTCTTATAATGCCCTCGACTACATCGCTGCTGAGAACATTTTCGATGACGTTTTGGAAAGCGATCCGCTCAGACTGGACGACATGGACACATACTCCAACATTCTGTATGTGATGGAGAAAAAATCCAAGCTCGCGTTCCTGGCCCATTTTGCGTCTCAGATCGACAGCTTCAGGCCTGAAACGTGCTGCATTCTTGCCAACTACTACTCGCTCAAGTTTGACCACCAGAAAGCTATCATGTACTACAAGAGAGCTTTGGCTTTGAACAGAAACTGTCTGAGCGCCTGGACTCTCATGGGCCACGAGTTTGTTGAGCTCAAGAACTCCCACGCGGCCATTGAGAGCTATAGACGCGCTGTCGACACAAACAACAAAGACTTCCGTGCTTGGTACGGTCTAGGCCAGGCATACGAGGTTCTGGATATGCATCTGTACAGTCTTTACTACTATCAAAGAGCATGTGCACTCAAGCCGCTTGACAAGCGGATGTGGCAAGCGGTTGGAAACTGCAGCGAAAAATTGGGCGAGTACGAGGATTCGATCAAGGCATACAAGAAAGCCCTGTCCGTGTCAAGCGAGTACGATCCGGTGATATTCTACAAACTGGCAAATCTGTACCAGTCCCTCAAAGACGACTCTAATGCTGCAGTGTACATGAAACTTTGTTTGGATGAAGAGGCCATTGAAGGAGTCACCACAGAGACCACCAAGGCTCGTCTGTGGCTAGCAAGGTACGAGCTGCACCATCAAAACTGGCAGGCTGCTTATGACTATGCATCGCAAATGACACACGGGACTTCGCATGAAATAGAGGAAGCCAGGTCCATTGCAAGGGAAGCCCGCGTCAATCTGAATAGGAACGGATAATCCCGCTACTTCCGCTCACATAATTTTATATACCCATCTTCGTCCCTGGCTGTGCATAATATAATTTTTAAGTTTTATTTTTTTGTATTATTTTTCATATCGATATTTTTCGATATTTTGTCATTTTGTTATGCCGCCTAAACCGCCTCCGAAGCCGCCAAAGAAGACAGACGAAAGGTCGTCTGCACCAAGCAAGGTGTCCCAACCTCTTCCTCCGCCGGGACCACCTCCTGGGCTTTCGAGGGCTGCTTCAGGAGCGCCACCTGCCAAAAAGCCCAAGAACGGAACCAAGGTTCCGCCACCACCTCCTGACCTGAAAAGCACAGGTTCGCTGCCTCCTCCACCTCCGGGTGCACCAGGAGGTCTTAAATCCTTAAAGCGTGAGTCTCGCGAAAAGGAATTGGATGTCAGGGCGCGAACCTGGTTACAGCTGCAGAAACGTCGGTATAGGGAAAGTAAACTGAAATCGCACGGCGTTGTCCAGACACGCAAAATCGAGATGCCGAAGGAGCATTTGCGAAAGATTCTGAACGATCAGGGAGATTTATCGTCAAAGAAGTTCTCCCAAGAGAAGAGGTCCATACTTGGCTCTTTGAAATACATGCCTCACGCAGTCCTCAAGCTTCTGGAAAATATGCCCCAGCCTTGGGAGGCAGTGAAGGAGGTGCGCGTCATATATCACCAAAGTGGCGCGATCACTTTTGTGGACGAAATTCCGCGAGTGATCGAGCCTGTTTACATTGCACAATGGGCTACGATGTGGCTACAGATGCGCCGCGAGAAGAAGGACAGGCGGCATTTCAAACGGATGAAATTTCCTGTGTTTGACGACGAAGAGCCTCCTATCAATTTCAGCGAGAATATCGAGGATCTAGAGCCGCTCGACGCTATACAGATGGAACTCCAGGATGTCGAGGACTTACCTGTAACCGACTGGATATATGACGAAAAACCTCTGGTGGACGATAGATCGCGAGTGAATGGACCCTCCTACCGCGCCTGGAGACTGGACCTGGATATCATGGCCACTCTATACCGGCTTGCGACGCCATTAGTGGACGATATTTTTGACCCGAATTTCTACTATTTATTCGACAACGAGTCCTTCTTCACAGCCAAAGCATTAAACGTGGCTCTTCCCGGAGGACCCAAATTCGAGCCGCTACAAAAAGACGTTGACCCTGAAAACGAGGATTTCAACGAGTTCAATAGTCTCGACAGAATTATTTTCCGTAATGCGATCAAGTCCGAGTACCGAGTCGCGTTCCCGCATCTCTACAACTCTGCAGTCAGGGCTGTCCAGCTCGCTTGGTACCACCACAACAGCGTTGTATTCAGCCGCAAAGAGGACCCAGAACTGCCTGCTTTCCAGTTTCAAGCTAATTACAACCCTATGACTCCTAGGAAGGAACCAATTGATGATGTCGATTTCGGAGAGGATGGAGAGTTTGAAATTGACATTCAGCCGTTCATGGAGGACCAGCAACTGGAGCCCGAGAACACGTACGAGGCCATAGAGCTCTTATGGGCTCCGTACCCTTTCAACAAACGCAGCGGCCGCACTGTGCGGGCCGAAGACGTGGCGCTGGTCAAGAGCTGGTATTTGCAGCACGCGCCACGAGATCTGCCGGTTAAGGTGCGTGTTTCGTATCAGAGGCTTCTGAAAACTCATGTGGCCAATGAATTGCACAAGACCTTGCCAAGTACACAAGGAAAGGCCAATTTGCTGAAAGAGCTGAAAAAAACCAAGTTTTTCCACCAGACCACGATCGACTGGGTCGAGGCAGGGCTGCAGGTCTGTCGCCAGGGTCATAACATGCTCAATTTGATGATCCACCGTAGAGGCCTCACGTATCTGCATCTGGACTACAACTTTAATCTCAAGCCTACCAAGACGCTGACGACCAAGGAGCGCAAGAAGTCACGCTTTGGTAACGCTTTCCACTTGATAAGAGAGATTCTCAGGGTTGTCAAGCTCATCGTCGACGCACACGTGCAATTTAGGCTTGGAAACGTGGACGCGTTCCAGCTGGCTGACGGTATCTACTATGCGCTGAACCATCTGGGCCAGCTGACAGGAATCTACAGATACAAATACAAGGTGATGCACCAGATCAGAGCGTGCAAAGACCTGAAACACGTGGTATACTACCGGTTCAACGCGGTTATTGGTAAAGGCCCGGGATGCGGGTTTTGGCAGCCGGCATGGCGTGTGTGGATCTTCTTTATGCGCGGAATAGTCCCGCTTTTGGAGAGGTGGCTGGGCAATCTACTTGCTCGTCAGTTCGAAGGCAGACAGAGCAAGGAGGTGGCCAAGACGATCACGAAGCAGCGTGTGGACTCCTACTACGACCTGGAGTTGCGTGCTGCCGTTCTGCACGACATTTTGGACATGATTCCAGAAGGAATCAAGCAGAATAAGAGCAAGGCGATTTTGCAGCATTTGAGCGAGGCCTGGCGATGCTGGAAAGCGAACATCCCGTGGAATGTTCCCGGAATGCCAGAGCCTATAAAGAAAATCATTGAGCGGTACGTGAAAGCAAAGGCTGACGGTTGGATCTCTGTTGCCCACTACAACCGTCAGCGGATCAAAGCTGGTGCTGCCGTGGACAAGGCTGTTGCCAAGAAGAACCTGGGGAGATTGACTAGGCTCTGGGTGAAGAACGAACAGGAAAGACAGCAGAACTTCCAGAAGGAAGGGCCGTACGTGACTCCTCAGGAAGGAGTGTCTATCTATATGACGATGGTCCACTGGCTCGAGAGCCGCAAGTTCGTTCCAATACCATTTCCTCCGGTCAACTACAAGCACGACACCAAGATCCTTGTTCTTGCGCTGGAAAACCTGAAGGAGACCTACAACGCCAAGGGCCGGCTCAACTCGCAGGAACGAGAGGAGCTCGCGCTCATAGAGCAGGCGTACGACAACCCTCACGAGTTTCTGGCCAACATCAAGAAGACTATTTTGACACAGCGCAATTTCAAGGAGGTCACCTTGGAAATGATGGACTACTACAGCCACATCGTTCCTGTTTATGATGTTGAGCCTCTGGAGAAAATTGTCGACGCCTATCTTGACCAGTATCTGTGGTACGAGGCCGACAAGCGCGGTCTGTTCCCTAACTGGGTCAAGCCCAGCGATAGCGAGATCCCGCCGTTGTTGGTGTACAAGTGGTGTCAGGGAATTGCCAATCTGCAGAACGTTTGGGACGTTTCCGAAGGCCAGTGCAACGTGCTTCTGCAGACGAATCTGAACAAGCTAGCTGAGAAAGTCGACTTCACGCTGTTGAACCAGCTGCTCAGACTGATAGTCGACTCTAGCATTGCGGACTACCTGACCGCCAAAAACAACGTCGGAATCACCTTCAAAGACATGAACCACGTGAACCAGTACGGTCTCATCCGGGGCCTGCAGTTCTCGTCATTCATCTTTCAGTACTACGGCTTGGTGGTGGACCTCCTGCTTCTGGGGCTCGAGAGGGCGTCTGAGATAGCCGGCCCGCCTCAGCGGCCAAACGATTTCCTGGAGTTCACCGATGTCCAGACACAGTGCAAGTCGCCGATCAGAATCTATTCGCGGTACGTGGACAAGGTGCACATCTTCTTCCGGTTCTCGCAGAGTGAGGCGGATGAACTGATCCAGGAATTTCTAGCCGAGAACCCAGACCCAAACTTCGAGCACATTGTGGGCTACAACAACCGGCGGTGCTGGCCGCGCGACTCGCGGATGAAGCTCATGCGGCACGACGTCCATCTGGGACGTGCTGTTTTCTGGGAGATGCAAGGCCGTGTTCCGGACTCGATTGTTTCGATAGACTGGGAGGATACGTTGGCGTCGGTGTATTCCAAGGATAATGCCAATATCCTGTTCACGATGTGCGGGTTCGACGTCCGCATCATCCCGAAGGAGCGCATGCTAGAAGACACGAGCTCCAAGGAAGGTGTGTGGGACCTGTACGACGAGAACACCAAGGAAAGCGTGGCCAAGGCGTACCTGCAAGTTTCGCCGGAGTCTGTGGAGGAGTTCAATAACAGAGTGCGGCAGATCCTGATGACGTCGGGCTCGGCCACGTTCACGAAAGTGGCCAGCAAATGGAACACGACGCTGCTGTCGATGTTTGCCTATTTCCGGGAGGCTGTGATTTCGACGGAGCCGCTGCTCAACGCGATCGTCAAGAACGAGACGCGGATCCAGACCCGAATCAAGCTGGGGCTCAACTCCAAGATGCCGTCCCGGTTCCCGCCAGCCGTGTTCTACACGCCTAAGGAGCTCGGCGGACTGGGCATGTTGAGTGCGTCGCATATTTTAATTCCTGCCTCCGACCTGCGCTGGTCGAAGCAGACCGACACTGGGATCACGCATTTCCGGTCTGGACTGACCCACGACGACGACCGTCTCATCCCGACAATATACAGGTACATCACGACCTGGGAGAACGAGTTTCTGGACTCGCAAAGGGTCTGGTCAGAGTTTGCGATCAAGCGGACCGAGGCCGAGCAACAGCGGCGCAGACTCACCTACGAGGACCTGGAAGAAAACTGGGACCGTGGTATTCCGCGGATCAGTACTCTGTTCCAGAAGGACCGGCAGACACTGGCCATTGACAAGGGTTTCCGGGTCAGAAAGGAGTTCAAGCAGTTTTCGGTCTCGAGAAACAACCCGTTCTGGTGGATATCCGACCGCCACGACGGCAAGCTGTGGAACCTGAATGCGTACAGATCAGACGTTATCCAGGCTCTTGGTGGCATAGAAACGATTCTGGAGCACACACTATTCAAAGGTACCGGATTTGAGTCCTGGGAAGGTCTCTTCTGGGAAAAGGCGTCTGGGTTCGAGGATACGCTCAAGTTCAAGAAACTCACCAACGCGCAGCGTTCCGGTTTGTCTCAAATCCCGAACCGCCGGTTCACGCTGTGGTGGTCGCCAACCATCAACAGAGCCAACGTGTATGTTGGTTTCCTGGTCCAGCTGGACCTGACGGGTATCTTCCTGCACGGAAAGATTCCGACGCTGAAAATCTCGCTGATTCAGATATTCCGCGCCCATCTGTGGCAGAAAATCCACGAGAGTATTGTCGTGGACCTTTGCCAGGTGTTGGATTCGCAACTGGACGAGCTGCAAATTGACAGCGTTGAGAAGATGGCCATCCATCCTAGAAAGTCGTACAAGATGAACTCGTCGACTGCCGACATTCTGCTCACAAGCTCTTTCCAGTGGCCATGCAGCCGTCCGTCGCTGCTGTTTGACACAAACGACCAGATGAACGCCGTCAAGTCGGACAAGTTCTGGCTCGACGTGCAGCTGCGGTACGGAGACTACGACTCGCACGATATCTCGCGGTACGCCAGGGCGAAATTTCTGGACTACACGAGCGACGCCACGAGCACGTATCCAAGCCCGACAGGACTGCTAATTGCCGTCGATCTGGCGTACAACATGTACGATGCTTACGGAAACTGGTTCCCGGAGCTGAAGCCGCTGATCCAGAACGCCATGAAAACTATCATGAAAATGAATCCGGCGCTGTATGTTCTTCGCGAGAGAATCCGCAAAGGCCTGCAGTTGTACCAGGCCCAGCCGCAGGAGGCGTTTTTGTCGTCGAGCAACTACGCAGAGCTGTTCAATAACGAGAACAAGCTGTTTGTGGACGACGTCAACGTGTATCGAGTGGTCACCCATAGCACGTTTGAAGGCAATACTGCCGTCAAGTGTCTCAATGGAGCGCTGTTCATCCTGAACCCTAGAACAGGCCAGCTTTTCCTCAAGATCATCCATAGCTCCGCGTTCCAGGGCCAGAAGAGACGGACGCAACTGTCGAAGTGGAAGTCTGCGGAGGAGGTTGCTGCTCTGGTCCGGTCGCTTCCGCGCGAGGAGCAGCCCAAACAGCTCATCATCACCAGAAAGGGTATCCAGGATCCTCTGGAGGTGCACATGCTTGACTTTCCTAATATCCAAATCCGGCCCTCCGAGCTGCACCTGCCCTTCGGAGCAGCGCTCAAGATCGACAAGTTGCTGGATCTCGTCAACATGGCCAAGGAGCCGCAGATGGTGCTCTTCAACATCTACGACGACTGGATGAAGACATGCTCCTCGTTCACGGCGTTCAACCGGCTCGTTGTGATTATGCGCGGTTTGGAAATCAACAAGGAGCGCACAAAGCTGATCCTGCGCCCAGACGCCTCGATCGAGACCAAGCCGCACCATCTGTGGCCGTCGCTGAGCGACGAGCAGTGGCGCCACGTGGAAGCGCAGCTGGCAGACCTGATTTTGAGCGATTATGCGTCCAAGTATAACGTCGACATAAACTCGCTCACCGACACAGAGATCAGAGACATCATTCTCGGACAGGACATCCGTGCGCCTTCTGCCAAGCAGCAGACGGTCGCAGACATAGAGGGCACCGCCGAGCCGGCGTCGCAGCTGACTGCGGTGAAAACAGAAACCACCAACGTTCACGGCGAAAAAATCACCACGGTCACTACCACGAACCACGAGCAGGCAAAATTCGAGTCGCGTGCGGACTGGCGGCTCCGTGCGATTTCCAGCGGCAGCCTCCATCTCCGTGCCAAGAAGGTGTTCGTCTCGTCGGGCGACTTTGCAGACACCGACAGCTTCGCGTACGTCATGCCAAAAAACGTCCTCTCCAAGTTCATCAAGATGGGAGACGTGCGCACCCAGGTTGCTGCCTACATGTTTGGCCGCTCTCCAGCCGACAATTCGCAGGTGAAAGAGATCATGAGCCTGGTTGTTGTCCCGCAGGTTGGCGACATTCACCACGTGGAACTGCCTTCGTCGCTGCCAAGTTCGTCCTATCTCGACGGTCTCGAGCCGCTTGGCTGGATCCACACCGTTCCTGCGGGCAAGTCGAGCGAGGGCGACGACTGCATGGAGCTGCTGACTCATTGCAAGCTCGCGTCGCAATTTGGTTGGAACGCCATGTCGAGCGTCGTCAACGTTGCGTTCACTCCTGGCTCGGTCACGCTCTCCAGCGTGTCGCTGACCCCAGACGGCTACAAATGGGGCCAATCGCACCAGGACGCTCTTGGGTCGATGCTGGTTGTTCCTGGCTACTCGGAGGAATTTAGGAAGAAGACTCCGCTGATCTTGACGGACAAACTAAAGGGATTCTTCCTGGTGCCAGACATCGATACATGGAATTACTCGTTTATTGCAAATGCGTGGACCGAGGACTTTGAGTTTGATCTCAAGCTGGATAACCCAATTCCCTTCTACCACGAGCTCCACCGTCCGCTGCACTTCACCCTATTTGACAGAACAGAGGCCGCGTTGGAAGCCGGCCAGGAGAACGTGTTTGCTTAATGACCCGTGCTCCTGTGTTGGCAGACTGTGTATATAAAGAAAATTAGAGAAAAATTTACAGCTGAATCAAAAAATATATACAGGAGACATTGCCACGACAGACAGACGATAGCCCGTCTTTCCGTTGCCATATACTATATGAACCGTCTCCGAGAGTAACAGTCCCGTCAGGAAGTTTGGTTTTTGACTAGATGAAAGCCGAATGTCGAATTAGGGAAATATATGTACTTGCGTCCTATGCTACAATTGTCTTTTGAGTATTGTCCGTGTGTGGTCCCATAAGCGAAGGAACGTGAGAAAGTCGGTCTTGGTGATCGGCCGCCCGCTGAACCTCAGTTTCTCGTAGTGCAACAGAAACTCCGCCAGTAGATCGGAGTCGCGGGCAGAAAGACTCGTTTTCTGCACCGCGGTGGATATAATATCCCGCAACGTCTGGTTGGGCTCGACCTTGACCTGGAAAGTGCTGGTCAGGCGTAGCGCGTGGCGGTATTTTATGTCTTCGCCAATGGCGCACACCACGTTCTCGTATATCAGTTTGTCCGGCAGCGGGATGTCCGACGAGCTTTGGTCGCAGTGCAGTCCAGCATGGTCCAGGGGGCCCTGAGGGCCTGCCAATTTCCTGATCTCCTTTGTGCGCGCAATCTGCTGGGCAATGTACTCGGCTTCCCGTTTGCCGATGTCTTTCTCTGTGATGGGCATGTATGGTTTCGGGATGTCTTGCAGGTGTTTTTTGATGTTGAGAATGCGAAAAATGTAGATGACGGCACTCAGCACTAGAAACAGCGCACAAGCACAGACAATGACGAGGGTGTTCAATGCGATGATGGAGCTGGTGAGCGAGCGCAAAATCACATCGATCGGCACGAGCGAGTTCAGAAGCAGAAACGTGATGCCGAACGTCAGCAGAGAGATCGAGTAGAACCAGATAAGCAGTCCGCGGCTTTTCTGGCGCACCTTGCGCAGTCTCAGCTGCTGGATGGGCCGCACCGGCTGAGATGAACCCAGAACCTTCCGTCGTCGGAGCAACTGCTGCTTGGTTTGTCCCAGCGCGCGCGGGACAGGGTTCCAAGAATTCATCAACACTGGGCTGTTTCAACTGTTTAATATTTTTTTTAAGTTTAATTTTTTCTTAGATGGAGAAGGTCAGACTGAACCTTGTACATTACCATCTCTGGACTGATGTGGAAGAAGTGTCCGAAAATGGGTTCGAGGTTCTCTTTGGCACAACTCCCGAGGACGTGCGTGAATGCGTATATCCGGTGCTCGTCGATGACACCGTGACGTTGCAACGCTTGGACCACATCTTCGAGAGTATTGGAGTGGACAAGCTCATTCTGGGCATTTGTGATCGCGATGGGACCGTTGTGTACTACAACATATACGCGGGAATTCACAAGCCAGAACAATGATCAGAGGTAGTTCCGCGCCAGGGACTGGACTGCAGTGACAAAAGAGACAGGCTGTGGTTGTATATCTTGACGGGACTGCAGGAGGTCTGGATGCGACGATCTCAGGTATCTGAGGACAAAGTCGGTCTTCAAGTTTGGATCAGTGTTGCACTGGATGTAAGCGTCCATGAGAATGGACGAGGGATATGATTTCGGTAGGTCAAGGTCTTTCACTAATTTGATCGTCTCTTCCAACAACGATACGCATCTCAGGTTGGTGAGGATGTCCATTTGGTCAAGAACCATTTTGAGAGAGGCATTTCTCTGAGACTGATCAAAGTTTGACAGGGTTGGGGTTTCCTTCAAGCTTTTTTCTCGCTCCTTGAGCTGACGTAGTTGGCTTGACTCTTCTGTTGCTGATATGCCTGCGGTCTCGCAAATGGCCGCAGCACGGGCTTTGAGGTTGAGGGGCGGTATATATTGGAATGGAAAGGGTATTATCTTTTTGAAGATCCCTCTAGTGTAGCCTTCGAAATTGTCCTCATTAAGAAAGTAGTTGTAGCAGCTGACAACCTCGAGCTTATTGAGCAAATGCTCAATGAGACCTTGGTCCAGCAGTTTCTGTTCCACCGAGAAGGAGAAAAGATTGTGTTTGCGGATCAGATGGTTGACGATCTCTTTGTAACCTTCAAGGACAAGATCTCCATCCAGGAGGACCGGCAACTTGCCGTTTGGCGACAGAAAGTAGTTGGAGTCATATAGCACTTCAATCTCATTGTGTTTGCAATTTGCAGCAACAAAAGTCGCCGCCGCAAGAGACTCTGCGTCGAACGGTGCACCCCAGAGATGAAGCGACATTTGAGCTGACTTTAAATTTTTTATATTTTTATACCAGCATGGACGCCAAGAGACGCAAACTGGACGAGCCTCCGACCATTGAATCTCTTGCAGACTCTCTGGATAGAGCACGCTGGCTCAAGCTTGTTCACGACACGCCAACAGTCGAGAAGTTTGAAGCGTATCTCAGGGTGTTCTTCAACGACGGTAAGGTTTGGAAAGAGTACATCGAGCACGAAATGGCCAAAAATGACGACGCCAAAGTCGAGGCGCTCTTTGCCAGGTGTCTCACCAAGGTGTTTGACGTTGAGCTGTGGAAGGTCTACCTGAAATACGTGAGGAAAGTCAATGATATTGTCACTGGAGGAGAACAGGCTCGGGCAGTGGTAATGAAAGCCTACGACTTTGCCATTGACAACGTCGGACTGGACTTCATCAATGGCCAGGAAATATGGGACGAGTACTTCCGTTTTCTGAACGAGTGGAACCCCGTTTCGAGCATCGAACAGTCGTCCAAAAATACGCACCTTAGATCGTTATATAGAAAGCTCATCGGCACTCCTCTCCGCCAGTTAGACCAAAACTGGAGAAAATACCTCGACTTCGAAAATGAAACAGACCAGGCGAATGCCAGGCGCCATATCAATGAGAAATCGCAAGAGTACATGAAGCTGCGTCCTTTGAATCAAGAACTTATAAACCTCACTGCTTACCTGCGTCCATGTGACGAGGCGAAAAACAGCCGCAACCAGCTTGAGCACTGGAAACGTTGGATTGCGTGGGAGCGCAGCAACAAGCTCAACTTGCCGCAAGAATCCATGCACAAAAGAGTCAACTTCGTCTACAGACTGTCCACCCAGTATCTTCGGGTCCAGCCTGAGGTGTGGTACAATTACGCTGTGTACCTGTTTGCGAGCGACAAGTCTCAGGAGGGCATGGAGGTGCTGGAGCACGCCTTGTTGTTGAACCCGGAAAGTATAAGTTTAGTGCTTTTGGTCTCTGGCCAGTATGAACGCTCTAGTGAGATTGAAAAAGTCAAGGAATCCTGGAATAGACTCATTGATAGGCTAACAAAACGCTACGACACCGAAGAAAATGAGAAAACAAAGGCAACGCTTGGCCAGTGCGTCACCTGCGTGTACTCGCTGCTCATGAAGGCATGTCGCAGAGCAGCAGGCATGAAGGAAGCGCGTAGCATCTTTTCCGTTGCACGGAAATTCAAAGGCGTCACATGGCACATATTTGTCGACTACGCAATGATGGAGCACCAAAATGGCGATTTGAAGATTGCCTTGCGGTGTTTCGAGCTTGCCATGAAGTATTTTGGACAGGACTATGCTTTCGTTGAGACTTACTTGAACTTTTTGCTTTCAATGAACGACCTGGGCAACTCCAAGAAGCTGCTGGAACAATCCATCGAAAACTTCAAAGACAAGCGCTCAATTCTGGACAAAGTGTATCGACGTTTCTACCGGATTGAACTGGAATTTGGAGACACCGACTCGATTCGCGCGCTCGAGAAAAGATATAGAGAAGCTTTCCCAGACAGCAACGAGTTCCAATTTTTGTCCAAGTCTTTTGGTGAGTTCAATGCGATCAAGCTGCTGGACGAGTACACATTGACAGGAAAAGAAGAGGCGGTCGACAAGGTTGCCGAAATAAAATTGAAGGAGATCGAAATTCCTGAAATTGAACCGTTTGCTGTGCGAGATGAGATCTACAATATTCTCAGATACTTGCCTAAACCAGAATACTACGATGACAAACCGCCCGTGTTCGACGTGAAGAAGAGCGTGCAATTCTTCAGAAACATAAATTTGACATGAGTAATCCTACATCGTCCCCTGGTTATCATCGGTGCTCGGGTACCTGGCTCAGGGCAATACTGTATTTCTTCACCAGATGCTCGTCGAGCAATTGAAAGTTCCTGGTGTTCGCTTTGTAAGCGATGTTGATAAAGTCACCGACAAATGGAATCAGACCTATCAAAAAGTCTATCAAGACGTTGGCTGCCATTTTGATTGCTACCATGTCTGGCAACCCGCCCTCGATTTCTTTTGCTTTGCGAATGAGAGCCAGCGAGAAAACCACATTGACCAAATCGCCAATCATTGGTATGAACCCTATGATTGCGCTGTATCCAAATCTGATGCCTGCCACGCTGAAGCACTGGTCCAGGTGATATGCTCTATCTCTGACCGACTTCAGGGTCTTGCGGTCACGGGGCGTGTACTGCGATGGAATATTCTTTCTTCTTTTAGCTCCCTTGCGCTGCCAGAACTTTAGTTCATCGGGTGGAATTATTTCGTTATAAGGGTCCTCGTAGGGCCCCACATGAACCAGGTCTGATAGCCCGGTCTAGAAGTTAGAATCTCTGATGAAGACAAGACACTCACTTTTTTCAGCAATGCCTTGTATAGGAGCCCGCTCATAGTTCAAGTGATTTGAGTGCAGGAGTTTGCGTAGTTATCTAAAGCGCAATCGAGCCGTTTTATATCTACATTGAGCCTTCCCCATACGTAAATTCCAGATAGAGTTGCTGATGCAGGCCGGGTAAATTGCCGTGTCTTGAGAGCTTGTAAAATTTTCCAAAAAAAAAAAAGGACCAATACCTTTAGATTTGTTTGATGGCTCCGTCGTACAATATCCGGCCTGAAAACACGCTGAGGCGTGCAGAGGACCTCATTGCCGTTGACCAGAAAGAGGCAGCTCTGCAGACTCTGTACGACTTCATCACCTCGAAGCGCATCAGATCCGTGGCACCTCTGGACCTCGAACCTATTGCATTGTTGTTCGTTGAGCTGGGTGTGGACCTGAGAAGCGGGAAGCTTGTGAAGGACGGATTGCACCAGTACAAAAAAAACGTGCAAAGCAACGACTCTGGTTTGGAGTCTGTGGAGACCGTGGTGAAGAAATTTTTGGAGAAGGCAGAAGCCAAATTGAACGATGCACAGCTCAAGGCCAACGACGTCGCGGCCACTTTGGAGGCCGAGGCTGCTCAGCTGGAGGCAGACGACGAGGACGAGGATGACGAAAACAGACAGATCGTTGTTTCTCCAGAAGACGTGCTGATGTCCAGCGTGTCCACGGATGATACCAAAGATCGATCCGACAGAGAGCTTGTTGTCCCATGGCTGAAATTTTTATGGGAGGCGTACAGAACTGTTTTGGATATCCTGAGAAACAACTCCAAGCTGGAAGTTGGCTATGCTGCTGTTGTTTCACAGGCATTCGGTTTCTGTGTCAAGTACAACAGAAAGACCGAGTTCAAACGTCTGTGCGAGATGCTCAGGACCCATTTGCAAACCGTGACGCAGAAATCTGCCGTCAAACACCAGATCGAGAACCCTATTGATCTGTCCGACCCAGACACTCTTCAGAGATATCTCGAGACAAGGTTCAACCAGTTGAACGTTTCTGTCCGTCTCGAGCTCTGGCAGGAGTCTTTCCGTACGGTTGAGGATGTGCACACTCTGATGACTATATCGAAAAGACAGCCAAAACCAAGCATGATGGTGAATTACTACGATAACTTGGCCAAAATCTTCAACGTGAGCGACAACCGGTTGTTCCATGCTGCTGCTAGACAGAAGTTCTTCTCCCTGTTTGTGCAGTCCCCAATTGCTACGGACGAAGAGCTCAAGCATTACGCATCCATGCAGCTGCTGTCCGTTCTCTCCGTTCCGGTGGCTTCGTCCTCTAAAGTGGACGACTTTGCCAAGAGGAAAGACAACAGGCTTTCTATGTTACTCAACCTCTCCAAGGTGCCTACTAGAGAGTCTTTGTTGACCCAGGTGGCTTCTAGAAACGTGTTGAGCATCGTTGACCCTGCACTAGCCAAGTTGTATGAGTTGATGGAGAAAGACTTGCATCCTATCTCTTTTGCTTCGCAAGCCAAGGACATATTTGCTTTCATTGAGTCGAACAAAGAGTTCCACATGTACATCAAGCCGCTGACAAGCGTCATTTTGGATAAGCTATTTGAGCAAATGTCAGAAGTTTACGAGACCGTCAAGCTGGACTTCCTGGTGAAGCTGTCTACATTTGAGGGCCAATTCAAGCTCAGTCCTATTGAGATCGAGAGCCGTCTTCTGGCAGCAGCCTCTAACAACCTGCTTTCCGTCAAGATTGACCACGAAGCCAAGGTTGTTTCGTTCAAGACGGATACTTTAGAGAACTCCTTGCTGAGCTCGATTCCTCTCAATGTGTCGAGCAAAATCCAGTACACTCCTACCGAGATCATAAGAACACAACTTTCTTCTCTTGCTAATACCCTGAGAGAGTCTGTCATGCTCATTGACCCGTTGGCTTCGGAGAACGAAAAGACTCTGAAGCAAAAAGTCAGCATGCGTGCGAATGCCGAATTCGCTGAGGAGAGACAAGAGGTGCTGGACCGTGCTCTTCTTCTGGAGAACAGGATGAAGGAGGTGGCCGAGATCAAGCGTCGCGATGAGGAGGCTGCCACAAAGGCGAGGTACGAGAAGCTTGCAGCCGTCAAGAAGGCCGAGCAGGAGAGAATTGAGCAAGAGACAGCCAAGAGACTGGAAGAGAAGCGCAGGAAGGAGCTCGAGGCCATTCAGAAGGCCGAGAAAAAGAAGCTGCTGAACGAAATCAACGCGAAGGGTATCATTAAGGTGGACATGGATGACATCGAGAACCTTGATGGAAGAAAGCTTCAAAAGATGCAAATTGAGAAGCTCGAGCAAGATAGAAAAGCCCTTGAAGAGCGCATTGAAGCCACTGCCAAGAGGTTTGACTACCTTGAAAGAGCACAGCGCAGGTACGAGCTTCCTATGTTACAAGAGGATGCCGAGGCGCAGAAGGGACGCGAGATGGAGGTTTACGAGGAGATGAAGCAGAAACTGATTGCTAATGCCAAGAAGGAGCACGAGGAGGCTCTCAAAATCAAGCACCGACTAACTCGTTTGATTCCAGACTACGAGGCGTTTGTTGGCCAAAAGGAGCAGGCTTTGTGGGAGGAGTACGAGAAGAAGGCTGCCGAGGCCAAGGAAAAGTTGGAGGCGGCCAAGAAACAGCGTATTGCCGAGTTCATTGCTAAGAAGAAGGCTGAATTCGAAGAGCAGCAGAAGTCGTTGGCCCAGGCCGAGGAACGTTTGCAGAAGGAGGCTGCCGAGTGGGAGGCCAAGATGAGCAACCTGAAGTATGCGGACAAGCTCAAGCTGAAGAGAGCCGGACAATGGCCACCGGTGCCTCCTGCTCACTTGCAAAAATACATAAAGAAGGAAATTAAATAAATGTTGCACGTCGTGTGCCTCGAAGATTTATTTTTTTCGCGAAGTCTAAGTACACGTTAAAGAATCGGATTCTATTTTTGAAATACCCGTACAACAATTGCCATGAGCACGTTCTTTGATGAGATGAACAGGTCGTTCGTCGACGTTCCAGTCGCGGGCGACAAAATCGCCACTTCCGAGTTTTTGGAGGCCGCAGAGTCTCTTGTGAAGCTGTTTGATTTGCTCGGATCGTCTGCATTTGCAGTTGTCCAAAGCGACATGACAGGAAATATCAACAAGGTGCGCGCCAAGCTCCTTGCCGCCCCTGACAAGGCAGGCACCTTGCAGGACCTGATTTTGTCCGAGGCAAACGACAAGAAGAAGACCGCTACTCAAGGTCTGTTATGGCTGTGCAGAGGTCTGCAGTTCACCGCTGTTGCCATGAGAGAGACCGTTTCGAGACCAAACGACGAGCTGTCCAAGACTTTCACGGACGCCTACGCCAAGACCCTGACAAAGTACCACACAGTCCTGATTAGGCCTGTTTTCAAGCTTGCGATGAAGGCCTGTCCCTACAGAGCAGACTTCTTTGCCAAGCTGGGTGCTGACCAGGCGAAGGTGGCCCAGCAGTTGGAAGAGTGGCTGGTCGCCCTTGAGTACATCGTGAAGCTGATCATGGATTTCTTCGAGAAGGGTAACTACGGCAAGGGACTGTAGTTGCCGGCACTAATAGATGAGCAACTGAAGGAACTGTGTCTCGTATTTCTCGTTGAGTAAGGAAACTAGCACGATGTTATAGCATACATTGTATTGACATTAATAATAAATCTTTTGAAATAGCATACAGTACTCAAAATCGTACATTAGGAGAGTCCGCTGCAAATATCTTTGCTTCTCTATGTTTACAGCAATGCAAGGAGCAAGGCAGACATAACACCAAAGACAGAGATAGTGTTGACAGCGGCACCAGCCTTGGAGGAAGAGGAAGATCCAGAAGAAGTCGACTCGTCGCTAGAGCCCGAGGACGTGGCAGAGGAGGAGCCAGTCGAGGTCTTGGAGTGGTTGATGGACGACGAGGACTCGGTTGCAGCAGAGCAGACGAACTTGTCACCCTGGATACCGCCCTTCTTCTCCAGACTGTTGAACTCGCTACAGTCGGCCTCACCGGTGGTCTCCAAGTCGAAACCACCTCTAACGGTAGTGAGTTTTGGGAAAGTGGCGTTGTCGAACTCACCCTTGAGGATGACGGCACCGCCAATGGACTGCAGGCTGTCAAAGCCGTCGATAGTGTCCAAGTTCGAGTTGTTAGCAATGACGAAGCCACCACCAACGGATTGCAAATCAGAGAGGTCAATCTCGGACAAGTCGTCGTTGTCGATGATCGAAAGGTCACCGCCGATCTTCGTCAGGGTAGGAATCTCAAGCGACTCGACGTTGGACTCGAAGACACCAAGCGAAGAGTTGACGGCGCTGATGTTGGACATCGAGATCGACGAGACAGAGTAGAACGTGATGTTGTTGGCCCACGCGAGAGAGTCGAACGTCACGTTGGTGTCGTCACCGTTGTAAGAGACAGAAAGAGCGTTGGAAACAGACTTGATATCCGAGCTGATGGAGGCCAAGTTCTTGTTGTTGTTGATGTTGAACGTCTCAACGTTGATCGGGTTGAAACCCTCGAGAGACTCCAGCCGGGTGTCGGAGATGTAGATGCTTTGGCAGTCAGAAATACCGGCAGCCAGACCAGCCTGTGTCAATGCCGGCAGGGTGACCCAGTTGATGGAACCAACAGAAACCAGAGAACCGAACGAAAGAGTGTCCAAGACGTACAAGTCGGTCAACTCGAGCTGCTTGGTGATGGTGGTCAAGGAGTCTGCTCTCAGCGACTGTAGGTTGGAGCAGTTGAAAGCAGTCAACGAGCCGTAGATGGCCTTGACGTTAGCGATGGAAGCCGTGCCCAAATCACCGGTGATGTAGACGTCACCCTCAATGGCCGAACAGGAGGACAGTTCGTCCAGGTCGGATTGAGCAGTGGCGGTCAGGGTCTTCGAAAACGAGCATCCTGATGGCACCGAGATAGAGGTGGTGGAGGTCAAGGTAGAATCTAGAAGCGTTAGTCGTGTACGGGTTTCAAAACAAATCGAGCGCAGGGCACCTGAATGGTGTCCAAAACAGGTTTCTAAAAAAAGAACCCGAGACCGAAGACACAACCGGTGACGTAAAACTCAGCCTCGCTGGAGTCGGCAAGGCTAAGTAGTGTCCCTTCAACACACAAGAGCTAGTCGCGGTAGCTTGGCGTCGTCCAGAGCTTTTATGTGCCCGCAATTCTCCTCCCGGAGGTCCAGATCAGAAATCTCAACAAATCAATTCCGGAGATCACGTTGTCCCATCCGCTCAATCTGGAACGCAATACTTACTCAACGAAGTGGTCTCTGCGGCAAAGGCACAGCCTGCCAGAGCTAACAAAGCGAGCTTAAACTGCATTTTCGGTAGCTGAGATCAAACGAGCTGTAAGAAGAGAAAGGCTGGTTTTTATAAAAAAAAAAGAGTTGCAGGAAAATTCGGTTCATCGAAGGCAGTCTACTCCCAGAACATAAATAATTGGCCCCCCAGCTTACGTCTCCATTGCATTCCAAATTTACTCGAATAGTTTCGAAGGAACGGAAAATACGTGCGTTTCCTAAATCTAAGCCTGAGGACATTAGATTTTCTGTTTTCAATTGTCCTATTTTATTGTTGAGGTATTTATGTTTGTCCGCATTAGGAACACTAATTGTCAACATAAAATCCACGGTGGCTGGGCTTTTCGTGAAACGTCGCCGGATCGGGCAAGAACGAAATAGTGCAAATCTTACCACATTACCACCTAGAGAATCAGATTCTTCTAGTTCTATAAACCAAGTCCATAAAAACTAAACCTATAATATGCATATTCCATCCGAGTATATCCCAATCCAACCCAATCCAATCCCAAGTCCTATCCTATTCCTGTAGATACTCGTCAAACCTGTAATCGTCCAACCATCCAATTTTCTCAAATGCAGCGTACAGCCTACTGGCCTTGTTCACATCGATCTTGCAAGCCTTTTGCGCGTCAGTACGTCGGAACGGTAAGTTGGCCCGGAGACGTTTCACCTTCTCGAAGAAAATCCGTCTCTTCGAGTCCAAATACACGTTTGGGGGCAGTCTCAGCGTAGAAGCCAGCTGCACCTCGGCGGGATGCAATTCTCCGACCAAAGGATCTTCGCTTAGATCCATTGCCTGTCCCTTCCATTCCGTTTTCAAGCAGCGACTATTGTTCGGAAGAGTGGAGAGAGGCGGCGAGTAGTCGGGAATGGCCTTGTAATCGAAATTATATGGCGGTGGAGACGCTGTAGATGGCGAGTCGAACCGTTTCGCTGCCGGCTTGCGTTTGCGTGGGGTCATTGGTCTCGATGTGGCACTATCGTCAGACTCCAGTGCCACAGAATTTTCTCGAACCAATCTTCTTGTCCGCGGTCTATCAGTCTCAATGTCGCTCGAGACGTACTCCTTGACACGCGGCGTTGTTCTGTAGCGGTAGCTCATGGCAGAAACAGCAGGCACTGTTTTCTTTGACGCGGCGTTCAATTGGTACTGGCACAAAAATCTAAGCTGTCTCTTTTTGTAGCCAGGCGTCTTGAGGTCCCCATACGGGTTGATATACAATGTGGTATCATTCAAATCCTCGACCGGAAAGCTTCTTTTCTTATCCCAGTTCACAGTAATCTCGCGCAGAACTGGTTGCTCTTGTTGTGGCTCCTGTTTGGGAAGCTCTGTTGCCAAATATCTCTTCACAGGCTTAGGAGTCAACAGCTGTGCAAACCTGGCATCACTCTCATCAAACGTTGTGCCTCTAGTGTATGGCGAAAGAGGTGGCGAAGGAATTGTGCTGGAAGCCATTTCAGACGATCCAGTGGTAGAAATTGATGCTGTAGTCTCTATTTTTTTCACTAGGCCCATATCAGAGACATCAGACATGTCGTTCTCTTTGTTGTTGGCGCTTTGCAGTCTGCGCACTGGTTCAATAGAATTTGGCGTCAGGCATCCGTCCACCTGCCTGGTGGAGCCCGCATTAGCCAAATGGTAAAGAAAAGACGACATTGCGATTCGCGCTCTAAGCTCTGGTTAGCTATCCTGAAACCCAATTGTAACTGATCGATAAGATTTTGTTGCAAAAATTAGCAAAAGGGAAAACGTTTAGCAAAAAGGGAAACAGGAGAAGATAGACCCACTGGGGAGTATTTATATAGATTAGAAAAAGGGAAACATGGCGGAAAAAAATTGTTTTTTTAACAAAAAGAAAAGTTTCCAGCAAGATAGCATTTCCGACATGCACACAATTGATTAAACGATCTGGCTCCAAGCTTGCCAATGCTACAATTATTGACTCAATGCCTGGAGACAGTGCCCAATGGTAGTTGTTTACTGCAATTGATGGCTAACTCATCTTGTTGATCGGCGATCGTAATATATTTTGTTTCTTTTGACGTAACCGGTTATCATTCCTATCGGAAAATGTGCATAGTTTTTAGGTCAATGCACGACCAGAAAAAATAAAACCAGTCACAAACTCTTGAAATTACGAGTGACTCTCGCAGACTATATGTGGCCAAAATAGCCAATGGTATCCCCGCATATTATAATCAAGATATTGTGGCCTGAGCGCGACTACTTATCGAATTCCTCTTAAGTGCGCGAATGTGAGGGCTTGTGAATTATCCAGGGTTCTGTAAATTATTGTGATCTCGATTCTTTTGCAAGAGTCTTCGCATCAGGAACATTGATGATCTCCAAATAGGCCAATGCGTGATCCTAATGTATCGCCCGTATCAAGCAATATCTGTTCCCGTACAGCTTAGCTGCAGTTCGCACATGCGGAAAAGTTCTGGCTCCCGGGAAAATTGAGTCGTAGTAGATCGGGTTTTGGTTTTTGGACTCACTTTTCTGGTGGAGTTTCCGGTCTGAGGCTTAAAAAAATTTAAAAAATTTTATCCGTTTTATTGTTCGATACGATAAGAACAGAGTACAGAATATAGACATTGAGCGCTGGAGGTGAGTTTACGTGCTCTCCTCTCTTGATATGTTGTTCTGGAGCCTGATCTGGATGGGTTCGAACTTGATCGGCGTGTCTGGCTGTCCAATTAGGCGAGATGATGTATCTACCGCAATCTGCTGTATATTGTGTTGATTGTATGCTTGAATGATCACAACACTTCCTCTGGAGGCGATCTGTGTAGTGTTCAGTCCAAACTGCCCGCTATTTTAAAGGCATTTCCTGTTGGTGCTACCGATGGATAAAACTGGTGCAAAGGCGTAATTTTATTTTTCATGGAATTAAAACGCACTCTTGCTGAACTATTAGACGAAGACCAGGTTGTGGACGACGTAGAGGATGCTGAAGTGCAAGACGAGTCTCAAGATGAAGATGACACCGTGAACCCAGATTTCTGTATTGATTGTAAGCATACAGCAAGAGAAATCCAGTGCTTGGATTGCAACGAACCTTTCTGTCGGGTGTGTTTCCAGTTCGTCCACCGAGGCGGTGCCAGGAAACGCCATAAATTCAAGGAACTTGTTCCATTGAAGCCAGAACCTATTTCACAGCCAGAGGCCACCGATGATGCTCCCGAGGGCGTCCCGGACGAGGAAATGAAAGACGAGCAAATAGAAAAGACGATTTTAGCGGGCATTCGTCGAAACGCCCGTTTTATTCCTCTTCGTCTCTCTTACGAAGAGAGGCAGCTGCTGAGACTACTGGAAGCGACTCTCAGCGTTTCGGAATACACGGACAGAGTGGATATTCTGTCCTATCGATCAAGAACCAAGCGGATAGTCGAGCAGCTGAGAGAGATTTGCTCGATTCTGGCCGGTTTGGTGGTGTCGTCCAACATGAAGGTTGGCCAAAAACTGATACAGGATAAGACCTTTGCCGATAATAAGGAGTGGTACAAGACAGTTTTCGAGATTGGAAGAAGATACAAGATCATGAACCCGGAGCGGATGAGAGACACGTTTGGCAAACTGTGCTACGTTGTGATGGATTCCATGCTTCCGGAAGTGCGGGAGCACATGGAGTTTGATCTGTATGCGCCCATAAAGACTGTTTTGGGTCTGATTGAGTCGAAGGACGACAAGTCTGCCACCAAAATGTTTGACGATCCGCTGATCATTTCTGCCACAGCCGAGATCCGGCCAGAACAGAAGACGAGGTCGGTAATCAACCGGCAGATCAAGCATAAGGAGTCCGCCATTGAGCGACTCTCGTCCAGATACTCGTCTCCCAACGGACTCAGCAAAGATGAGGTGCGTCAGATTCTCTACTCTATCGGAGATTTCAACGCCTACACTAATAAAAATAGACTGCCGGTGTTGAGAATGATCAAGCGGCTGGACGACTTTTTCAAGAGCTCGGGCACCACAAAGTATTCTCTGGGAATCAGATACGGCCAGGGTGGGGCGAGACTTACTCACAACCACGAAAAACAGTATTTGTACGTGAAACAGGCCCTGGAGCTGTGGTCTCACGTGATGCGCGACATGATCGAGCTCTGGGCAGCAGCAGACGACGATCTCTTCAACGGCCAGCAGTACCAACTGACCAATACGGGACAGGGACTCAACAGGGTCAAGGCCTGTCCTGTGTTGTACAAAAAAATGTACAACCTGCTCTACGAAGTGCAACGGTTGTTTGACTATTGGGTCGGCACTCCGGTGATCCATCTTGGTGACGACGCAGTTCCAAACGCGCTGTTTTTCTTAGACAAGTACATTCAGATTCCCTCGATCCTGATCCCTATCGATCGGTGTATCCAGGAGATTGACGTTTTGGCCCAGGACCCGCATCTGGAACAGTACTTCTGCTCACAGTTTGAGACCGTGGAAGACTTGAAAAAGACAATCTTGTGCGATTATTTCAAACACGGCTTCGACGGGTCTGGAGCTGACAACTTCTATTTTGCCGGCTCTTGTGTTGACGCCGTGTCGACATCGAGCTGCGAGTTCTGCAACAACATCTGGAAAAAGGACTACTACAAAGTGTTCCTGCTCACAGGCTTTACCAATTTCAACGGTGAGGGTTATTAGCTAAGATATTATGTACAAATATTTCTTATGCTTTTTATCAGATTCAAATCCACGGCTCCCAAATATGGCTGGAAAGAGTCTTTGAAACTCTGGTTCAATCACGTGAGCAACCCGCACGCGGACAGGGCAGCCCACGACAAGCTGATGAGCATGGCATTGCCCTACTACGACCGCGAAATCGAGGGAATTCGGGCTTCTACGGTATCGACCCCGCTGAGCAGGAAAATGGCCATTTCCGAGGTGCGCGTCCAGAATGCAGACTCGAAGAACCACGTGGTTATGTTGCATGGCTATGCTGCGTCGTCCGGGTGGTGGTTCAAAAATATCGGCTTCCTCGCAAAGGCAGGAGATACAACCGTGCATGCATTGGATCTTCCTGGTTTTGGGCTTTCCAGCCGCCACGGACCGTCCTTGCCAGATAACAAAACGAGGCTTCAAATCATCTTTGACGACTCAAAGGTCCAGCATATGAAACATTTGCATAGATCGTTGTATGTTCCAGACAATTTCACTCTTAAAGAAAGAAACCTAAAAAAGTATTTGAAAAACCAGCACTCTGTGGTCGAACATGTGGTGAACTTTTATGTGGATGCAATAGAAGAATGGAGACGCAAAAATAGCATAGACCAGTTCGATCTCGTGGCTCACTCCCTAGGTGGCTACCTTGGAGTTTTCTACTGCATCAAGTACCCAGAGGCCGTACGAAGGCTGGTTTTAGCTAGCCCTGGAGGCGTCGAAAGATCACCGTTCGCCATAACCAACCCGGCCTACAGGAATATCAATGGCGACATTACGATGGCGTGCTCATACTCGCCAGCAGATTACTCCTTTTTAGGCCGCTACCCCTCCATCAAGCCTGGATTCCAGGCCTTGTGGTATATGAGAATGCCTACGTTTTTGCCGGTGAGGCTGCTGGGTCCTGTGGCTGTGCGGCTTTTAATGAGCCGGAACATCGAGAAATTTACGAGATCGAAAGATTTCTCCGACGCGGCAGAACTAGACGCGTTTGCCAAGTACGTCTACCACACAAATGTGGCGGCGTCGGTGTCAGAGACAGCCATCATGCGCATTTTCGACTCCAGCACCATGGCCAAAATACCCATATTGGACAAGCTGGAAAATCTGAAAGCAAGAAGTCTGTGGATCTATGGCCAGTACGATTTTATGTTTTCGGACGCTGGTCGTGCTGCTGTCAATTCATTGAATAAGATGCAGGGGACCTCGGCCGAATTAAAAATCGTTAATGGTGGAGGTCACAATATGTATCTCGATAACCCTGCTGAGTTCAATAGGCTGGTGGTGGAATTTCTAAAGTGACTGCAAGCTGTGCGTAGGCACAAAGAGAAACACAAAAAGCTAACATCCTCATTCCGATTCTATATTGTCCGCAAGCCTCGTGGTCCCAAATTTAGTCGCGCACTATCATGCGGCTCCCTGACGCGTCAGTGCGGCGATTCAAAAACGTAACTATAATCTATTCTGTGTTGTTTCTTTTTTAAAAATTGGCTTACGTGTTTTCTGTTCATTTTGGTGGTTCTACCACTTTATTTGTGTGTAAATAAATCGACATATAAATAACGTTCACGTTTCCCCAAAAAATTGAAAGACGTGTCGAATTTTTTTTTAGAACACACTCGTTGATAGAATAAAATGAAAGGATTAATCTTGGTTGGTGGATATGGTACTCGTTTGAGACCTCTGACGCTGTCGCTGCCAAAGCCTTTGGTCGAGTTTGGAAACAGACCTATGATCTTGCATCAGATCGAGGCGCTGGCTAACGCTGGCTGTACCGACATTGTGCTTGCCGTCAACTACAAGCCAGAAGTCATGGTTGGTGCTCTCAAGCAATACGAAAAGGAGTACGGCGTCAGCATCACCTTCTCCGTCGAGGAGGAGCCTTTGGGAACTGCTGGTCCTTTGAAGCTCGCTGAGAAGATCTTGAAGAAGGACAACACTCCTATCTTCGTTCTCAACTCTGATGTCATCTGCGAGTACCCGCTGAGGGACTTGCTCGATTTCCACAACGCCCACGGCGGCGAGGCCACTATTGTCGCTACCAAGGTGGATGAGCCATCCAAATACGGTGTTATTGTCCACGACAGAGACGTTCCAAACCTCATCGAGAGATTTGTCGAAAAGCCAGTCGAATTTGTTGGTAACAGAATCAACGCTGGTATTTACGTTCTCAACCCATCCGTCATCGACTTGATCGAGATGAGACCAACTTCTATCGAGCACGAGACCTTCCCGATTTTGGTCGAGCAAAAGAAGTTGTACTCGTTCGATCTGCCAGGCTACTGGATGGACGTTGGTCAGCCAAAGGACTTTTTGTCCGGTATGTGTCTTTACCTGTCCGCTTTGACCAAGAAGAACTCGAAGCTGCTCACATCTACATCTGAGGAGTACGTTAACGGCGGTAACGTTCTGATCGACCCATCTGCCAAGATCGGAAAGGGATGCAAGATCGGCCCTAACGTCGTCATTGGTCCTAACTGCATCATTGGTGACGGTGTCAGAATCCAAAGATCCACTATTTTGAAAAACTCACAAATCAAGGACCACGCTTGGGTCAAATCCACCATTGTGGGCTGGAACTCTACTGTTGGTAAATGGGCCAGACTCGAGGGTGTCACCGTTCTTGGAGAGGACGTGACCGTCAAGGACGAGGTCTACGTCAACGGTGGTAAGGTTTTGCCACACAAATCTATCAAGGACAATGTCGAGACTCCTCAAATCATCATGTGAATGCTCTTTCTCTATGTACGTTTGTGCTATTATCGTGACCATAATAAAATAATAATTAATACGGGTATTAAGCAGGTATTTTCGATATTTGGTTTTTTTCTTTATTTTTTGGTGCAAATAAATAGTTAATGTCTACTTTGGAACAACTGGAGCTGGAAGAGTTCGGTTTCCAACTGAGACCGGCTGTCCAGTTGTTTGATTCGGCGGAAGTACAAGATTTGGACGCCCACTACTATAACTGGCTGGCAATTTCAAATAAACACAATTTATTATTTGCCTACCTTAATAACAAACTCAAGGTCATAGATACGCAGGAGCTCGACAAGCTTCTGTCTATCGACCCTGACACTGAAAGATATACTGTTGCATGTTTACAGGAGTTTGAGCAAGCCGGAATTGTTCAAATATCACTATCCGCCGACGAGTCCCACCTGATCATCGTGAAACAAGACATCATAGAACAGGCTCACCTTGACAGTCTGAAACAGGGTACATGGGCTACAGAGAAGTTAACTTCAGCGGACTCCGAGGTTGTTTACCTTGCTCCAGGCGCACCAGGTGTCTTTGCATATTTGTTGGCTAATGGCCAGCTGATGCTGTTTGATGAAAGTGGAACTAAGACTCTCCGTCAAGAGTGTAGTTGTTTCAACTGGATAGACAGCAATACTCTACTGATTGGCGTGCATTCGCGTGTTGAGCTGCTCAAAATTGACTCCGGGAGCTCAGAGACCATCTCTCTTGATGAGGATCGCAAGCCGGTTTTTGTGACGTCCGTGGAAATGGACAGTTGGCTTGTGGTTCTTGGTGGCGAGACCGAAGACGATGACACGAAATCATATGTTATTACCAGGAATGGTGACACGTTTGACAAGAGCGAAGCGTACGACATTTGCATGCCATTTGGCGTAATTCCACGAAAACTGAGCTTCTACGCTCTCCATTTGCACAATTGGAGCTCCACCTATCCGCATCTTGTATTCCTCACTAGTTCGAAATCCACCGAGTTCAACACGTTAACGAAGTCTCAGCAATTGTTGCAACTGAATGATTCCGATAGAGCGCAAATGCCTTTGGACCCGGACTCGGGAGACGACGACACACCCCTTGGCCTGGTGCTTGATCTAACAGGGAAATCAGAAATGCTGGAACCTTGTCAACAGGTTGAAAAGTGTAGCGCTTTGCCTAAGATGATTGCACTTACCAATAGAGGACAATTGTTGGTCTGGAACATTTGGCTGTCCACGGACATCAACGCCGGAAAGGTTAATCTCGAGGCTGCTAGAAACGTGGCTATGGCTGAAAGTGGAAAGACTGTTGCACCCCAGTCTTTGGAAAGTAAGCAAGCGGCGCCAGAACAAACGCTACCCAAGGACCCGGTTTCTTCCTTCTCCCGGAATAAAACCAGTTTATTTGGACAGTCCGAAAAGCCAGCTACACAGAGTCCATTTGGATCTTCCACAACCACAGCGTCTCCGTTTGGAAAGTCGGGATTTTCAGCAGCTTCAGGAGGCAGTGCATTTGGAAAGTCGGGATTCGGTCAATCTGCTGCTTTTGGTTCTACAGGTTCCGGGCCTTCGAACTCGTCTGGGTTTGGGCAATCGGGTTTTGGGTCTTCTGGATTCACTTTTGGACAATCAAACCCTGCAGTTAATGTCTCGTCACAAAATACAGCCGCGAAAAAAAGCTTCGGGGCCTTTTCGTCCTTCAGTTCGGGAACGAATACTTTTGCTTCCAAGTCATCGCCTTTCAATCTTCAACCTAAAGAGGACATATTTGCAAGTTCCGACAAAAAGGACAGTTCACCGTTTGGAGAGGCCAAGAGTGCGTTCGGAAATACTGGTTCGAGTTTATTCGGACAAAGCGGTTCAGCGTTCAAGTTTGGGTCCACTAACCAAGCGTCCAAAGACAGTCCGTTTGCGCAATTAAGCTCAAAGCCAGCGGGCCAAGAGCAAAAGAAGGACAACTTGTTGAGCTCTGGTTCAACTCCTTTTGGGTCGGAATTCAAAAGCTCTCTTGGTTTAGACAGCCTGAAACTTGACACTAAGCTTGACTCTCCAAGTCCATTTGCAGGTCTCTCGAAGACTTCCGAGAATCCTTTTTCGTCGCTGACGAAAAAGTCAGAAGATCCATTTGCAGCTTTGGGAAACAAGGAGAACGCACTTTTCTCAAACTCGAAGTCTCCTGCTTTCAACTTTTCTCAATCAAAGCCTGAAGCGGATGAGGGTTCTGAGAAGGCTACTGAAGATTCTGAAGGACTGAGCGAGGAAGTCGTCGAGGGCGAAGATGATTCTGATCACTCTGAGGAAGAAGATATGCTTGACGAGAACAAGGATGGTGCGGAAGTGAAAATTCCTCAAGAAGTTCCTTATTTGGAGGATTCTGACCTCAGTGAACACTCTGCCGAGTTGGACGGAAGCTTTGAGGAGATCGAAAGACCAGAAAGCTTGGAAGCTTCTGCCCAGAAAACAGAGGAATTAGAGGAGGCAGCTGATGATGAGGGGGATAGTGAAGAAGACAAGGGAAAAGCGCCAGTGGCCCCTTCTGCAACCATCCAAGTCTCTCATTCGCGAGCTGAGGAAAAGGACGCTGACCAGTCGCAGGGAGTCTTCAAACCGGCTGATACCAAGCACCCAAATGATACTGCTGAGACAGAACAGAAGTCGACGCTCGAAACGCCGCAGACCGACTCCAATACCGAGCGGTCAGAATCTGAAAGTGCCTCTGACATGGCAGCCGTGCCTTCCGCTGTGGCTCAGACTAAGTCGGGAACCAAAAACACAAAGCAGGCGCCCGCAGCTGAATCGATACCGACACCCAAATCTCCTCTTGTTGAGAAATCTGTCTCTACGACCGAATCGAGGGAGCTGGAGAAAGATGCTGATTTCGGAGAGACTGACAAGGATCCAGTACCAAAAGCGGTTCCTCAGCTAGTCTCGCTAGGGTCCGTGGCCATTCCAAAGCTGAGCTCCAACGAAGTGCTACGTGAAATGGAGAAGATCGTATACCACACCGATGCAGAGCTCAGTATTCTGGATGAAAACATGAAGCTGTTCACGGAGTTTATGGAAGACCACACATCTGGAAAGTTCCCTCGCAATTTTGAAGATGACGGTTTGTTTCCTACCAGCTGGAGGCTGTCTGAGGTTGGAAAGCTTTCTGCAGTCATTGACGAGAGCGCTGCAGATTACGGCAAGCTGAAAGCTGATTTAGGTACTATATTCGACAGTACAAGCTCTTTACTCTTGGATTTGAACGCTGTCACAAAGCAAAGTGATGAGATGTATGCTGTGCTCAAACAGCTAGAGCACGAAAAGAAAAACTCTCATCTGGAGAAGAACTTATCTCCGGCCGCGTCCCAAAAGCTGGATGCCATTCGCAAGGGATACGAGAAGCTCCGCGATATGGAGAACAGTTTGCATGCACGATTATTTGTTCTGAACGGCAGGCTCTTCCCGGAACGGATTATTGACTCGCCAACCAATTTTGAGGTGATCGTCTCTGGTCTTGATGCCAAATTGAGAACGTATTACGATGAATTGAAGTATTTACAGGAAAAGATCAGCGAGTACAAGGCCAGAGACAAGCCTGCAATGAAGCTGCAGCAGCAATTCGACAAACTGAGCATAGCGACGCTGGTCTCGCAGACTGCTGCCAAAGAACAGCTGGGCACATATTTGCAGGGCCGCAAATCTGTGACTCACACGGTGGAGCTATAAAAAATAATTACGAGAAATAAATTCGTTTGTAAAGTTATTCCTAATCATGCAGCGGCAGCGGATCAATTTCGACCTCACCCGCGGAAGGAACCGCATGAGTCAGCGCACGAACGAGGCCAGCCTGGTGGTTGGAAAGTCCAAGAGCCTACATGAGATCCGCAGCTCCTCTAGCAGCAGTCTTCTGAACGTGCGAACAACAGACCAGTGGAACATTGAATCGGCCTCCACCATACGTGACTCAGAGCTCTCGGCTGCCGTGCCTGAGACTCCCACTTTGGCGTTCACCGAGCCGGTTCAATTGAGTGTACGGTTCCACGAGAGCCGCACCTCTGCGGAAGACGTCCTGCTAGACCCAAATGCAATACCGGGGATCAAGGAGGGCGCCGTGTGTGAGCTGGAGTGTTTGGAAGGCTCTGCCCGCAAATTCTATTTTACCTACAAGCCATCAGACGCGTCATTGGGAGGATTGGGTAACAGCAACTACATCTCGTTGCAATCAGGGCCTTTGCAGCAGCTGCTTGACCTGAAGCTCCGGAGCCAGGTCTTAGTGCGCGTAAAGGCTCCTGAGCTGGTGGAGGCGGATGTTGTCGAGGTGTACGTCAAGGACATGCACCTCTCGCGCGGAGACATGTGGAATCTGTCGTCCATTTTGACAGAAAAGTGTCTCTATCGATCTCAGAGACTATCTTTTCTGCAAAGCTCGATCCGGGCCACCGTGGGCAAGATATACAGAAACGGCCGCAAGGTGTTTTCTGGATATGTTGGCCCAGGCAGCAAGATAGTTTTCCGGTCCGAGTCGGCACGACTGATTGTCTTTATTCAGATATCCTCTGAGATGTGGCACTTTGAGGAGAGCGGACAGCAGATGTTCCACAAGCTGGTCAATTCTCTGCTGCCGCGAATCTTCCAGCGCTGGAAAGATTTGGGCACGCATCACTTGATCACCGTGGTTCTGTTCAGCAGTGTGGACCTGAACACAGAGGCCAATCGGTATCGTGCTGGGGAGCAGCCAAGCAATCGAAAAGACTACTACCGCGTGGTTGTGGACCAGGTGAGTATTTTGCTGTGGAACGAGATCATGGCTGCTCTTCGCCGAGAATTTGCCAACTTCTCCAAGGACATCCGCTTGCGCAAGAACCCTCGACGCACGCACCTGCATCCCGAAGAGTATATTATCGAGGGCTCATTCCTTCCTTCTGTGAAGGGTAATCTTCTTGAAGCTATCAATTTGGGAATGAGTTTGGTGAGTGACGATTTCAGGGACCCTGATTTGCGGCACACCACCAACCATTTTTTGGTGATTTCTCCAGGAACGGGCATCTTCGATACCGAGTACGACATTCTTGTGCAAACGAGCAAGCTGATGACAACGATCGACGCGACAATCGATGTCATCTGCCTTTCGCAGCCCCCGCTCCACGTTGTTCCGCTGGTGAGGTATCTGGATGGTCAAAAGAAGCTGAAGCATTGTATACCCAGCTGGATGGACATTTCTTTCTGGAGCGATGCCACACAGGCGGTGCACCAGTGGCTTCCGCGGTGCAAAATTTACGAGCTCCAGATGATGGGAGTTATGGAAAACGACCTCAGTGCGATCAACGTCAGGGAGCTGGTGTTCTCTGGCGCTGCTTCTGTGCAGGACGCGATGGACGAGTATGATGGAGAGCTTTTTGGGACTAAGACCAGCACCGCTCTGCCAAAAAAGTCCGTTGCTCGCGTGAAACAGCCTGTGAGGGCTGTGAGCACCGGAGCGCGCAGCGGGCTCGAGCCGCCGGACCTCAACACTTTCAAGGCATCGTCGCCCACGACGTCGACCGTTGTCGGTGTAACGACAACGTCGAAGTCCAACGTGAGCGCGTTTTCATCGCTGCTTTCCATCACGAAGACAGAACCTAAAAAGACGTCGCCTAAGGCCTTTGAGTTTGTAAAGCGCATCATCTCGTCGCCCGGCGTGAAGTCGATTCCAATAAAGAATGATGACGACGTGCCAAAGCTCGACACGATCTCCGTCACCGACCGCGGTCCGCGGATGAGCAAAATGAGCTCTGATTCCTCTCTAAGAAAAACTTCGACCCGTGCCCGCAGCACGACCGACGAGCGCGACAAGTCGCATCACGAACGCCAGGAGAAGAACTCGCTTCTCAACAGCTACTGGACTCAAGTCGAGAACCCGTCGAATGCGGAAACCAGTGAATTATTGGGAATGGTCTCGTACGGACGGTGGCAGTTTGTTTTCCCGCAGAACGTGAAGCGGAAAAGCATCAAATGGAAGTCCATCTCCACGCCTGCCTCGCTGCCGCTGATGACTCCCGTGTTCCCGAGCGTTTCTGACTTCAACCAGAACTTCACCTTCAGAATATACGACGTGTTTCTAAGCCAGGCAGACGTCAACGAAGGACGCAATAGCGAGACACTGATGCGCAAAATGATCTCGCTGCGACTCACTCTGGGCTTCCAGATTTGCGTTTCAGAAAATGTGGCCAAAGTCGAAAACCAGCGCAAACCCAACGGAGACTCTAAGCTACTGGTTCGGTATCTCACCAAGAGAAATTATCTTGGGTCTCGACTGTATTTAAGTCTCTCCAACGAAATACACCGTATCAGCTGCGATTTTGACGGGCTGGTGAACGTCCAGGTGTACAAGCGGATGAGCCGGCCCGACGACGTGCTCACGAGATCATCACGGTCCGACTACGTGCCGTACGTTCGCACGCGGTATTCCCAAGAGTATAAGTCTATGGTGATTCATGGGTTGCAAGGAGAGCCGAGAAACTACAACTGGAACCAACTGGATCAGCTGCTAGCAGGCTACGAGGAAACCATGGAGCCTGCGCAACGGCGGAGCCACCGCATCAAGTTTGTCATTCTGCCTACGGAGATCCCTGCCAACGCGTTCAACCTGGCCTCGGAAAAGCTTACCCCAGAGGAGATCCGGCTGGAAGGTATACGCTCCTTGATTTCCATCATCAACAGACTGAAATACCGCACGGCTGGCGAAAAGAACGAGCGCAAGAGACTGGAAATCATCCCGGAGATCAATTTTTACACAGGTAATCTGTTCAGGTATCTGAGAGCGGTGTCTGCGCAATTATCTGAAGAAAATAGGACAAGCTCGCTTTTTCAGACAGCCAGGTTTAACCAAAAAGTTAGTCTATCTGAGCTCAAAAAGGCCATTGAGGGGGACAAGGGCATCCAGGTGGTGGACAGAAAGTGGCATCTGAGAACGCATCCCAACTGTTTTTTGGGAATGGATCTGGTCAGCTGGATGATAGAGAATTTTGAGGACATCGACACCAGAGAGCAGGCTGTCGAGTACGGCAACAAGCTCATGGAGCAGGGTTTGTTCCGCCACGTTGAGTCCAGACATCGTTTCCTCGACGGCCATTATTTCTACCAGCTGATCAACGAGGACTCGGCTGCAGGCTCGGCCAAGTCGCCTGCGTCGCTGCGCAAGTCGGAAATTGAGAAAGATAGCGAAAAGTCCGTCTCCTCCAGCCCCACAGAGGCCTCTGGGTCCAAGAAACGCGTTGTTCTGAGTCGTAAGGTCACGTGCGACCTCGACCCCAACGGTGTTTCGTGGCAGCCGGAGCTGATCACTGTCCATTACGATATTGTGCACAACCCGGAGCACTGTTTCCACGTGCGGCTGGAGTGGCTCAACAGCACCTCAAAATTGGTGGAAGACACGGTCAACAGCTGGGCCAAGCACTGTGAACGGTACGGGCTGACTCTCGTCGAGGCTCCGTGGCAGGAACTTTGCACGCTGCCGACGCGCAACCCACTGCATTCGACGGTGGAGATTTCGCTGGCTTTTGATCCTTGGACAGATCCCGAGTTTGCAGGAGATCTCCTGAAGGAGAACAAGTACTTCTACCACCTCTACATCATTGAAAAGTGTGGTTTCTTGTTGGACAACCGCACAGCTACGTATTTCAGGGACGACGACTTTGATGTGGTTTATTCGTGGGGAAAACCGACATTCAAGTACGCGCAGTTTATTCACAAGACCGGCGCATACATTGCCGAGCTGCGGGAGAACGGAGGGTTCTTTTTGGCTCCAAACAACGCCCATGTGGCCCGTGTCAACCTCTCTGTCAGCCAACAGGCGAAAAACCAGGCCGTGTACCTCGATTCGCAGGGCGTGATGCTGGACTTTATGTCGATCTGCCAGGACGAGAACAGGCTTCGCAGGCTCCTCAGAGAAGCGAAAAGGAGGTTTGAGGTGAGCAAGGACGTGGACGTGGCGCTTTTCGAGGACGATTTGGAGAACACCTCGAGCCACGACAGCATCACCAGCAAATAAATGATGTACAATACTGTATTATACAACTATCAATTATTCTCAAGCAGCAATCCTCTCGGCGATCTTGATCACATCGCCCAGCACTCCCATGGCCGTGACTTCGGCTCCGGCACCTGCTCCTTGGATGATGAGCGGGTTAGGATAACGCTTGGTCTGGAGGGAGATGACGTTGTCAGAGCCCTTGAGTGACGCAAATGGGTGGGACGCATCGTACTTGGCAATCTCGACGCTGGTCTTCTTGTTGGCCACGTCGACCTTTCCGATGAATCTCAGCACTTTACCCTCTGAGGCAGCCTCAGACTTGAGCTTCTCCATCTCGTGGTCGAATTCTGGTAGTCTCTGCATGTACTCGTCTGCGGACTGGACGCTTTCCAGCTGCTTTGCAATCAGGGACTGCACTGGGAATGAAGTTGGCGACTCAATGTGCAAGCCGGCGATTCTGGCCAAAATGGTAACTTTTCTGGCGACATCGAGACCGTTCAAGTCGTCTCTTGGGTCTGGCTCGGTGTAGCCCAGCTCTTTGGCAACCTTGACAATGTCGCTGAATTTCGAGGTGTTTGGCGAGATCGTGGAGTACTCGTTGAAGATGTAGGACAGCGTACCGGACAGGATACCCTCGATCTTCTCCACCTGGTCGCCAGTGGCCACCATCTCTTTGAGAGGGGAGATCAGAGGCAATCCGGCGCCGACAGAGGCCTCGTGGTAGCACAGTCCTGTGTTGTCTGCAGAAAAGATGTCGTTCCACAAAGACATCGAGCTGGAAAAGGCCTTTTTGTTAGGAGTGGCCACAGAAACACCATTCTTTAGGAAAAGCGGATAGGACTTGGCCAAGGTCTCGTTCGAGGTATTATCGACAAGAATTGCAGGCAATGGAGACTTTTTCAGAAAGTCAACAAGGTCCTCGACGGATAATGGGGTAGAGGTGGTTGATTGCAACAATTGCGACCACTTGGCCAGCTCAAAGGGAGAGTAGTCCTTGTTGTACACCGCCTTTTTCGAGGTCGACAAGTAGATCAGATTATAGTTGATGGCAGACTTGGCGCCTGAGAGCTGTTGAAGGAATGCAGAGCCAACCACACCCGCTCCAATAACGGCAACGTTGACAGACTTCATTTTCAAAGACAAATAAAAATCAAATGGACAATTTTTCAGCCGATACCTAAATAAATATATTTCATAAAATCCCTAATTTCATTCAGTATATATTCTTCTGATCCTCAGACATTTCGTAATCCCACCAGTTTGTCAAACAGTTTTGATCCCACAGATGCTTGTAGGTAAAATCTGCAGTCTCGCATCCTTTACAAGACGGACGGTTGCTGCACAGAGTGTACGGCTGATGCTTGTAGCCGATGTCTCTAAACCAATGGATCTTGTCACGGTCCTCAAACAGGCCAAGACCCACAGAATGGACAGGGGCGTCTCCCCAGCGCTCATAGTAGAAGCCTCCAGTTGAGTCCAGAAATTTGACCCAGTCTGAGTACGGCTTGCTTCTGTAAAAGTCCATGTCTGCTATCTCGAAATTGGACCAAAAGTGGCACGTAGAATACCCGTTGGCGATGAGCGTCTTGTGCGGATTTTGCAGATTTTCTACGAGGAAATCGTAGGCTCCATTTGGATGCAGGTAATCGGGATGTTCAGCCAAAAATTCCATTGTTCTTGGCCACAGAGTTCTAACAGATTGCTCGACGTCGTATAACGCTATCACGAACCCGTAGGTCTTCTTGTTCATCTCCATAAACTTGAACACATCGTAATCAAGGTCACAGTAGTAGTCGGTTCCTGGCTCAAAACGCCAATAGTAGCGAAACTGCTGTAATCGCGGATGGTTATAAAAGTTCACGCTGTAGTACCGGCACATATTATGATATGAGACCAGTTTAGCGTATCCCACGTTCTCGTCTTCCAGCTGCTGCATTGCATTGGCCTGTTTTTTCACACTTATCGATTTGGGTTGTTCCCAGATCGCTTTATCTATGCTTTCGAAATACGTCGCACCCGAGACGTGCTTTTTGATGGTTTCCTTGAATCTTTCTGTAAATGGCTGTTCATTCAGGAAGACGTAAGGGTAGTGAAACTTGTGGTTGAACTTTTCCTCTATTTGTTTGATTGTCCGCACAACAGGGCCTAATTCTCGGTTCCTCACCAACACCAGCATGGTGGCATTGGCGCGATCGTACTCATCTGGATTAGAGGGCGGTCGCACCAGATTTCCCGTCTTTGGCTCATGAATAGGCCGCCTCAATATGTCCTGCAACGTTTTGTAGTTTTCTTCCACTATCTGCTGAGGCGACTTGGAACTCTTGTGCGAGAAGACAAGCTTTTTGTCTGCGGAGAGTGGTAATTTTGAGCCAGCTCGAAGATCCCAGTCTCCGAAGTTGACTCCCACGAGTATTATCGTTGAGACAACCAACGCAAATGCCACGAGTCTGGCAATTTTCCGTGGAATTGACACCATGGACAAACTTTTTTCGATGAATGTTAAAAGCCCCCGGATTACCAAATCAATTGAATTTCCCCTGCAGATCTGAGAATTTATTAAATTCATTATTTTGAATTCGCCTAAAACAATGCTGGTGAAATTCAGCCATATTCTGCGCAGTGTCGCTGAAAAGTCTCGAGTCACTCTAGTCACCGGTAACCAAAGTGCAGACATGGACTCTGTGGTTTCGGCGATCGCGTACTCGACACTCTCTTCCAAGTCTCTGGTTCTGCCCTTGATCAATATTCCTAGACAAGACTTTGATCTCAGGAGAGATATCGTGCACGTTATGAAGCATTCCGACATCAACGTGAAAGACCTGATTTTTTTGGACGATATAGAGAGTTGCTGGGACCAGCTGGCGAAAACAAAAGTTGATTTGGTGCTGGTGGATCATAATAAACCTCAGGGCGATGTTGTCAATAATCTCATGAACGAGCTTGGAGCCACTGTTGTAGGGATAATTGACCACCACGAAGACGAGAAGCTCTTCACTAATGCCAGCCCCAGAATCATTAAAAAATCGGGTTCTTGTGTTTCCCTTGTACTCAATCACTTCAAGGAGCAAGTTGCTCGAATCGATCCCAAACTTGCTAAGCTTTTTCTCAGTCCGTTGGTGATCGATACTTCTGGACTGAAGCATAGGGTGGAGCAAGTTGACAAGGATGCCCTCGAGCTGTTGCTTCCTAGGTTGCAGGCAGACCAGGCCTTCCTACAGGCCTGGACCAATGAGCTGAACACTGCCAAACAGAATGTGGAAGGGCTGTCACTTCGCGACTTGCTGCGCAAGGACTACAAAGAATACCGAACCGTTGGTATAAGCTCGATGGTTGTGAGCTTAGATTATCTTTCGCGGTTTGATCTCCTGCCAAGTTTGGAAAGCTGGATTAAAGAGAGAAAATTAGATATAGCAATCATTATGACGTCTTACAACGACAAGAAGTTCCACAGGGAGATAATGTTCCATGGCGACGATGCCAAAATAAGGAGCCTTTTAAATCAGATACAAGAGCCCCTAGGACTCGAGCCCTTGGCCAAGTATCCGTTTAGCTTCGAACAACGTGAACCCGTCAACTCTAGAAAGCAGGTTGCCCCGCTGGTTAATAATTGGCTGGATGCCCAAGGACTATAAGTTCGTTCCTAAATAAGACACTTTCCACTGATTGAATTGTCGCTGCGAGTCGGGCAATTCTGTATTAATCGTGTTCAACTCATTGAACGTTTCCGTCATCATGTCGTCTTCCAAATCAACCACCTCATACCGATTATGCAGTGACCTTTGGTTTGTTCCTTCGCCGTTATTTTGCTCCACAAAAGTGGCTATTTCATTCTCGTCGTCCATGTACATCACTTTGAGACAGTTCCTCAGGAAAGAAGAAGGAAAAGTCACGTCTATTCCAAAATTGAAACACCATAGCAGAACCCTTGTCGACCCGCTTTTCACAAGGAAAAAACGCACTGCGGTTGAGGCAATCGAGTCAAGCAAATAACTATATAGATAGATCAAGCATGAGCAATATTGTTGCCTATTTCCGTCTCTCAGTGCCAACTTCCATTTAAGAAGCTTGTAGTTATTATTTTCTACCTCTCCGAGAGTCTGGTGGCAGCCTGCGCACTTGACGAATTGATCTTCCGCGAATAATGAGGGCAGCAAAGGCACCAGAAAATAGTATACACCCACGATCAGTGTGTCCGAAGCAGGCCTCAGATTGTTGAACCGATCGGCGATTTTGTCGTTGGTATAGTTACCATTCGTAGGTTTGTGGCAGTGCCAAAACTCCATCATTTCATACCACATCTCCGATGGCATAGGGTGAAGCTTTCTTATTTTTGAGAGATCTGCGATTGGCTGGGAGCATGCCGCACACTCAAATACGCCTTGGGGGTGCTGTTTCAAGTCTCTGATCGACCAGATCGAATCATCAGTGCTTGTTAGCTGATCGATGCTGCTAGCGGCTTTATCAGCCAAAGCAGGGACTTTCAGAGTAACAAAGCCATTTTCAACTCGAGCGAAGGACAAGACGTCATCGTAGTCTGCGGTTTTTCCCGCCAGCGGGATGGAGACGATTTGCGTCTTGGTGGAAACTAACAGTTGATTGGCTTTAATAGAAAGCTTCTCAAGCTCTTGCCTCCGTAGCTCCACGCATATTGAAACAGAACACAGCCGAGGCAAATATTCGGTAAAATATCGGGGAGACTGAGGCCTGGTGGCTGTCATAGCGGACGATATCAAGAGCTATATGCTACTGGTTTTTTCCTCGGGCAGTGCTGGTGCACAGATGGATCGAGGAATTGCAAACCAGCTCAGCATGTACTTCAGCTCACTAATTTAGCTGCTACCCTCAGGCCAACAACAATGTGGCTCCCCAATTGAAAAGTCGCGGGCGCAACTGAGACATCCCCTGCCCGCGTGCCTACCCCAACAGACCCTGCTTTATCGGAAATACTGTGTCCGGGTAACTCTTCAAATCGACCAATAATGTGCTTGCGGTGGTGTCCACCGGGAGAGAAAAAATTCCCCCCAGTCGACCGCGTGCTCACAGGCCGTGCTGTGCCCTGTGGTTGGTGTGTCTTTTTTTCATTTTTCTTCCACTTTTGTTTCCATTTTTTATACAACCAGATTTGTTCTTTCCCAAGAATCAATCATCGTATAACAATGCTTTCTGCTAGACCAGCCATCAGAGCAGCTGCTAGATCAGCTCTAGCTGCTAACATTGTTAGAGCTGCACCAAGAATTGTGAGTACCCACTGCTCCGCCAACCACTGGAAAGTTCCCTTGAGTGGCCGACAGGTATTTTCTCGGTGCCGATGTGTCCAATGGCGCACTGAACGCCTTTGCGTTTGCCACTGAGCTTGTCTGTGCCTTTCAATGGGTCGCTTTAGGAGGATTTTGCGGACAGCCTGTCATTCTTGAGTACTAACACAATTGCGACTTCGTCGCAATAATACAGGCTAGACCTCTGTTATCCGCTAGATCGTACGCCACCGCTAAGGCTGCGCCAACCGAGGTTTCTTCTATCTTGGAGTCCAAGATTAGAGGTGTTTCCGATGAGGCCAACTTGGACGAGACCGGAAGAGTTCTTTCCGTTGGGTAAGTATATCACATTGTGGAGGGTCCGGATTGGTTTAGACTACACGAGGGAATGAGTCTGGTCTTGCCAATGGCATGCCAGATCGCCAGAATTAAAGGTGTGTTCACTATTTTGTGGGCCAATCATAGCCCACGAAATCTCATAACCTCAATTTTTTCCAAGGAATCTCGGTCTGGATTTTCACTCTCCGCACAGCCCGAAATTGTTTACTAACCAGATCAGTGACGGTATTGCCAGAGTTTTCGGTTTGAACAACTGCCAAGCTGAGGAACTGGTCGAGTTCGCCTCCGGTGTCAAGGGTATGGCTTTGAACTTGGAGCCTGGCCAAGTCGGTATTGTGTTGTTCGGTTCCGACAGAGAAGTTAAAGAGGGTGAAATTGTCAAGAGAACTGGTAAGATTGTCGATGTTCCTATCGGACCAGGTATGTTGGGAAGAGTTGTTGACGCTCTAGGTAACCCAATTGATGGTAAAGGACCAATCGAGGCCACTGGTTACGCTATCGCTCAATTGAAGGCCCCAGGTATCTTGCCAAGAAGATCCGTGTACGAGCCAATGCAAACCGGTTTGAAGGCTGTTGATGCCTTGGTCCCAATTGGAAGAGGTCAGAGAGAGTTGATCATTGGTGACAGACAAACTGGTAAGACTGCTGTTGCCCTTGACACCATCTTGAACCAAAAGAGATGGAACGATGGCAACGACGAGTCCAAGAAACTCTACTGTGTTTACGTTGCCGTTGGTCAAAAGAGATCCACTGTTGCTCAACTGGTTCAAGCTTTGGAGCAAAACGATGCTATGAAGTACTCTATTGTGGTTGCCGCTACTGCTTCTGAGGCCGCTCCATTGCAGTACTTGGCTCCTTTCACTGCTTGTGCCATTGCCGAGTGGTTCAGAGACAACGGAAAGCATGCTTTGATTGTCTACGACGACTTGTCCAAACAAGCCGTTGCTTACCGTCAATTGTCCTTGTTGCTGAGAAGACCTCCTGGAAGAGAGGCCTACCCAGGTGATGTCTTCTACTTACACTCTAGATTGTTGGAGAGAGCTGCTAAGATGTCTGACGCTCACGGAGGTGGATCCTTGACTGCTTTGCCAGTCATTGAGACTCAGGGTGGTGATGTCTCTGCTTACATTCCTACCAACGTCATTTCTATTACCGACGGTCAGATCTTCTTGGAGGCAGAATTGTTCTACAAAGGTATCAGACCAGCTATTAACGTCGGTTTGTCTGTGTCCAGAGTTGGTTCCGCTGCTCAAGTTAAGGCCATGAAGCAAGTTGCTGGTTCTTTGAAGTTGTTCTTGGCTCAATACAGAGAAGTTGCTGCCTTTTCTCAATTCGGTTCCGATCTTGATGCTTCGACCAAGCAAACCTTGTCTAGAGGTGAGAGATTGACTCAATTGTTGAAGCAAAAGCAATACTCTCCACTAGCTTCTGAGGAGCAAGTGCCAGTCATTTACGCTGGTGTCAACGGTTACTTGGATAACATTCCAATCGAGAGAATCCCAGAATTCGAGGAGCAATTCGTTGCTTACTTGAAGGCTAACGAGGGTGACATCTTGGAGGCTATCAGAACCAAGGGTGAGCTTTCTTCCGATCTCTTGGACAAGCTTAAGTCTGCCACCGAGACTTTCGTTGCCACCTTCTAAGCAACTAGAGACTCTCATTTTAGAAGAGCAGAGCTCCAAAATTCCTCTGTCTCTAAGAATGTATGATGTTTGGATCTTCTTTTGACATAACACACATCAATAGAAAGAAGAGAAAAGATATTCCGAAAAATTGTAGTCTTGGTAAAAAAATTGTAACTGATTTTAAATCATGGTTGTCAGTAACGATGATCTTTTCAGGCGTTCTACGCAGTATAGGTTTTGGTCCTTTACGCGCCCACAGCTAGCGGAGTTGCGCATTGTTGCCAACAAAAAAGGAATACAAAAGACCGAGGAAAGGATCAATGAATTGGACGAGTTTCTACCAGAAGCGAAGTTAGTGAGAGAGAACCAGGACCAGTTCCAATTCGTCCATCTTGACGAGGAAAAGAAACTTATAAGTTATTACGCCCGTCGATGTAAAGAGCTTGCCGCATTTTTCCATCTATCTGCTCAGGTAAGATCTACTGCCATCATGTATCTATACAAATTCTACCTATATCATTCTGTGATGGAATATCATCCAGGAAACATCATGCTTACCTGTTTGTTCTTAGCTGCCAAGGTTGAGAACCACTTTATAGGGATAAACACCTTTTGCAAGAACATTCCCAAGACGACCCCTGAAGCCATATTGAAGAACGAGTATCTTATTTTGGAGACCATGAAATTTTCTCTCCAATGCCACCATCCGTTTCAGCCATTGTATGGCTTCTTCCTTGACATACAACAGACGCTTCCGAAACTAGACTTCAACAGACTTGGTAAGAACTATGACGGTGCGAGGGAGTTGGTCAACGAGAGCTTGTTTACTGATCTGCCATTCCTATACACTCCGCCTCAGATAGCTTTGGCCTGCTTATGGTTGTGTGATGATGTATTGGTGGAGAAGTATCTTTCAAAGAAGTTTGGTCTAGCCAAGAAGACTGAACAGGAAGACGAAGATGCATTACAGTGCTACAACAAAATAATGGTCATAATACGACATTGTGCGGATGTCGTGCGAAATGAAGCACTAGACCCGTCTCAAGAAGAGAGCAAGACAATCTCGGCCAAGATCAAACTATGCTTGGAACCAATCAGGTTCGGAAGAAAGCTGATGAAACAAAATGGCGAACAAGCTGCGAAACGATCTGCCAGCATTACTGAGGGAGGTGATGAAAAAAGAGTCAAACTGGAAACAGAGTAAAATTACGTTTGATCTATATCTCGTCCGACAAGCTGAGGCTTGCAATAATCTTCTCATTCACGGTTCCCAATTCCAGACATTCTTTCGTGCCTTCGTCCAATTGCACAATGCTTTGGACAAGGTGAGTCGCAGCTCCTCTGGTCACGTCCAGCACCGTATCGCCCATTTTCATAGTTACTTTTCCTGACTCATGCACGCGCAGTGTACCAATCACATCCGACGCCGTACCTTCATTTTGTGAAAGTTCATCGTCAACTTCCATTTTTACTTCGTGAGAAGCGCTCTCCACGTTCAATTGTTTTGGAAGTTGCAAGAATAGCATCTCCTCTGCATTTTCCTCAAGTTGGATGTCTTCCAATTTGCTGATTATTGCTCTATAGTCATCCGCTAATCGCACGGCCTCTTGCTTGCCTTGATAGTCAGTAATAGAAGCGTCCGCATTTGCTTGCTCGTTAGGAATGAACTTGAGCGTAGCATCTTCCTCCTGCTTAATCTCCACACTCTGTTCTCTAGATGTCGGCTCTGAATCAACAGGCACCGAAACCTCGCGATGAATTTCCGTCTTGATTGAACTGTCTAGTAGAGGCTCTTCTCCGTATTCGTAATGCTGCTGTCTTTCAGCTCTCACTGGAAAGTATTGTGTATCAACATCTTTCCAATCGTACGCCTGTCCTAGATCGATTCGCGCCGTCGTGTCATCCTCGCCCTCATCGTCCGATTCTGTGTTTTCTTTTGCCTTTTTGGTGGTTTGTGCTTTGAGACTCTGTGCTAGATCATATGTATCAGCAGATTTCTTCACCATCTTTGTTCCCTTACTCTGCCCAGAATTGGCTAGCGAAACGGTTCCCATAGCAAGAGGGCCTGCCATCACAACTTTTGTGTTTTGAAGATGCCGCGTTCCGGGGGTTCGAGAATTCCTTTGCAAGTTCTTGGCTAGAGATCCTGGTTTTTTGCTCACGCCCGGGGTGGCCACTGGAACATTGGAGTCTCGCTCCTCCTTCGTTCGTCTCGCAACCACTTTGGGTTTGAATTTCAGACTTTGTTTGGAAGGGCCTCCTCCTGGAACATTGCCAGAAGGCCTCGATATAGAGTCCAATCGGTTATTGGACATAGTGGATTATTATAATTCCTGGATCTTCCAAAAAAAAAAATTAAAAATCTAAGGAAATTTTTCAAAAAAAAAAAACTAAAAAATATTCAAGTCCACCGTCATGCAACAGGATCCCGGATTAGACGAGGTGGATGAGTTCCACGCAGGCAGAGAGAAGATCCTGCTTGACCAGGCAAATTTTGAAGAGCCAGAGAGTGAAGAGAGCGAACAAGAAGTCTTGGGTCTTGATGAGGACGAAGATAGCGAAGAAGAAATCGAACGGTACAAGAAAAAGCTCACAGGCCACGTGGAAGAAGATGAGGAAGATTACTTTGGTTCCGAACAGGAACAAGAGGAAGAGGAAGAGGAAGAAGGTTGGGGTGGTCGAAGTGACTATTACGGAGGAGATGAAGTAGAGGAAGAAGAGGATGCAAAGCTCCTCGAAGAGGAAGCACTGAGGATCCAAAAGAAGCATTTACAAGAATTGAATATGGATGACTACATGATGGACGATTCTGTGGGAGACTGGGTCAAAGGGGAGGAAGAGACAGAGGAATCTAGGGATCAGAAATTGGACTTGAATAAACTCGATGAAGCTGGTTTCTCTGAGGTCATGGAAAGCCAATATCCCGAATTTATTCCGCTGACAAAGGAGGTGAAGGATCTCAAGCCTGTCTTAGATGACCTCTTGAAAGAGAAAGACGCCGACCCCGTTGCAGAGCTTCGTTTTAATGCCCTCAGTGCGTATCTGGGCACGATCGCTACATATTTTGCTCTATTTGGATCGTATTTGAAAAGTGGTGAGCCGTTCAGTATGCGCGAGGAACCTATTATGACGGGTATATTGAGCGCTAGAGAGGTTTGGCGACAGGCACAGAAAAAGAGGGCTAAGACAGTTTCCGAAGATGGAGATCAAGAGTCAAGCGAGCCAGAGGAAGAAATAATAGACCAATACGACGACCGCCTGTCAGATGAAGAGGACGAAAGCGAAGTATCGGTGGCTGAGGACGAAGTGCAGGATGTGCTTGCAGAACGTAAAGTGCGTAAGCTCCGCGCCGTGGGACCGGAAGATATCGACGAAGTGGATCTCGAGGAGAAGAAGGGCCGCAGACGCACGTTGCGGTTCTATACTTCCAAGATCGACCAACAGGAAAAGAAGAAAGATGCCAAGTACCAGGGTGACCAAGATGTTCCATACAAAGAGCGACTATTTGAGAGAAGACAGCGTCTTCTGGAAGAGGCACGGAAGCGTGGAGATCGAGCTAACACCTCGGCTCCAGGTCTGGCGCTTGGAGAAGAAGATCTGGAGGAGCCATCTCCAGAAAAACCTGATACGGAATACTACGACGAGGTGAAGTCCAAAAAGCAACTATCCAAACAGGAAAGAAAAGAAGCACATGAACTGGCCAAGAAAGCTGCAAGGGATGGAAAACTGGCGGAGATACAGGAGACCATTGGAGAAAGCGGGAAGCGCGCGCTCAACTACCAAATCCTCAAAAACCGTGGTCTTACTCCCCACAGGAACAAGGACAACCGCAATGCCCGTGTCAAGAAGAGAAAGAAGTATGCCAAGGCACAGAAAAAACTCAAGTCTGTGCGTGCAGTGTACAATAAAGACCATGGTCCTTACGTTGGTGAGACTACTGGTATCAAGAAGAACCTTTCGAAGAGTGTCAAACTGCAATGAGACTGGTTCTATGTATGTTAAAACAAGGCATTTTAATTGGGATTTGTAGTCGTTGTCAGTTTCAAAAATTTGGAAGCCGATCCTTAAATTCAAAAACCCATAATTATTAAAGTTAAATATCTAGCTATTTATCCCCTTTTTATGGACCACGGCGTGCTTCAAAATGAGCACATTTTTGCTAGCATGTTCCCTAAAAGCTGCTCGTCATCTCTTAGAGACAGCGCCTATCAGGAGACCCACATTCCTTTGACAGTTCCTATGGGCGTGCTAAACTCGCGCATAGTGCTTTATCGCTGCCACCGACTCGCGGTACTTAGCGCGATTCTGCGCGACTTCCAAGATCTGTGCGATATATTGGCATACAAGCCTCTTACCATTCAAAACGAGATGGTGCTTGCCGTAGGCTGGTTCGAGGCTCAAAAAATGCCCGAGCACAATAGACAGTTGCAGCAACTTTTTGGGAACGTTACCGCAGAGACTCTCGAGCCTTGCTTCATCACGGAGCAGACCACTCTGGCAACCGTCCTTTCCAACCATGAGTTCAGGTTTTTAGAGGATAGCTATGCAACTGTCTATGTCTTATGTGGCGGAGAGACCAGCATGAAAGGATTTGGGGAACAGCTTGTTGAATATCTTAGCAAATTCGGTGCCATTATGAGCTTCAAAACAGTTCCACATTCGAAATACGCATTCCAGTGTACATTTGACGATATCAGAGCTTCCTTCAAAGCACGCGCAGTCCCCAGATCGTACCTCAACAACATCTCAGTATACGTGCGTCGATCTTTAGAGGAGCTTTATGAGAAACCCGCAACCAGAGACACAAAAAGCCAACCAAACTTGCAAGTCATTAACTGGATGACAGGAGATATTAAAAGCATTGGAACTGAGCACACAAAACAAAATAACGACGAGTGGAAAAAGGATCAGCATCTGACAACATGCCGCCCGTTTCCAGGCTCTCTTGGGACTAGTTACGTTCCGCAAGAAAACCAAATAGACATTACAAAGATCCGCCTGGGACAAGATCCACGGAAAACGATCATGATAAGGAACGTTCCAAACAAAATAAACCACAATGAGCTCAAAGAATTCATAGACTTGACGAGCAAAAATCTATATGACTTCCTTTATTTGCGCATTGACTTTGAAAACCATTGCAATGTTGGATACGCATTCATTTCTTTTGTGGAACCGAGACATATAATCAGGTTTTATCTTGAGCGGGCCGGAAAGAAATGGAGCATATTCAACTCAGAAAAGGTTTGCGAGATGTCGTATGCAAAAGTGCAGGGCAAAGCAAAACTGATCGACAAGTTCAGGAACTCGAAAATTATGGGAGAGAACCCCGGTTACCGGCCAAGGCTGTATCACACCGATGGGCCTCTTAAAGGAGCTGAAATTAAATTCCCACCGCCAACAAAACGTGGAGCTCTCCTGGATGAATAGGCCCAATTACTCACTTTCCTCTGTGTCTTCGTTCTCTTTCGATAGCATGGCAGACCAGTTTTGGAGCATTTCCACCATCTTTGATGAATCCATTGAGGCATCAAGTACGTCTCTAGGCACATGGTTATGTGAATGGGCCTTAGTGGCAAACCTTCCTGAGTTATGTTGAGTCACAAGACGAACAGCGACTTCGTCGTCATGAGGCGCCATGGTGGCCAATTCGTTCCAGGTGAACAACAATGAATCCGTTTTCCTCGCAAATGGATTGATGTCAACCAGATACACTTTCGTAAACGGCTTTGGGAGATAAACGTCAAAGGCAAAGCTATTTGATCCAAACTTTGGGAGTAGAACGTCGTCAAAGAAGGCTGATATTCTTTCAATTATGGTATCATGAAGATCGTCCAAAAAAGGATAATAGTTCAGGTCCCGCTGAGAGATGCCCAACAATTGTCGATCGCGCACAAAACATCTAAACTCCAGCGAGGGATTGATCTCTTTCCATTCTCGTAGAATCAAATAATACTGTATTTTGTCGGGCACAGAGTCAGCTTCATCGAATGCGTGGCTCAGGTCGTGATTGATGTAATCAGAGGATTTAAGCAGTAGGTATATGTCTGAGGATGAAGAACACTTCATTGTTCGTCCAGGAAGCATCCATACTGAATCCTGAGGGGCTGACCAGTTGAGTTTCGGGGCAATGTGTTTGAAAGACTTGAACGTTTCCTGGATCCTGCGGTGAAATTCCAAGAAACGGCAAGCTGGATCAGGCCGACTTGGAGGCGTATAGTCCCAATCAGAATCATTCTGCGCGTTTGGCTTTGACTTTTCGCCCGGGATCGTGAAATCATCACTCTCCAGATAGTCTATGAATTCGTCGGGCACAGGCAACATTATAGCTCGCGAGTAGGCGTGCGCTCCAAAAAGCGAATACCAGTTCTCATATGAGCAGTTGAGGATATCGTCTTTGGTGACAGCGATCTCGTGGAACACCGCTGGTTTGTTCGAGTTCTCAGGCATTAATTACTAGAAATTTATATATTTTTCCTGGATTTTTTTTCATTTTATTTTCGACATGTCCAAGGTTCTTCCGTCAAACGCGACATTTAAGAACAAAGAAAAGCCACAGGAGGTGCGCAAAGCAAACATACTAGCGGCAAGAGCAGTTGCTGATGCCATTAGAACGTCTTTGGGTCCAAAGGGCATGGACAAAATGATCAAGACCGGACGTGGCGAAGTGATCATCTCGAACGATGGCCACACAATTCTCAAACATATGGCTGTTTTGCATCCGGCGGCTAAAATGCTGGTCGATTTGTCAGGTGCACAGGACGTCGAGGCCGGAGACGGTACCACCTCGGTGGTCGTGATCACGGGCGCCCTGCTTGGAGCGGCAGAAAAGCTTCTGAACAAAGGAATCCACCCAACAATCATTTCAGAGGCATTCACCAAGGCAGCTGGACGGAGTGTGGAGATCCTGCTTGAGATGTCTCACAAAATCTCGTTGGACGACAGAGACGCGTTGATTCGCGCAGCCAACACGTCTTTGTCCTCGAAAATTGTTTCCCAGCACTCCTCCTTGTTGGGTCCCTTGGCCGTCGACGCAGTCCTCAAGGTTGTTGGTCCAGAGGCTAAGAATGTGGACTTGAACGATATCAGGTTGATCAAGAAGATCGGAGGCACTATTGATGACACAGAAACGGTGGAAGGCGTTGTTTTGACCCAAAACGTTATCAAGAGCGCCGGAGGGCCAACGAGAATGGAGAAGGCTAAGATTGGACTAATCCAATTCCAGCTCTCGCCTCCAAAACCAGACATGGAAAACAACATTGTGGTTAACGATTACAGACAAATGGATAAAATACTGAAAGAAGAGAGAGCGTATCTGCTGAATATCTGCAAGAAAATCAAGAAGGCCAGGTGCAATGTGCTCTTGATCCAAAAGTCCATTCTCAGAGACGCCGTTAATGATCTTGCGCTGCACTTCCTAGCAAAGCTCAACATCTTGGTGGTGAAAGACATCGAGAGAGACGAGATTGAGTTCATCAGCAAGAGTCTGGGATGTAAGCCTATTGCAGATGTCGACTCTTTCGTGGAGTCTCGTCTAGGAACCGCAGACCTGGTGGAGGAAGTGGAGTCTTCTGGCTCCAAGATCATCAAAATTACTGGCGTGAAGAACGTCACGCAGCCTACCGTTTCGGTGGTCTGTCGCGGTGCCAACAACCAAATTCTTGACGAGACAGAACGGTCGTTGCATGACGCTCTGTGTGTGGTTCGCTGTTTGGTGAAGGAAAGGGCCTTGATCGCCGGGGGCGGTGCTCCAGAGATCGAGGTGTCGCGCACGTTACTCAAGGAGTCTAACCAGTTCTCTGGTGTTGAGCAGCTGTGTTTCCAGGAGTTTGCGCTGGCGCTGGAAGTGATTCCAACGACGCTGGCAGAAAACGCCGGAATGAACCCGATCGAGATCGTCACGGATTTGAGAAACAAACACGAGCTGGGCGAGAAGAATGCTGGAATCAGCGTGAGACGGTCCGGCGCTACCAACACCTTTGACGAGCACGTGCTCCAGCCTGTGCTTGTCAACACCAGTGCCATCACTCTTGCTGCGGAGACCGTGAAGTCGATTCTGCGTATCGATGACATTTGCTTTAGTAGGTGAATCTAGCTAATTGACTCAGTGTTGAGTATATATTCTATTTTCTGGCAATGATGCGCACTGCGTTTTTGCTGAATATGTAGGACAACCCGCTCAGCACAGTGGTGGCAGCGACGAGGTACTCCAAACGGCCCGCACCCGTGTCTATAAGGGGACTCAGCATCAGGCCTCCCAAATATGCCATCTGGAGTGCGGTGTTGATCTTGCTGATTGTTGTAGGGCGCACCTCGACTGTGACAAGCGAAAAGTCGCAATACCGTCGGAATGTCTTTGGAGCAGGCAGCGAAATGTAACGAATCACTATGCCGGCCAGAAGCATCATTATGTCTCTGCCCAGTATGAGCGCCGCCAAATACAGCGGCACCGCGCCAACATGGGACAGACAGGCAGTGCATATCACCATGAGTGCCTTATCTGCCATTGGATCAATAATGGAGCCGACTTTCGATCGCAGGTTGTAACGCCTGGCAATGAAGCCGTCAACGAAATCGGTCACGCAGGAATACCCAAAGAGACCCAGAGCCCAAGCGGTCTGTCCAGAAACCACCAAATACCCGACCACCGGCGCGGCAACGAGTCTCGTGAACGTCAACGCATTGGGGATGGTGTAGAGACTTTCACGAATTTCGGAAAGAGTAGGAATTGTTGTGCGCTTCTTGTCACTCTTCGCTCGCACAAATATGCTGCCGGCGGCGCTGGTCGGGAACCCGAGAATTATCTTTCTGCCAATCGGCCCGCGCACAGCTGCCAATTTGAAAGGTCTCCCAACAAGCGCAATATATCCAATACCGTCCCTGATCAACATTTCTCAACAAAAAATAATTCCATGAACGTTCTTGTCTATAATGGCCCCGGGGCAGCTTCAGACAGTGTTAAGCATTGTCTCGACACGCTGAGGCTGCTGCTATCCCCCTACTACGCAGTCGCACCCGTCGAGCCGAGGACGCTACTTTCTCAGCCATGGCAGGCCAAAACTGCCATGGTCGTCATTCCTGGTGGTGCTGATCTGGGGGTTTGTTCCACTCTCAACGGCACAGGGAACCAGAAAATCCGCCAGTTCGTCTCCGCAGGCGGCAAGTATATTGGGTTTTGCTCGGGTGGCTACTACGCTTCCGCTCGTTGCGAGTTCGAGGTGGGAAATCCCAACATGGAAGTCAGCGGTGCCAGGGAGCTCAAGTTCTTCCCAGGCGTAGCCCGCGGCGCCAGTTTCAAAGGCTTTGAATACGGCACTGAAGAAGGGACTCGTCCTGCCAAGCTAAAGACACACTTTGCGGTCCAGCAGCCTCTGTACAACTACTACAATGGGGGTGCCGTCTTCGTCGATGCAGATAAGCATCCGAATACGCAAATCCTGGCAGAATACGAGGAATCCGTCGAAGTCGAGTGTCCAGGCCCCCAGGCTGCCGTGATTCTCTGCTCTGTTGGCCAGGGAAAGGCTTTACTGACCGGCACCCACCCGGAATACAATCCTACTCTGCTCGAGGCAGAACCAGGAACTGATTTTGAAAAATCCTCAAAGGTGCTGAAAGAACATGACGCCGCCAGACTGGAGTTCATGCGCCATTGTCTCCGCAGCTTGGGTCTCAAAGTCAACGAGGAGTCGACTCGTCCAGCACTGACACCTCTGGTGCTGATTTCGAGGCAGAAAGAGCAGCTTGCCAAACTCGTCTACGACCTGGAGCACAAGCTGGGATACGAATCTGAGAACATCATCGACTTAGGAAAAGACAAGATCCGCGTTCACAAGACGCTGGACAAATTTCAGCAGACTGATCTGTCTGATCCAGAGATGGCGGTCAAAGATTTCTATATCTGCGATGCTGCGCTACCAAAGCCAGAATTAACTCCATATTTCAACACTCACCAGTATTTGACTGAGCTGGAGGAGGCCTATAAGGAGCTGGGATACTCCTCAGTCGGAGAGTTAGGATCCATCATTGTCTACGGCGAGGTGCTGACGTCAAGTAGCTCCCTGATGATGTATAACACCCCCTTCATGCGCATTCTTCCTCACGGGTTTGCTATCGTCGGTACCGTGCAAGTGGCAGGCAGAGGACGGACAGGCAATGTCTGGGTTAATCCAAAGGGAGTGTTTGCCATGACATTGTTCTTAAAGATGCCGCTCACCACGCCGGTGGTTCTTCTCCAATACCTTGTCAGCATGTCGATGGTGCAGGCCGTCCAGACGTATGGTGTTGGCTACGAAAAAATTCCCATTCGCCTCAAGTGGCCGAACGACATCTACATTTTGCGTCCAGACTGCTTGAATAAGACGGATCTCGATTCCTACACGAAGATAGGTGGTATTCTGGTGGAGACAGCTGTTTTCGAAAACAACTATCACATCGCCATCGGAACAGGCCTAAACGTTTTCAACCAGGGACCCACGACGTCTCTGAATGCTGTGATCAGCGAGATGAATAAAACTTTTGGCACAAAACTCAAACCTATAGCTACCGAGAAACTGACGGCCAAATACCTCTCAATTCTCTACACAATGCTTGAGAGGTTTAAAGTGGAGGGAATGGAACCATTTATGGATCTCTACTACAGACAGTGGTTGCACTCGGGGCAAAAAGTCACTCTCGACCACCCAGGAAGCCCCAAAGCGGTGATCACTGGAATCAGTAAAGAGTTTGGACTTTTGACGGCTAAAGAAGTGGACAGATACGGAAACTTCACTGGGAACACTTACGAATTGCAGCCGGACGGAAACGCTTTCGATATGTTCCGAGGCCTAATCAGCAAAAAACTTTAAGCCTTTACCAGCTTATATAGAGAGATAATATATAACCGTTCGACTTTATTATCTTTTTTACAAATACACAACGCAAAGGCATAAAATGAAATCCTTAGTTTCGGTTGTTGTTTGGTGAGTAACTTGGAGATGTTGGAGAGTACTGTGGAGATGTTGGAGAGTATTGAGGAGATGTTGGAGAGTATTGAGGAGAGGTTGGAGAATATTGAGGAGACGTAGGAGAGTATTGTGGTGATGTAGGAGAGTATTGAGGTGATGTAGGAGAGTATTGTGGGGATGTAGGGGAATATTGAGGTGATGTAGGGGAGTATTGAGGTGATGTAGGAGAGTATTGAGGTGATGTAGGAGAGTATTGTGGTGATGTAGGAGAGTATTGTGGGGAAGTTGGAGAGTATTGAGGTGATGTTGGTGAGTAGGATGGGGAAGTTGGAGAGTATTGAGGTGATGTTGGTGAATAGGATGGGGAAGTTGGAGAGTAGGATGGGGAAGTTGGAGAGTAGGATGGAGAAGTTGGAGAGTACGATGGAGAAGTTGGAGAGTAGGATGGAGAAGTTGGAGAATAAGATGGGGAGGTTGGTGAGTAGGACGGGGAGGTTGGTGAGTAGGATGGAGAAGTTGGAGAATAAGATGGGGAGGTTGGAGAATAAGATGGGGAAGTTGGTGAATAGGATGGGGAAGTTGGAGCGTAAGATGGAGAGGTGGCACCATAGCTTGGAGAAGTTGGGGCAAATCCAGAGAAAGGTGAGGTAGGAGCATACGAGCTCGCACCACCATACTCCGTGAATCCTCCGCTACGGTCATCATTCATACCAGAAGTAATCATTGGAGAGAATGCAACCTTGTCATCTTCCATCTCAGCATCAATAAAGTCATCCTTCAAATTGTCCTCTTCGTAAGGTGTGGCACCACCATCAACATTCTTGGTTTGAAGAACATTGGCTGCATGAACTGTGGCATCAGATGGTAGCATAGACAATTTCTCCTCGTCCAGATACACTTCGAATGAACCAGTTCCAAACGGCGCAAGCTGACCAAGGATAACATTTTGAGAGACACCTTCGCAAGTATCAAGTTCAGCAGAGGCACCTGCATCGAACAAAATTTCAACCGTTTCCTCGAAAGAACATCTCATGAGAGCTCCTGTATCATTTCTGTTGAAACCGTGTCTCGAAATAGCCACCAAGTGACCTCTGTATGTCATCAAGTCAACAAGCAATGCCAAATGTCTATAGTTGACATAGGAACCGTCAAACGCAATAACGTTCAAAATTTCCTTGTACAATGCACTTCTCGCAGCCTCAATACCCAAAACAAACAGGATTTCCACGAAGGAGTTCGAGTAAGTTCTTGTGGTGTCGACACCTTCAACTGCCAAAACATCAGCAAGGTTGACACCGTCAGTTTCCAAAACCCACTCTTCCTTTTTGGCAAAATCTCCGGTTTCATCAATATATGTTTTGTCATACTTCATCATGAAGACTCTCGAAATACCACTGATACCTCTCAAAGAGATTGATTCAAGCATTTGAGCTTCAAGCGCCTTCAGGAGTCCATCCTCAGTCTCTTCCTCTTCTTCATCCAAAGCCTTTTCTTCACGGACGATTCTACATCTGATCACAAGCTTCTCAGCATTATCTTCCGACCAGATGACAAACAAGTCATCACCAAAGTTATCCATGATTTGTCCTGCAACTTGACTCATGGTCAACTGTTTATCCAACATCTTCGCCCTGTCGAGCTCCAATCTCAAGAGCCAAGGTGATTGCTTGTGAATGTTTTCTTCCACCTTCTCATCAGGGATGGCAAAGTAGGCTTCCACAGTGTCAATATCGTCCTCAACAACAGTACTTCGTGGATCTGGATCATAGTAGATCTCGGTGGATGCAGTAACATTCTTCAAAGTAGTGTGTTCGATAGCAGATTGAATAGATTTGGCCTTTTCAATATCCGATGCGTACTCTTCCTTCAGGTAAACTGTCAACGCAGGCGTCTTGACGTTCTTAGCGACATTGAGAATTTCCTTCAGTCTTGGAACACCCAGAGTGACATTCTTTGACGAGACACCAGCATAATGGAAGGTATTCAAGGTCATTTGAGTGGCAGGCTCACCAATGGATTGTGCGGCGATGACACCCACCATTTCACCTGGATTCACAAGGGATTTCAAAAACTGCTGCTCGATGGTTCCCAGAACCCACTCGAATGCATCTTTATTGAGTCTAAATTCTTCGAGAACCCTTCTTGTTGCTAATCTAGAACGGACAAGGCACTGGAAGAGCAAAGTAGCATTTTCCTGAGCCTCCGCCAAAATCTCGCCCTTTCCACGAATGACTTTGAATTTCTTTGAAAGCTCTTGCACCCCAACCACAATGTCCTTAATTGGCAAGTCGCTTGCCTTGGTTTGATCGACATGGAAAATTTGCTGAGCATTCTGAATGACTCTGCGAATATTCACGGGAAGTGGCCAATTATTTTCACCTGTGGTGAAACATTTGGTTCTCAAGTATTCCCTGTCGGCCAACAGCTGCTCATATTCTTCATCAAGATATTTCTGGAGTTCAATGTCACCAATGATCTCTGCGCCGTATTCGATTAAGTCGGGGCGAATCGAGGTTTCAGGATTCATCAGATCAACGCGATATCTCTTCTCAAAGGCTTCAGTGGAACCAGGTATAGTATCCACCGTCTGCTTCTCCACTTGAGTACCATCGAGACCATCTTCACCGTAAATGAACTGAATAACATCGCCCAAAGAGTTTCTTGTTGTTCCATCATAGTGAACCATAATATCTTCCAGTGCTTTAAGCAAACGACGTTGGATGTAACCTGTTTCAGCAGTCTTCACAGCCGTATCAATCAAACCCTCTCTTCCTGCCATCGCGTGGAAGAAGAATTCTTGTGGCGTAAGACCTCTTAGATAAGAATTTTCAACGAATCCTTTGGACTCAGCAGAATAGTCATCTTTCGTAAAATGAGGCAAAGAACGATCTGCAAAACCAAAGTTGATACGCTTACCCTCCACAATCTGTTGACCGACACAGGCTGACATCTGGGATATATTAATGTAAGAACCTTTGGATCCTGCTGTGACCATTTGTTTCACGTTATTTGAGTCTTTCAAGGAAGTTTCTGCAGATTTACCAGCGGAGTCTCTTGCTTCGTTTAGCAGTTTTGAGACTTTCTGTTCGAAGGACTCTCTAACAGTCATTCCGGGTTCGGCTTCCAACAGGTTTTTCTGGGCGTCCATGATAACCTCCTGCACTTTCTCCTTGGCAATAGCAATAGTCTCCGTAATTGTCTTCATTGTCTCAGAATCTGCAATGGCATCACCAATACCGATAGAAAATCCGTTATGAAGAAGCCAATAGTTGACAACCTTTTGAATATTTCCAAACAATTGTGCACATACTTTAGGCCCCTTTTCACGCATGACGGTGTGAATAAGACCACCGGCACTCGATCCCACAGTTGCCTTATTGACCACACCAAACATAATCTCACCATTCACAATGAGCATTCCTGAGTCTTTAGGAGACAGGAGCGAGCCATCCAGTCTCTGCAAGAAAATACCCTGAGGAATACACATAGAAAGCACCTGCTTCCCTGACCATAATGGTTTTGGTTTCAAGATTGCCGGCTGTGGAACAACACCGTCCCAATTAGGAATCCAGAAACACATGTTCATCACCTGGTCATATTCAATAAAAGTGTCCCTCAAAGTCATCTTTCTAATACCACAGAGAGTATCCTGCACAATACCCATGACAGGTTTGTTAGACTGTGGGGACACAATTTGCAATGGAACCGCGCAAATTTGCTCGAGTTCTGCTCTAGTTTCGTACGACTGCGGAACGTGCAGATTCATCTCGTCACCATCGAAGTCGGCGTTATAAGGCGAGGTGACAGACAAATTCATTCTAAATGTGGAGTAAGGCATGACTTTCACTCTGTGAGCCATCATGGACATCTTATGCAAAGAAGGTTGACGGTTGAACAAGACGGGATCATCATCCATCAGATGGCGCTCAACTTTCCACCCATATTGCAATTGAATGTCGCCAGCTCTTTTGTTGTACCGAAGATCGATTCTATCCCCAGAATCTCTTATCACGTATTTCGCTCCTGGATGTTCATTTGGTCCATTACGCACCAGCTCAGTTAGCTTTTGAATATTATATGGCGTGACGATCTCCGGATAAGACAAGACTTTGGCAATAGATTTTGGAACACCCACTTGATCCAGATCCAGGTTCGGGTCACCTGAAATAACTGTTCTGGCAGAGAAATCCACTCTCTTACCCATCAAGTTACCTCTGAGTCTACCTTCTTTACCTTTCAGACGAGCTCTGATGGATTTGATTGGCCTTCCGCTCTTTTGCAAAGCCTGCGGCTGTCCAGCAATGTCATTGTCCATATAAGTAGCCACGTGGTATTGTAATAGCGCCTCAAATTCACTAATCACATGCTGAGGGGAACCATCCATTTCGAATCTTTGAACATTTATATTAGCCTTCAAGATATCGGCCAATTTATACGTCAAGTCATCTTCCGATCTTTTAGAATCAGTAAACGCGACGGATGGTCTAACAGGAGGAGGAGGAACGGGTAGAACTGTAATCAGCATCCACTCGGGTCTTGCGTAATCTTCATTAAAGCCAAGCTTATGGCAGTCCTCAGGTGAAATATGCTTGAATATATTGAGAACTTCTGCCGCGCTGATTTGTCTCCTTTCTGCCTGCTCTCCATCATCATCACTGCTAGATTTCTTCCACGAGCCCCAGAGTTTGAGACCATCTCTTCTGATAGTTGGTTGGCTGGCCCCACAGCCTCCCCTCAGATGTTGGGTACGTCCAGACTCGTCATCAACTGGTTGATCCACCTCACACACCATCTTCGTTTTACAGAGACTCCAAACGGCATTGAAACGCTTCTTCGGGTCTCTGATTTTGATAGCAGCCGCAAATTGCGGATTTGTGGCCTCGTCCAGCAAGATTTTACCACAGTTCATGCAAACACACTCGCAGACTTTCTTAATCCTGGACACAAAACCTATGTGGAACACAGGCTTGGCAAGTTCAATATGACCAAAGTGTCCAGGACACTCCTGCATGTCCTCTGAGCATGTTTGACATCTAAAGTTCCTATCAATTGAACCGAGTCGAGGATCGTTTAAGCCATTTTCCCTAGGTTTATTAGTGGTCGGATCCATAATCTCTGGATATTCTATTTTGGCAACAGAAATAGCCCGAATTTCCTCTGGCGACAACAAGCCAAACTGAACTTCTTGAACAGTGCGCAAAGGAGCGCTAGAATAAGGAAACTTACTCATTTTATATGACGATGTTGTTTTTTTGTCTTATTAATATGTTTTTGTTGTGATTTGAGTTAACTAACGTATAATACAGGAGAGTGAAAAGAAGATGGACAAACGACACTGATTCGTGTATTTGAAACCCACTGATTGTCCGTTGTTCAATTTCCTGTCAAGAATGCAGACCGGAAAATCGAACTTTTTTTATTACTTGAGCCTATTGCAACGATCAACTGAATGAGTGCAATATAATGAATAAAGGCGATTTGTTACCAATGTTCTGAATCCGCCGCTATTATAACCCAGCTGGCCCTAACGTTTTGCCAAAAGGAAGTAATAAAGTAGTAGGTTATGTTTTCAATTATTTTTTCCCTTTCGATGAAAAGTGGCGAACTTTCGAAAAATACACGGGCTCATAACACACCCTTACACTTACTTTAAGGTCTTTCGTTATCCATCATTATCTATCTATTTGAAGAATTTGCTGTATGCAGCTCTTTCCTTGGCTAGTCTTTCTTTCAGACTCTTCTTGGCATCCACAATAGCCTTCTTTATAGCTCCATCCTCTGGTGCCAGTCTGCTTGCTTCCTCGAAATCAGCAATAGCATCTTCTTGGTTATGTCCAATGAGTTTTGCGCTTCCACGGCGGAAAAGAGCTTTGGCTTTGGATTGAACGTCCGCATTCTCTGACTCAAACGCTTCGGTGGAATACTTGATACATTCTGGAACCTTTTTCAATTTCAGTGCAGCTAGAGAAGCGTTCAAATAGCAGGAACATTTGAGTTTGTTCAACTTTTCAATTTCTGATTCAGGCAAGTCATCTGGGAAGTAGGATTCGAGATACGAAACTGCTTTTTTGTACTTTTTGTAAGCGATGTTCATATCCCCTTCTTTGAAGAATCTGGTACCAATAGCCTTGATATCCTCAATAGCCTTGAAAACAGACTCAGGGTTGTTAATATCAACTGATTCCTCGTCCTCCAAAAACTCATCGTAAGGATCACCGGTGCCATCATCAAGCTTCAGCGGGTCACCAGGCTTAAGTTCTCCGCATGCCTCGATCTTACATTCGAGTTTGGGTTTGTCACCAGAATCTGTTTCAGTGTTTTCGATCATTCTAACCACGGATTTTCCTGCTATCACCTTACCAAACACCACATGCTTACCATCTAGGTGCGGGGTTGGAACTGTGGTGATGAAGAATTGAGATCCGTTGGTATTCTTTCCAGCATTGGCCATGGAAAGCAAGAATGGCTTATCATGTTTTAATTCGAAATTCTCGTCTTCAAACTTTTCACCATATATTGACTTGCCGCCCGTGCCATCAAAGTTCGTGAAATCTCCACCCTGGATCATAAAGCTTTTAATCACACGGTGGAAGATGGATCCTTGGTAACCAAAGCCTGGTTCTCCAGTAGCAAGCGCTCTGAAGTTCTCAGCCGTCTTCGGAACAATGTCATTGAAAAGTTCGAAGACAATACGTCCTGCGGTTTCGCCTCCTATAGAAACGTCAAAGTACACCTGGGAGCGGCTCATTTTCGTGTGATTGTAAAGAAACGATTGGGACTATTTATTTTGAGGTCCCCAGTTTTTCTAGAAATTATTTTAGCTTCAAGGGCTGTGCAAATGCCGTGTCGCGCGACACCTTCGTTGTTGTAATGCGTTCACATTTTTCTTTGTCTGTTTAGCCAGAGCAGCCGTTTCAAACGAGTGTTTCCTGACTCGTCTGACTTGCGGGCAAGCGCAGCCTTGAATCGGCGCACTTTGGACGGAGTTATCAGCGGACCTTCGGAGTTTTCAGGTTTGGTCTTGAATAGCGATCTTCTCGACATTTTGTAGTTTTCGTCAAGATTGTATGCTGGTGGAGATAGGCGCAGTGGGTCTTCACCAATGGATTTGGGTCGTCTCATTTTGCGAACTGGCGTAAGCAGAGACGCGCTCGTATCGAGACAAGGCACGACAGAAAGATTGTCCTTTTGCGCAATGGAGGACCGCGTTGTGCGACGCGGTGAGCTTCTATAAGAGTCAAAATACTGCGTCACGTCGTCCTCAGAATCGCTTGCTATGAGAATTGATGTGAATGCGGAAGCACCATTTGAGTTTCTCGCTTTTTTCGAAGGACTTGACGGTATCAAGTCTCCCGAGCTGCGGCGTACTTTCTCACTCTTGGGGCTTCCATTGCGTTCCAACTCGATGAGACTGTTCCAGACCTCTCCTTTGACTGTGGTGGAATCGCGCATTGATCGGAGGTGGCCGACGTCGTGGACAATATCTCCTGTCCTCATATCCAGGACATCCCCTTGCTCATCTTCGCCCAGCGAGGAGTATTTTTGAATAATATTGCGCCACACGCGCTTGACCTTCGCCAGAGATCGTACTCTCGCCGCTGCGAGGTCTTGCACTTCCTCCATATAAATATAAATAAAGGGAAAAAAATAAATAAAATCCCAAAATATTCTGATTGACTGACTACACTCACTATGTACAAGCTATGATCATTTCGTATCCCAGCTTTCAGTATTGTTTACGGTTCTTGTTCTTTCGTTGTTCATGTTTGCTTCCCAGCATTTACGGAATGCAGCCATCTAGTCGTTAGTATTTAGTCAGCCACACGTACTTCTTTCACACACTGTCTCCAGTCATTTGTGTCAGCATGGCAAAGCTGCAATTTTAGGTTCTCTTCTGATTGTCAGTATTTGAAACGATTTGTGCCTACCTGCACAGCCAGTTTTGATAATCCGTTTGTCCCTGTAGTTAGCAGCATCAGGTGGCATCCATACCATTCGTCCGGCTCGTCATCGAGGAGCGTTTGATGTTGGGGCTTTTCCATATTAGATGCTCACTAAATTTGAAAACTTCCACTAGCCACAAGGGGGATCGTGCGCCAACAAATAATCTCCAGGCGTGTGCGAATGAGTTGTTCGAAAAATTATGACAACAATTCTAGGATCATCAAAAGCGAGGCCTTCTAACCGAATCTGAATTACACCCTCCATATTCGGCATCTCATCTTCTCAGACTTTAATTCACGCTCTGCATTGTTACCCGCTATAATTTACTGTACAATTGCCTATAGACCCTGTTTTTATATCACAATTCCGACTGATTCTGATCTCCAACCATGGTCAAATTGAGGGAAGTCGCCGAAACGGCAACTTTTGCCTGGTCATATGATTCAATGCCATTGATGGCCACTGGAACATTGGCAGGTGCCATGGATGAAACTTTCTCTTCGGAATCTGCATTGCAAATATGGGATGTTTTCAGCAAGGACGTGCCATTGGCCAAATTCTCTCTTGACAACAAATTCACTTCGTTAGCTTGGAGTAAACCATCTGACAAGTATGAGAGAGGGATTCTTGCTGGTGCCTTTGAAAATGGAGCTATCCAGCTATGGAATTCCGGTTCTTTGCTCGACAATCCGGACCTTTCAGCAAGCTCAGTGGCTGAATATAAGAAACACACCGAATCTGCTCTACAGGTGAAATTCAATCCCTTGCAGGACCACATTCTTGGTTCTTCCGGAACCAAAGGCGAAATATTCATTTGGGATACAAACAAGGGATCGTCGTTTTCGCCTGGACAGGCAATGTCGCCAATGGACAAAGTTTCCTCGTTCTCGTGGAATAATAGCCAATCGCACATTTTTGCATCTGCAGGAAATACTAGCTACACGTCAATTTGGGAACTGAAAGCCAAAAGAGAAGTGCTTCAGCTTAGTTATTCGGGGTCCAACTTGTCGGTGGTCGAATGGCACCCAACGGAGAGTACAAAGCTTGTTACTGCCTCAGATTCCGACGGCGCCCCTGTTATTCTGACATGGGACCTTAGAAAACATACAACTCCCGAGCTGGTATTGAAAGGACATAGAAAGGGTGTTTTATCGCTTGACTGGTGTAAACAAGATCCTGGATTATTGCTTTCGAGTGGAAAAGACGATTCCACCATTTTGTGGAATCCTCTTTCTGGCCGGAAGCTTTGCGAGTATCCGTCGTTGCCGAACTGGGTCCATGAGACCAAGTTCGCTCCCAAACTTCCTGAAGTGTTTGCTAGTGCATCGTTCGACAAGAAAATACTAGTGCAGTCGTTGCAAGACACTTCTCCACCAGTGTCTGCTAAAGTCAATTCTGCTAACGAGGATGACTTCTGGAATCAGCTTTCTTCTACGGACACTCAGCAGCCTATTTTTGAGGTGAAGCAGGCCCCTACTTGGTTACAAAGACCAGTTTCTGCAACATTCGGTTTTGGAGGAAAGGTGGTCGTTACCAAGAACGAACAGAAAGGATCATATATTAAGATTTCTAAGTTCAAAGCTAGCAAAGCTGTTGAGGAAGCTGCCAAGAAACTGGGGTCTGCCATCCAAAGTGGTAATTTCAAACACCTTTGTGAAGCAAGAGCCGAGACCGCTGAAGAATACGCAGGAAGCAACGATTGGATTGCCTTAAAAGATCTAATCGACAATGGCAAGCTATCCTTGATAAAAAAACTGGTTCCCGAAGAGAAGAACCAAGAGGACAAAAAAGCAGCTGATGAAACATCAGCCGATGATGAAGATTTCTTTGCCTCGCTTGGAAAGGAGAAAAACATCATGGCCGATTTCGTTCCAAGTGGGGAGTTTACATTGGCCAATGATGGATCATTTGAAAGCCAGACAGCAGAAAAATTATTGGCAGGAAAGAACGAGGAAGCTATTGAACAATGCATCAAAGACGACCACATACTGGAGGCCCTCGTCATCGCACTCAACGGCTCTGAAAGTATGAAGAAGAAGGTGAAGAATGCATACTTCTCGAAGTACTCGTCTAAGTCAATATTGGCTAGAGTGTTGTACAGTGTGTCGAATGGAAACGTCGGAGACATAGTTGAAAACGCAGACATTGGTTCTTGGAAGGCAATTGCAAGTTCTGTACTGGCTCATTCTGAAGGGAAACCGGAGTTCAACGATAATTTCGTTAAGCTGGGAGATAGGCTTTTGGCATCCAAAAGTTCAAACGCCCGAGACAATGCTATCGCATGTTACATTGCCGGCGACGCATTAGATAAAGTTTCGGCCATCTGGGTTTCCGAGTTGGAAGATCTGGAATCTTTCTTTTTGAAACTGGAGGACGAGAGTAGCACCCCTGCAGATGCACGTTTCAAAGCTCTAGAGGAGACCATTGAGAAAGTTTTGGCCTACCAGTCGACCAATCTTGCGACAATTCGCTCCTCGCCGGAAAGCCTGGAAGGTTTGGGTCATGCCTACAGAGAATACGCGGAGGCTCTTGTCAATAATGGACACTTTGACCTGGCCAGCCAGATTCTGGAGAGGATACCAGATACTGTTCCTGGCATGAAGCTGGAAAAAGATCGCATTTCCAAGTCGCTCAACAAAAGGCAGAATACCGTCAAACCAAAGGCATATGGCGGAGTTTCACAAGCATCTCCTTACAGTGCTCCACAGGCACAAGCATACACTTCTGTTGCACCTTCTGTTCCAGCAAATGGTACCGGTGTCAGTCAGCACATCAAACCAAACAGCCAAGCTACCTCATTCAATCCATACAGTGCTGCTGCATCGCGTGCCGCATCGGTTGCAACCCCAGTTCCCTCTAAGGTGCCTGCCGCGGCACCAACGGGCCTGGCAGCTAATCCGTATGCACCAAGAACAGCACTAGATTCACTGAAACTGCAGAAGTCTCCACAGCCTGGCCATACAACACTGGCATCGTCCATGACTCCGCCTCCTCCTCCTAAGACGGCATTAAAAAAAGATGTTGGAGGGTGGAATGACTTGCCTAGCACTTTGAGCTCACAACCGGCCAGGAAGACATCTGTTCCATCCGTTCCCTCAGCCTACAATTTCCATGCCATTCAAGAACAGAGCAACGCGCCTCCTATCTCGAGAACCTCGTCTCAACAGTTCGGAGTGCCTCCTCCTCCTCGTACCCTGAGTAATACCTCAATGACCAAGACCACTCCACCACCTCCTGCAAGCAGCGTGCATCAGCCTCCTAAACCTAATAAATACGGACCAACGGGCTCTGCTGTCCAGTCGCCTCAACTTGCAGAAACGGCCGAGCTGTCCACCCCATCAAGTGGCAGAAATACTCCTTTCAACCCATACGCACCGAAGGTGAACAACCAGGCTATGGATCCTGCTAAGATTCCTCAAGCTTCTCCGAAGATTCAGACAGGAGCGCCTCCAGTTGCGTTCCCTGGTGTGAATGCTGCGATGCCACCACCCCCAAGAAATCCGTATGCTCCAAAGCAGGCAGAGACTGTTTTTCCTGCTCCAGGAATTCCATCTGCCACCAGCAACATAATCCCACCTCCGGTGACTAACATTATACCTGCTGCTGCTAGCCAGGCCGTGCATTCAGCTTACAGCCACACGGATTCCATGCCGCCACCTCCACCATCATTCAAAGCACAAACTCCGGCAGCGTCTCCACCACCGTCGGCCCCCAAATACCCTTCGGGCGATAGATCACATATTCCTGAATCGGCCCAGCCTATCTACCAGGTATTGACCAGCGAGCTGGACAAGCTGAAGACCAAAATTCCAGAAAAGTTCTCTAAGCATCTGGCTGACTCCGAGAAGAGAATCAATATTCTGTTCGATCATCTCAATAACGAGGACTTGCTGAGCCAGCAAACCATCCAGGAACTGGTGTCGCTATGTGAGGCAATGACAAAGTCCGACTACGCGACGGCGGCAGCCTTGCAAAATCAGATAGCCGTGGAGCACGTTGGCGAGTGTGGCGACTGGATGGTCGGCGTGAGACGACTGGTCACTATGGCTGAAGCTGTTAACCAGTAAATGATGTGCTGCAGCATGTTTGGTCGCGATTCCTTTTTGAGGAATAGCATGAAAAAAAGCGCGCCGCCGCAGCGCCGCATCGCGTTTTTTTAAATATATAGTCGAACGACACTTTTGAGTTTTTATCTTGAAAACATGGAAGCAACTAAGATCCGGTATATCAAGGATAACATCTACATCCCTCCAGAAGACACGAAGGCCCCGCTTCGCCTTCCACCATCCCACCCGTCTCTTATACTCGCCGATCACGTCTCAGATCTGACGCGCAGTTCAAAGTGCGGTTGCCAGGGGAAAGTTTGTATTGCCGAAACCGCCAGCTGGATATATACGCCTGAGGGCGAGATAAAGGACGTGGGGAGGACGCGCGATGTGGCCTCCACCGAGAGTACCCTGTTTAATAACTATATACACGACAGTGACGGTAGGCAGCTGTGATGTGATACATGAGGTGGTGCAGAGATGTATAGCTATTTTTTGATATTATTGCTTATTTAATAATTAATTGCATGAAGTTTGGGCAAGATCTTGCTGAACACCGGGTGCCTGAGTGGCAATCTCAGTATCTCGACTACAAGAAGGGGAAGAAAAAGCTCAAGAAGCTCAGCAAGAAACCAAGCATACTGAAAAGCTCTTTGACGCAGGGCAAGAGCAATGTATCTGAACACCGAGATCAAGGCACATGGGCAGGGTCTCCCTCCTCGGATGCCCATAAGCCTGTTCATAATAGTTCTTCCCACACCGAGGATTCTGGAGTTGAACGTTTGCAGCTTTTCAAATTGCCCTCTCCCGCTTTACTTCCCTCAGACGGCAAATCATCTCCAGAGACGCTTCCTCGTAAAGTCAGTGATACCACTCCTCTGCTATCCAGTGATGACCCTAAACTGAGCACGGGTAGTATTAAGGAATCTCCGAAGCTTGCAGGACAGATTTCGAGACATCAATCGACGGTGTCGCGTTTTATTGTGAATCTCAAAAAAGCTCACTCTCTCACTTCAAGTCCTGCTACCGGCACCGAAATGGAGGGATTGGCACGATCAGCTCGCGAGGATTTCATTGGATGGGTCAATTCGGAGTTTGATAAAGTCGAACGGTTCTATAGAGAACGGGAGGATGCATGTTTGGACAGATTCCTTGTTTTGCAGGATCAGGTCGTTCAACTCAACGAGCAGAAACAAAGATCGTCCCGTAAGCTATCCAAGCTCCGTGACTTGCGTAAGAAACGCAAGGGCCTAGATAACAATATGGTGTCCACAGTGTCCTCAATTCCGCTCGAGGGCCGCCATTCGTCAGATACGAGCACGACGCACTCTTACGAGGAGTCATCTGATGAAGAAGGTGCCATAGCTCGTGCCATACATAGCAACTTCTGGTTCGCTGCTTATTTGACCAAACGCAAATTCAGAATAATTAACAAATTCGACACTCCTTCCCTTCCAAAGTTCGAATGGCTCAGAGAAAATGGGTCTGCTGAAAAGCAGTATTACAATGAGGATAGAGAACAGGCTCACGATAAAAGACGCGATTATAGACGGCGCAAAGCGGCGCAACCGGCAATACCATACTATTCCGCAAGAAAGACACTCAAAAAGGCTGTTTATGAACTTTACCGTTCTATGGAGCTCCTAAAATCGTACAAAGTGTTGAACCGTACCGCTTTCCGCAAACTCATCAAAAAATACGATAAAGCGACAGACGATAATATTCTTCCTATATACATGCGCAAAGTCGACAGCTCTTATTTCGTCACGTCCGACCTTTTAGACAATCTGATGACAAAGATAGAAACGATATTCACGGATGTCTTTGAGAATGGGAACCGCAAAGTGGCACTGACGAAACTGCGGTCCAATGAGGCCGAGAAACAACATTACTTCTCCACATTCTCGGGATCTTTTATGCTCGGGTTTGCCATACCTGTATTCGCCTACACTATTTATTTGGCATTGCATAAGATGAAAACAGGTGAACTACCGGAAGGAAGGTACTTGTTGCAGATCTGGGGTGGCTTCTTCTTTTGCTGCCTGATGGGCCTGCTGTTTTCCATTAATTGCTACGTTTGGAGCATATACAAAGTGAATTACAAGTTCATTTTCGAATTCAATCCCAGGGATGCTTTGGACTATCGTCAATTCTTTGCCATGTCGTCGGTCTTCTTCTTTCTTGGATCCGTTCTAGCCTGGTTCAGCTTTGAGAATTTCTGGAGCGATACATTTGATGGCAGAAATTGGCCATGGATATATCTTGGAGCCAGTGCACTAATTCTTGTGTGCCCATTCGACGTCCTGTTTTTGAATTCTCGCACTTGGCTACTTTCCTCGATTTTCAGACTTATCCTTTCAGGACTCTACCCGGTGGAATTCAGAGACTTCTTTCTGGGAGACGTTTTGTGCTCCTTAACGTATTCAATTTCTAACTTGTCGATGTTTTTCTGCTTGTATGCTACCCATTGGCGCGGGTGCCTGGACGGTTCTGGCACGACAAAGTGCGGATCTTCAAGATCCCGACTCTTTGGATTTCTATCGACTTTGCCAAGCATTTGGAGATTTTTACAGTGTCTCAGAAGATTCGCAGATACAGGCGAGTGGTTCCCACATTTGGCCAACATGGCAAAATATACCGGCTCAATTCTCTACTACATGTCCCTGAGTCTGTATCGTATCGAGACCGTGACCAAGTACAGAGCATTATTGATCACGTTCGCGACAGTTAATTCTATTTATTCTTCCATGTGGGATATATTCATGGACTGGTCCCTTTTACAGTTTGACTCACATAATTATCTACTCAGAGATCATCTGATCTTTGAGAACAAATGGTATTACTATACGGCCATGGTGGCTGATGTTATTCTGCGGTTTCAGTGGATATTCTATGCTTTCTTTGAGAGACAGATTCAGCAGTCGGCAGTGACTAGTTTTTTCATTGCCCTTGCGGAAATCATTAGACGGTTTATCTGGATATTCTTCAGAATGGAAAATGAACACGCCACAAACGTCCATCTTGCTAGGGCATCGAGGGAATTGCCGCTGCCGTATCCTATTACTGTTCGAAAGACCACAGCCCCTTGCGAGTCAAGTGCAGCAGAAGCGGAACGTGAAGACGAAGTGGCCGCTGAATCTCTTCGCGAAAACAGTGTTATAGGCCAAATCTCCAAAATGCTCAATAGCGCACACATCAAAGATTTCCAGAGAAGAAAGACGCCCAAAGAATGGAGAGAGGAGGACGAAAGCGATGATGATGATGACTGACAGTGAAACATTATGCCTGTTGCACTTTGGCATAGTTTGGCGGTCTCAGTTTCCTATTGATAGCCTTTGCTGCCCAAATAGGAAGCAGCGATATGGCCAAAATCGAGCAAGTCTGCCAGAGGAACGACACGCTTTTCACATAATTCATATCGTAGTAATCAGACAAGAAAGGAATAGATCCGATGTAGATCGCCAGAGTAATAATCTCACTGAACATCATCACTTTGTTCCATTTATTAATCTCAATTGCAACCATGGCCAGCTCGTTTAGCACCAAAGCCGTAAAACTGATAGCCACCATTTTGGTGAACACATCTGTGCTCAGCCCAATATATGTTTGAGAGGACCCTTGGATCACTATTCCCTGGTAAAGAGACACAAGCACCCAAACGAAGAATGTGCGGTATGACAGCGAACGTCCGGCAGTCAGCTCTTTGTACAGCTCCGGATACAACGACACTAAGTTCTCACTCACGTCAGAGTCCAAAACCAGAGAGAAGACGGGAGCCATGGTGTAACAGGTGGCGTATCCAACCATGAGAAATCCTTGGTAAAGTGCAAGAGGTTCGAACGAGGAGCTGATGGAGTAAACTGCCTGGCACACAGAGATGATAAGTCCTCTGTGAATCACAAACTGTGCCAGTTTCGCACTGCGCTTGTACGAGTTTCTGCCATGCCAAAGGAGTAGCTTTGTTAGGTGGCAAAATTGAGTCACTGAGAAATCAGCAGCCAGCGACGCCTGTTTACCCTCCTTTCCAACAATCCCGACACCCACGTCGGCACACTGGATCATGCTAACGTCGTTGCCACCATCGCCAATACAGCAGACTCTTTTCTTGGTGGCATCGCGAATCAGCAGAGCCACATCAGCCTTTTGCTGAGGCGAACAACGACAGGCCACCACGGCCGGTAGATGAACAACAATGTCGAAAAATTCCTGCTTGAAATATGTCAGATACACGCCCAGTGATTCTCCGTCGATCAATAAGCATGCATCTTTGTTTGTGCGAAGGTACTCAATTTGTTGCAAAGCATACTCAGGACGGTTGAGCCTAGTGATGGTGTGGATGTACTGGCCTCTAGAGATCAGCTTTGCGCTCACAGCAACGCAACGGGCAGTCTCGACCTTGTCACCCGTGAGCATCCAGATTTTGACACCAGCGTTTCTCAAAAGCTCTATTGATGCCTTGACATCCTTCTGCAATTTGTCTTCCACGCCTGTGAGTCCAAGTAATTCCAAGTCACGTTCCAAATACTGTGCAAGAACTTTCGACATGGCTTGGTCCCTATTGAACATGGACAAGCTTGCGTCTTGGTATTTAGCCTTAAATTCCTCATAGACATTGGTGGTTAGTCTTTTACGAGCAATGACTAGAGTTCGCAAGCCCTCCCGTGCCATGTTGCCCGTTTCTTCTTCCAGCCAATCATTTTGCTGCACAATCTTGGTCATCACCGTGTCTGCGCCCTTTTCCAAAAACCAGAGCTCCTCTCTGTTCTTGTCGTGCACAATGATCCCCATCCTCTTAGTCTCCGAACTGAAAGGAAAAACTTGAAGGATATCGTAGTCGAACGTTTTGTTGGTGGCCTCGTGCAAAAGAGAGAGGCTTGTGCGATCACGTTTAACAAGCGATAGTCCGACGCTCTTTGTGTACTTGACAATGGCAATCTCGTCAGGGGAGGCAGCCTGGTAGTCAAGCTCTCCATCTTCGTATGTGGGAGTGACATTATGACAAATTGCTAAGGTTGTAACCAAGTCTCTGATTCTTGAGCCAAGATCCCTTCTTGATGTTTTGGCGTGCTCATTTGCGTTGCGAACGTAATCCGCAACTAGATCCATACTGTCTCCTGCGTAGGAGACCGTTCCCAAATGCAACTTTTTCAGCTCCATATCATTTTGGGTCAGCGTGCCTGTCTTATCGCTCAACAGGTATTCAATGCGTCCAAGATCCTCGGGGATGGTGCTGGTGCGGACCACGGTTTCCGGTATCGATTTATCGTGCTCGATTTGGTAGGCATAGACAGATTTTCCCAAGTCAAGGTTCACCCTAAGCGAAACGGGGATGATCGTGGAGAACAAGATCAAGAAGCGCATCACATCGACATACCAGTCGCTCTCGAAACCTTGACAAGCAACCAGCACAAAGGACAATATGAACACACACGCACACAAAATTTTAGACAGGTTGTTGATTTCCAATTCCAGCAAGCCCGTTTTGACTCCTGCAACAGAAGTATTCATCGATTGACGTGTATCTTTGCCGGTGTACACAACGAAACCTACTGCAGTTCCGGAAGCAAGAACAGTGTTTGCCCACATTGTATTGTCAATGTTCAGTGCCGAGGTGTGATCGCCAAACGTGAGCTTGCCCAAAAACGAGTGGATGTGTTTCGACGGTGGGGACACGGTAACCTTGATAAGCTCCAAATCATCTTCAGAAAGGTTTTGAGTTAGCGGACATGCGATTCTCAGCTTCCAATCGGTTTCACCGTCCAGCTGATCTGTTTTGATGAAGGACTCTCCATTAGACTCAGACGACTGGAGAAGTATCATATCTGCGGGCACTCTTCTGTCTTTGTACAGCTTGACTAGGTCTCCACATTTGAGATTTTTCGCAGGAACCTTCTTCAGGGATCCGAGAACTTCGTAAAGCTCATTATTCTGTTCCATATCTCTGCGTCGTCTCTGTATGTCGTCGATGGCTTCCTTCAGCATCGTCACTGTCAACACAAACGCTAGCGGAACAATATAAGAGGAGAGATAGCCGATCCGGAGCGCGGGAATCGCCTGAGACAGCGCAACCAGCAGGAAATACAGGTTGAAGAAGAATTTGAACTGCTCATAGAGGATCATCGGGAAGAACGAGAGGGCATTGTATTTAGCATTCGAAACCGCGTTGGACGAATATCCGCCGTCCATGTGAGGTATTATAGTGCGTTCATCGCCGAAATTGATGTTGTTGTTGGTCGAGTCTTCCGAAGGCAGATGAATGCCTTTTTTCTTATTTCCGGATCCCAGCACGAGTCGGTTCGATGAATGAATTAGCGACTGGACTCCTTTGCTCCAAATCGTTCTCGAGTCGGCTTTGGAGGAAGGACGGGAGCCGTGAGGGCCAGAGTTGGAGTCATTGGATGGGATCAAAGGGATATCGCCGTCGTCAAGTCCGTAACCATATGAGTGGGTATTCATTTTATTCAGGCTTTTGAGAGAATATGCGTCTGTATCGTCAATGGCTTGGTGGACACTTTTGTCTATAAACGGGTTTGAGTCGATGTTTTCTAATGCAACATTCAACGTGTCCTCAAAGTCCTTGTCCAGCGTGTACAGGTTCAAACTTTCTTGTCTTGATTCCCGACGCGCTGAGCTCGGACCAGACGTGATAGCTTCTGTTCTGTCGCTTGGGATTCTTTGAGTTTTTGCAAAATCACTAACTGAATTAGTCCTAGACGAATCTCCAGAGTTAGGGATGCTCATCGAACTCCAGAGAGAATGATGCGGTAAGCTTAAAGTTTTGCGAAGGAACTTCTGATTGAGAGTAAAGTTGCCAAACAGAGATTATGTGTCTTTTTCAGAGAGCCTCTGGGCGTATGGTCATGCTCCTGTTCGCCGGTACAACACAAACTTGGTAAAAATCTGGCTTACTTTATTTTGTAGAAACCGGCTCAGCCCAATTTGTTTTTTGTGAATTAATCAAACATCTCTACACCACAACGTTCTAAACTCTACAGTTGGAGATCTCAAAGACGAGGATATCCGAAGCCCCCAGCTCCTTGAGCTTGTCCATGATGTTTCCCATGTCCTTGCGCTCCACCATCGACGAGACAGCAACCCATTCACCATCGTCAAGAGGAGAAACGGTGGCAGCACGTCTACCCGGAGTCAGCTTGAGCAGGCTTGGAAGCATTGATCTTGGAGCGTTGTAGTTACACAGCACGTAGCGCTGAGCAGCCAGAACACCTTCCAGACGCGATTTAATGACTTCGACAAGCTCAGGGTGGGACGGGTTTCTGGAGATGATCAGGTGTGCGGATGTGTTTAAAATGGTACCGATGGCGTGCAACCCTGCAGCTTTCATGGTCTCACCACTTTCAACAAGATCGACAATGGCGTCACCAACTCCCAAAGCGCAACTTGCCTCGACGGAACCGCCAACAAACTTGATCTTGGTTTTAAGCGGCTCTCCTGGCTTAACACCCTCCAGCTCCTCGAAATACTGTCTAGTGAGATTTGTAAACGAGGAAACAATGGTCTTTCCAATAAGTTGCTCAGGCTTCTCGTACGGCCCATTTTCCGGGACCTGGACCTGTAATCTGCATTTCCCAAACAAGAGATCCATGGCGATGTCGACGTCAACGTCGCTCTCCTTCACCTGGTCGACGCCGGTGATTCCAATAGAACAACGACCTTCTCCAACAAAGGTGGGTATGTCAGCCGCTGGCAGGAATATGAGCGCGATTGGGAGGTTTGTGCACAGAGCGATGTCGAGTCTGCTAGATCTATTAAACTGGATGTCGGAGCCTTTGAGTAAATTAACACATTTCTCGTAAAGTCTTCCCTCTGAAACGGGTTAGTGACCTCTCTATGCTAGTCTGACTTACTCTTTGGAACCGCAAACAGCAGTCTGTCCGAGAGGTGATTAACTAAATCCATAACGGTTGGAGCTACGATGAAAATTCCAAATTTTTTTTTTAGTCACCGTTGCACGAGGCCGTGCACGACCAATATTATACGGACTTCTTGGATAATCATTGCTCGCGTAGTTGTGACAACTTCAGCTGCTCGCGCTTCCAGAACTTCATCAGCAGGTCACCGTACCGATGCATCTCCTCTACCTGTATCATGAGCTTAAAGTCCAGCAGCAGCAGAAACTGCAGTTCCAAGTGGTTTAGTTCCTCCAAGGGCAGTCCGCCGACTTTTGCGTATCTAGAGTTTTTGTAGAAGACATCGCTAAAGAACTTGGATGCCACTGTTATCCCAGAAATGATGAGTCTGTGGATGTTGTAGCTGTCCATGACAAACAGCTGCTGCTTCGCATTTGGATCCTCAAAGCCTGCCTTTGGAGAAGAAGTGAAGGTTGAATTAAAGTCGCCGTTGTTTGCGCGCTTGGCGATCCGGTCAAAGTACACCAGTAAGCTCAGAAACACCTCGTTCGTCACGGGACAGTACTTGGATATTCTCGTCAGATAAGCGTGAAGCGAAATGGCCGGAATATTGCGGCCGTGGAACGCGAGCACGTTGGTGGTGTACTTGTTCTGCTCACCTCCGTTCTGTATCTGGTTGTCCTGGCTGTTGTAGTGATCGGGGTGGAGCGAATCGTTGGCTTCCACGATTTTTTGTAGCAGAGCAGACAGCATCAGCAGAAGGTCGTTCACCGGGTGATTAGGAATGTCCAGATGGTCTTCGTTTCTGGGCTGGGACAACGGGTTCAGCGGCATGTGATCCGGGTGCCTCGAGAGCGAAGATGAGGAAAACTGAGAGTGAGTCAGGTTCGGCTGGAACTGTTGGTGGTGGTGATCTATTGAGCTTCTAGGGAAGGAGGACGACTGGAAATATGTCTGGGAAGGCGCTGATGCAGAGATGAAGTGTGGCCTGTGGGGATCGTTGGTGGGGGTGTTGATAGACTGCTGTGCGTCTTGATACAAGGTGCTGGAGGAAGAATTAATCGAAAACGCAATGTCCTTGGAAATCGTGGTGGTTGCAGTGGGCGGGGCGGGGTGAGGAGGGAAGCCCGAGTTTCCAAACGACCCGAACTGGCTGGACATGTGCTGCGGCATGGACCCTAGCTGGCGCATCTGTAAGGAGGTAGGCGTAAACTGGTCATGGTAGGAGGAGCTCACGTGAGAAGGGAGGTTTGACGCGTGCTGTCCGACATGAGTGAGCTGTTGCGCAGATGGTGAGGATTGGTCTTGTTGTTGCTGTAACTTGGTGGTGAGCAGCGATCTGCGTCCTGCCGGGGCAATATGAGAGGAGGAGGACGCCAGGAACGAAGATTGAGGCAGTCCCGATATAGAGCCCACAGATCCGTGACGGATATTCAACGAAGATCCGTCTGTCGAGTTAGACCTGCTGGAGAACGAGTTGCGATGAACGAACGCTGGAGGCGGGTTCGCTGACGGACTGTGATAGCTGACGAAGTTCGACGGCGATGTGATGCTTGTGTACGAGGACGACTGGACATCCTGGTGGTATGGGTGCTGCGCCTGGTCCTGGTATTGCTCGATGGGCTGCGGCGTGGGGTTGTTGTAATTATTCAACATAAGCAAATGCGGTTCGTACGCCTATTCTGTTATTAATTAATATTTTTGGGTATGAGAGAAACGGACAAATTCCTCAATGCGGACGATATACGCACGGAAGAGAAATACGCGCTGCCAGAATGTTCCCAGCATTTTGTGGCTATCAAGGTTACTTGGGAGAGCAACAGGTAGGCAGTAGAACCTGCCTCGTAGATACTACATGTACAGGTGTAAACACTCGATACAGCCGAGTTTGCAACGCGCAGTGGATAAGGGGAAGTTTCGGCCAGTTTGACCCGAAACGCGTGCACCAGGTCCTGCTATTGTCCGTCTTCTACGAAAGACCTTTTATGCCCCGATATATTGTTATCGTTGCAACGTCGCTTCTAATCGGCCATATAAAACCCCGTATCTGGCTGTGCTAAAAAATTTCAAGAATGTCGAGAGCTTCCAAAATAACGCTCGGCGTGACATCGCTACTCTGCGCAGCCACAACCATCGGCGTGTACTTATTTGCAGAGGAAGAGAACGATGTAAGTACACATGGTGCGTTTACTAATTGCAGAACTTGAAATACGGCCCTGTGAAGGACGCGGAGCGTATGCAGAGGCGTCGCGAAAAAGAGCTGAACGCCAAGCAGCAGGCCAACGCTCGGGACTTCGAAGCCCAGAAACTGCTCAGAGAGCAGCTTGAGGCCAGCCAGCCGCTTTCTGGCGAGATCGTCAAAGGGGTTGACTCGAAGTAAATCCGCGGTCGTGTCGGTACCGATATAGCCATATGGTAATCTCCGGCAGCCAATAGCTTTTTTAACCATGTACAGATTTGCAAGCATCGCCAGACTTGCCACTAAACCTGTTTATACTAGCCAATTCCTAAGAATGTCTTCTACGTTGACTCCAGTGATCTCTACTAATGCTCCTCCGGCAGCTGCCTCCTACTCGCACGCAATCAAGGCCAACGGGACTATCTACGTCTCCGGTCAAATTCCATTCACCCCTGAGGGTAAAAGGGTCGAGGGAACCTTCCAGGAGAAGTCCGATCGTGTTATCCAAAATGTGCTGGGTGTTTTGAAGGACAGCAACTCCTCCCTGGAGAAGATTGTCAAGGTTACCGTCTTCCTTACCGACATGGAGAACTTTGGAGCTTTCAACGAGGTGTACTCGAAGTATTTCAGCTCTCATAAGCCAGCAAGATCCTGTGTTGCCGTGAAGCAGCTTCCGCTGGGCGTCGAGGTGGAAATGGAGGTTGTTGCGTTGGAGAACTAAGTGTATAGCTGAATAAATCTCTGGGTCCAAAAATAAAGGCAGCATCACGTGATACAGTTCCGGGTTTCACGTATATTAAAATTTTCAAACTTTTCAAAAATTCTTTCTTAACATCAGCCATGGCCCAGAGAGTGACTTTCAGAAGAAGAAACCCATACAACACCAGATCTAACCAGATCAAGGTGGTGAAGACTCCTGGTGGAAAGCTTGTCGCACAACACCAGAAAAAGGCCGGTACCAGACCAAAGTGTGGTGACTGTGGAATTGCTCTTCCTGGTGTCGCCGCTCTCAGACCAAGACAATACGCTTCCATTTCCAAGACCCACAAGACTGTCTCAAGATCTTACGGTGGTTCCAGATGTGGTAACTGTGTCAAGGAGAGAATCATCAGAGCTTTCTTGATCGAAGAACAAAAGATCGTCAAGAAGGTGTTGAAGGACCAAGCTGAGAAGGAGAAGGCTAAGAAATAGGTTAATCAAATAAAATGTCACTGTGAATTATACATCGTTAAATTCGTATGCTGAGTATTTGGCAACGTAGTAGTGCACGAGGTCGCTGTAGGCCGTCGTGTCGCCACATTTTAGCAGGTTAGCCATGTCAATATTGAGTGGACTTGATGGCTCAGGATTTGCAAGCAATACAACTATCGCAACCAGCGCGCTTTGCAGAGTCCATGCGGGCGACCATTTCTTTTGTAATATGTCAAGACAGATCTCACCCGTCTTGAAATTGATATTTGGATGGGGCATCTTGTAACATACCTTGCGAGCACCGGAACCCGTTTTTGTTTGCATATGCCTTAATTTCTCCTCGCCAAATACCACGAACTTGATTTGCGGCGGGTCAAGCGGATAGTTTGTAGGAATATCGATTTGTAGTCGCCACAATGCGTCTTCGAATGGCGATTGATCTGGGCCTCTAATCAGCGCGCTCCATTTGAAAAGCCCATCTTCCAAAGGATGGAGATCGACAATTCCCGTGTCGCGCATCGATGAACCTTTCTCCGCCAACTCTTTCTGAACAGCACGGTATTCCTTCAGAAGCCGCTTTTCTGTCGAAGACATGAGGAGAATAAGTTATTTGCGTCGATCGACCTTGGCCGTAAAAATCGTAAAATTTATCCTACCTCCCCACACCGGTTCTTATCGGTCAAAAGCTAAATCATATCATATATATAACTATTATATTCCTTTTGACAGTATTTTGAGTTGTTTCCATGTTTAAAGTTGCAAGCCGCAAATCTTTTACTTTCAGGCCATTCACCCGTCCTTGGGTGATCCGAAACTCTTCCAGCGCCTCTAATGCGCCAGAGTCTGCGCCGGAGCATGCGGTGGACCAAGATTCCTCCGGTGACGTGCAACGCACCAAGAAAACCCGCAAGAACTACATTTCTACCTTCCCACGCGTGCCTAGCACTAACAACATCCGCGAGAAAGATCTGTTGCTCGAGCAGTTCTTCAACGGACACCTTCCACTTACGAAACCTATAGAGCACAACCACCCAGCCACGCCTTCCTTGTCATTTTCCCCGAACGCATATAAGAGGTCCAAGGTTCAAAACTCATCGATCCTGGATAACCTCAAGAAGTACAAAGACATGAAACGCAAGAAGCTGGATGATAACTATCACCCATTTTATAGTGCTCATAAAAAGAGTCAGTCAGCAGGGATTTTGACCCACAGCTCTCTGGACACTCAAGAACACAACCTGGAGATGCTAAATTTACCCACGAGCTACTTACAGTCGCTCAAGCCATTCAAGGCTCCGCCAAGTCCGGGGAATGAGGCTTACAGAGACGATATTATTTATGTCCGAAAGCTCGAAATAGAGGAGCGCAACCTCAAGCAGCAGGAGGAGATCAATAGACGAGTCCAGGAAAACTTCGAGCTGGCCAAACGCGGTCTCAAGCAGTTAGACAAGGGCGACATTGGCGAATTTTTGGATGCCATAAAACGTGATATCATCAATAAGAAAGACTAGGTCATACAAATATATATACTATAATACATATATATATTTAATTTCAACATTAAGTTTCTATCATTATTAATATTCTGGGTAAATATTTTTTCCACCAAGTTTTATTCACCATTCCGTCCAAACGTAAGAAATCCACACGGACGTTGGTTCCCAATACGGGACACGACGAACCCGAATCGCCAGGTGCTGGGCCACAGTCTTCTGATGACGATGAATACGATGATTTCTTCGAGGAAGAATACACGTTCGATTTTGATTTTTCTCACCAAGTGGTGAACTTCGACCCGGTGAAGGTACACTCTGCTTTATTCAAGCTTTTGCGGATCCAGAACCCCAAGAGATCCTCGAAATATGATCATTGGCTTCTTTTTGCTTCGCTAGCAGGTTTTTGCGATGTGTATACTCAGCCCTCCGACATGGACTACGATTACCAACACGTCCTATCTCTCAAACGAATTGCCGACGCAGTGATCGCGCTGAACTATAACACACACTCCCGCTCCGAGACCCCTCGCTTTGATCTTGCCTTTGCGTTGGCCAATATAGTTGAAAAAATAACGGTCTTATTGAATTGCTCGGACTATCAGAGACTCGCCAAAGTCAACAACGACGATACTCACTGGGAGGAGAATTTACATCTCTGGACGCCGCACAAGACACTATCTGGTATAACGAGCCTTGCGGATGGGTTCCATGACTTGAAACTGCTCTACAACATCGCCACGGTAGCGGTGTACTGCATATATCTCCTCTACAAAAAGGACGGCTACAGGTCAGCAAACGGTCCGTATAACCCGTTCGCCGACTTCTTCTTCCAGCTCTGGGAGAACATTACACAGGTTATCATATACGGTCTGGAGATCGATCGCAGAGACGAGAAACTCAATTTTCCAGGATATCCGCCGATTGTGCGACAAGTGATCAAAGGATGTGCTGCTTTGAGGTCAATCACGGCTGCCGCAATAACAGCGGAGGACGATCGGTGCGAGCACGATCTGCAACACAGCTCGCTGTTCACGTTCATGCGACCTCTTGGCCGTCGTGCAATTACTGGGTCGTTGGCAAAACAGAACGAGATCCACACCTTGCCGGCGCGCGTTGGTAGCATTGACTTCGAGAATTTACCGCTGAAACTGATTCTGAATGATAGATACGACGAGGACGTTATGTACATGTTTGAACTGGGTCTGGCGAGAGACGTGAAGGACGATCCATATCTTGCACACCATCCTGATAACGACTCTGACTTTGACATCGACTGCGAGTTTCATCCAAGCTGCCCCTGCGACGTGGACAGGAGAAGACAGCAGCAGGACATCATACAGTCCCTGGGTGACCCGATCAAGGGCACGCAGAGAGAGAAAGATCCATTGTTGCCAGATAACATTCTCCAACCTCATTACTCGCCGATTCCGCTTCAGTTCGATGAGCTAGGAAACGACCTCCGAGAAATACCCCGGGGACCAAATACACAGCTGACCGACGAGTTCGTTGAACTCTTGCACAGGTCCCAAGAGGACGTGGACATATTTTTCACCTCTCCGGACGAATTGCTCGACCACCTCGATTATGTGTTTGACGACACAGACCGCGTTTGTCCTTGCGAAAAAGTGGTGCGCAGTGTTGCTTGGATTGTCATGTACGAATATGAGGCAAGCTTGATGACGGAAGATGAGTTGCTACAGAAAGAAAATGACCCCGCCATTTCAACTGAGGAGTTAATCAACGTTGTCTGCGACTCAGTCAATTACAAGGTTCTGGTAAAACGAAACCCAAATCTTTATTTTGCCATGATGGACGAGCTTCTGATGACCCCTGGCGCAAGATTGAAACTTCTACGTCATCTTTGCATGCAACAGTATCATCACTGGCAGGTCACCTATCTTCACGACTTACTTATCGGAGAGCGTGGAAAAAAACAAAATGATAAGAATTCTCCTTTGGGACGAACCGAGTACCCATTCAGTCGAAAAGGGCCCTTGATCTTGACCGATTACGAAAAGAGTGTTGTCGTCGACACCTTTTTGTCAAATCAATTCGATCAGTTGAAACAGGTGGGCGACGACAAGGATTCATATGAGATTCCCTTGAAAGTCATCTGCATAATGCTCAAGTCACTCAAAGTCAAGGGGGTTTGTGTGCGCAATATTCAGAAATTCAGAATCGAGCTCCAGAGTTGGCTGATTCAATCCGGAGGACTGGGAAAGTTTCCTGAAGCACGCGAGCTGTTCTTCGACAGTCAAAATGAAACTCTAGTTGTCGAAGAGGAACCAAAACGGTTGAACACAGATTTGCATCGCATTTCCGAAGTGGAGCAGGACGGCCCCAAGTTGGGTGCGCTGCTTCTGTTGAAACTTTTCAAAGATGAAGGCACCGTTTTGCTGGATCTACTCTTGAACTTCGGCCAGTACTATCCAAAGAAACGTCCTGAAATTCTATTTTTCCTTAGCGACTTGGACAAGTTGGAAGACACATTTACCAGCCAGATGCAATTGGTTACTATATCCGATTATGTGTTCATGTATATCTGGCGCGCGCTTCAGTGTCAGGACGCCAATGCAATTAGGAACATGCTGCTTTGGACAAGGTTAATCGACGAGAATTATGACTGCCTGCCGAAAATCCAAGACTTCATCAACCACAAGTTCGAAAATGCTCCCGATAGATTAATTAAGTGAGCAATGCAAACATTGACTCAGTGCGCTTTCTGTTTAGCTTCTCTTGCCTCCCACAAACTATCATCAAGAAAGTATAGCCAGCTGAACATGTTCCAGGAGCTTATCACTCCAATAGCGCAGTAGGTGCTATACGCTATGAGTCTCAGAAACTCAAACCTTTGTAACACTTCAAAATTCCTGGACTGTATGTCAAGCAACTGTATCACACATGACAGAGGAATAAGCCCCACTATGTAGAGAAAGTTGAGTCTATCCAATATGAAGACGCGACGTGACAATGTGGAGCTGAACTCGCAAACCTCATTGAAGCTATTTGAGAATATCACAAACCACACAAACGTGAGCAGTGCTTTGAAAAGCCACTCAGCGGAGCCAAAAAGAAGCGGGAACAACGAGACGTAGCCAGAGGCAGTAAGGGTTTCGTAGAGTGGAAGCAACTTGCGATCGCGCGGTATCAGAAAAGTGAAGGGTATAATAACTAGCATGATAGCTTTCTCGTGAACATGCCAGCCAAATAAGAAGGATGCCCATGCACACAAGGTCATGGATCCTATGAACCGCCCAAACGTTGGGCTAAGGAACAAAGGCACCAGGGACAAAAATTGATAAAAGAGCGTCAAAAGAAATGTGTGGTTCGGCTGTATATTAGGAAGAACGAAAAACTCAACGTCTCCAACCAGTCCTCGGGTCAAGGTGTTCGCAGTCCTGAGTTTCTCAAGGTCCAATTGCTTGAAAATCAGCGAAAGAATACGGGCTGAACCGGGTACTCTCAATGCCAGTTGGATCAAGACCCTATCAACTAGAGAATATATGGCCCATATATTGGGAGCCCAATAAGCATGCGTAAGTCCTCTTGAAAAAGGGAATAGTCGTTGGACTACTGTGTGCACCTGCCCATAATAGATGAAAGGTCCAAACGCCACCGCAAACACACCCAGCACAACAGAAGCCAGCTTAAATAGATTTTTCCATTTCACGTAATTGAACAAATCACTGATAGAAGTTGGAAATTTAGCTTTCGAATCCAGACAGTAGGCTGACAGAAGGTAAACGAAGTAGCAAGGGGCAATGTAGAGGAAGATATGCTTGAAGCACAACAAGACAGCAAACCAGAAGCCACACCGAAGATAATTGCCGAGCTTAGCGTTGACTATGGACAGTACCAGAATGCCCATCAAGAATCCATTGTACTGGAAATGAATATGATCCACCATGAAAAGGCCTGGCGAGAGAACAATAGAGGACGCAACCACAAAATTGCGTTTCTTCTCTTTCAGATTGGACGATTTGCTGACGAAATACTGCAGCGACAGGAAGAGTACTATTTCACTCACTATGACGGTGCTTCTTTGGAAAATAACTGTTGGCATTCCAAACTCTCCTTTAGCCACAAGACTGATACAACCATCTTCCGATACGCTGGGAGGAACAAAAAGCGACAAGAACCACTCGAAGTACGCAAAGAAAGGGGGGTAATCAAGAGTCCACTCGCTCGTGTTCTCTAAATACCACCTTTCTAGGGGTAAGAGTTTGGTGATTGAGAGCCAATTGCGATGCACATCAAAATCTGTGGAATAGTAGGCCGGAAACAGCAGAATTTTAAGCAGCGTCGAGGCCACCCAAATGTTCCACAGCGAGAAATTATACTGGGTGGACATCTGCACAAAATAAGAACAATTAAATTTTTAGCCAAGGCAGGCACTTGGGGTTATTTTTCTGGAGGAGCGTTTTGGGTCAAGAAACAGCAACTGTGCGGCGACCGGGGCCTTTTGTGTTATCATTGGGAAAACCCGGAGCTGTAGGAAATGCCAGTGCAAACTGGTAATTACTACCAAAAGTCTATGCTTGTACCGACCGGGATGGCCCAGGTCCCTTCCGATAGTAGCTTCTTTATGGGCAAGAAGGGAGATTTAAATAATCTTTGTCAAGAAGGAAACAAGTCAACAAGCAGTCGAATTACGTAGCCCCTTGTCATACTTCTCGTATATAGAGACTATCGAGGTACATTGGTTACCGGAAAAGCAGGTTCAGGCCGAAAGCAGACCGAGCGTGCGCAGTAATTTGTCTCGGACTTTACATAGACATATTAATTTCCGCGTTCTTCTATCTTATTTTAAGAGGGATATAATTTGAGACCGCAAACTAATTTGGCTAGGTAGGAACGGTGTGCAATCGGACCAGTAGGCTAGTGAAGGGATACTGGGAGCCTCAAGGTACCCATTTTTTGGCATCGAACAAATCAACGGAAGCTTTAGTGAATGCTCCAATCCCGTCACGCTTTAATTGCATAACATCACCTTATGGTTAGATCATTAAATCCCTTAAAGAATTAAACATTTGTGCCATAGTTTTAGAAAAGCTCAGGACATACTACTCTTGGGAGAGCAAGCTTCAAACTTGAAATGCCCTTTGTGCCTTCCCGCAAAACGGCAAATCCAGGCCCCGCCTCATCTTCCGAGAGCATATCAAGTAATCCCGAACAAAATTACCGAAGACGTTCAAGCGATCCAATCTCAAAGGATGACTTGCCATTGTCAATCAGCTTCATGAAGAGGCCTTCTAGATCTAGCTTTTCGGGAGAGAGTGATGAAATCATGAAACTCAACACCATTTTGAACTCAAAAACACACTCTCCGCCGCCCTCCCAGGAAATGCCCGAATCCGAAGTCGATTATGAGTTCTCTCCAGAACCAATACGTAGCCCAGCCTCGCTACCGGACTCCAAGTACCAGCTCATGTCTCCGTTGGTGCGCAAGAAGTCGGGGGAGCTTGTTAAATCGTCCCTCAAGCTCAATTCTCTGGATGGTAGCTCCAAATCCCTACCCTCCACTCCAACATACAAACAAGTGCATTTTGGCGGAAACATAGCTGTCAAGTATTTTGATGAAGCAGATAAGCCGAGCTCCATTAGCGCAGGCAACTCCCCTTTTGTTTCCGATGACGAATACAACTCAGAGTGCGAATCTGACGATGATTATTTTGGCCCCCAAGATACAATCTACAGCGTTTCAAAAGAGTATGTTGAATCTGGGAGCCAGAGGTCGATTGAGAAGTTCAAGAAGCTAATCAAGGCGTGGGACTTCAATTCGGATCAGTTCCGAAGAATTTCCTACAGAGATCAAATTGATAAAGAAACACCTGTTTTTCTAGAGAGGTGTTTTTTGAGCGTGGATAAGACCGAACTGTTAGGACAAATTGCCGTGAAAAACCTCTCATATCAAAAGTCTGTAACGGTTCGGTACACCTTCAACGACTGGGAGACGGCCATCAATATGGAAGCTTCTTATGTTCCAGACATCCCAAGGCTACTGAAACGCGCGAACTACGATAGGTTCATTTTCAAACTATCAGTTCCCACATTATTTTCACAGTTCTATTCTAGCCACCAGCCGCTCGTCGACCAAGATCCATGTTTTTATCTTTGTGTCCGATACGTTTCCGATGATCAAATTTTTTGGGATAACAATTATAGGAAAAACTATGAGTTGCGATTCTCTACGGAGGCATCTCGCGCCAAAGCACATAGAAAAAGCTCTCATCATGAAAACATGTATTCATCGAAGTTTCTTCGGAAAAGTGCCAGTTTTGAGGATGTTTCATCCGCATTGGGTTCCAAAAACGCTTCGAACCCCAGATCATTTCCTGAACTGGACAATGCTCTGAAAGACCTAAGTTTGCCAAAGCCTTCTAGAGCTGGACAACATCAACAGATCCCTTATGATTTCCACCAAGAAACAATTTTAGATAGCAGCATGAACTCGCCGGGAACCCCATTGATTCTTCAAAATGTTAGTGCTGCCCCTACATTCACGGACTTAATGTCGCCGTCTCTTCCTTTGAAAGTAAAAAATGAGAACGAACCTAATCAAAATGAAAAGGAAATCTCCCCAACCACAAAAGTGCCTGAAGATAAAATTCCGCCAGTTTCCGAGTATACAGGTGCAGCCAACCATTCGCGTAAACCAGAGATCAACTCAAAATCGTATCAACAACTACTAGAGAATTACTGTTTTTTTCAAGGCCCCTCCACTGTGTCTTCATTTTTAGACAATAACAACGCTAATGAGAAGTCACAAGTTGACAACAAATTTGGCCATGATTTCTATTAAAAAAAAGCATTCGGTCACTACCTGGCGTACCATAATTGCCATCATCGCTTACCCACTGTTCGCTGGATACTTCCTATATAATGTCCATTGTAATCGATTAAACCTTTCTTTTCTTTCTTTCTGGCAACTCTTCTTCAGCATCCATAAACTCGGTGTCGCCTTCTTCTTCAGCGCTCGAATCAATAATCTCATCTTGTTCTTCACCTTCACTACTGCCATCTTCATCCCCACTCACCTCGTCTTCGCTGTCGCTCAATTGATCATATTTGCTCTTCAGACCTTTCATCTTCCTGGTTTGCAGTTTACTTAGGTCTTGGACACCGACGTGAACCTTGGCGATCTTGTCACCCATGCTATCCACATCAACGTTCTTCTTTTGAGTTGGTTGCAATTGTTTAGGCACCCTGAGTGCTTCCTTCTCCATCTCAGAGTCAGGATACTGATGTCTGCCGATTTTGAAGTCAAGTCTAGGACCTGTCTCTTCAAGCTCCACTCTTGGAAGCTTTGGCTCAGCAGACTTGTAAGTCTTCAATTTGTATACGCGGAAATGAACCAAAGGAAGCTTAGAGATACTCTCGTCATTGTCGTCCTCTTCAATTGCTGACACAGCAATAACATGCTGTAGACCCGAAACATCCTGTAGTTTGGTGACTTCTCCTCTAAAAAAGTCCAAGAACAAGGACTTAATCTGTTTGAAAAGAGGATGGGTATCAAAAATGGAACCATTGAACACAAACATCGGTTTCAAACCGATTTGGAAAGTCGCCTTCTTAAAGTCCTCCAATAACTTGTAGTTGTTCAGCACAAGCAACTCGACCATGTCGTAGACCTTATAGTTGAACGTGCGCACAAAAGTTAAATTATTAGGTCTCTTCTTGTTGCTACTCATGAAAACAAGCAATGAAGCATCATTCTTCTCGCTGAAGAACTCTAACTTAGATGCGTCTTCAAATGGTAGCAGCTCGTTTTTCTTGGTGAACCGTTTGATGTCTGGTTTTTTTAGAGCAGCCAAATCCACTGTGATATCATGAAGGGCTTTGTTCGAGGTAGTTCCCGGAACAAACAATGCTGTCTTCACATTCTCAACTATTTTGGGTTGTCTTTTGTCCAGGGCTCTTTTCGAACGCGCGTTCTTGGGCTTGATCGTCCTAATCATATTGGCTTTTTTTTTTTTTTTTTTTGAAAATTATTTTAAAATAATTTTTTGGGATCCCAAACAAAAGAGTTACCCGGGGCTGAGTGTCTTTTATTTACCAAATAAATCTATAGATCTTCTTTCATGTTCAGTTTCAACCTTGAAAGATTAAGGAGTTCCACACCTGCTAATATAAGGCAGTCGACACATGCGGTGAGATTGATAGAAACCGTACACACAGATTCATTTGTTATCTCTAGATACCCCTGTGAACTTCCGCAGCTTAAAAGTGACGAAACCATATGCTATGGCTCTCTCGATTCTGCGACCGGAAAAGCTGTTCTGGTGACCAGCGAGAGGATTCTCATCTATAACTATAGCTCAGGAGATATTCATCCTGTATGCTTCGAATTCAGCTACGAGAAAAATGAGCACGGTATTCTTCCCCAAGTCAAACTCTTTCCCAATTCCAGTAATAAAGATACAAGTGTCGTGATCGTGGATTCTTTTACAGGAGTGGTCAGATATGTTGAGTCGTTGAGTCTGTCACCATCTCTTGAAATCTTTGACGGCGTTCAGACAACCACCGTCAAACTTTCAGCAAATGAAATTGTCACGATTGTCGATTTTTTTGTTGGAATTGGTTTAGTTATTGCTACTAGCCATAGACGTGTGCTAACATTGTCGGTGAGAGATCACCTTGGAAAAGCAAAGTTTATTTTGAACGATGTCTATGCACCGAAATCATTGATGAAACTATTTTTGGGACTGACCTCGCAGATCGGTGCGGGATACGAAAACACAAACAAAGTGATCGCTATCAAGTGTGCCAATAGAAATGGAGTCACATGCCAATTATGCATTCAAGAGGAGGACGGAAAACTAGTCATTGCGGATTGGATGAATGGGTCGATTAATATTAGCTCACATTATAACCTCAAAGCACTCCTAGCCGAACAGATACTGGACTCCGAATCTCTTAAGATAAAGGACATTGAACTGATGGGAAGTAGTGAATATATTGTTCTCACATCTTGTGAAGGAAGTACTGGAAAGAGATTACAAATTTCCATGGTGAGAATAGGAGACAATCCTTCTGTGGTATACGTTCACGAGATCACTAGCATCAGTGCAACGGATTATTTCCCAAAATTATCTGTGAAAAACCAAATTGCAAGTATAATAACCAAGTCTTCCATCATTACGGTAGATATTGAGTCTAGCTTAAACGAAAGATGGGAAGATTTTATTAATTTCAATAAAGATGTTGCACTTTACGGATATGACACTGACGAGCATGATGATATAACAGTTCTGACTGAAGAAGGTATATTCCAAATCAAAGTTGAAAAAACAGTGGACAGGTTTTCTAGTGTTGATTTTCTGAAAAGTCATATAAGACAGGCGTTGCAATACAGCAGTAGCCTGAATTTACTTGATTTTAGCCTTTCAACTTTAAGAGTGGCTGTCAGCACCGAGGATATTGAAAATGCAGTTTTGGCTATTGCACAAGAAATAACGTCGAACAAATTCAATGACTTAGCTGGATTCACACATTTGCAGGTCAATCTACACAAAAGAGGCGATCTTCTGAAGAAACTAGGCCACTTTTGCAACGAAAATTTCGTGTTAGAAGAGGCTACATGGATTCAGCTTATGAGACATGTTGAGGAAGTTGAACTCTCAAGTGCACTATACGAAAAGCTTAGCAACATCGAACCATTGCGATTGATCGCGGAAAAGCTAATCAGAAAAGAGATAGGGTCCAAAAGTGTTGATGAATATTTCATGGATCCAACTTTGTCAATAATCAGTTTTCTAGAACTCCTGGTAGCAAACACGGATCTGGAAGACCCTGCAGACTTATTGCTTTTCGGTGAAATGCTTGCCAATGTGCTGAAAGAGGGTTACTTAGAAATTGAAATCAACGAAACGAGGTCTTCGAACATCCTCCGGGGAGCAAGAGAGTTTTTGTCGAGCGTGAATGAGATTTTGAAAAATCTCACAATTACTTACGCTGACGTTTTGGAAGCTGTTGAAGAGAGCGAGCTCAAGACACGCGTGAGCAAAACTGTTTTAACTCTAGCATTATTCCTCTATTATGCCGAGATCACAGGGCACGGTGAGCTTCTAGCTAAAAATAGAGAAGGATGGGTCAGATTGTTCATTGTTCTGGGGCAACAACAAGAATTAATGCAGCTCGCAGAAAAGAACAACGATCTGGAAAGTTTATGCGAAATTATTGATTCCGAAAGAGAACAAGCCCCAGATGGGGATGCTTTAGTTACACTCAAACTCGAGGAGTGTTTCCAGCGTTATGGATACCGATTTGCAGAGGTGTTGTTTGGATTTTATGCTAGAACCAGAAAGATCCAGTTGATCCTCAACTACTTCCCTCGATATCCAGATTACGTGCGCAAGTTCTTGAGTTCTAACATCAATAACTATAAATTTGCCTGGATACTGGACGTGGAAAACGATGAGTATTTCAAGGCAGCAGAAAAGCTAATTGCATATGTTTCCACTGCAGAGTCAGAGGAAATTGAAAAGAAAAAGCTCGAGCTGAATATTGCCAAACTTTCGCTAATATCCCTAGATGAGGACCATGACAGCTTTTTGGATGAGATTGAAATACACTTGCAAATGATTGAGCTTCAATCAAACTATGCGAGATTGATCGATTCAAAAACTAAAGACGGGTTTATACAGGAGTCAAGGTACTTGGTCGATAACAAGCTTACGAGCTTTGAGAGTCAGATTGGCAATATCGTGGCAAAGATGGATAAGCAACAACAATTGGCATTGTTTGAGATGGTCCAGTTACTGACATTAGTGACGTTTGATGAGTTCAACCATAATAATTTCGCCAACTTGTTCAAATTGTTGAATTTGATCAAGCACTCAAATCCATCAAGAGTGATAAGCAACCTCAGTGGATATTCGCATTATCACGAGATTCTGGAAACCTTGATATGGAAAAGGCTGTTTTTGACTACTGATTGGGATGGAATCCTAAATGGATCTGACGTGCATACAAATGAGTATTTCGAAATGATGACTGGGATATCGAGTCTCAATATGGAACTTCCCTCTAAAGTCCAGGATCTAATGATGGATCCGGACGATATTAATTATCTAGAGGCTGACGAAAGCCTTCGTGATGATTTGCTGAAGGAGAACGATCTTTTGTCGGACCTGAACAACAAGATCAAACTAGAACAATGGTTAAATAGATTGAAGTAAGTCAATTTTTGGTGATGATCTTTTGACTCTCGTCTATCTTGCATCTGACAAGGCGCTCCGTCATCGGTCTATCTGTTTCGTAGTCCTCTTCCCTATAGTTTGTTAAAGAGTTAGATGCTAGACTAACTGCTCTGATGATTCTCATCCAATTCTGTGTCACGGTTTCGATGCATCCTGCTTCTTCCCCCAGAAGTTCTATTTGACCAGCAAATTCTTCCAGTGAAGTGTTGAGGTGTTTGGTCAAGTCTCTTATCTGTTGGAGGCTTTCGAGCTCTTTGAGTTTCTGTTGCACTTTCACGTTTAGGGGATCCATATTTAGATGATGATAAGAACGCGCGCCATGTTTTTTTTTCTTTTCTTTAATAGAGTCGCGATGAAGTCGATCGACGGGGCCTAAAATATAGACAAGACCTCTTGGATTGGTCAGAAGAATTACCCAGATCGTTGTCTCGTAAAAATCAATATCAATTAAGCACACCGGTCGATAGTGAAGTTTGGTGTGCGACTTACCAAATCCGCGGGAGTTTCACTAACCCCACGAGAAACGATCCGCTCTTCTTTAGCCCCACATTGAATACAAGCAAGAACAAACTTATCTGAACACAGTTATGTCAGAGCCATCCACCAAAAAAAGACAGCGGCCGAGACCCTGCGATGCATGCGCCATCCGCCGTGTCAAGTGCGATATAGATTCTTGCACCGGGGGTGTCTGCTCGAATTGCCTCACTCACAATGTGCCCTGCACTAACCTCCGCGTGAGACACAAATCCGGTCCAAAGAAGTATGCAAGATCAAACAAACACCCAAAGGTTTCTGATCAGGGAAGCTCTACTCAGTCTACATTACCTGCTCATGTGTGTGCGCTCTCTTTGAGACAAATCATTACCTATCTTGAGATATATCATTCGATATTTTATGATATCTGGCCGGTGGTATCAATTCAGAATACAGTTTCAGTTTTGACACGATCGAGCTCCTTGGAGAATGTGGAGCAGGTGTTTCAACTAGCGAATGTATCGAACGACTTTCGTATCACCATCGCCGAGGACAATGCCCAAGAGTATGCTCTCTGTTGCGCATTGTGCGCTACTATCGCACAGTATCACAGTTTCGTCGAATATACTCCAGGCAAGAGCGATCTCGACAATGCTGGCTTATATGCTCAAGAGGCAAGGCGGATCATTTATCAGTACAGACTGAAGAGTACGCCAAACATTGATCTCCTTCTGACATCTTTCTTCCTACATAAATTCTATGCTATTGCGCCTGGCCAACAGCACAGGGGTCTTATTTATCTTCGTGAAGCCGTTTCTCTTGCAGAGGTTCTAAAGATGCACGAGCCCCAGTCACTGTTTCATTTGTCACCCTTTGAGGCTCATAGACAGAAAAAGATCTACTATCTGCTTGTGGTCACAGAAAGATACGTCAGCTTCAAAACTAATTTGCCAGTCCTTCTTGAACCTTCCATACCCCTTCCTGAAGCAGACTTCGAAAAATCTTCGAACTCGTTGTACGGATTCACCACTCTCTGTGCAATTTTCAGCGCCACAGATAAGCAATTCTACGTTGAACTTCATACTAAAGTGCTCGAGACAGGCCGCACTCACAACATGTTCCAGATTCCAGAGACCAACTTGTTTCAAGACTTCACCTTGAACGGATCCACAGAGTTAAAAAGACTATGGCTCCTTGAGATACAACAGAAGCTCCAGATTAGAATCGATGTGGATCGAATTGCAACAAGTGCTCAAAAAGTGAATGTCATCGTTTCAAAAGCTTGGCTTCAGTCTTTGGCCTGGTTGATAGCGTCAGCGAACTTTTTGGTTAGCTCTGACGAGAACCCTGCGGTTGAATACGAATGCTTTGATATCCGCTTTCCTTTGAAAGTCGCAAATGAGCTCCTCAGCAGTTTACAGAATCTCCCCGATCATGCGTTCAGGTACAATGGACCCGATATATCAATGAAGCTACTGGAGATAGCAGACTCTCTTTATATTCTGATCAAAAGCTATGTTGACACAGAAACCAAAGTGCTGGCTTACGAACGAATGGCTGCTGTATTCGATATGGTGCTAAAGTACAAAGCTGGATTGGATTTGCCCCGAGTCCTGTTCACAAAAATATCTAAACTCCTTGAAACTTGGAGGGTGAATGGCTTGCAAGAAACATTTGACGATTTGTCACCTGGGTTTCCTTCTTATGAACCTGCATTAACAGGCTCAGGCTCACTTGTACGCTGCAATACAAGAGAGGACAGTGCTTTTTTCAGCAATTTATTTTCCGGATCAAGAGCAAATTTGCAGCCTAGACAGAGTTCCGGTGTCCGACTGGATGTTTCTTCATCGTTGTTCGCATCTTTGGAAAAAGTATCATCTGGACAACTCAATCCACTGACACAGAATGAGCTCACGACACCCATGGGCGTAGCTTCGTTTTTTGTCGGACAGCTGGGGCCTAATACCCCATTCTACACACCTGGAGCGCCTTAGGGGAAACAAAATAGCAATCGTAATGATTTTATGACCTCTTGATATGATACTGATGTTTGTAGCTTGTAGCGAACTGTACCGAAAATGCGAGCAGGAAGTGTTTGCTCACTTTGGAAACTCAAACTCCCTCAGAAGAGGTGTCAGGTTTAGATTTTCCGGGACGGAGGCAACGTTTTCCGCTGTGTGTTCGTTTTGGTTCTCTTCGTAATCTGCTGGCTCTATTCTTGGACACGAAATATCCCAGTTGCTTCGATAAAATCCGAGCCTGCGAGCTTCCAAAGTCTCAGTGATAGTGTGTATAAGAGGCCCGAGCGAGCCGTTGGATTTCTGCCGCATGATAATACCGTGGATGCATGCAAGCTCGTCTAGCGCTAGGGCTGTATCGGGCGATCCTGGAGCAAATTGGATAAAGGTCTGCAGGGCGTTGGCGACTTCACTTAGCTTCACAATGACACCACTACCGTTGGTTTCAAATGCCTGGTACGGCATATCTTTCGTCTGGACCAGAAAGTCTTTCGCGATATGAATAGGATATCTTGGATCAAAGAAGTTGGCTTGATCACTCGTGGGCGTTAGAAGAAGTCGATCTCTAGCCATCAACCAGGCAATTGATTGCAACCAAGTTCGGGAAATTAGTATGTTGACCTTTTGAGACTGGTTGCGCACTTGAACGATGGACCTAGAGAGCTTGGTTTGCACGTCTTGGATCCACTCGTTTTTGAACAATAGGTCAAAGTTCTCGCTGAAAGGATCAAGTGCAGCAGTAGTGCGACGGAGAGAGTACTTGTTAAAGAAAGCGCAATCAGGAACACTGAACACTTGCGCAAGTTCGATGAATCCAGGTAACAGATCTGGGGCTTCATCGTCTTCCAAACTAGGAAGGGGCATCGTCGGCTCTAAAATCACGGGAAGCTGCTTTTTGAACGAGACATACCTCTCTGTGATGAGAAGCAAGTAGTAGATTTTCTTGAATCTGTGAGATGTATCTTTTGGCGATTCTCCCAAAACCTCGCTATCTCGAAGGTGAAGCATTTGTGCACAGCTGATTGCCTGTCGGAGATAGACCAATTCTTGCAGGTTGTCCTCATCAAGAGATGAAAAGTATATATGCAGGAAAAAGTTAGTTAGTACCTGATCCTCCGTGAGCATCCCGTCAAGGTCAAACATATAAATAGCTCTCTCTGCCTCCCTGACATAAGTCTCTGACGGAGGACAGCTTTTGAGTCCTAAGTGAGCCACTGTATCAAATTCTTCGCGGGTCCAGAAGGTGGTGTGTCTTGCAATAACTGCGCACAAGGCACATGAGAGAGCATACAACGACGCGTTGCCGGCGTTCAGCATGAAAAATGCGGTATCATTTATGTGGACTGAGCTTTCGTTGAGAAGATTCAGGCAGTCATCAACCGACAAGACTGGCCAGAGCGCATAGTATCGGGATTTATAAATTCTGAGGTACGGTCGAATCTCGCTGAGCGAAATTGAGCTTTTCTCACAGGTGGGAGAATTGATCAAGTCAGATCGGTTATCGAACGGAGTGGTCAATCGGAGGTTTTTGATCGCGCCGCTTCCTTCTACAAGGCTTTTAATAGCCTCTTCGGTCTTTTTATGGATTTTTCTGGGTCCAGATTTCTGTTTGACTCTGTTGTTTGTACACTCAATTCCATGAACGAAACAATTGGTGCATCTGCGATCCATCTTGAACTCAGCATCGCAGCGCACTCTTCTAAATGCGCATGCATCACAAGGTCGGATATACGGCCTTTTAGAATGGGTTTTTTGGCCAGGCGTTTGCTTTTTCCCACGGGTACTCACAGTCATAGAAGTTTCCCCAGAAAAATTAATTCTCAAATATATTGTACCTTTTATTATTTGCTTTCAATTTGTGGGGAAGTCGCGCCCAAAATGTTATCGTACGTAAAACGAAACTCCTCGATCAAAATTATATTTCAACCCCTAAATTGGAACAAGCACATGGGCGACCGTTACAAAATACTAGTCGAAGAGCATATTCAGTAAAATAACATCGCAGAACTGAAACTATACATCTCAAGCATTTAGACCTTAGCGGTGGTCGTACCGGCTTTCAGGTCGCCATCAACAACCTGTATGATATCCTCATTATTCAATTTTTTCAACATTTCGTCAGGGTTGAAAGTTTCCACCTGAGTGGACTTGAAGTCACGAGCACGGATGCCGTTATTGAATAAGATGTCCAGCTCAGCATACGTTCTTCCTTTTGTCTCTGGGAACTCGAACCAGACGTAGACCAGTGAGAAAACAGACAAGCCAGCCCATAACCAGGCCGATTTTGCTTTCCAGTTCCAAGCGGTTGGATTGAGCATGTATGGAGTGACAATCGAGACCGGGATTTGAGACAAGTTGTACCAATTTCTTGCGAGGGCAACTGTCTTGGCACGCACTGTCGACGATGGTATTTCTGCAACAGTACAGTAGGTGATAGGACCGATGGACGAGTCGTAGACAAAAGTGAAGACAAGAAGCAACGAACCAATTGCCCAGGATGCACTCTTGGCCGAAGAGAAGCCCAAACCTCCCACAATGATCAGGATGCATGTGTTGGTGCTGAGACCCAAAAAGAAGATGTCAAAACGGCCCAATTTTTGCGACAGCAGCCACGAGGCCAACGTTCCGAGAAGACCCAGCGCATATTGGATGATAGAGAAGGTGAAAGACATGCTTTTATCAAGTCCTGCCTGGATGTAGAAATAGGTCGAGTAGCCCATCAAGACGGATCCAGTGATATTCTGGATGAGCCAGATCATGGACGCAATTCTTGTTCTTCTGAAATTGCCGTGCTTGAAGCAGTCAAGGTACGAGACGTTGGATACTTTCGAAGACTCTTCCTTTATGGTGAGCTGCATTTTGTTCAGCATCGCTTCGGCTAGCGGAGCAACGTCGGGCACCTCTTGGTTTGGACTCAGCAGTCTCATGATGCTCTTCTTGGCCTCAGCGTCCCTGTTCTTTTTGACCAGCCACCACGGCGACTCTGGGGCTAGGTAGATTCCAATCACGATCGGAACAGGCCAGATCCACTGGATGGCAAAAGGAATTCTGTACGACCACTGGTTTGTCATGGTCATAGTGCCTCTCATCAAACAAGCAGCAAGCAACTGTCCGATAACCCAGCACGCATTAACATAAGTGGTGAGGTAGACTCTCAGGACCACGGGACAGACTTCCGAGGCGTACGAGACGGTAAGAGTTTGGAACGCACCCCAGACAATACCACACAGCAGCTCACCGGCAAGCAGCATCTGCACGTCGACGGCAAAGAAGATAATAAAGATCAAACCCACGACGGCGGCCATGAAGCCCATCAACGTACGTCTGTATCCCCATTTCTCAGCAACAAGACCGGCAATGTACAGTCCGATAATTTCACCGACGTAGGTCGACATGGAAAGCGATGTCTGCCACTTGGCCGGGACCTGGTACTCGTCAAGGTGAGGGTAGTATTTGCCGTATTTTTTGGCGAAAGGTTGCATCGAGTACAAACTGGTCAGCAGCTGGGTATCGTATCCCTCCATGATGATGGCTGTGGAAAGCACGATCGACCAGCCTGCGGCTTTCGGGAAGGTTTTCAGACCTTCCTTGAGCGACATTTGTTTCTCTTTTTTCTCGTTACTCTGGGCATTCGTCGAAATCTCCACGAATCTGGCAATGTAGTCGTTCAAAGCACCGCTCCCGTCATCACTACTATCAGATAAGGTGTTAACTTTTTTTGTGATGTCTGGAACGACTTCAACTTCTTCAGGCTTCTCGATGTTTTCGACGAACTCAGTCATGATGGATACAGATTGTCGAGAATGTATCAACTATATATAGTCCTAGTGCCAGACAAATATGACGTGGGGAGACGCTTGCCCATTCTGAATCCGGTCCAATTTTGGTGCGTGATCGCGGCCCCAGTTTGCTTCCAGAAACAGCTTGGAATAATGCTTTTTACTTTTGATGAATACTCGCGAGTACTCGTTTTGATTACCCCATATGCATTGTTGCAGTATGCAAGCACCAGTGCGAAATCATGCACTGAAGAATTTTGCAAAAGCATATAGCCCCGCGCTCTTGAGGAGGTGCATCTAGTGTAAGATCATGGAGATGTGTACTACATTGAGCTCTAGGGGCTAGAGAACCTTTCACTAGGCTCCGCCCTGGAGACCAAACTCTAGCAAGCTCTCAGCCTTGTGCATGAGATTCGAGCCATCAGCACAATAGGGCGCGCGCAGCCAGTTGCTCCACGAAATATCGCGAAAATAGAATTATGACGCATGGCTGAGATATTCTTGGCAGGCCGCATCTGCGGGGAAATAGTAATTGGGCAACTTTCCGGGGTTGGGTATGGGGCTTGAAAAAAAGGTTCATCATAGACCAAAACAATTTGGCTACGCACGCCGACGCTACGCAGCACACAGAGCCAGCTTAGGACGAGTTAGACGAATAGCCCCGCGCGTTGGGCGAATATTCCCACCCCACGGCAAAATGAACTACAGTTCCGTGTATGCGGATAGGGATATCTTCGGGAGTATCGCACTAAGAAGCAGGCACGATGCAGATTACACGACAAATCAGCTTTGTATTCTCTTCGGACTCAGCCGTTCCAATATATACTTGGGAGTTTTGAATCATTACAGTAAACACCTTGATTTTGTAGGTCGACCAGGAACTCCTTAGTGACGATTGCTCTGGCTTTCCTCCTGGCCTCCATGTGCTTGATGTGACTCCGCAGTGGCTGGCTAGGAGGGTAATTACGTCATTGCTATTCACTCATCGGCAGCTATTTCAGCGAGAATTAAATCTGCAATTCAATTCTCGCTCAAATTAAATTAGATCGTGATCAAATGCTCGCTGAAATAGGATCCTGTTCTGGGGTACATATAACAATCAAAAAACAATTGTGGACGTGCACGGGAGGTGGGGCCCATGACGCAAACGGAAGTCCTTTTTTTATTTTCGGGAAGTTGGGAGGGTACCAAAGCCTCTCGCTCGCTTCAGTAGAGAATGTCTTTAGTAAGCTCAAGCCATATAAAGAGCCTCCGCCTCCACAATTTTTTTAATCTCTCTTGACAATATTATTTCCTTATTATGACTATCGAGTCTCAAAAGCCTTGGTGGCAATCCGTCGTTGTCTACCAAGTTTGGCCAGCTTCCTTCAAAGATTCTAACGGAGACGGTATTGGAGATTTGAACGGAATTACTTCCGAGCTCGACCATATCAAATCTCTCGGTGTTGATGTGATTTGGCTTTCTCCCCACTATGCTTCGCCATTGGACGATATGGGATATGATATCTCCGACTACAATGCTATCAACCCTCAATTTGGCACGATGGAGGATATGGACAGACTGCTTGCCGAGATCAAGAAGAGAGGCATGAAATTGATTCTGGACCTCGTTATCAACCACACCTCGTCTGAGCACGCTTGGTTCAAGGAGTCCAGATCTAGCAGAGACAACCCGAAGAGAGACTGGTACATCTGGAAGGACAACGCCAACAACTGGCTTTCCTTCTTTTCTGGTTCTGCATGGACCTACGACGAAAAGACAAAGCAATACTACCTTCGCCTATTTGCTGAGACCCAGCCTGATTTGAACTGGGAGAACCCAGAGACTCGTGAAGCCATCTACAAATCTGCTCTAGAGTTCTGGTATGAGAAGGGCGTTTCTGGTTTCAGAATTGATACTGCTGGCCTCTACTCGAAAGTGCAGACCTTTGAGGACGCTCCAATTACCTATCCAGGTGAGAAATACCAGCCGGCTGGTCCCCTTATCAACTCTGGTCCGCGCATCCACGAGTTCCACAAGGAGATGTACGAGAAAGTGACTTCCAGGTATGACGCCATGACAGTGGGTGAAGTCGGTCACTGCTCGAAGGCGGACGCTCTCAAGTACGTCTCTGCGAAAGAGAAGGAGATGAACATGATGTTCTTATTCGACACAGTTGAAGTTGGATCTGACAAGAGCGACCGTTTTAGATATAATGGCTTCAGCTTGACCGACTTCAAAGATGCTATCATCAACCAGTCAGAGTTCATCTATGATGACGAGACCGGTGAACTGAACGACGCCTGGTCCACTGTTTTCATCGAGAACCACGACCAACCACGCTGTGTGTCAAGATTCGGCAACACCTCCAATAAACTGTTCTGGAGCAGATCTGCAAAGATGCTGGCACTGTTGCAGACAACCTTGACCGGCACCTTGTTTGTCTACCAGGGTCAGGAGATTGGTATGACCAATGTTCCACAGAAATGGGATATTTCAGAATATCTGGATATTAACACCATTAACTACTGGAACGCATTCAATGAGACGGAGCACTCTGATGAGGAGAAGGCCGAGCTGCTAAAGGTCATCAATCTACTGGCAAGAGACAACGCCAGGACTCCAGTTCAATGGGATTCTTCTGAATACGGTGGTTTCGGAGGTAAGCCTTGGATGAGAATTAACGACAACTACAAAGACATCAACGTTGCTTCGCAAAAGGATGACCCTAACTCTGTGCTGAACTTTTACAGAACTGCCATCAAGACTAGAAAACTTTACCCAGAGACGTTGACTTTTGGCCGTTTCGAGGTGCAAAATTACGATAACCAGGAGGTCTTCCATTACACCAAGACCAGCAACAAGGGCCAAAAAAAGATGGCTGTTGTTTTGAACTTTACTGATAGAGAGGTCGAATACCCAGTCCCTGAGGGAAAACTGCTCCTGTCTAATATTGCCAACAACATCACAGGCAAGCTGCAACCATACGAGGGTAGACTGATCGAGGTCAATTAGATTCTGCGGTCTAATCATGATATAAAGTTCAATGTTTTCTTTGTTTTATGAAACATTTAGCGGTTTGTAGAGCCTGGCGGGTATAGAGTAAATTCAATCTTTTCACTTCGTGGTATATTGGTTATGCGTTGGTCGCGACACGGTCGATCGACTTATAGTGAAATGTAAATAAAAAAATAAACCTCGCCAACCATTTGCTAAGATGGCTCGTTTAGCTAATAATCCGGCAGTATCCCGAGATCTTTCTGGGCATACGAAGCCAACAACATGCACAACTTCGGGCGTCTCATCCAACTCAATTGAATTGGATTTTGTGAAAAGGCGCTTCCTTCAACAGAACAAGGTGCTAGCCACGAAGAATTCAGAACTCATGGCAAGGATCAGTAAGTTGGAGGACCAATTGGCATCCGCCCAAAGCGACAATCTTTCTCTAAGAAATGCTGAGGTTAAAGTGAGGGATCACTTTGGGAAGAGTCTGGACTCACTGGAAATAGACGTCATCGAAAAGTTTGAGAGTATACTGTCGCAGATCAATCGAATGCGCCGCGAACTATCTGTCAGTGAAACTATAGCTGAAAGCCGACTAAGAGAACTAAAAGAGGCAAAGATACAAGAAATCAGGAATCGAGAACAGCAAAGCACGGAACGTTGGAAACGAAGGAGAAGAAGCCTTTCGATACGAGCAGAAACTGTTGACCCGCAAATGCCTGTCGTGATCCCAACCCCTGAACCTGAGCGCCCAGTTGTCAACGATCTTTGCACGCCAGATACCGTTGAAACCGAAAAAGCCACGCCCAAAGAGACCGTTCAAGAAATACCTAGACCTGCAGATGTTGAGGAAGTTCTGCATGAAGAGTTGCCACCTCGTCTGCCTTCAGACATGAATGGTTCTCCTGAGCTTCTGGCAACCCCTCCGCAATCAAAAGGAAGAGAAACGAAAGCAATTGAAATACAGAGCTCGTCTCCGGAACAGCTCTTGAAACCAAAACGCCCAATTGTTTTCCAAGACAATATTGACCCGCTCTCGATGCCCACTCGTGCAAGTAAGCGCAAATCTTTTTCGCCTCACCACTCAATTCGGAAGCTACGAAGAAAATCCATCATCGGAGATTCTTCAGACGCTAAGTCACGGCGAGCCACTATTATAGGAGTCAAAAGAAGCCGCAAAACGCAAAGGGAACCATTGTCGCAAATGGATTCGAATGTTCCCGCTCAACCGCAGAATCGGGACGAAACTCCAGCAGATTCGGTTTTCGAGTTTATGGAGACTACGGTCAATGCCGACCAAGAGAACTTGAACCGACAGCGTAGAAAAAGCATGAGTTTCCGTCGCACAGCTAGAGGTATAGAAGAGATTAATTAATGCGCTACACACTCATCTGCATCTTAATTGGCCCATGTGGATCGTAGTCCTTCACTTCAAAGTCTTCAAATTTGAAATCATCGATGGAGGTCACTTTTCTATTGATTTTCAGTGTTGGAAATGCTCGGGGATCCCGCTTGAGCTGCTCCTTGAGGGCGTCCACATGATCGCAATACACGTGCGAGTCACCCATGGTGTGGATAAATTCGCCTGGCTCCATATCCACGACGTGTGCGATCATATGTGTTAGAAGAGCATATGAGGCTATGTTAAATGGCACGCCAAGACCCATGTCACAGGAGCGCTGGTACATGATGCAACTAAGCTGCGGTTTGGAGTTCTTTGGGAAACTAACATAAAACTGACAGAAAACATGGCACGGTGGCAGGGCCATATCTTTGAAAGCCGGAGGATTCCACGCGCTCAAGATGATTCTTCTGTCGTATGGGTTGGTTCTGAGAGTCTCAATAATTTTAGCCAGCTGATCGTAGCCTTTACCTGTGTAGTCGGCGTCGCAGTCGACATATTCTGCGCCGAAATGTCTCCATTGGAAGCCATATACTGGACCGAGATCGCCTTCTCGTCTGTGGGTCAGGCCGAGCGAGTCAAGATACTCCCTAGACCCGTTTCCTTCCCATATTTTGACCCCCTTCTCCGTCAGTTTCTTGGCATCTGTCTCACCAGCAATAAACCAAAGGAGTTCGTGAAGAATACCCTTGAAAAACACCTTTTTGGTTGTCAGTAGAGGGAGTTTATCGTTCTTCAGCGAGAAACGTAGCTGCGGAGGAGCGAAAATGGAGTAAGTACCGGTTCCAGTGCGGTCCGGGCGGTGCTCGCCTTCGCTGATGATGCGCTGGCATAGATCAAGGTACGCCTGCTCTTCGGTATTTGCCATGAGAATAACGAAAACGTAACATCGAGATTTCGCGTTAGACGCGAAGCATCTCTGCACCAGACGGGCGAGGAAACGGGAAACCACATGAAGACTACTTTTCAGCCAGTTGGTAGAACACCCCTGCACCAGCTGCCAAGTTAACGGGTCGCACAGAGCTTGACTTTTATACCGGCTTCTATTGGCTGCTTGAAATTTTTTCGACTCGGTAGGTGCACAATTGTTTACTGGCCTTGGTGCGAGAGTGGCTCTGGTGAGAAAATTCCTGAGCGGTGGTTGGCCGGAAACCTCAAACTTTTTTGCAAAATATCTTTTGTCCTCAGACACTCGATAGAGCTTTAAGATGTATTCCCAACTTGGATCTTCGTTGCGGCGACCATTGAGACTCAGAGCCTTTTCTACCGCAAAGACTTCAGTGTCTTCCAACACCAAGAGAGTAGTGCAGGGTGTCATTGCTACTGTCGGTCTCGCTTCTGGTTATGTTCTTTACCAGGATTCCCAAACTGCTCAGGCCATGACTGCGGCCGAGCACGGTTTGCACGCTCCAGAGTACGGATGGTCTCACGGCGGTATGTTCGATACGTTTGACCATGCCTCCATTAGAAGAGGTTTCCAAGTTTACAGAGAGGTTTGTGCAGCATGCCATTCATTAGACAGAGTTGCTTGGAGAACGCTTGTTGGTGTTTCGCACACTCAGAATGAAGTCAGAGCCATGGCTGAAGAGTTCGAATACGACGATGAACCAGATGACCAAGGTAACCCAAGAAAGAGACCAGGTAAGCTTGCCGACTACATCCCAGGTCCTTATGCCAACGAACAGGCCGCCAGAGCTGCCAACCAGGGTGCCCTTCCTCCTGATCTCTCGCTGATTGTCAAGGCCAGACACGGTGGTTGTGACTACATTTTCTCGTTGTTGACTGGCTACCCAGAGGAGCCACCAGCCGGTGTCCAGCTGCCTCCAGGTGCCAACTACAATCCATACTTCCCAGGTGGTTCTATTGCCATGGGTAGAGTCTTGTTCGACGACCTTGTTGAGTACGAAGATGGCACTCCAGCTACCACATCGCAGATGGCCAAGGATGTTACAACATTCTTGAACTGGGCCGCTGAGCCTGAACACGATGAGAGAAAGAGACTTGGTGTCAAGGCTTTAATCATTGTCACCTCCCTCTACTTCCTGTCTGTCTGGGTGAAGAAGTTCAAGTGGACTCCAATCAAGCACAGAAAGATCACCTTCCATCCACCAAAGAAATAAACGTCAGCATTCCAAATTATAGACTAATGAGATTGTCCGTTCTGAGGAGCTTTGGTTCTTGATTGTCTATAACCTATGTATATCTATCTAAACTGACTATCTTGACCAGCGTCGATGGTTCTGAGTAGATTCTCGGGGAAACGAGATGCAATATTGCGAACGCTGCAGACTAGACAAAGCTGGTAGCGCACAATTGTGAACTTTCTGTTTCATCGAAAAGCCAAGCGCCCAATACCGGGTGAATAGCTAGAGGCATGATATTGGCCACCCTCGAAACTTGCAACCTTCGCTTCATGGTGTAAGGAAAAAAATTTTGTGAATTAATTTTTTTTTCCCTTAAGGAAGGAAAAACATCAGCACCATGACTGCTGATGTAAATGTCAGCACTGTCGTCAACGCCAATAATGCATTTATTTCTTTTCTGGACCACTTGCCCTGCGATATAGTGCGATCATTGTGGGTCACTCAATCCCTGAGCTTGAAGAACGAGGAGATACGAAGTCAGCTAGACTCATTGTTAAGGGATCAAAGACCGGGCAAGATCACAAAAGTAGAGACATTGCGCGATATCGCGAACTTGAGGGGCCTCCTTCTACGCAACTCGAGGGAACTTGTTGCTGAAGCAGAACAGTTGTCACAGATTTTGGCTCACCATCAAAGGTTATCCTCCAACGAACTACACCTAATGGACATTCTCAAGGATTCCAGAAACCAACAAAACACACGAACGTGGGAAGAGTTTACTCGCTTCAAACGCAAATTCGTCGCCACCGTTCAAGATGATTCTGATGCCGACGACGAGGATCCTCTGGCCCAGAAACGAGAAATAGTTCTCAGCGCTGGAGATAGTAGGGTCAAGAAGAAAATCAAAGAGAAAAAGGAGACGAGAGAGAAGGTCGAAAAGCATGAAAACCACACTCGCATTTCTATCAAGCTAGGAACAGAGTCGCCAGTTGCACCGACCCCATCGCCAGCTCCGAAAACACCGCCTCAAGAACAGTACTGCGTATGCCGAGGCCCAAGTATGGGTAAGATGATCGCGTGCGACAACTCATCTTGTCCGATAGAGTGGTTCCACTACAAATGCGTTGGGCTATACGCAGATCCAGGTGACAAACGCTGGTTTTGCAGTCCTGAGTGTGAACAGAAATATAAAAATCGCATCGCAAGAAAGAGACGCAGACGCAAAGCGTACTGAAAAATAATAGTTTATTATTTGTATATTAGAACGCAATGAATACCGCCACTAAGTTTAAGCTTCCACGATGTTCTTTATTGACAATGGACGCTTATGATACTTTGTACACGCCTCGAGAGCCAATTGCAGTAGCTTACAATCGTATCGCAGGCGCAATCAGCTCTGACGCAGTTATGGAGACGGGGGAATTTAAGCGACGGTTCAAAAGCGCATTCCAGAGCGTGTGGCAGAAATATCCAAACTATGGCAAAGCAGCACATATGCCGATAGACACTTTCTGGCGTTACGTTTTGGTTACGCTTTATGGTGGCAACTACGAGTTTATCGATGACATAATCAAGCATTTTGAGACACGAGAGGCCTACAAAGTATTTGACGATGTCCAGCCTTTTCTGAACTCAATCAAGAATTCAAAAGTTCAAACATGTATCGCCTCTAATGCAGAGCGAAGAATTGTGCGACTTATAATCGACGAATTTGGGCTCGGCAACTTTTTCAAACCGCAAGATATCTTTCTTAGCTACGATCTAGAGACATACAAGCCTGACAGCAGATTTTTTAAACTAATATTGGAACACGTACAAAGAAGAAATCCAGTAAGTCTTGACGAAGCGTGGCATGTCGGCGAAGACATGGAGAACGATGTAAATTGTGCACTTGACGCCGGTATGGGCTCTATCATGATCGACAGAGACCATACCTCCGGCCTTCTTGGCGACACAGAAACGGTGCGACAAATCGATCAGAAGTTTTTTGTTGTTTCTTCCCTTTTGGATATTAGAAAAGTGTTGAGTTTCACACAAGCATCCAAACAGTGAGCGCAATCACAATGGCCAAAACAATTCCTGTAATTATTCCGGCTGCGACACGATCCTTTGATTTGATTCTCATGGAGTTTGCGTTCAGGGACTCGTCATCCGCGCTGGTGCCCGCCTCGTTGTCTATGTTCGACGAACCGCCTCCGCGGGAAGAGCTGGTGCCATTGGTGCGGCGTCCTCCGTAGTAAGAATACGGAGCATCGTGCTTATCTATAAGCAGATTTTGGATCACTTCGAGGGCCGAGATTTGCTCACCGAGACCGTACCAACCGTCCCATCCCCCATATGCCCAGTTCATTCCACACGTGTGTCCATCGCTTCCTCCGCTACAGGACTCGGCGGCTCCTTTAGCAGAGGCAGTAATAATGTCCATAATCTTGTCATGGTATTCGGGAACCAGCTTGGCCGTTGCTCCAAGCATACGACTGAACACCGACTTGAACGATCTTTGGTCATTGTTACAAGTTCCTGATTCTTGACACTGGCGCTCATAAATGATCGAGTTGTTAAGGAAAGTTGCCGAGATGCCCTCGTAAAATCTTCCCACTTCAGTCAACCAACTTTGGTCCTCAGTATAATTGTACATGTATGCACAACCACCTATCAAGATGCCGTAGTTATAGGTCCACTCGGCTTTGGACAGGGTAGAACAGTTATCAGTTCCGATTTTCGCACCATCATAAACTTGGTAGCCGTTTCCGTTCAAGGAGATGAAATTCACATCTCTGAGCCAATCGTAAATAGTCTTCGCAGTGTCAGCATAGGTATCATTGGACGTGTATCGGGCTATTCTCGCAGCGATGTTGAACAGACCAGCGTTGGAGACAGAGTTCTTGTAATCGTAGCCCGTATTCCATGTAAAAATTTGCCATCTCAAGCCTCCACCACAGTTAGTGGTATCCCATCTGGACCACATGGTATTGTACACTGCTTGGGCCAGTCCCATCCAAGAAACGTCCTTATATTCTCCAGAAGGGTTGGTGAAATTTCTTTCAGCGGCCTCGAGAGCCGCAAGTCCCCAAAACGCTTGATCATCGTTACCCTCAGTTGCAGTCTGATTGGAAGGCATGTAGTCTTTATCTTGACCAATTTGGGCTAGTAAGGCGTCATAAATGATCGTCTCGTAGGTATCATTTTCGCAAAAATACCACGTGTCAATCAAACCACCAAAGACTTCTCCCGCAAGCCACCAGTAGTAAGGAGGTTGAAACATACCCACGGTTCCTCCATAGCGAATTCCTTCGTAATAGTCCATAATACCATCGACGATCAACGTGGCTGCATCGCAAACAGAATCTTGTGAAGTCGTATCCAGGTCAAGTCCCTTTACGGACCCCAGAAGAAGAGACGATAAGAGCGGCAACCAAATCATGATTGTAGCGATCGACTTCTGTATGCTAAAATCGTTTTGGGACTCTTAGTTTTTTTTTGTTTATGGATCAAAAACATCTTTTTATAGAATCGACGTAGACACGCAACGGTCGACACGCCGGTCGACGGCGGCGGGGTGGTGTTTTTATTAATCTTATCAAAGGAGGCAAATAATTAAGGGATAGCAAGGTTTTACGCTTTTGGGTTGACGTGATAAATACGGCTCGGTTTGACGGATTTGGTTTGTATAGGAGATTGGGATTGGTATTGAATGGGTTATAATATGAATAACGGGTTGTTTTCAGGTATCGACATTGCTGTCAAGGCGACAATTATCGGTGATGGCATATCACGGAAGCTGGTTTTCAGTACTGACAGAAATAAACTGCTGTCCAAGGAACAGATCATTAAGGAAATTCGCACTCATGCAACGGAACCTCAATTGAAGAGCACATTGACCTCGTGTTCGACAGAGGACATTGAATTGCAGAGGAAGAGTAAGAAATCAGGCCGTTATGTAGAACTTGCCTCCGTTGATGATTTTTCCAGTTTGAAAAGGAGTCTGACTGTGAAGAACCACCTGAAATTGAACGTGTTCATCAAGACTGTAGCTAAGGAGGAAAAAGAAGGTATCGATTATACTGCAGAGGTTCAGAAGATTCTGAAACGCATTGAGGATCTATTTAGCAGCAACGACAACAGAAATCTAAGAAATTTGAGCAACTCGATCTCCGACAATTTGAGCAGCTTGGACATTCTTAAGTTCTTGGGAAGCTTGGTGGACACCAATTTGTCCAAGATCATCCTGAGAATGAACGAGCCTTCCAAGAGTTCTGAATTCAAGTCTGCCTATATAAATGTTTTCTGCGACGGATGCGATGCTCACATTACCGAGACCCGGTACAAATGTACGCAATGTGCAAACTTTGACCTATGTTCGAATTGTGAGGCCAAAAATGTGGAGATCAATGGCCACACGAGTCAGCATCAGCTGCAGAGAATTGATCTTGCTTGCGAATCAGGTTCCGATCCGATTAACGAGACGTTACCTAGGATGGACATGGACTCCATGTCTCCATTGCTATCTATCGAATCAGCTCATGTTTATGATAAGAATGTTTCAGACGAGCTATTAAAATTGGGAGCAAACAATGGCGAGAAGCTCAAAGAGTTGACTTTTAAGTGCGCCCAGTTCGATTCTCTTTTAGAAATGGTGGACGCTCCCGAAGATGAAAAGATTGCCCTTCTTGTCCAACTGATCGAAGATCACAATATGTTGAAAACCTGCAACCCAGGTAGCATAGGCATCGAAGTTTCTTGCACGAAGCAGGATTCGGGGAATTTTCAGTTGGCCCTTAAGAATCGGCTTTCGCGCGATATCTTGAAACCCGAGCTCAAAATATGTGCTGGAGAGGTCAAGAAGACATTCATGATCACCTCAAATGTGTTTAAAAGCGGAAGTACTCGGTATGTGACGCTCGATGTTGCAGACTTGGGTGATCCGTTTTCCAACACCAATTCAATTCTGAACGGCAGCCTAACTTTCAGCACAGAAGTTTGGGAGGACCAGGCACTGGTCGCAAAGGGTGGCTTAGATTTCAACTCCGGAAAGGCCGTCTCTTTGCTTGTTGCTCTGGGTGATCTGAAATCCGTGCCTAGGGAACATATGGAAGAAACGGACAGCACCTTGAAAGAATCGGAGCCGGAATTCGTTATGGTGGATGGAGATCTTTCTGACACATGTCACTCAGCAGACGACACCTCATTGATGGATGAGTACGACATCCTTTCTTCTGCCGACTGTGAAGACTAAGGCCGTATATTTTTGTGTGGCTTTTACTGGAATTCGGTATTTTCCATAATTGAAAAAGCCGGAGATCAGAACGATAAGGATTTTTTTTCTTAAATATACAGGCAAGTAGGATAATGAAAAGATCGACATAATGTTTGTGCTCAAGAAGTTTCTGAATAGCTCCGACGCAACAGTCGACGCAGTCTCGAAGATTGTGCCGGTGTCAAACGAGCCCGCAACATGCGACGCGTCCGAGTGTCACACCCATTACTCTGCCTCTTGTTTCAAACTGTCGCCCGCTGCCGTCTCTACGCCACTTTGGGAGAGTGCCAAAGCTCCTGAATTGCATGTTTTGGTATCTACGGGTAAAACCGATTGGAGCCACGACCCGTTTGATGCTCGGAACACCGTATTGGCCAAAATCTCTCATACTGTCAATGGCATAATATCCAAAAATTTTAATCTCTCGACAAAGATCAACACTACTTCCTTGGCTTTGAATACTCATGAATTCGAGGCCTACAGCAAACAGGAGAAATGTGACGTGCTGCTCATGCCATACTTCGTGTGGTGCAAGGGCATCACCATAGACAACTGTGAAGCCGTTCTGAAAGAGCTAATTGGCACATTTGTCAATCAACAGCCGCTTCCAGAATTAGTGCATGACTGCATCATTGAGAGAGACCAGAGTAAATCATACATTTTGCTCTGTTCCCATCGTACAAGAGATAAGAAATGTGGCATTACTGCTCCTATCATGAAGAAAGAATTTGACTCCCAGCTGCGTGAGCTTGAGCTATATCGAGATCCTGGAGATGACAGACCTGGTGGAGTTCCAGTGATTTTCGTAAACCATGTTGGAGGCCACAAGTTTGCTGCTAATGTGCTTATTTATAATCGCGAGGGAGAATTCGTATGGTTTGCGCGGTGTACTCCTCTTAATGTCAAGCCAATACTACAAGAGACCATTGGCAAAGGAAAAGTATTCCCCGAGCTGGTGAGAAATGCTCGCCAGTATGCTGTCACGTGGTGATTCTTATTTATGTGTATTTGGTGTAACACAGCTGTTGAAGTACCTCAGTATGTTTAGTCTGAAAAGCGCCGAGTCTCTGGCCTCAGGAGCAAGATCTTCGTTCAACATTTTCTCCAGTCTAGCAATCTCTCGAGGAATGAAGTCGTAAGGGCCGTTGACTAGACTGTTGATGAGCTTCGTGTAATATCTGATTTCTTTGGCATATTTGTGCTCCTTCTTGAGATTGTTAAGTGCTTCTGTCAGTTTATTGGCTAGCTTCACACGCTCTTGTTTTGTCGAGCCAACAAATGTGGAAACCAGATCGTCCAAGGAGTGTAGCAGGCCAGCGTCTGGATGAAGTCCACCGTCCTCGGCTCTGGTGGTACCAGCTCGTTCGTTGACAAATTCAGTGAATGCTGCAAGAGTTCTTGGGCCTTCATAAATTTCTGGGTTTTGCCAGTCTCCATTTTTGATGTAGAGCAAGGTAGGGAATGAGCGAATCTGAAACTTTTCCTTGATCCACTCCGATGGCTCGGGATCTGTGACCTGAACTTGTCCAATGATAACAACGTCAGAGTCACCTTGGTAGATTTCTGCAAGTTTCTGCCAAGTTGGCTTGAGTCTCTTGCAATGGCCGCACCAGTCTGCGGTGACAGCAATAAAAGCATCTTTGTGCCCGACAATATCCTCAATGTTCAAATCATTCAGCTTCACCACGAGAGAAGGGGCAGAGCCAGGAGGTTTCACACCAGTGTGGGCAGAAATGAAGTTGGTGAAGGACTCCACAGATCTGGCGCCCTCAAACTCTATGGGATGCTGAACGTCGTCCTTCTTGAAGAGTTTTATCGTCGGGTATCCATCGATGCCATACTGCTTGCCCACCTTTTGGTGTTTGTCGGCGTCAATGCGAGCGATTTGTACATTTGGCTCTTTCTCGTAAGCAGTGGCCAATTCCTCCCAAACAGGTTCCAGCTTAGAACAGTGGCTGCACCACGAGGCATAGAACTTCACCAGAGTGTTTTTGCCCGAGTTCAAGACCAAATCATTGAAGTTGGACGTATCCAGCTCCACCACTGAAGCAAGAGCCGTCGTGACAAACAGGAAAATGGTAAGTCTTATTGTTGAGACGTACATTACAAATGAACGTTTGATTTGGGCTGTGCTAGAAAAAATAAATTTCATTTCTTCTGCCATGCCCTCCAGGACCTCTAATCTCTGCGAGCGCTGCGAGGCCAGCAAGGCCGTAATGCGCCGGCCGAAGAACCTGCAAAAGCTGTGCAAAGAGTGTTTCTTCCATGTTTTTGAGACAGAAGTCCATCTAACGATAGAGAAGGAAAAACTATTTCAGCCTGGAGAGACGGTGGCTATAGGGGCTTCTGGAGGAAAGGATTCCACAGTATTGGCTTCCATTCTCAAAACTCTGAACGAAAGATACAACTATGGAATTCATTTGGTGCTTCTTAGTATTGATGAGGGTATTGTAGGATACAGAGACGACTCCCTCGCAACAGTGAAGAGAAACCAGCAGCAGTATGAAATGCCTTTGGAAATCGTTTCTTACAAAGACCTATACAACTGGACGATGGATGAGATTGTATCATGTTCAGGGGTGAAGTCATCGTGCACATACTGTGGTGTTCTAAGACGACAGGCTTTGGACAGAGGAGCAATGAAGCTGGGAATTAGTCATGTGGTAACTGGGCACAACGCAGACGATATGGCAGAAACGGTGCTGATGAACTTACTTAGAGGAGATACCGCGCGCTTGGAGAGCTCCACCAACATCACAACAAAGTCCACAGGATCGCCAATCAAGAGATCGAAACCGTTCAAGTACTGCTACCAAAAGGAGATCGTTCTCTACGCTCACTACAAGAAACTCGATTATTTCAGCACAGAGTGCACTTATGCGCCAGAAGCGTTCAGAGGGACTGCAAGAGTGTTGATGAAGAACCTCGAAAGCGTGCGGCCTTCCTGCATTTTGGATATCATTTACTCGGGGGAGCACTTTAAACTGAAGCAGAGGAAGAAAAGACCGGGGCCTAAAACACCTGCTCTTCAAGACCAAGAAACGGAGATTCGCTTGGACGGTTCTGTGTCATTGCAAAACAACGGAAACCGTTGCGAAAGATGCGGATATCTGTCTACCAACAGAATATGCAAGGCTTGTCTATTACTTCAAGGCTTAGAACTGAGCAGGGCCAAGCTGAGTATTGCAGCGGACGCAGTTCCAAAAGTTGAAGAAGATCAACTTCAGCGTAGATTGCAGCATCTTTCTTTCTAAAACTATAAATAATACGATTTCCCCGAGACACCCTCGAGTTCCTCCAGTTGGTCATCGGTGAAGAATTTCGAATCGATGTGCCAAGTGTCCTGACGGTTCTTCTTGAACTTTGACAAAATGCTCTTGGCGGTTCTTGATATAACACCCTCATAACTAGAACATCTTCCTGCCACCAACCAGAGGATATTTGGCAGCCATTTCGGAGGAGGCGAAGTGTATGGGAATGCGTTCAATAATGCACCCAAGCCTAGCGTGGCCCCATGGACTAGATTGAGTTCATCAAAAGTCAGCTTCTTCCCCTTCACACGGCGGTGTGCATTGATAATCTCTGTAAACTTGGAAATGTAGCTCTCAATCAATGGTTGCATCTCGAAACTCATCGAACCGTGCACAATGGCAGAAAATACAGCCGCAGCCTGTTCCTTCACAGACACAGGGTTTGAGTACAAAAACGAAACAACCTTCTCAATTAGCAGAGCCCTTTGTTCAGAGGTAATGGTGAGGTACCGAACTGTGTAGTAGCTCTGAACAATTGTCAATAAGTGCTCTTTTTGCACCATATTTGGATGCTCTAATCCAAAATTGTTCACAATCAGATCAATGAACATCTTGGTCTGCTCCTCGTCGTAACGGATAGAAGCAATCAGGAAAAACATCACATTTGTATTCAGAGGAGCCAATTGACATACATCTTTCATAGTATCGAGCTCAAAAAGATGAGGCAGGATGTAGTCCTTGAGGTATGGTACAAGCAACACTCCATACGAAGTTTTCAGAACATACAGCAGCAGCGTATGTAGCCCACGAACGTGAAACATGTACTCTGAGTCCACAATCTCCTGAGTAGAAAGACCTCTGATCGTGGTGCTTAGTTGTTTCACTCTTTCGAGATAGGAAGTTAGACACTCAGCAAACACAGCAGGCATCTCAAAGGGTAAGAGACCCATTCCATTTGGGTTTTCGAAACAGGCTTCGAGCAGTTTCTCTTTATTGTTGAACGACTTGATGGAAGTGTATGACAACGTATCAAATAGGATAGCAGCAGATCTTTCAGAAACGATCTGATATGGATGTGATAGCGAGGCAAAAAATCTCCGAGTGACTCCATCAAAGTCGTGGTAGCGGTTCAATGCAGAAGACATGTATGATTTGAGGAATCCTATTCTGGACGAAAGATTGAAGGGGGATGTGTCACCCGATAGAGGAACCTCAAAGTCGCATATGACAGACACAACCTTAGGAGCTCGCCGGCAATCAAAATGAGCAGGTAGCCACCAGCAAAATACTTTCCAGATTTTGTGCGTGGATTGGGTGATGCCGGTCTTGAAGACCTCCGCCAGTTTTGCAGAAATTGCCTCATCAGTTTCCTCTAGGTGTTTGGAATTGTACTTGTTGGCTAGCAGCAGAGCGCAGTAAACTTCACTTAGTGCCACATGAGATTGTTTCTCCTCCTTGTTGTAGATCTCATTACAAATATCAAGCCACTCAGAGTACTTCATGTTGGGGGTGTAGCCATATGAGGATATGAGGATAATCAAGTAGAGGAAATAGACTAGGTCGGGCTGGAACTCTGCATTTGCTTCTCCTTCATCCATGTGCAACTTGAGAATTTCCAGGATCCATTGTTTGGTGACCAGCTGGCCAAAGGCCTGGATTGTCTCAGAGTCTTGTGAATTGAGGTTTAGCGATTCGACTGACTCATTTTTGACAACTTCCATCTCATTGTTCCAGCACAAAGTAGATATCCATAGCTTGTTATCTATGAAGAACCTCGGATGCTCAAAATTTGACATTTCCTTGAAAAATTCCTGTGGTTGGTCCATGCCAATGATATCGGAAATTGCGCACACGTTGGCCAAACGGAATGAGGGAGAGAAAAACCCTTTCAAATCATAGTTGATCGTAGCCCGTGTCCGTGTTGCATCCAGAATAGAAGATAGCCAAAGAATGCAGTCTTCGGTGATTTCTGGATGAACTCCGTTGATCGATTTGCCAAGAAGAACAAGAATTTCCCTGTTCAAAGGTATTTCAAGGTTCGACTGCACGTCGGCTAACAGCTCTAGAACTTTGAGTCTAAATTTCCAGTGGAGCTCCGCTTGAGAGCGTTTCAGTACGGAAAGCTCTAAACGCCTAAGACGGTCCATAATCAGATGTCTCTTGCGATCTTTGGCACATCTTAAAGCTTTCACCTGAAGCGAAACTGTTGGCGAGGCTGGCTTGATGAAGTCAACCAAGCTATGATCGATCATGCAAACAACACTTGGCACCAAAATATGGTCTTTCATGGAACCATATAGCTTCATCGCCAACGAGTTCACCTCTGAATCGTTGACTTCTAACGAACGTGCCAAAAGGTCTTCATACTTTCCGAAATTGTGAAGGCTTCTTTCTGCAAAACCTTTGAATTTCTTAACCAGAAAGAACCTCATCGCATTCTTGAGCCTCTCTCTATCTTCATTGAGCAATGCCACTTCCCACTCTTTGAAAATACCATAGACCAGATTTGTACAGTTCAGAATCTTGTTGAGGGCGGAACCTAGGACCATCGTAGCATTCTGTGCAGTTTCATTGTACCTGCTAGCAGCTAAGGAAACAAGATCTTTGATCAACATCTTGTCCGTATCCCCTGGAAGCCTCGAAGAGCGCGAGATCGACAGTCTGTTGCAATGATAAATAGCCAATCGGGCACCAATGACCGTTCTCGTGTACGGCGAGTTCACATGCGGGATGTTCAAGAGGTCCACTAAATGGATATGGTCAATGAAAAGGGGGTTCTTTGATCCAAAAGTACCGCAGCTTTCTAACCAGCACTTAATACAATGGACAACCTGTTGACAAAGCTCAACGGCACCGTCTTGTAGCATTAGGCACTTGACCAGTCCATGCAAGCTTTTACCGATTCTCTCACGAGCACGATGCAGCTTCATGTACGTCGGATCACAGTGATTTGTGAGCTGGTCGCGTCCTTCGTAGTGGTATCCAAAACTGTAGAGCACCGGAGGTCTCTCGGTGAGATAGCCAGCCAGACATTCAGGATCAGGCACAGCAGCAGGCGTAACAAGTCCGCTTGGAGACTCTGACTCTGTTGGAGGACTATTAGACTCCACCTCTGATCTCAAGCGGTACTCGCCGTCTGTATCCTCCATAGCTTCTTCATGTGACTCGTGGTCCATGTCACCCTCCAAAGTCTCTTTCATCAGATCACCAGTGACATCCCTGCCTAATTCTATTGGTTCGGGAGAATTCTCCATCTCGACGTCAACTTTCTCGTTAGACAACGATACCAATGAGGCGGAGGATGAAATAGCAGTGGATGAAAGACTATTGAACATAAGCTTGTTGGCACTGAAAGAGTCCGTACTAAAGTTTGGATCGAACAAAGTGCATATACCAGCCAAACAGCTTTCTAACAAGTTGACGTTGAATTCTATTCTGTCAGACATTGTAAGTGAGATCTTCTCATCTGCATCGAAAGCTTGGACAAACTCATCGATCTCAGTCACAGCCAACGAAGTCGTGAAATCAAAAAACTCAACAGCTTGCTCTATGCTCTTCGCCGAAGGAACATACCAGGAAAAGTCCAAGTGATCCGAGTCGAATCTAGATTTCTCAAATTGGAACCCTCCCCAGCAGCGTTCATCCACAGGTCCGTTCTTGTCGATCCAGGACTGAGGAATCAGCCTGCGTTCCAAAAGTCTTGTCAATGTAGTGCCTGCGAGGATTGATTCAGGAATGGTAGTGGCAGCAAATGCGGCCTCACCTCTCAGTTTGATGAGTCTGTTGGAGATCAGATCCCTCATCTCGCTGAATGTTTGTTCGTCGAGCTCGCCGGCCCCAAGAAGAGAGCCAGAAAGGAGCTTAAGATACCATGTGAGCCGAGCGTCCTTGGCGAGGATTTCCTGTGTGCGTGTGGCACCCGCACCATGGTCAATTTCCTCATTCACCTGCTCCACCAAGTACTGGTAGAATCTAGGGAATTGATTTGCTGGGTCTCTTCTGATGATGAGTTCAATGATGTTGAAGAAAACGATGGCGACCGAATGTTGCACATTGTTGCTGATATATCGGTAAAAAGAGTCGGCTAGGATATTGTACATCTCGTCAGATAGTGACTCGACCAATGAGTCAAAAGTCTGTGAGATATAAACACTAGCCCGCGTTTCCACTTGTCCATCATCCTCGAGACTGGGCGATAGTTCCAAATATTTATAGCATTTCTCAGCAAACTCTTTGATAAAGTCTCCAAAGGAGGATGAGCTCGACTTGAGAGCTTCTAGCTCAATGTCAGGATCAAACACGAACTGGTCAGGAATTTCTTCACCGTAATATAACTGGCGCGGAGCACCTTCATAATACTTTGCCTCCAAGTGTGCCAGGTGTTGCGTTGTGAAGTCCAATGCCACAAGGCCTCCGTCGCCTTGACCCTGACTCAAATCTGAAATAGGCACAACAGCAGCAACGGACTTAATGAACTCCAACGTGAGAATCGTTTTTTCAGGATCATTGGAGTCGATACCGGGAACAAGCATCGAGAGAAGTCTGGGGATGTGGACACGGTAAACGGGTAGTTGAGCCATATACCTCACTAAAACTGTCAGCTCGTGAAGAACCACATTGATTCTGTGGGTAGAGTTGACAGATTCAAAAGAATTATAAATGTCCAATAACACATCGTCCAGAATCTTCTTTGGATTGATGAAGGCTAGTATTTCCAAAGCAGTAATATACCTCTTTCTCTGCGAAAGAGACTTAGATTGGACTCCAAAGTGTATCAGCGGCAAGAGCATGTCAATAAATTGCTCCGTGATTTGAGGCGAGAGTTTGATGTCTTCTGGAAGCTTAGAGTAGTCGTCCAAGTATGAGTAACGAAACGACTTGTCTTCGTTTTCCTCGAGCAGTCGAATGTGGTACACAACGACCATTCTCTTGACAGCCTGGGATAAAAGAACGGACCACCCACCCGAATTGGAAGGATGCACCAAGGTATGCAAAGCTCCCCAGAATGTTTTGAGCAAGTCCATGATGCCGTCCTTCTCAAGCGCATGTTTAGAGGTCATGGAATTGATAATCATTTCAATTAAGAGTTTGATGTACTGTGAATTTCTCTCATCTTTCCTGAATGACCTGGAAGTTAATAACAACTGATTCATGATGAACTTGAATTGTTCCTCGGTGAAGACACCGTACTTGCCCATGATGACTAGGCTGGGGTCGCTGGATAGAACCTTTAGCACCTTATCGGATATATTGGCGATGACATTTAACAGAGAGGTAATTTCTGGAGTGAGGCGTTGAGATGTCCAACACGAGAAGAAGAATGGCAAGTAATGTCTTATATCCCTATGGTCGTAGAAGACACGCTCCTCTTTGAGAACGGGCTTCTTAAGCACAATTGGCACCAGCACAGCCATTTGAACAAACGAAATGGAGACTGACTGGTTATTGTACCTCGACATGATCTTCTCCATAATCTGAGGGACACTATCCTCGTCGAAGAAAGTGTTGATCTTACCGGCAAACTTGACCAGGTGACCAAACCTGCGGTCGTCACTGAAATGAGACGAGCCACTTGCATCAGGCATGATGCTGTTGAGTTCTTCATATAGCGGTTTCCAATCCAGGCGGAGACCCTTTTCGTACAAAATGTCCTTCTCTTTCAATAAGAGAAAAACAACATTCACGTAAAACGGTATGTTGATCTCTTGTCCACGAGAGAGAATCACGGCGTAGAAAACCTTGACCAGGGCAATGTTCAGCGTTGCAGGAATTACCAGACCCATTCTCAGTAGATTCTTCAGCTCTTTAGTCCAGTGCTTAAGACTGATTATGGCCGCAGATTTGACGTGCACATTCGGCACCGGGGTAGATGCAAATTGCTCACCTTCCGCGTCCGAGGGATAGCTTTCGTCATAGTCCTCGTACAATTCGTCTTCATCGCTCTCTGCATCTTCGCGCTCGCTTTCCGTTTGGTTCAAAGTCTCATAACAGTCTTCTTCGTGTTCCGTTGATTCAACGTTGGTGCTGTGACTGAGTATCACAGATTTTGCTTTCTCAAAATCGGACACACTAATGCTAAGATTTCCTTTGAGATCTTCGCTCTCAATAGCAATATACAAATGTTTCACAATGTGACTCAAGTACTGATACTGATCTCTAATGCTCTCCGTCTTGTATGGGAGCAACTTTTTTGGGTTGAGCTCCTTCTCGACTCTGGTAGCAAAAAATGGCGAGTTCTCATCCAATTGAAGCCTGATCGTCTCATCGTCGTCGTAAGGAACATCCAAGCCATAGTTAATAAGTGTTTCTGTCTCCTCAGATGTGTCGTATTGCTTAGAAAGTCCTGGAACACTCGCATTCTTCCTGCTGTCAGGAAACGTGTGGTGCAAAGAGGAGTTCATGCGGTTCATGTTAGATGCTGAGACAGATCGTGAAAGAGGAGAACTTTCCCGGGGAGAGTTCATCAGATAACTCCTTATTTTACTATAGTCTGTCATTTTGCAAGCTGTGAATTCTGATTTCGGCCAATTGATTAGCAAAAAAACCAGAGTATATCCAGAGCTAGCGAGGAGTCACCTTATGGACGTCAGCTGCGCAAGAACACAAATTGAGCTTCGGGAGCTGATGACTTCTAACACTTAAATGGCAAAAAAAAAACGCCCTTGAATCTGATATTTTTCTAATCTTATGTAAATGCTTATCAACAAAAAAAAAACATAGCTGGTCAACCCCCGACGCCCGCAGCGAATGCGACAGCCCAGAGACGAGACATTCCATTGTCGAGCCATTTGTATTGGAAATCTGGGGCTGAAAAAAACTCGTACGATGATTTTGGGTCGAACAACGCCCTGTTCAGCATCAATATGCCTTTCCAGCCGTCGTCCAGGCTACCAACCACAGAGCTCAGCTGCTCGTTCCATTCTTCTTGGACAAACTGCGGATCCCGGATATAGGACGAAATCGGAGTGATTGGAAGCATGTGGATGCCGTGAATGTACTCTTTGTTCATGCCGAAGTACGTGGCATGGTCGATCTTGTTTTCAAAGAGTATACCCGACACTTTGTTGGCCTTGAAGTTTGCAGGAACCACAGTATTGTCCGATCTGTACAGCATGTACATGTTCATGGCTCGTTTTTCAATCCCCAAGATGAGGCACGCCAAATTGTCCAGCCGGCTGTTTCCGGTAACCACACCCCAGAGCTTTATCCCGTAGTAGCAGTGGTAATCCTCGCTGCTACTCTCTTCGTCTTTTCCATCTCCGTGTGCAAAGAGACCGTTTGCAAAGCTGTGGCCGTTGAAAAAGTCAAAAGACCGGAACACCGGGAAATAAGGGTCTTCGCTGCTTGGGTTGGCAACGTCTCTGATCAGTGTCTCAATCCAGGCTTTTGAGAAATTGAGGAAAGAGTTGTCCCCATAAAATCTATCAGCCAGAGCCACGAGAGCTGCTGCGTGGATATGGTACCCGTAGTGGAAGTGATGGTCGTTGTAGAAACAGTTTCCAAAGTCAACGTAGAAGTTCCCGTCGCTCAGACCGCCGGTAGATACCACACCTTTCCAATTGGTCTCGTAGACCAAGGGAGCCTGCTGCTGGTTGGACACAAATCTATGGAAAGCGCATTTCATCTTGCCGAGCTGTTTTCTGGCGAGCCCGGCGTCCTTCAGAATAAATGCCACCACATATAGCATGAATGCGCCTTTGTCCAGGATTTTGCCCGCAGTGTACATGGAGTCTGTGTTGGAGGCATTGACAACATCAAATGAGTCGACCTCCTCGTTCGCAATTTGTCTAATGCGGTCAAGCTTGTCTTGAGAATAGCCTGTGAAGCCGTGCAGCTGAGACCACGGCTCAAATTGGAGCTCTGCCGGGGGCAGCTGCTCCTCCATGACAAAGCGCGTCGTCAAATAGGCTTTCATCGGGCCCTTGCATGTGGAGTCCAGAACCATGCTGACGGCCTCCGAAGCAGTTGACTGGTCGAAGGCGGTATACTGGTGCGGAAGAGCCCATTGGATGGTCTTGCCGCTGGCAGAGCTACCCTCCAACTTGTACTCGAAACAATATCTTCCGGCTCCATCAACGCTGCCTGAAAGCGTCATGTCAACCACGTAAGCGCCTGCCGCCGCGTCGTACGGTCGCTCGTCGCCGCTGAGTTTGGCGACTTGCACGATTCCTGGCACGGTTCCAACCACAGTGTTCGGGTCTGCTAGTTGCAGGTCTGCCGAGGAGTAGATCACCCAGTTGGTCTGGTCAAACAGCGTAGCAACATACTTCCTGAGTCTGGAGGCTCCCCTCTGCTGGAAGCTCTGTATCCCGACTTTGCTCTTGATCATAGGGCTGACATTATCGTAAAGTGCCGTCACAAAACCCATGCCCTGCACCAGCTTGCTGGACATGCTTCCGTTGGAGCAGGTGAACTTGACACCGCAGCTAAACCGCTCACACTCGCCGACTAGCAGCTCGTGGCCACGCTGGAGTTGCTGCGAGGTCAACAGCAAAGAGCAAATGCCAACCGGATTGAAGAAGTACTTGACGGGGTTGGCATTTGGGTCATCGCCAAACACTTTCTGAGAGTTGTCGGTGTGCGAAATCCCGAGCCCGATAAAGCCCGGATCCTTGCTGTACCACACGCTGTATGGATGTGTCCACACTGGAAGCGTCTGTTCGCCGACCAGCAGGTTGCCATAGAAGTTGTTTGTCTGGATTGGCTTGTCCTGCTTGTAGAACCTGGGGAGCGGGACCGGATGGACAGATCCGGAGGGCAGGGCCGGGGGCTCGCACGAGATGGGGCGAAACAGGTCGTTCGAGGCCTTTGGACCCCCTCGGGCCGCTATCTGCTGTCTTCCGTAGTCCCTTGGCGGAATTGGTGGAGGCATTGCAGGAGAACTTCCTCGGCTGTGTAATTTCAGTAAATATTTGGGCACAGCCTGAAATATCTAAGAGAATTCACATGAGTCAGGTAGTCAAGATCTGTGGACTCAAGTCTGTCGCCGAGGCGGAAGTGGCAGCTAGCAGCGGGGCGCATCTGCTGGGAGTGATTGTGGTGCCGAATAGAGCAAGAACCGTGGACCCTGAGCAGGCGAGACAGATAAGTCAGTTGTGCAAGGCGAGACGGCGGTCGCTGGGGCGCGAGTTTGTGGACTCCAGAAAACTCCTTGAGCATCTACGAAAATCAGACGCTAAAGGGCCCGACTGGTTTCGGCACTGTGCGCGGCTAATCATCGAGAACGGGCCATACTTGGTCGGGGTATTCAGAAACCAGCCTTTGGACGACGTCGTGAAGCTGTCGCAGGACCTGGAGCTGGACTTTGTGCAGTTGCACGGGTCAGAGGATTTTTCGCTCTATGCTAATCACCTTGATCTGCCCGTAATCGCCAGATACGTGCTCAGCAAGCCCAACATAGCAGAGGCTACCAAAACGCACCTACATGTACTTCCGCTGCTGGACTCGGAGCTCGGGGGCGAGGGCAGGGTCATCAACTGGGAGGACGCCGAAGAGTTTAACAGGCAGTACGAGGGCGTTTTCCTGCTGGCAGGCGGCCTCAACCCAGACAATGTGCGCCTGGCGTTGTCGGTGCAAGGATGTCTGGGGGTCGACGTGAGCGGCGGAGTGGAAACGGACGGGGTGAAAGACCTTGACAAAATTAGGCATTTCATTGCCACTGCCAACTATGTAGAGAGACTATGTAACTAACCAGAGATGAAGAACCACTTGTCAATCGACTTGTCAATAGGAGCAGCCGGTTTAGGATCGGCAGCTGGGATGCCAGCGTCTGCGGTGGTAGCACTGTTGTTCAAGGTGGTGTTGGTGAGCTCGATGTCCTTGACAGTGCTCTCGCCAGCGACCAGCTTCTTCCAGGCGTTATTACACTCGGCAATGACCTCCTCGGCGTACTTCTTGTTCTTGCATTCGCCGGAGAAAGCAAACTGGTTCTCTGGCTTTCCGTCAGGAATCTTGTAGATTCTGAACCACTCGTTGGTGGCTCTCAGAAGACCAGGCAGGTGCTTCTCGACATCCTCGATGTCGTTTAGTTTAGGAGCCAACGGGTCGTTGACGTCGATGACAATCACCTTCCAGTCGGTCTCACCCTCGTCGAGCAGAGCCATCACACCCAAAACCTTGACCTGCTTGACCTGACCCGGGTACGACACAGCCTCGCCGATCTCGCACACGTCCAGTGGATCGTTGTCGCCAGCGGCCCTGGTCTCTGGGTGGATCACAGTAGGGTCTTCCCAGGTCTGTGGGAAGGCACCGTAGTTGTGGATGTAACCGTGGTGGGGGAAACAGTTTCTCACAAATCTCAATTTGCCCTTCTTGGTATCCTGGATGATCGGGTTCAGCTTCTGCTCCTTGGAAATTTCAAGTTTGGCGTTGGTCCATCTTGGAACCTCAACAACCATGTTCAGAATTTGCTTGCTCTCATCAGCATACAGCGGGATGTCGTGGAATGGCGAGATTGGCTTTCCGTCCTTCTCAAGGTACACCTTGTAGTCCAGGGTGTTGGCAGCACCAATTTGTCTCACAGAGTAGGTCATTCTTGGTATTGAATTTTTACAACTTGTCTTTTTCTCGAATATGACGGTGGATGACGAAAAAACTACACCTCAAGCCAGCAGGAATAAAAATCAGCTCTGGATTACTACCATTAATACACATACCGCAATTAGGAACATTAAATCTCGACAACACAAGGAAAGCTAATTGGGGCCTCATCAGGCCTTCTGGACATCTTTATAGTCTGGTGGGGGGCCAGTGTACCGGTTCTTTCCGTTGTCTTCCACAACGGCGTTCTCATCGCTGATCAGCAGCTTGCCTTGGCAACGCTCCACAAAGCTTCTGCTCAGGCCCTGGCTGTCACGCGCGATCCAAAGGTATGGCTCATCCACTGAGGCAGCCGGATCTTTGAACGTCAAATCCTGATCAGGAACTGGGTCCTGCCACGAAACAGGAAGAATCGACCTGACGTAGTTGAAGCTCAAGTAGGTTCTTGGCTTGAAGTATCTGTTCACGTATCCCTTGACGAAAGACGGACTAACGTAGCGTTTCGCGTCAAACTTGTTGACCTGCTCTTCTGTAATATTAGCCTGGTTAAACGGCCTCTCTTCGTTGTCCAGGGTTGCAATCTTCTCCAAGTCGGTAGCAGCAGTAGGGCTGTCGCTGGCCAACGATTGCTGCTTAGCGCCTCCTTCGTACTCAGAGAACTTAGACGACTCAGAGCCGTCAGCAACGAAGTAGTTCGCGCCTTCTTCCTGGATTTGACGAAGGCCTTGGTCGCTCATTGGATAAGCGCCCACAACGCCTCCGTTGGCCTCTTTCATCGCACCAACTGGCACGGTGTCGAGAAGAGGCTCAAATTTCCATCTGCAGTAAAGATGCGCAGCAACGGTAGCTGCCAACATCACTGCCTCCAGAACCACGCACGCCCAGTTCTTTGGCATGACAAACAGGGCAATTAAACAGAGCTCGGCAAGATACAAGCCCACAAAGACTTCGAACAGGGCCAGTGGGTAGTTGCGGCCGCGGTTATCAACACTGCGATCGAGAACGTAGTTCAGATTGTAAAGATATGCGACATAAATGAGGAAATACGCGATGGTGGTGAAGGCAATGATGATGGGCGAGATGATCGAGTAGACAAGCATAATGACCGTGAAAAGACCGAAAGCAGCGTATGTGGTACCCCACGATGGAGTTCCCAAAGTGTGGTAGCGGTTCCACTTCTTTCTTGGTGTGCCATCAAGTATTCTTCCAAGGAAGAAGGAAAGAATCAAACCAACTATTTGGGCCAAAGCACCAGAGCTGATCGAAAGACCTTGCAGCAACATGTACGAAATGTAGAAGTTGGAAGCAGCAGGCAGCTTTTGACCAAGCAAAGACATAGCCTCCGATGGTTTCTCAATGACCTCAGACACAGAAGACGCAGCAGCAGAGGTACATGTGGCAACTAGGAAGACCTGAACCACTTGGAAGCCGTAGTACCATTGCTGAGTCCAGAAGTCAACGTTTTGAGCTGTCATGCATCCGCTGAGCTTACCCATCTTTCTGATGAATGGTGGGAGCAACATCATCAGCACAGCAAGAGCAATGGTTGGAAGCAAAGCTGTGATGATACCCATAAGAACGGATGGCATGTTGTTGATGAAACGCAAGAAATGCACTTTTTCAGTTAAGTAGTTGATGTTGGAAATTGCGCCAACAACGGCCACCGGAATGGACCAGAAAATAATGGTCAAGGTCAGGACAGTGATTGCAGTGGAGCGCTTACCAGCTCTCACCTTGGCGGTGAGACCAGAATTCTCCCAAACAACATCGTCAGGACTAATAGAAGTGAATCTTCTCGAGTACTTGAGCTCTTTAGAGTATGGCACACCCTGGTACGCTCTTTGCAGCTCCAGATGATTGGCGAATTCAATGAAAACGGAGCCAGTCTTCTCGAAACCGTCCGGATACTTCAACTGTTCATCGTTGATTTTCTTGTTGTAATCACCAATTTCATCAATTCCAGTAGTGAACAGAGACTTCTTCTCCCCGTAAAATGGAATCCGAGAGTCCCTGTAAGTTGGAAGCTTCTTCTCTGGAATGTAGGAGGTGATTTCGTTGGCTGGTTCAGGAACTGGCTTGTTCTTTTTCACAGCTTTAGCTCTGAGCTTAATAGCCTTACCAACGACCTTCACGATGCTGTTCTCAAGTTTGCCAGAGAGCTTTGTTCTCTTCTTGACAAGGTCTTGCAACTCCTTAGTGTCTCTAGTGTACCAAACGTTGACAGCAGCTGGGAACAGTCTGTGCAAAGTGTCCTCGTCTAGCATGGAATCTGGAACATTGTCAATAAACAGAGTTTTGGAGGAAATCAAGGACGAGTATAGCGGAGTGGTCTGCAAAGCGTGTCTGAAACTAGTGTAGTAGATCAGCTCTTTGTAGATTGTGTAAATGACCAAACCGAAAAACAGCCAGGAGCAGAACACATGAGCAAAGGATCTCCATTTTCCAACATTGTTCGAGTAGGAAATGATATCAAAGCCTTTCTGGTGAGCACCGCCAGTTGCATTGACGGAAAAGAGCACTGGCCATATGAATAAACCACCCACGATTCCTAGCGAAGCGAAGGTCAATATGTAGCGCAGGAAAAAATAACCGTCGACGCCAGCCTTCTCAATGATGTAAGATTCCGGTTTGGAGAGAATGAACGTGATCCAAGCAAAGGCGCCTCTGGGTTGTGGGTCCGCCTTGAGTCTGCTAGGAACAGTTTCAACCGTAGATCTTGGCTGGTACACTCTTTTGAACTTGTCTTTGCAGACAACAAAGACGGTAAGAAAAACAGCGAATATAATCAAGTTCAAAATCAGTGAAGACACGAAGGCCGACACAGACGAGCTTTGAGTCTGCGAAGCCATGACTGTTCGGGAGACTTTGAACTAAATTAAGCGAAAAAAAGATTGCTCTGAATATGTATGAGAATATATATATATAGGAAGGTTTTGTTTTTGCTCTGAATATGTATGATAATATATAAATAAAGGAAGGTTTTGTTTTTTGACGTTAATGCCGGTCGCTACCAGCCACTACCTCTTGAAATCTGAAATTGTATTGTTCTCAAAAATTAAAGTGTCTTAATAGTGGCTTTGCTTGGGTTTAAAACGGTAATCTGGAACGGCTCCTCTGCAGTACTTTGTTCTGAAAGTCATCAAGATAGATGGTATCTAGCTTGCTTCCTAAGCTTAGCAAACTAAGATGTGGGATAACTAGCTGGTCGCCTCATGCCTGGACACCAATTTACACCGAATGTCATGCATAGCCACTCGATTTATGCAAGGAAGTACGTTTTTAAAAAGATTTCGCATGCATAATAGTGAGAAACATTAAACAGCAGTAAGGAACACCTTCCAGAACGTAACACTGGCTGCTGTTCTTGCAAAACCAGGAAGACAGCTGCATCCAAGCCTAGTTCTATTGTCAAATTGGTTCATAGCTTACCCAGCAACGAGATGAACAATACCATGCGCGTGTCGATTTTCTTGCTCACTTGGCTCTTGCAGCATATAAGCTAAGCAATTTTGGTACGAATTTCAGGTGAAAGTTTCCCTGACCAGCGGTGTTCGGATGTTTTCTTTTCGAGTGCCCGAATTGCTGGTTCTTCTAACCAGCCACCATCGCCACAGCCAACCCACAAACTTTGTTTGACTTTTTTGAAGTCAACGTGCTTGTTAATATAAACAGATAAGATAATAACCTCCTTTGTCACGACAAACAATTTGGACTAAGTCCAGGGCATTGGTTCAACAAGTTTCATTTTCAGCCCTCTGACAATATGAAGGTAAGCGTGCACGCGAGTTGATTGCTTTTCCAGTAACTAACGGCCCAGTACATTGACGAGTTTGACATCGAGCTTGTCAATCAAGCGCTCAGTTTTGACACAACCGACATGCACATCCAAGGAACGGTTGACCTCTTTACCACTAAGCCAATTGGCTCGGATCGCAAATTGTACAAAACTATCGACCGCTTGTACTGCAACAGCGTGCAGCAAGATAAACAAGCGGAAGAGAAAGGCAGGGCTAACAGCGATGTTTCGATGAGCAGTTCGCCGCCTAAAGACGTGTCATACATATCTCCTGAATTTATCCGTTTGAAGAAGCGCTCGTCCAGCTATTCGCACCCGACCCCGAAATCGACTGCGCGTTCGCTTATTCAGAAAGACCCGGTCCACAAGTCGCGCTCTCGCTCATTTCATTCGCCATATATGTCCCCTCCGAAGTCACTCCCGAAGTCCAATGGCTTTGATAAACTACTGAACGAGGAGCTGGACAAAATACCCATGTTGGACGACCAGTATTCACCGTTTGGGCCTCTCAGCCAGCAATCGTCGAGACGGCTTTTTGCGTACCTCATTGCTATTCTGAACTCGGTGTACCCGGACCACGATTTTTCGAATGTCCAGCCAACGAATTTCACGCTCTTACCTTCGTCCGCAGAACTGGTGCAACGCATAAACTCGCTCCTCATATCGCTTGGCAAGTCGTCGGGACTCAGCTGGATATGGCAGACGATAAATACTCATATGGATTTAGATGACTGCACATGTTTTCAGTACGAGCCGGCGCAGTCGTTTCTGAATGACTTGCCGGGCACTTTATGGTGCAACATGTACTTTGCGTTCAACAAGAAAAAAAAGCGTGTTGCCTTTATCAATTTTTCAGCCACAGTGTTGCAAGACACAGAGACTGCGATCACGTATCGCAGGACTAGCAAGGTGGGCACGCTCGACGAGGAAGCTGGCAAATTCGATGAGACGCAAGAGGAGTATGATTTGCGATACTCCCTCGAGGGATCTTCGGAGGCTATCTACGAAGACGTATTTGAAGACGACGACTACGATAACATGGACGAGGAAGGAGACGAGTCCTCTGCTAAGGTCGCTGGCGATGTAGAACTAGAATAGATCCTCGCTTATATGTAATAAGGCTGTGCAGGGTGACGCGCAAGATGAAGAATAATTTAGGGAAAAAAAGATAGCTAGCATGGATCTCGCTGCGGAGGTGGGCCATTTTGCGCTCCTGGACGAAGAACGATTTGAGTCCCTTGTGAATGCGTTTGAGGCTCAGGGTGTTACCTCCCAGGAGCTTCTGCTGTGGTCTGTGCAGGACATTGCGAAGAAGATAGGACGCCCTGAACAAGACGTGAAGGCATTTGTTTCGGACCTAAAGCAACATCTTCAGCAAAGTCTCCCAAAACCACAAAAAATTAAGGACAACATTCCGCAGCAGGCCTGGTTTACCACTGGTGATGAAAAGCTCGATAAAGCTCTTAATGGAGGCATTCCGTGCGGGTGTCTCGTGGAGATCAGCGGAGGCTCTGCGACGGGAAAATCTAATTTCCTGATGACGTTAAGCATGACCAGCCAGCTGCCGCTTGAGTTTGGCGGGCTGGGGCCGTCACTGTTTGAGGAAAGGCGAAAACCCGTCCAGACCATGTACATACCTACCGAGAGCGCGCTGAGCACAAGGCGTCTGAGCCAGATATCCAGCCATTACAAGGAGCTTCTTCGAGCGAACGGGATTGAGGAAAGTGCGGTATATCCACAGATGGAAAACGTGATCACCCCGTCAATTGCCATCTCTGACCTCGAGCGCCAAGACCGGTGTATTTTTTTCCAACTACCATTGCTACTTCAGCGAAATAAAAATGTCAAGGTGGTGATACTGGACTCAGTCACACACCATATCCGAGCCGAGCTGCCTGTGGAACAACGACGGTCGTATATTATCAAACTCGGGCGGTTTTTGCGGAAAATGTGCAACGAGCACGACGTGACTGTCATTGTGTCAAACCAGATGACAGACAAGCCGTTGGGGGACATCATCAGTGACGAGGTATTTCTCAAGATGAACGCAGACTACCAGCTGGGCTGGTGCTATGGCTGGGACGAGGTCGGGATCGTTTATCGCCAGCTGTGCTCGCGCAATAAGCAGGACTTCGACACCTACGACGAGATAGACTACTCAGAATATTCTGGAGACTCGAGCACGCAGGAAACGTCTCAGAGGAGCTCCACACCGATATGGGACCAGCTCAAGACCGAGCGGAAGAAAATGTTCGAGTCCAAATACAGGAGTAAAGTGTCCAAAATCAAGACCGTGCCCGCCCTTGGACTGGACTGGCTCAATTTTCTCGATGCCCGCATATCTTTGATCAAAGACTATAAACCAATACTCAATGAGCAGATGATAGAGGAGTTCAGCGAAGACCTAGGCATCGACTCGTCCTTTTTGCGCTCTCAGGAGGACGACGACAACGGCAACCCGAGCACCGAGTCCAAGCGCAAAAGCGTGGCGGAGATGCTGATGTCCAACGACTATCTGGCCAATTACAATTTTGAGACTCAGCGAAAGCTGCTCATTGTCTTTAGTCCTCTTGTGTCCAGCGCACGCCAACGCGAGTGTATCTTCGAGATATGGAACGGGGGCATCAGATGTCCTTAATTCCAAAATGGTAGTCCAATGTGGTAGCCCCAGTCCTCGACGATGTACCGCTTAGGCTCCTTTTCGCCGATCTCGTACAGTTTGGCGAGATCCTCTTTGGTCAAAGGCACCTTCTTGTAGCCCTCCTTCACTCTCTCTGGGTTCAAAGAACGAGGCAGAGCCACGCGTCCAGAGGCAGTGTGGTAGTTCACAAGGATGTCTGCAGGTCTGACCTTGTACTTGTCGGCCAACTGCTTCACCAAAGGAAGTTTCAGGACAGGCGCACCGTTGGACCCAAACGGACTATATGCCTCAACAACTATCTTGTGTTTGTTGCAGAATTCCACCAGATCGTTTAGAGGCAGCTGTGGATGAAGCTCGATCTGGTTGACCGCAGGCACAACATCGGTTTCCTTCAGTAATTTTTCCAGGTTGCCGATGGAGTAATTCGAAACTCCAATGGCCTTCACCTTATTGGAATTCTTATAGATATCAATCATCTTCTTGTACGTGTCCAAGAAATCGCCGTCGTCCTCGATGACTTGCCCGGAGCTGTCGCGAGGAACAGGTGGCTGGCCGTTTTCGTCAGATTTGAAAGTCAATGGCCAGTGTTGTAGCCACAGGTCAACGTAGTCGACTCTCAGATCCTTGAGAGATTTTTCCAAAGATTTCTGCGGGTTCCTCCACAGAGCAGGCCAGACCTTGGTGGTGATGAAAATGTCCTCTCTCTTGATCTTGCCCTCTTTGAAAATCTCTTCTAGGATCTCGCCCAGGATTGGCTCCACGCCGTAGTACCAGGCGGTGTCGATGTGGCGGTAGCCGGCATCGAGAAGCGCTGCTCTGACAACGTCGCGGAGGATGGGCTTTTTGTCGTCCGGAGTCACAGTGCCCATTCCAACGGCTGGAATGGCAGTGCCGTTGTTCAATTGAATCTTCTCTTGCAAAACAGACATTACGAACTGAGCAAACTAGCAACGCACACAGATATTTATATAATTTTTTACGGCCTTGGTTGCGCAATCAAAATCTGATTTGGCCTCGGAATTGCCTTGCTAGATTTCGAATTTCGTCATTTTCCACGCTGATGAAGCTAGACCGCCGGCTCGAGGCAGCAGTGCTCGATGCCACAGATTGCTGTTCGTTGCAGCCACCCAGTTTGGGCCACAAGCTGTTTGCTGTGTCCTGGAAATGCATATTTTGCTGGCTCAGATTGGACCCCGTGCCGTACGAAAACAGACTGTTCGTGTCGTAAGATTGGGAGCGGCCGGTTGCTGTGGACGGCGCGAGCCCAAACTCGCCGTTTGTGGCCTGCCCGCCTCTGTTGAGCGGGATGTTGCACAGCTTGAGGTTCTCAAGCGAGCCTTCTACCAGACACCCCTTTTCTCTAAAATGCATGAGCAACCTGTTCCACATCAGGTTTTTGCTCAGCGTCTTTGGGTTGCCCAGAATCGCCATGCCGAACCGCGCTCTCGTCAGGGCGACGTTCAGCCGTCTTGGGTCGCTCAGGAAGCCGATTAGTTGGCTGTCGTTCGCACGCACACACGAAAGAATAATGTAGTCCTTTTCGCGTCCCTGGAAAGAGTCGACCGACGCGACTTCCACCTCCGAGTACCTCGATTTGTCCGCTATCGACCCGTTCATCTCCATGTACTGAACGATGAAAGTCGCCTGGCCGGCGTACGGTGTGATCACACCGATCTTGCCCGGGTCCACTCCTTCCTTCAGCAGTCTCGTAATTATCTTCTCGCAGTTCATGGCTTCTGTCCGGTTCAGGTACGACGTGCCCGACGCACTAAGCTCCTCGCGACCAAACACAGCCCAGAACATCATAGGCATCTCTCTGATCGGCCAAGGGAACGTGCTGTCTGGACGAGATCTGCTCTCTGCAGTGACACCGTTCTGCAAACTGCCGTCATAGAAAGCGTTGGAGGAAAACTCAGACAGACACGGATGCATTCTGTACTGAACCTCCAACCTGATCGGCATGTGGCCGAGGTAGATGAGCCTTTCAAAGAGCGACTGTCTGAGTCCTGCGTCGCCGGCCTTTCTGCTCAGGATCACCGGGCCGAGTTGCTGGTGGTCTCCCACGAGAATGACCTGGTTGGCTCCCTTCACGATCGGGATGAGACACTCGGGCTCCGAAGCCTGCGTGCTCTCGTCGATCAGCACCGTCCGGAACTTGCGCTTGGCCAGACGACGGTCACCCGCTCCGACGCACGTGCAGCAGATCACCTGACACTTGTCCATCAGCAGGGCCTCTTCTTTGTACAGCAGCGACGCCATCTGTTTGTGCTGAGACGCAGACAGCTCGTCGTTCTTCTCCTTGAGGGCCAGCAGACGCTTGAGGTCCTTTGACGCGTGCTTCCGCATCTGCTCCGTGAGCGAGAGGTGCTGCACCGAAGACTCGACGTCCTCGCGGCTCTTGGCGATCAGACGCAGCACACGGAGCCCCAGCTGCTCGAGCTTGGATGCCAGGTGGTCGACTGCGATGTTGGAAGGCGCGCAGACGAGAATCTGGCCCTTGTGCAGCTTTGTCAGCTGATACACTATGGTAGCAGAGGTGACGGTTTTCCCCGTTCCCGGCGGACCTTGGATCAGAGACAGCGGTTTGGACAAGACGTTGTGGATGGCATTTTCTTGCGACGCGTTGAGCTTGGCAAAGTTGGGTATCGAGTACGATTTTTTCTTTTTCACCTTGAACTCGACCGACGGAGCATCTATCCCCATAAGAGCGTAGTATATGTGTTCTGAGACGCTCTTTTTGTTCACAGCGAGTCTTTTCAGGGCATCCTGCATCCGCGCGTACGACGTTCCCTTCCACACAAGCTCGGCAGTGAAGCCCGTGTGGAGATGCGTCGGCACACTTTTATTTTTCGAGTCGATCAGCTCCAACGTGAAAGTTTCGCGAGTAGCGCTGGGGATCCGCACAATAAATCCAGACTGCTCCCACGGCTCAGCAAGCTCGGACCCGCTGTATCTCAGGATCATTTGGTCTCCAACTGCCAGCTTCGTCCCCAGCGTATCGTACGACTGCAACGCAAACGTAGCCAGATGCAAGTCATTGGTGCCCAGACTCCAGGTCACAGTAAGTCTTTCAAGGCTCTGGGACTGCTTGAGCTGCTTGTCGTAGTTGGCCTCGTACTGCACAAGCGGCGCGAACGAGCGCTGGTATTGGAAAGCGTCGCTGTAACGCATCAAAATGGGCTCCAGCTCTTCTTCCGTCTCGGCCTCCTCCAGTTCTTCGAGAGTGGCGTCCTTGTCCTGCTTCCACTTGGTCTCGAGCTTTGTTATTTGTAGAGAGGTGATCGGCTTTGCTTCCAGCTTTTCCTCCTCAGAAGGCGGCTTTGCTACCCACGGGAGCAGCGCACGGTCTTCGATTAGTGATTGCCAGTTTGCTGTGTTCCACTCCACGTTTTTCGACTGTGCACACGGAAGACGACACAAGATGACAACCACAGAGTCTGTTTTAGCAGACACAAACCCAAGCACAAATATGTTGCGGTTTCCGCAATTATAGCACTCCAGCATGGTATCTCCAAGCTCCGAGTCCGGATGGAGACTGAGAGACTGGTGCTTGGACAGAACGGTGTGGGTGATTATATGAGAGCCGGCCCCCGAGGTCTTCCCGTTGCAAAACCATCTTTTGCACGTGTTGCACTTCACCAAGCTGTCGGGCCCAGATATGCCGCAGTAAGCGCACGCGTCGGGCGACTTGGTCATGGAGTTGGAATCGCCAAAAGCCTCGCTCATTGCAATTATTTTTCACCAACACCTCAAACCTGTTGTATTACTCGTACATTTACGTAAGCCGACTGAGGAGCCTTGCCCTTGGTGGCGGACTCAGCACGCTATATAGAAGGACGTTTCAGAGAGCTGTCTCTGTCTCGTCATGAGCAGTGTCGTAGCGGAGCAGACATGCTCCTCGCTCTGGCTCTGGAGCTCAGACTCCACAAGGTCAGAGAAGGAGTAAAAACGAAGAGACTGTGTGAGATGGAGTTGCGATGGGGAATTCGAGAGCGCCTGCTCCGAAATGCTGGTTTTGGAACACTTGCGGTAGGAGGGAAGGTTCACAGAATGTGGGTATTCGACGATCTCTGTTGTCTCGAGACTGGACTGATCGCTGAGAAGCTCAACGGTGGAATCCAGAACGGGACAGGTGTAGTTGTCAGAAATCCAGTGGGGCGGGCATGTTTGCCGGGGGCAGCCCGTGAGGGGCTGAACGTTGCGTTCGAATATGGCCGGTGTGTCTGACTTCGAATCGTTGCCAATTTCCGGCATCATAGAGCCAAGACATGCGACGTTGAGGTAGATAAAAATTTGGGTGACTGAGATGCATCGATGAAATATATATATGTATGGAAGTCGTCACGCTTCTGCCGGTTGTGTCCATTCGCGGGGACCCTAACAAAAACAGTCCGAAGGAGAAAATCGGGTGCACAGCCACGAAGATAACATGTCACACGGTGTTTTCCTTTGCACAGCCTTGATTCGCCAAGCGTCAGACGCAGATTAAATGGAGCTTTTCTCTCTACTTGTTTCATCTCCTGCCATGATTCGCGAGTATCCTGGCCGGCTCACGGGGTCGAGCGGGGGCACGTCAAAGGTCATTGAGAGCCTTCATATGCAGATCGACGGGCTGAAGGGCCAGCTGGACGACACACAGGCAGAGCTGGACGAGTTCAAGCGGAAGCTGAGTGTGGTTGTAAAACACAACGAGACACTTGCAGAGAAGCTGTCGAGCGCGAGGCATCAAAACGAGGTGTCTGAGAGTCTGCTGAGCCGCAAAGAGCGCAAGGTGCTCGATTTGGAGGCACAGCTCGCTGAGGCCTGTTCTGCTGCCGACCGGTGGAAGTTTGAGGAGGACTCTTTGCGAAGGAAGCTGGCCGCTATGCAGGAGCAGGAAAGCATGAGCACTGTGGAGGCCGAGCGGCTGCGCGCGTCCTACGATGTGATTGTGGAGTCTCAGAAGGAGTACAAGCTGCGCACGCAGATGGAAGTTGGCGATCTGAGGCGGCAGCTGAAGCGATTTATTCAGGAGAGTAGCACCCGCTTGGAAAAAAATAGAGAGAGTATGGGAGGGGCCACTGTGTTCCTGGAGGAGAGCTACAAAGCTGCCAGGACGCGCAGCGAGCACCTTGCCGCTGCGTACGAAAGAAAACAGGCCCATATCCAGGAGGCGCTGAACATGCTGGAGGCCAGCGTAACGATACAGGAACAGAACACAAAGGCCACTCTTGCTGAGTGTCAGGAGGCACTGCAGCAGCTGAAACGGACGCGGTCCAGGTACGCGGTTCTCACGGAGTCCAACAGCGAGAAGGAAAACCGGGAGCCGCCAACATAGGGGCCGTGGAATTGAAACTGTTGAAATCTATATTTTAGTCTAATACAGTGTTGAACAGAGATAATATTATTTGCAGGCTTAGAACAGGCCCTCGATCTCGCCGTCGTCGTTGACCTCGACGTTCATGAAGCCGCACTTGGTAGCAAGACCAGGGATCGTCTGGATCTGGTCGGCAAGAGCGTACAGATAGCCTGCACCGATGGAGGCCTTGATATCCTTGATTGGGAAGGTGAATCCTGTTGGCACACCTTTCAGCTTGGCGTCGTGAGACAGAGAGTACTGCGTCTTGGCAATACAGATCGGTAGGTTCGAGAAGCCCTGAGAGCTGTACTCCTTGATTTTTTCCTGGGCCTGGGGCAGGAACTCGACAGAGCCTGCGCCGTACATGTTTTTGGCGATGGTCTCGATTTTCTCCTCAATCGACGAGCCCTCTGTAGCGTAGAGGTAATGGAACAAGTCTGTGGACCCCTGTTGCGAAGGGTACAGCTTGTGAGCACACCTGATCACGCCCTCGGCGAGATCCTTGGCACCCTGGCCACCCTCCTCCCAGTGGTTAGAGACAATGGCGTCGGTCGCACCAGCGGCAAGAGCGGCCTCCTTGATGACCTCGTGCTCCTTGTCGAAGTCGGAGGACATTCTGTTGATGGCCACAATCACATCGACGCCGTACTGCTTGGCGTTCTGGATGTGTTTCTGCAAGTTTGCACAGCCAGCCTTGAGCATCTCGACGTTTTCGGTGGTGTACTCCAACGGCAGCGGAGCACCGGCCTTGACCTCGGCACCCCCACCGTGGACCTTCAGAGCTCTGACGGTGGCCACGATAATGATTACGTCTGGAGACAGACCAGACGACCTGCACTTGATGTTCAGGAACCGCTCGCCGCCCATCGTGAAGTCGAAACCGGCCTCTGTGATGACGTAGCCGGCCTGTTCTCTCTCCTGCTCGGCGCTCAGGCCTGGCTCTGTGCCCGCAAGCTTCAGGGCCATCTTGTCTGCCAACACAGAAGAGGCACCGATCGAGATGTTGGCGAAAGGACCGGCGTGCACGAACACAGGCGTGCCCTCGAGAGTTTGCATGAGGTTTGGCTTGATGGCGTCCTTCATGATGGCGGTGAGGGCGCCGGCGCAGCCCAGGTCCTCACAGGTGATTGGCTCGCCCGCTTTCGACGAGGCAACCACCATTTTTCCGAGTCTCTCTCTCATGTCTTTCAAGGAAGACGACAGAGCCAGGATGGCCATGACTTCAGAGGCCACAGTGATGTCGAAGCCGGTCTCTCTGGTCAGACCCTTCTCGGTTGGGGCCTGGTTGATGGTGATGCCTCTGAGCGATCTGTCGTTCAGATCCAGCACTCTCTTCCAGGTGATTGTCTTAGGGTCGACGTCGAGTCTCACGAATTTGGAGACTTCCTCGTCGGTCCAGTCCTTGGGATCCTTGGTGTCAAGACCCAGCTTCTTCACTCGAGGCAGCAGGCCGATAGGAATGTCTCTGGAGCCGTCCTTTTTCTCGGGACACAGTCTTTTCCACAGAGCCTTGTCGCTTTGCGTGGCCTCGTGGAACATTCTTGTGTCGAGCGCAGCAGCCAGCAAATTGTTGGCCATTCCCACCGCGTGAATGTCGCCCGTGATGTGCATGTTGAACTCGTCCATGGGAATCACCTGCGAAAAGCCTCCACCGGCAGCTCCACCTTTGACACCAAACGTAGGACCCATAGATGGTTGTCTCACATTGGCAAAAGCTTTCTTGCCAAGGGTAGCACCAATAGCCTGGGCCAGCCCCACGGTGGTGGTCGACTTACCCTCTCCAAGCGGAGTCGGAGTGATGCCGGTCACCAGGATATATTTACCGTTTTTGCGGTGGTGCAATCTGTCGATCACATCGAGCTTGACCTTACCCTTGAAGGCTCCATACGGCTCAATCTCGGTTTCGGTGATTCCGCACTCCGCAGCAACCTGGCTGATGTGCTTCGGTGTCTGGTTTCTGGAGATCTCGTAGTCCGACGGAACTGGCTTCACAAGGTTCAGCTTGAGACGTTTGAAATCCGACATGGTGCTAAATAATAAGTTGGATCAATATTTTTCCTGTATTCCTGTAAATTTTTGCAGATGAAAATTTGACTCGGAAACAGCGTAGCACGACCGGCGAGCAGTAGTTGGTGCCTGAACTTTGATTATAGCGCGCACACTACGGCAGTGCGTTTGCGCTGCCGCTCTGCTCTCTACGCGTTGCTCCCTGCACGCTCTCCCACGCTGCCTAACCCCCATGCTCTTGCCGTCCGCGCCTGCCTCTGCCTCGACGCGCCGATCGACGCGACAAAACTTTTCACACCCTTTCTTCCCTACATGTCTGACAGGTCCATCAATCTCGTGGACGACGTGAAGGAGCCCCGACTTCTGACGTCACGGTCCATTGAGACGGTGTCTGGTCTGACGGCTGGTTTCATCGCGACGCTCATCTCGCATCCGCTCGACTTCTTCAAGCTCCGATTGCAGCTGGACACCACAACCAAGAGCCAGCTAGAGAGCTTCCGGGCGATCAGAAACAAACTACTGGAGGATTCCAGGACCAACGGAAAGCTCGAACAGTCCCAGCTTGTCCGGAACCTCTATCGCGGAGTCGGGCCGAACCTGCTAGGGAGCACCACTGCTTGGGGCCTGTATTTCAGCTTCTACAGAGAGTACAAAAATATGTTTTTCAGCATGTATGTTGGCGGCCCCGGCGACGCAGATCGGTCACTGAGCTCGTCGCAGTACCTGCTGTGCGCATTTGCTGCCGGATGGACCACGTCGTTCTTCACCAACCCGATCTGGGTTATCAAGACGAGAATGATCTCGACGTCGCGCACGACGCCGGGCGCCTACATGTCGATAGTGGACGGGTTCAAGCAGATATACCGCCACGAGGGGGTATTTGGATTCTATAAAGGGCTGTCACCGGCTCTGCTGAGCGTCTCGCAGGGTGCTCTGCAATTTTCGATCTACGACACGATGAAACGCCATATTCTCACGACGTCGTCGCACATGAGCGCCGCACAGTACCTGTACGCGAGCGCGGTGTCGAAAATGGTGTCGACGGTAGTTTTTTACCCGCTCCAGGTGGTGCGATCGCGACTCCAGATCAACAGAGGACGATACGGTATGGTGTGCGCTGCCACCGAGGTGTTTGTGCGCGAGGGCTTCTTTGGATTTTATAAAGGACTGTTCGCAAACCTGATACGCGTGGTGCCGGCCACGTGCGTCACTTTCACCGTCTACGAGAACATGAAATGGGCTCTCCGGGACATTTATATATGATGGCCACGTCGTGTGCCTCTGCTAAAATTATTCGAGCTGATTTTTTGTTTAAGGTCGAATCCAGTGTCAGTTGTACGATGCGGATTTTAGTCAGTACCAAGACGCAGCGGACGCTTGCGCTGGCATCCGAGACGCACGTGCTGCTGTTTCGATATATCCCCGCGACCGGCAAGTGTGCAATTGAGCTGGTCCCCAAGGATCAGTTCCACCACAGGAGTTTCCGCTCTCTCTCCAGACACAAGCCTCTCGGGTTTCTGGGGCTCATAGAAATGAACGGTAATGTGTTTCTGGCCGTCATCACAGGAAAAGTTGACGTTGCCTCCCCGACAGACGGAGAGGTTATCAACAAAATCATGGACGTCGAGTTCCACTGTCTGACAAGAGACACCTGGGACTTTCTCGAGCTCAACGCCAACGGGTTCCCTGTTGAGGCCGACAGCGAGTCGCAGCCTGGCGGATACCCCTCCAAATACGAGCAGCATCCATGCTACGAGCTGCGCAAGCTGCTCACCGACGGCTCGTTCTTCTACAGCACCGACTTCGATCTGACAAGCACCTTGCAAACCAGAGGCGTGAACGCATCCCACTCGCTGTCAATGGACAGGTACCATCTTGACTACATGTGGAATGCGTTTATGATGGAAGAGGTGATCAAGTTCCGCAACAACCTGGACGAGGCCCCGAAACGCGTTCTGGACGAAAACAGGTATCTTACAACGGTGATCCGCGGGTTTGCCGAGACGCTGCGTGCGAGCGTTGGCGGTCGCCGTGCACGGCTGACAATCATCTCGAAGCAGTCCTGGAAGCGGGCAGGAACACGGTTCAATGTTCGAGGCGTCGACGACGACGGAAACGTGGCCAATTTCGTCGAGACCGAGCTGATCTACAACGACGAGAGCCACGTGTTTGCGTACACACAGATCCGCGGCTCGATCCCGGTGTTTTGGGAGCAGGATACGGCGCTAATCTCGCCCAAGGTGCAAGTCACAAGAAGCTTCGAGGCGACACAGCCAGTGTTTGAAAAACACTTTGAGAACCTCAACGGCAAGTATGGTCCCGTCCACATCGTCAACCTGCTCTCGTCGACAAAATCGTCCGAGGTGGAGCTCAACAGAGAGTACAAGCGTCACTTCAAAGCACTGAGCAAGAACAAGCCGGACTCTGTTTACTTCACAAATTTTGACTTCCACCAGGAAACGGCCAAAACGTATGCCCATGCTACCAAAATTCTGTCTGATCTCCAGTTGGCGCTGGACAAATTCGGCTTTTACTGCTACAACAAGGCGACAGGAGAGGTGCTTCTGGAGCAAGACGGGGTGTTTAGAGTCAACTGTCTCGACTGTCTAGACCGCACCAACGTTGTCCAGCAGGTTATTTCCATGGCTGCCCTGGAGGAGTTTGTCAAAGCATTCCGCAAAGGCGACATTTACGACCTCAATCTGAAACACAGCACGCTTTGGGCAGACCACGGTGACCAGATATCCCAGATCTACACCGGCACAAACGCGCTCAAGTCAAGTTTTTCTCGGTCGGGCAAGATGGGCCTTGCCGGCGCGCTTTCGGACGCCACCAAGAGCATCAGCAGAATCTACATAAACAACTTTGTCGACAAGGGCAGGCAGGCCGTGACGGACACGTTGCTGGGCAAAAACTCAGGCCAGATCCCAGTGCTGATTTTCGACCCCATTACTGACTACGTGAACGAGGAGTGCAAAAGATACGAAAGCAGATTTGTCTCGCACGAGGATATCACAATATACGTCGGATCATACAATCTGGCAGGAAATACGATTGCAGGCGATCTCACGTCGTGGTTGTTTCCAAGCCAGGTTGGAGGCCGCTCTTTTTCGCCAGATATAGTGATCGTTGGCTTCCAGGAGGTGGTCGAGCTGAACGCGTCGAATATCCTCAAAAACGATTCCTCGCCTTCTCAGTACTGGCAGACGGCCATTGAACGCCAGCTGAATGATGGCGGGTCCAGCAAGTACGTCATGCTGCGGGCAGAGTACATGTCGTCTGTTCTCCTGTTACTGTACGTGAAGGCGGACGCTGTTTCGAAAATTACACAGGTGGAAGGGAAATCCAAGAAAACCGGCCTTGGAGGCATGACGGCCAACAAGGGCTCGGCAGCCATCCGTTTCAACTACGGTTCCACCTCGTTCTGTTTCTTCAACTCCCATCTTGCGGCAGGAACCACCAATATTGATGAAAGGTACAACGATTTCATCACCACCTGGAATGCGATCCGGTTCTCGCGAAATCGCCAGATCAAGCACCACGACAACATCATCTGGCTCGGAGATCTGAACTACCGGATATCTAAGGCCAACGACGACGTTAGAGCGTTACTGTCATCCAACAACCTCGAAACTCTGCTCGAGTACGACCAGCTCAGAATCGAGCTCAAACGGCGCGCAGAAATGAAAGGGTTCAAGGAGATGCCCATCAAGTTCATCCCCACGTACAAGTTCGACAAAGGAACGACCAACTACGACACCAGCGAGAAACAGCGTGTTCCGTCATGGACCGATAGAATTCTCTATAAAGGCACCTCGATCTCGCAGCTTGACTACGACGCGGTCGTCGACCTCGTTTTCTCAGACCACAAGCCAATCTACGGTGTCTTCAGCTCAAGGGTGAAACTCGTAGACCAAAAGACCAAGTCGGAGATCCTCAACAAGCTGTACATCCAGTACAGGTCTTCGGCAGTCAAGTCCGACCCGTTGATGGATTTGAACGAGTCGGACGACGACGTGGACGAAGCCGAGTCGAAATCGTTCGCCTCGTCCAATTGGTCGACAGCTTCGGCTCCGACGCTGGTCGATCTTTCTGGAGACTCACCCAGCACCGCTCCTAGGTTGCCAAGACGCTCGCCACCTCAATCACAGGAAAACCCTCTGACTACTCCGCAGAGACGCCGTGTGCCGCCTCCGTTTGACGCAAGCGAGTCCACGGCTATGTTGGTCCCGGGTCTGTCCTCTTCGTTGCACAGCACAGTGAGGCCCAAGCCGTCGTCCGCAGACACCGAACACAGGTACTCACTGGAGGCAATGAGACCAACACGCTCGGCCACGAGCTCTCCAGGCCCCGTTGGCTCCTCTGCGCCGCCTCCACCTCCTCCGCGGAAAGTGCACACATCAGAGCAGTCGGCAGCGCTACCGCGGCCGGAAAAAGTCACACCCATTGTGCCTAGCAAACCAAAAAGCCTGAAAGGTGCCTCCGCAGACTCGCTCACTGAAAAATGGGCTCCTATGCAACCAAATAGAAAAGTTTAAATCGTATAACATATCTAGCAATATATACGCGGATCTATCCCTCATAGTCTTCATCGTCGTTCGGGTCCTCAAACGAGTCGTCGTCAAGCACATACGATTTGGTGGTCTTCTTGCGTGTGGAAGATGCACGGCTCACTGGCGCTGGAGCATCGTCGTTTTCAGAGAGCTCGATGTCTTCCTCGTCAGAGTCGATCACTTTCTTGGCCTTGGCGGGTTTCTTGGTGAAGAAAGAAGATGCTTTTGACGGAGCCGACGCGTCAGATTCAGTGGTGTCTGACCCAGTACTGAAGATGCTCGTAGCAGCATTGAACTTAGAGCCCGATCCGCCAAACACACTCTTAAATGCAGGCTCTTCGGTCTTGGTAGCTGGTTTTTCGGTCTGCTCCGTCTTGACCGCAGGTTTAGTTGCAGCAGCCTTATCTGCTGTCTTCTTCTTGGCAGGGGCAGCAAGCTCTGCTTTAGTTCTTCTCTTCCGCTTCTTCTTTGAGTGGTCTCCCACCTTCATCGACAAACGGCTCTCCTCATCCTCTTTTAGGAATTTGTCCCATTCCTCGAGGAACACGTCCAGATCCTCATTCCACAGATCCTTGGCGCTCTTTCTAAGGAGGTTATTCAGCTCGGCCTCCTTCTCATCTCTCTGCTTCAGCAATTTTTCATAGCGTTCAGAGGTCAGAGACCACAATGGCATACCCAAAAGGTAATCGTACGCTGAAACTGCCGTCTTTTTCTCTTGCACCACTGCAGTCGGATCGGCAGCCAGCTCGTTTATATCTTCCTCGTCGTCCTCCTCCTTCAGTTCAGCAGGTCTGATTGGCTTGTTCCGTTTGTCAAATCCAGGGAATCCAAGTTGTTTGAGCTCTTTCACTAGATTCACTCTCTTCTTGTTGTTGATGTTCAACTCCCTATCAATGATCATTTTCACGAATTTTGCCTGATATGAGAGCTTCTCAAACTGGTTGGAAAACAAGTCTGCCATATAGTCCTTTCGTCTCTGGTAGTAGTCCAGCCTGACCAGATAGTAGTCCTCGATAATCTGGTTGACATGGTCATACTTCTTGATTCTTCCTTGAGGATCGAAAGCAACCATGTTGGAGGTGTTAATAATGGATATCAGCTTGAATCTCTCTTTCAGTCCGATCCTTCTGGTCTTCTCCATCTCTTCTTTAGACAACGTCACGACAAATTTGATGCCCACTCCATGCTGTTCTTCCATATCCTTAATCCATGGCTTCTGCTTATCAGAACCTGCAATTGCCTGGAGCAAAAACTCCTTCATGTTGATAGTCCACATACGAGCAGGCAATTCAGTTATTTCGATTGTATTGTCATCAATTTCCTCAATATTTCCTTCCATTCTGAACTTATCCGGTCCGATTCTAGTAATAGTGCCTTCCCATCCTTTGAACCATGGAATCATATCCATCATTTCTTCGCCATTCATCAGAGCGCGGATGTTTTTGACAATATCGACTGGATTAAATGGAGGAATCTGTGTACTCCATCCAGACCCAATACCTTCTGCCCCGTTGACGAGAATCATCGGGAGAACAGGTACATACCATTGTGGTTCCACAGTTTGCTCGTCGTCTTGCAAATAGTTGAGCAATGGATTGTCCAGAGTGTTGTACACTTTTCTAGTAATCGGCGTTACTTCTGTGAAAATATATCTTGCGGCAGAAGCATCTTTACCACCGGACGCTCTAGAACCAAAACCACCATTGGGTTTGAGGATGTTCAAGTTATTGGATCCCACAAAGTCCTGGGCAAGGGAGATGATCGTTTGAGTCAATGATGCCTCACCATGATGGTAGCCAGAATGTTCACCAATGTAGCCAACTAGTTGGGCAACCTTGATCTCGCTCGTCAAGTTACGTTTGTAAACACCATACAGAACCTTTCTCTGAGTCGGTTTGAATCCATCCATCACAGAAGGAATCGAACGAATGTTGTCGGCCATGGAGAAAAGAATCAACTCTTTATTGATGAACTCAGAGATTGGAATCTCCGTCAGATTTGGATCCAGGAAGGTACCCGGTTGGAACCCTCTGAGCCACTCTTTACGGTCGTCGGCCTTCTTCTTGGAGAAAGCAAGATCGATCAGTGACACGTCTTCTTCTTGCAGAGTATGGAACGTTTTCAAGTGACGATCTAATTGGCTAAAGTACTCCCTCATCTCGGTAGGCAAAGAGGTACCCAAACCCTTGTAGTACTTTTGCTTGTACGAGCAGGTTCTTCCAATTGTGTCTCTCCACTCCTCGTACTCAGGCATGTTGAAAAATGATATTTTCTTGTTCTTTTCCGGGCCTGTCAAAATAGTCACCTTGACAATTGGAGTGATGAACTCGATAAGGAACCCTGGGATTTCCAAGAGACCAGGAAAAGATGTCTCGAGAAAATTGATGATTAAACCTTTGATATGCGAACCGTCGTGATCCTGATCCGACATGATCATGATATGACCATATCTCAAAGTGTTGATGTTCGATAGATCGTACCGTTTCTTGTGCTGAAGACCCATAATTTGCTTGATGGCCTGGATTTCGGCATTTTTCATTATCTGGTCAGTGCTGGCTTCGCGCACATTTAACATCTTACCTCTTAATGGATAGCACCCATAGTAGTCTCGTCCCACCACGGCCAATCCAGCAACGGCTAAAGATTTGGCAGAATCACCCTCAGTCAGGATTAAAGTACACTTGTGGCCTTCCTTTGTACCTGCTTTATTGGCATCTTCCAGTTTCGGATAGCCCGTCAGTCTGCTTTTCCTGCTGCCGTCATTTTTCTTCAAGGCCTTGTCGGCGTTCGCTTGAGCAATGTCCATCACGCTCTCCAAAATACCGGAAGCCAGCACCTTCTTCACGAACGAGTCCGGAAGTTCCAGCTTTTTACCTCCAAATTGAGAAGCCCTGGTTGTAAGTTGTTCTTTCGTCTGGGACGTGAATGCTGGATTTTCAATGAGACAGTTGACAAATAAAAACATGTTGTTCTTTATCTGGACTGGTTTGATAATGGCAGTTTTGCTCTTCTTTTTGATCTGCTCCATGATTTTGGTAACAAGCATGTTAGAGATCAACTCCACATGAGTACCTCCCGCGGTGGTTGCAATGGAGTTGACGAAGGAGACTTGGTTGAATGTTCCATCTGAGATCGAGAATGCAACCTCCCATCTATCGTTGATCACCTGGTGAACGATGGTTGGCAGTGGTTGAGACTGCGGGGCAGGCACCAAGGATCCATCCTCTGAATCTTCAGTCTTTACTGGAACAGGAAGGTTTCCCTTCTCTTTCTCCAGAGCCTTGACGTACAGCTCGACGTACTGCTTGAAATTGTGAACCTTGAGCTGTTGGCCGTTCAGACTCACTTTGACACCACGAACGGAACCGCAAAGATCGTAGACTCTTCTTCTTAGAACGCCCAAAATGTCATCATCGAGGCTCTCCATGCCGAACTTGGTCAAGTCAGGCTTGAAGATAACTTCAGTGTATTCCTCCTGTTTCTTCATCGTAGAGATCTTTGGCTTGCCTGTTTCGGACATGTTGTTTCTCCATGTCTGCGTGTACAACAGCTGGGTATTTTTGTCTGCAGTTCTCACAGTGAACTCGGTGGAGAAAATGTTACATAGCTTGGCACCGTAACCGTTTCTACCGCCAGTCACCTTTTTTTGGTCATCGTCGTAATTACTGGAAGTCAGAAGGTTACCAAAGATAAGCTCTGGGATGTAGATTTGCTCTTTCGTGTGGATCTCGACGGGGATACCTTTTCCGTCGTTCTTAACAGAAATCACGTTGTTTTCCTTGTCAATTTTAACGTCAATCTTTTTCATGCTGGGGTCCCTGATTTTGTTGTCGGCTGCGTTCACCAGGATTTCGTCGAAAATCTTGAACAGACCAGGGACAATATTGACGGTCCTCTTTTCCATGGATTCGGTTTGCTCATTGTATATCCACTGCTCAGATTCGATTTTCTCCACGGACCCGATATACGTGTCGGGCCGTTTCAAAATATGCTCCAGCTGGGAGAGCTTCTGATATTGGTCGCTGGCAGACGATTTCTTGCCATTAGTGGTGTTAGTGGAGTTCGACAGAGGCTTTCGTTTCTGGGTATTTGGCGTCGAAGCGGCCGAAAGCGAAAAATCAGAGTCGGAATCACTCATTTTGCGCGTACTAGCAGATCTGATAGAGAAAATAGAGGGTGCTCTCAGAATGTTCCCACACACACGACGCGAACTTTTTATATTCAACAGTATCGATGCCGGCCGGAATTTGGCAGAGTACATACGACTGTTGAGCAAAACGTGTCACAGTAAACGGGAGTCCCTTCTAGATGCGACACAAGCCTGTTGTCCTGGTTGGAGTGTTTACAAAAGAATTGGTGTATTTTGCACCAGTCGTGTCGCCCCCTCGCACCGGGTGCCAGGAGTAGTCGGGAAGTCGCTCACCCACCCCTGCACCTTGTTGGCTTTTTGCGGTCCATTCAGGAAACTGTTTTGCTACCTCTCACGTGCATTACGTCATCCAAGTTAGGTGTGCGGCGGCGGGGCGGTCTGTGGTAGCAAAGTTGCTGCTCAGCAATATATATAGCAATAGCTGTTTCAACTCTCCGCTTCCATTCGCAAAATGACTTCAGGTAAAATCCCAAACAAATACATTCTTGCTCTCGCCACAGGTCTGACTGGTCTGTACATCTACGACGTCCAGTACAACCACGGTAAGACCATTGATCAATGGGGTCTCTACAATTGGAATCCGCCGCCAAAAGTCGAGCCTTTCAGCGAGTCAGTGTACAACTCAGGAGTCCAGCGTGCTGAAGAGCTGAAAAATTCTGCCAGCTCCTGGATCAACGAGAAGAACTCCAACATCCAGGAAAATGCCAACACCGCTGGCAGCCAGTTGAAGGACACTGTCAACTCTGCAGGATCTCAAGTGATTGACCGGTTGGAAAGTTCGAAGGACAGACTGAGCTCTTTCTTTGGCTCGTCCAAAGAGTCTGCTCAGCGGTCCTACGCTTCCGCCTGGGAGAAGTACCGCGAGGCCGAGGACAAGGCCAACCAGCAGAAGAAAGGATGGTTCCAATGGGGTGAAGCTAAGCAGGATGACGCTAGCAAGCAGTTGGAAGAGGCCAAGAAGAATCTAGACGGTGCCCGCGAGAACCTGTCAAAATGGGGTTCTGACGTTGTGAAGGAGACCGAACAGCGTGTTTCTGAGTGGGCGGAGAACGTGAAAAAGAGAGGTTCTCAGTTTGCGGACTCTCAGCAGAAGAATGCGGAAAAATTCCTCGGTAACTTCAAGGGAGATCTCAAGGACAAGGACTTTGTCAAGGAGGCCGACAACGCAGTTGCTGGCTTTGGTCAGCTGGCCGGAGAAGTCGCCGAAGAGCACAAACGTGCCTTGGACGACAAGACCGGTGTTTTGGCCGCTAAATCCAGAGAATCGGCTCAAAAACTGTACGACTACTACGATGAACAGGTGAAGGAGGCCAAGAAGAAGTACGACGAGACGCAGAGCAGCTGGCTCAAGTGGAGAAAGGCCAAGTCTCAAGAGGCCCAGGACGCTGCGAAGAAAGAGTACGACGATCTCCTGAGCAAGAAAGAATCTGCTCAGCAGACCTTGAATGACTACTTGGCACAGACCAAACAGGACGTGAAGGATGGAAGCTCGAAACTGATCAAGCAGACCAAGCAAGGTCTGAGCGACTCCCACGAACACGCCCAAGGTTGGCTGTCGAAGTTGAATGGATGGGTCCGTGGAAATTAAATACGATTTAACATGTTATGAAAGTAAAAATGAATTTGCGCCCTCGGTCATTGCGGTTTGCAGGCGCTGTTTCATGACGCTTTTAGATGAGTAGTCGGGCAGCTTGAGATAGTTGGCGCACGTCATCACGCTCGGCAGGTAATTGTCCGGCTTCAGACCGTCCTCAGGGTGCTTGAGAACAACTGTGAAATCTGGGCTCAAAGATTTGAAACCTCCAATTGGGAGTTTTGGCGATCCAGTAAGGAACTGGAGAAACTTGCGACGTTCGTCCGCGGTGAACTCGCTCATGATCTCCATCAGACGCTGCACGCTTGGCGAATCCATACTATAGCCATGATCCGCATGAATGACACCAGACAATGTCTCGTACGACCAGTCCTCTTCACCGTTTCCAAGAAGCTTGACAAGTTCTGCTGAAGAGAAAATGGTCATCGAGGAGAAGGGGAAGACAGCCGAAAATCCTTCCACAAAAGAGTGGATTTGGGAACGCACACCGGATTTAATGGTAAGGTCGATCACTTTGTCCACGTATCGTTCCAGATTGTTGTGGTCAACTTCCACATCCTGTCCATTTGGACACAGTTCGACGTCCTCGTAGCCTGGCAGCGTGAAATTAAGAGACAGGTCGCTCAACTTGCACCCGTCGATCAAGACTTCGGATCGCTCTGACCCCTCAATCTCGGCATAAGCGTCTAAATACCTGGTTAGATGGCCAAGGGACTTGGCAAGATCGGTGTCGACTCTGCTCAGGCGTTCGATGGATTTTTTCCTGGATAGTTCTTTCCTGCTCTTGGTGTCCAACTCTTTGGCGATTTCGAAAAATAGCGGGTTGAATTCAAAGTCGATGATTCGCGAATCCAACAGCGAGCGCGCAACAAACTTGCCCAACACAGAGAATAGATGCAGAACCTTTGAGCTTGGCTTGGCACTTGGTCGAGGGAAAAGTCCTGTTTCGAACTTCACGTACTCGCTCTCGGAATCAGATGAGGAGGTAGACTCGGAATAGTTGCGCCCATTCGTCCGCCACATGTTCAACTTAGCTTTTGCAAACTCTCTGGAAACGTTGGCGTAAAACTCCAGCGTAGGCCCCAAACCAGTTCCTGCTTCGTCGAAATACTCAATCTCCAAAATTCCCGGTATAGTGCCGTAGCAGTCCATTACCTTGATGGCACCTTGCAATAGCTTCTTTCTGGACAAGCGCAGCTTGTGTCTAACAGGACGTCCTAGTTGTGAAGCACCATTTCCTCCAGATGCTGACGCTTCTTCATCTTGGCTTGACCGAGTTTGCCACAGATTGATAAGTCTAGAGTATCCAAACGAGGTCGATTGTAAAAAGAAAACTCTTGTATCCAAAGGGAACAAAAACGGCATCTGTCGAGTGATATGCACGCTCCAGTCGGGCAGCGTTCCGCTGGCCACAATCAGAGGTTCTTCCAATTGGCGATTCAGCTTCGCAGTGAGCTTGTAGTTCAAAAATAGCGTCTCCGAGGCTCCCGGGTGATGGGTGGCACTATTAACAGTGTACAACATTTGCAGAAGCTCGAGTATTTGAACAGTGGAAATGTCGCCCAAAGACTCCAGAGAATCTTCAAATCCGTCGGCTGGATAAAGATCCTCCTCATATTCAGGTAAGTCACCCTCGACCCTGCGATAATGAACCTCATGAGGAATGCTGGTCCAGATCTTTCGAGAAGGCACTATGTCATTTGATTCGTTTTGAACGGAACGGTAAATTGCGCCATAAATGGTCGTTCCGTGTGGGATAACCTCACCATTGATCGAGAATTCAATATGATAAGGTGTCTCCCCTTCGGCATGCTGCGCTGGAATAGTTATCGCCCTCATTAGGCCCCTCATTCCATCCGCTCGTTGTTTTAAGAATCCGTTGATCGATTTAAACGTGGCAATAGCATGGACCATGAGCATGAGTTGTCTCCCGCCATGCTCTGGGTCTTCAGGAATAAGTTTTATTTTGATCTGTTTCGCCATTGACGAGGTAGGGCCGCTTACACCGGAGGCGTAGCAGTTGGCTCCCGAACTTATGATTTCAAAAGATTCCGTCCTGCTCAAAGCTTCCTCTAACTTTTTCACGAAATATACCAGTGGAAGATGTTCGCCATTTCCTAAAGGACTGAAACTCGAACAAATCAGATCCTGGAACGCCTTAACGCAATGAGAAGATTCTTCCGCTAGCTCTCGACGAAATAAGTCGGAAAGAGACGCTATCAGGCCAGAAGCAATCAGCTCAAAGCTTGAAACCTGACGTTCGCTGATCAGAAATCCACAGGTTTCTGCGAACCTGCGCCAAATGTCCGCCCATTCTTGATAACTCAGACCATGGCTGTTGTCGAAAATGGATTTCATCTCTGTCAGCATAATGGTCTGAGAAGAGCTCAGAGATGGCGTTGTCTGCTTCAGAGCCTTATAATCTCTCTCAAAGGTTTTACACAATCTGGCCAGCTCTAGTAGTAATGACTCAATTGTGATAGAAGAAGTTCCGTCGCTATCTAAAGTATAATCACGAACGAAACGTGTTGACAAACGGGCTGACAACTGTTCATCATCACTTTGTGAATCCACAGGCTCGTCGTCGTCTTCCTCTTCCTCCTCCTCGTTTGATTCATCCTCGCTATTCTCTTCATCATTGTGCTGGTCTTCTTCCTGAGTTCTTTCGTCTGAGCTGATTTTCGGCACCTCGTCCTCGCTTTTGTCTTCATCCATGTGATCCTCCTGTCTTTCCAAAGCTTTGATTATTCTGTCATCCTGATCAAGATCGTTCATAAAGTGTTCAATGTGTGTTATGAGTCCTTCGCGTTCGAACTCTGCCACAAAGACCTCTGGCACTTTGAGCAGAAGAATATCTGTGATTGTCAATGCTCCGTAGATCAACACATATGGTCTCATCTCGAACGTCGATGAACGAGATTGGCCGCTTTTCCTTAATACGTGGATACCATGAATAACGATTGATGCTAATAATGATGTTGCATTGCAACTTTGAACAAGATTTGCCAGCTGAGACTTTGTGGATGCATACACTACGCGAAGCATGCAAAGTAACACCAGACGTCTCAATTTATAATCCACAGTAGATGTGTAAATGTTTATCATCAGTGGAAGCATCTCTTTAACAAATGTCTCAAATTTGCCGATATTATCACCGTCTTTATAGAGTGACAGTCTTGTCTTGTTCAATTCTATCCGATCTTGAGATTGATTGGTCCCGCGAAAATTTCCGACGTCTGTCTTTCCTTGGGCGTTTCCATCTGGTTCACCAAAAGGAAGAATTGGTGCAATAAGATTGATCATAGCGAGAATCAACTCTTTTGGGGCGGCCATCAAAGCCTCGACGGAAACTTGAGGGACTGAATATTCTGGAGCCGTATCGTTTATGTTTCGGTCAAATCCGGCCAATGAAACCAAAATCATTCGGCTCAGTTCCCCGTTCTCTAAAAGCGATATCGACAATTTTGGAGAAGAGTTAGCTATAATTGAAAGAGACTGGATGAGTTTCAAACAGGAATTGAAACTAATGAGGTTGTTGGAATGTGAGCCTTTACCTAGACAGCTAGGGAGAAGAGTGAGTAGTTTCCTGAGTAAGTTCTCGCTGATCAAAGACTCCAGCAGAGGGGGTTCCTTTTCGAAACTTTTCACGACTCTTGAGATGGCTAGCCACGCGCTTTCCACGCTTGTAGAGTCCGAGTATTCTATGGCAACGCGCTCGATGATGGGGAAAACTTCACGCACATCATCAAACTTGGATTTTGGCACATATTTGAGTGAGTTTGCTGCGATGGAAAGGGCCTTTCGTTGGGCATGTATAGTAAAAAAGTCCAAGTACATGAGACACGCCGGTAAACAGTTCTTCGTCAATATGTCTCTACCACAGTCACGCGAAATCATTTCGAGAGTCTGCAGAGCCTGCTCTGCCAGATCGATGTAGCTGATTTCCAAGAGCTTTGACTGTAGCGCTTCGATTGCCCCTGCGGCAACAGCATCATGGACCGCATCGACGTTGACCTCCAGTAGATTGTACAGGCAACGACAAGAGACGAGTTGCACTTCCAAATCCTCTTGGTACAGAGGGTTCTCAATCACCGAGACAATTGCTTGTGCCAATCTGTAAGTAGGAAGGTTCCGTTCTGCTAGAATCCCGTTAATCATTAGCAGCCGCTCCGACAACTCGTTGAGCGTCTCCAGCACCGTATACGGGTCTTCATCTTCCTTCAAAGCATTCGCCAGCTCAGAAATACGGGTGACGCCTCCAAACATTTCGCCGAACCCTGCTCCCGGGAACATTCTCCCCAATGCACTCCTAAACATACCAAATTCGGCGTCTTGGTGATTTCCGTCATTATCCTCGGCATCGCCCCTTGTGTTGCGCGACTCGTCCGGACGAGAAGAGCTGCCTAAGGCATTGGCCAAAGAGAGCTGCAGCGGCGCACCAGTCCTGCTTCTGTTAGCACCCAAAACCCCATGAAGCGAGCGCATTAGGTCCTCGTCGTCTTCCTGGGCCTCCGACTCCTCGTCATAACCATAGTGGTCATGCGAATAGTCGTCTTCGCCAGACCCCTCCTGCCGCATTCTGTTCTGAGACTCTGAAAATCGCCTGTAATTCCCCGCAAGCCTAGACAGGACAGCATTCTCCTCGTCCCGCTCATCAGCGTCATAGTCTGCGTCTGCCATCTCCTCGTCAAACCTGTTGACCTCAGGATCCGAAGACTCTTGAGAGTCTCTGGTATGACTTCTTGACTTCTTCAGTTCGACTCTCCGTGTCATTAGAAAGTGTCTTTAGTGTTCCACGTGATAGTAGATTGCCTAAAACCTGGTTTTACACTGCAATTTAAACCCTGAATAAACACCCTCAATTCTTTTTATCACCTTTGATTTCCTTTTGCCTTCAAATAATCTTATTTAATCTTAGTATCCCGTTTCTGAAAAGGGAAAGGAAAAAAATATTATTGAAAAATATCTAGATTGAAAAATTTTAGGATCTTTCAAACATGCCTCGCTCCAAGAGATCCAAGCTCGTTACCCTTGCTCAGACCGACAAAAAAGGTCGTGAGAACAAGACCAGGATTTTCGACGAAGTCAGAGCTTCCCTGGACGCCCACAGATACGTCTGGGTTCTCAAATTGGACGACGTGAGAACCCCTGTTTTGCAAGATATCCGCAAAGACTGGACGGGATCGAAGCTCATTTTGGGTAAAAGAAAGGTGTTAGAGAAGGCGTTGGGCGAAACCCCTGAGGAAGAATACAAAGACAATCTGCATAAGCTCGGAGAATACATTGAAGGACTGATTGGTTTGTTGTTCACAGATGAAACTCCAGAGACCGTTAAGGCATACTTCAGTGCATACGTGAGATCTGACTACCCTAGAGCCAAATCGAAGTCGCCAATTACTTTCGTGATTCCCGAGGGAGTCGTTTACTCACGTGGAGGCCAGGTTGCTGAAGAGGAGGATGTGCCGATGTCCCACTCGATGGAGCCAACTTTGCGCAACAAGTTCAAGATGCCAACCAAGATTGTGGCTGGAAAAATCACCCTTCCAGAACCCTACAAGGTGGTCGAGAAGGGAGATGTGCTGGATGTTAGACAAGCTTTAATTTTGAAGACTTTTGGAGTGGCGTGTGCGGACTTCAGAGTCGAGATGCGCGCTTACCACGATGGAGAATCTGGCGAGGTGATACCATTGACTTGAGACATTGGGAGCTACCAGTTGTAATGTAAATGTATCGGGCCGATCGACGTAAAAAAATTAAACTAGTTTTATATCGCGTCGATTTATATCTAGAATAAACAAATCAATCTTGGTTTTATAGTTGATGTTTACAAACTAGCGGTGTGAATATTTATTAGTTGCGCCATCAGAACGTGTCTTGAAAGATACCCATTTGAGCCGATAGCCTGGTGACCATTTGAAGTGCCGCTAGTCTTTGCAATTGTACCGCAGTTCTCTAATACACATAAACACCTAGCGCAAGGATGAGTTATAGGAAAAGCGAAGTATTCGAGCCCCCTGGTAAAGTGGGTCGCAAAACAGGGTTTTACCTCACTAGAACGCCCCGAAAGAATGAAAACGGGCTTGAAGATCTCAAGGATTTCTTTCTTTCAGACGAGGAGTACGAGAGTCCTAACAACAAGAGTGTCAACACGTCCCCCAACAAAAGACTGTCCATGAGATACGAACAGCTCAAAAGCCAGCAAGCTCCGGGAAGCTCGCCGTTCAATCACAGCAAGCAACCACAAAGTAAAGGAACTCGGCTGATAGTCTCTTCGAGTGAAGAGAGTCCCGACGCAAGTGACTCTGAGGATGCAGACAAAATAATAAATGCAGCTACGCGAATGGGTTCTCCAATCAAACCGAATGTGCGCCGTAGAGCCTCTTTGAATGGCTCTCCTCGCTCATCGCAAACTCAACCTTCGAATTCGCCCAAGAAACTACAGCCTTCGCCTTTGAAGAAAAGCCTGCCGACCACTGAAGAGAACGTTCTCCATCTGGATAGCGAGGATAAATCCGAAGAAGAAGTGCGTGAGATGAAACTTCGGTCCAAGTCATCTACCGCTTCTCGTAAGTTTGCTGCCGTGACGAAGAACATGGCACTTCAGAAGAAAACGTCGAGCAAGAACAAAGTGATAATTTCTGATGACGACGACCCAATTAATTCGAGTCGGAAAAGAAGGCCACGAGGTAAAAAATCAGCTCCTTCTGAATCAGAAGAGTCGGCGCCAGAAAACGCAGACGTTGACGAAGATGATGACTTCGAAGCAGAAACGGACTCTGCTCCTGAGGCGGAAAGCGAGGACGACGGGGTGGTAAGCGTTTCTGAGGACTCCGACAAAGCAGAAGGCAAGGACAACGATGCGTCGGTGGAGGAGGTTTTTCCAAAAGAAGAGACACCTACGTCAGAAAATGGAGTGAGAAGGTCTTCCAGAACAAGAGTTTCGCCTGTTGCCTGGTGGAGAAACGAGAAAATTATCTATGAAACGACGACCGAAAACGGCACGTACGTGAAGAAAATCAAAGACGTGCTTCACCGTCCGGTCGCAGAGCCTACCAGGAAAAGGAGACAGTCCTCTGCACCACCTTCGACAAAAGCTCGAAGACGAAGTCGAACACCAAAAAGCGAAGAGGCTGAGAAGCTACGTCCAGTGGCGGCACCACCCCAAATCACTGAGCAGCCCGAAAAAGAGAAGGAGCAAGAGATCGCCAGCGAGCTAGACGGCAGCGACTGGTTGCAACAGAATTCGCTTACTATTCCAGTTTTTGAGGGTCCGGGTTCCGAGAACCAGATTGAGAGAACGGTTGCTTGGGCTCCCAACAAATCGAAAAACATTTCCATCATTAAGAACAGCGAGGAGTTCTTTCGGATCGCGACACTGTTTGATCAGGACAGCGAGTTCAGCGGTGGGGGTATAATTGAAATCCCCGTGGGTTCGCGCAAAGCCATCAAGTCGAACGACGACACATACTTCATCTTCTTCGTGATTCAGGGAGTTCTGGAAGTGACGCTCTCGCACAATCCATTTGTGGTGGTTTCGGGTTGCTCTTTTGAGGTGCCAATGGGAAATTTCTACCAGTTCGACAACAAGGGCAAGACCGTTGTCAAGCTCTTTTTTGTTCAATCCAAGTACGTGGTGGTGAGCTCGCCCGAAGACGACGATGACGAAGACGACGATGAAAGTATCTGAACGGCTCCCACGTAATTACCTCTGTTACATTATTTGTACAATAGAAATTGTATGCTTACGCCTAATCAAGGTAGATGCTTGTCTATGAGTGGTCTTCGCTTTCAGGAAGCTCAGCGATTTTTTGCATTCTGGCCAACTTGACCAGCGGCGCCAGAGAGCTGTTGTCGTCGGCATTTTTGATGAACGGCAGTTCCAAGAGCTGTGCAGAGTCGAGACGTTTATCTGGATTCACCTCCAGACAGTGGTTCAGAAAGTCTTGTAGCTCCTCGGAGAGCGAGTCCGGATCGTTCAATGTAGGTTTTCCGTTTGTGGTAATGAGGTAGAGGGCCCGCAAAGGAGTCTCGTTTAAGTACGGAGGCTCCCCTTCGATCATCTCGATGGTCATAATGCCCAAGGACCAAACATCAACCTTAGGGCCGTACTCGGTCTTGGTGACCACCTCGGGAGCCATCCAGTACGGAGTACCCACCATGGTGTTTCTTTTCGCGGAGTAATCTTTGATTTGGGCACAGAAGCCAAAGTCGGTGAGTTTGATGTCTCCCTGCAAAGAGAGAAGAATGTTGTCAGATTTGATGTCTCTGTGTATGATGCCCTTTGAGTGCAGAAACTTGAGACCCTGCAACGTCTCCCTGCAAACAGCACCCATTTGACGCTCTGTCATCACGCTGTGGGTCACAATGTCGGTCAGGGAGCCTCCTTCCATATACTCCATCACAACCCAGAGGTCTTTTTTCATCAGGTACGCTTCAATAAAATTCACGATGTTTTTATGCTTGGACCCTTTCATCACCAGAATCTCGTTGATAATTAGCTCCTTCTTCGGTTGCCTCTCCAATTCCATCTGCTTAATGGCAACACAGGTATTGCTCTCGACCTCGGTGGCCGTGTAGACTCCTCCAGAAGCACCCTGTCCTATTTTGACAAGGTTGTGGTATCTTTCGCTAGGATCGTCGGAAGAACATATCTCCAGCAGACGCTGCAGATACTTTCTCTCTTTGGCTCTGCGGAGCTCACGTCTGCGCTCCTGCTCGTCCTCCGTCAGCGGTATTTTGGCACTCTTTGGCTTTCCTTTTGGAATTGGCGGCATCTGGGGCTTCTCAGAGTCATCTGGTTTCTGTGGCAGCTGCACCTCCTTTGTAGGAACCTGGGGTGGAACAGGCGGTAGATGTGGAGGCACAGGGGGCAGTATCTCTTTCTCTTCTGGCCTGGCCGTTGCATCTTCCTTCTGCGGTGGTGCTCCAATGGCCGTTTGCTTTGGACTCGTCGGCACTGGGAGAAACTCGCCAAGATGCAAGATCTGGGGTCTGTGGGGGCGCGTGCCAGACTTCGAGTGATTCGAGCCGAAACGACGAGATATACTGCCAATGAGCGACGAGGGCGACGAGGCCGCCTTTTGAGAGCCCGAAGGGATCCGCGACACCGAGCTCAACGGGCTTTTGGCAGACATCGGCAGCGTGGTAGCCGTCTTGGAGGGCGTCGAAGAGGGCGGAGGAGGAGCATGTCTTCGAGGAATGAATTCGCTGTCCGCGTCCGGCGAAAGGAACGTCTCTTTTTGAAAAGCAATCGGGGTCTGTTGGAACCCAGAGCTTGCGGGGCTGGAAGGCGTGGCATAGTCTGTGGTGTCGAATTGCGTGGAAGAGCTGATATTCGGAGTCTTGTATTCGCTTTCGCTCAGACTGTCATTGTCGTTGCTGCGGTCCGAGTCGTGGCCCTGGACCTTCATGAATTTGTTGTTGGACTCATCGTTGAAGTTGGAGTTGAAGAAATTAATCACCTGGTTGGCAGCCTGGGGATTTTTTTTCTGGTCCTCGACAGTGACGCCCTGTGCGGCCAATGCCCGTTTCCATTCTTCGGGGAGCCCAATGTATGTTTGCGAGTTTGGGTCGTACTCGACGTGCTGGTGACGCACGTAATCGTACGGCTCAGAGATGACTCTGGACTGCGATGCCGAGCGGGAGCCCGAGGGAGTGAGACTCGACACGAAGCTCGTGAGGTTGCCAAACATTTTCTTGGTCTTGGTCTTGGTCTTCTTCACCTCCGACGACGGCGTGGTGGCGTTTGAGCTCGCCTTGCGCGACGACGACACCGACGACGACGCAGACCGGCTCGGGGTCTGCACGTGTTTTTTTGGCAGTGTGTCTGGCACGCTCGTAACATTGGCAGAGCCATTTGACTGTTGAGCAGCCAGATTCAAGCCGTCACGAGATTTCGAACCCCGATCCTGCTCCGCCATGGTTTCCGGTTCCTGGTTTGCTATAGAGTGCGCGCTCTCCTGGTACCCTTCTATGATCTGCGAGTAGTTCGACTTCTCTGTAGTCATCGACTGTCGTGCAGCTTTGTCTGCTAGATCTTCCTTTTCGCTCAGCATGTCTCCAATTGACCCGTGTTTGTGGTGCAGTTTCGGCACCGGCGAGCTCTGTATCGACATCACCTTCACCTCAGTGTCCAATTGCAACGCTTGTCCCTCGTACTCGCCCACCTGCGACGGTAATGACGCCGTACTGGTGTTGGGGATATTGGGGGCCATCTTGGGCTTGAAAAAGTCAGAAGTCGCCAGGGCTTCCTGGAGCGGCTCGAACCCGTTCACGGAGTCCTGCGCATCGTCTGCAGGCCCTGGGCTTTGCAAATCCAGATTCTCTGCAGAATCGGTCGCTAGCGCACTCACGTTGTATGTGGCCTTGTACCGCGGCAGCGTGGCTATCCCTGTGCCTGTGCCCGTTTCGCCTATCTCGTGTGTCTCCATTTGTGTGCAGCCGGTGATGTACGATGGTTGGGCTGATCAACAAGAGAATTTCATGTATTTTCGCCTGGAAACAGGTTTTATTTTGTTTTTCTTTACTGCTGCTACGGGTGGTGCACGGGTGTGGGTGCAAAATTACATTCATGTAGCTAGCTTCAGGCACTACTCGTCCGCCTTGGCCTCGAAGCTCTCCAGGTTCTTGGTGCCCTCCTTCCAGTCGACGCCGTCATAGGTGAGCCTGAGTATGGCGTCGACAACGTCGTCGATCGAGCCCCTCACCTGCAGCGTCGAGTCTCTCTCTCTCAAGGTGACGCTGTTGTCTTTCAGCGAGTCGAAGTCGATCGTGACGCCGAACGGAGTTCCCAACTCGTCGTTTCTGGCGTATCTCTTCCCGATCGACGCAGACGAGTCGTCCACCTTGAACGGAATCTGCTTCGCCTTCAGTTTATCCTTGACCCGCTTCAGCACTGGTAGCAGGGTCTCGTGGTTGGACAACGGCACGAGCAGCACCTTGGTTGGGGCCACCAATGGCGGCAACGACAGGACGCACCGCGCAGAGTCCTCCGGCCTGGTCCAGAAAGAGTGCTCAAACACAGAGTAGATGATACGGCCGATACCGAACGAAGGCTCGATCACGTTTGGAATGTATTCTCTGATGTGCTCTGTCTTTTTGACCTTGGAGATCTTCAGCAGCTCGGCAGGGATCTCGACCTCTGGAACGGTGGTTTCCGGGATCTTGGCGGTGATTTTCAGTTTTTCGTCAAGCTCCTTGGCCAGGTCCTCGAGCTCGCACTCTGTTCTGGACAGCAGCCATTGCTCGACCTTCGGAGCGTCTTTTCTGAACTTTGGGCCGAACTTCTTCTTGTCGATCTCGCACTCCAGTCTCTCGACAATCTTGGGTTCTGGCAAAGGCTCTCTGACACACAGCTTCTCCTTGGTTCTGGCCGAGTGCACAGACAGATCGTAGGCAGACCTGTCGGCGCAGCCTACACACTCAATCCATCCGTACGACGTCTGCAGCTCGGCGTCCCAGCAGTCCTGGGCATAGTGCGCCATTTCGTTCGCCATGTGCTGTCTAAACCTGATTTTGTCAGGGTTGGCACCGATCTTGATCAGGAACTGATAGATTCTCGCCAAAAAGTATCCCAGAGTCTCGTTGTCGACCATTCCTGACCTGACGGCCTCGCCGACAGTAATTTTGGACGTCTGGGTGATACCCTCTTGCTGCACCTCTCGTGGCCAAAAGTTCAGAACGACATGCTCGACGCTCTTGAAGTTTGGATGGGACTTGTTTTCTGGGTCGACAAAGTGCTCGATCTCGGCCATCAGAAACTCTCTCACTCTCAAAAGCCCGGATCTAGGAGAAATCTCGTTTCTGAACGACTTGCCGATCGACGCAGATGCAAACGGCATCTTCTCGTTGTTGAAGTCCAGAAGCTTCGAAAAGTTCAAAAACTGTCCCTGGGCGGTCTCTGGTCTCAAATAGCCCTTCATCTGTCCCGACGGACCAATCGCGGTCTCGAACATCAAATTAAAGGCCATAGGAGCCTCCAGAGGCTCGCCGGTAGCAGGGTTTCCAATTTTGTGCTTTTCCATGATCTCGCCCAGCTCAGGGCCAGAGTAGCCGTCAATTTTGGCCAGAATGGTCTCGTACTCCTTGACCACCTCGTCATCAAGCTTCACGGCCTTGATTTCCTTGACCTTCTTCTTTCTCTTCTTTTTCTGCTCGTCCTCCTCGACGTCCTCCACTCGCTCGCCACGAGCCTCCTTGTCGCCCTTAAGTCTGGCCTCCAGAACCTCCTCAACAAGATGGTCTGCTCGGAAGATCTCGCCGGTCTTGAGGTCCCGACACATCCAATCTGCAAATTTATCAACGTGGCCAGACGTCTTCAGAACCTCGTGCGGCGTCAGCATTGTGCAGTCCACCTCCAGCATGTCCTCCTCCAAAATGAAATGCTTTCTCCACGTATCGACAATGTTGGCCTGGAGAGCACATCCTGGCGGACCGTAGTCGTAGAGCCCAGACACACCTCCGTAAATCTCAAAAGCAGGAGCGTAGAAGAATCTTCTCTTCAAAACCGACTCCAGCTGCTCTCTGTTAAATTCGCTGCTCATTTTCTTGACCTGCAGTCCCTTGCGAGTGCGTACAACTTTTTTCGAATAGTTTCTAAAGCCTGAAAACCAGGTTTTATACATCAACGTTCAAATAGATTTTTTTTTCTTCCAGCTGATGTAAGCACCGCCAGAAGAGTCATCTGTACATTCTACAACACCCGTTCCATCTCCACCATCGTGAAGTCCTTTTTGGCCTTGACGCCGTCCTCCATCACAGATCCAATCACCAAATTAGTCTGCTTGTCTATCTTGCACGGAATGCGGCGTACTTCTCTGTACTGGTGTTTTTCGTAAAACTCCACCAGATTGTGCTCTGCAATCACGTCTGCGACAATTGTTTTCGAGCCGACGTTTTTGCCCACTCCGTGGATGAAATCCATCATCTTGCCCGACAATTGCGGGTAGAACGACGTGAATGCGGTCAGCTCGTGGCCCCTATCTATTTTCCTAATCCCGACTGTTCCCAGTATGCGCGACTCCACATCCGAGTAGTCGTCCAGCTGGCTGACACGTGTTGGGAAACTCATTTCCGGGAACTTGCTGATGAACTTGTTGGTCGCCTCGGCGGCAGTATCGTCTCTCTCTATCAAAGTGTCGCTTTTAGGTGCCAGGAACAGCGCAAGATACGACTGCTCTGGATCTTTGATATTCAGATCCCTGAGCAGCGAGTGCTTGATCCGCGGCGTGTCAATTACTCCGTACCTGTCTCGCGGCTTGTTGTAACCTCTGTTGATGACGTCTATCAGCGCCGACTCGAGAGGCGGACAAAGATCTGAAAACCGAATCAGCAGTATTTCTCCATGCATTAATGCACATTCAAAAAAACAAATAATTTAAATATTACAGTATTTTTCCTATCGCATCATTAATTTGTCTCATTCGCAATAAATACATTCTAAACAAGCGTCACTCGTCCAAATACGTGTACGATGGAATATCGAAGTGGAAACATGGGTAGTTTGTTCCCGAAAGCGCATACAGGCGGGTTTGGTCCTCGCCAAGACCGGCGTCCAGAGTATGTCTCTCGATATCGTGATACTTGGACTTGTCCTCTTCGAGTTCTTCCACCGAGGAATCTCCATTCTTGAGCTCCTGGTCGGACTCGTCATGCACACTGCGGCCGAATCCGCCGCCAATGAGGGCCCGTCTGATCCATGGACTGATTATTCCCGAGAAGTGGATCTCGTATTCGTGGCCTGCATGGAGGTCCAAACTCTTTTTCAGATCGATCAACGACTGCACTGCAGTCGCGTCCACAAACGTCACCTGGCTGAAGTCGAAGTGGACGATCTTCAGGGCCGGTCTATTGTCTTCCTCTGGTTCTTGGTAGCGCGTGAATTTGTGCAGCCACTTCACGTTCAGCTGTCCGGGATTATTGAACGTTTTCTCAACTTTGGCATGATGTGGACGGGTCACTCTCTTCACCTCGTCCAGAACGGCGTCTATCTGCCTGGAACAGTTGGAGTAGATGAAGGCCTCACTTGGACGGAACACAATCACTCCTGGAGGCGGAGGCGACACGGCAACTTTCTCGTTGACGTAGACACAGTGCACGGGCGTGGCGCTGTTAGGATTCGTTCTGAGCGGCACCCATCTGTAATGCGTCCTGTAGACAGGCCTGCTCTCGACGTTGGCATCGCCCTTCTTGCTGCTATCGTTTTCGAGCTGGTTGTCAGCACTGGCCACAATTGGGTCGACAACCTCAACGACACGCACTCTTCCGAGGAAAGTGCCGTTTGGCTTGCACAGTCTCCACAGAATAGCAGCCGCAGAGGCGCAAATAACGAAATAAATTCCATCTTCGATGGTGGCAAACACAGTGATGATCACACCGATGAGGAAAATGGCAAAGTCCAGCGGCTGGACTTTCCACAGGTTCCAACTGATCTTGTAGGAGGCGAGAAGATCACCCACGGCGTGGATGATAATGGCCGACAGAGAGGCCTTCGGAATATAGTAGAAAGCGTCCGTGAAACAGTAGATGGAGAGCAACACACAGGCTCCAGTGAATACTCCTGCAAACGGAGTCTTGACACCACACTTGGCCTTCAGGGCGGTTCTGCTGAAGGACCCGGTGGCAGGATATGCGTTGAAGAATGTGCCTATAAGGTTGGTCACGCCGATGGCAATCAGCTCCTGGTTAGGGTTGATCTTGTAGTCGTTGATTCTTCCGAACGATTTAGAGATGGAGATGTGCTCAAGAACCAGGATGATGGTAGCAGCCGGAAGCTCCGAGGCGATGTGGTTCACGAGCCCATCAGGCGTCTTCATGACTCCGACGTGTTTCAGTCCAGAAGGCACTTCTCCGTTCACACTGAAACTGTGTTTCTTCTTGTGGTGTCTAATAATCAGGTAACTGATGAGGGTGCTGAAAATAATCACAATTGCGCTTCTCAGCTGCTGCAGATAAAAGTAGATTTTCTGCTTCGGGTAGCGCTTGTACAGGTAGGACGTGGTGTACTTCCAGGCGTAGAGAATAAACAGCGACACGAAGCCAAATGCTGCGTCGACTTTGGTGCGGTGCAAATTTTTCAGCGTGTTGATGACGACTTTGTAGGTTGCGGTTTTGGAGTTGACGTGCTTACTAAAGCCCATGAGACCGGGGACTTGGCCGACGATGATGTTGAACGCCGAACCCGTCATGAAGGCGAGAACGGCCGGCAACGAGATCAGCTCGACGATGAAGCCGAGTCTCAGAAGACCCAAGCCAAGCGCAATCGACCCGCAAAGTAGTGCGACCATTGTGGCAATGACCGGAGCCTCGTAGGCGTGGTTTGTCTTTTCCTGCACGCGAGCAATTAACCTCCCGACTTCCAAACTCATCACGGCAACGGGTCCAATGGAGACGTCCTTGGAAGTGGCAAAGAAGGCGTAGATAAGCACGCCAACAAACGACGAATAGAGACCGTACTCGGAGGGCAAGCCGGCGAGCTGCGCATACGACATGGACTGAGGGACCAGCACAATAGCAACCGTGACACCAGCCACAAAGTCACTGTAGATCCAGGATGGAGTGAACGGATAGTGGCCGATCCATCCAAGAATAGGGAACAGGGACTTCACGTAGGTGGTGGCCTTGGAACCGGGGCTTTTCACGACCTCTTTGACGTAGTCAAAGGCAGGAACAGGCTCCTCGTTGTATTCCTCAATGACCACATTCGCCACAGACTCTCGGGACGACGCCACACTTGCAGTCTGGTACTGGATCTCGGGATCATCGTTTTCCACTGAGCGTTCAAAGTTAGACCGGAACATCGAGATCTGCGATAGCGAAAATTTTCCTGTCAAGTGTCGAAGTTTTATACGCAAAGGAGCTTGGCAAGAACGCCTTCGAAAATACCCTACGCCAAGCAAACGTTAGCTCCCCAAATTTTCAGGATTAGATCCAGTCACGTGCAGTTAAAAATGTGCCACCGTTTTACAATCGCCGTCGAGCCGCAATACATTGTTTAGCAGGGGCGCACAATCGAGCCACCGTCGAAGCCACCACCACAGTTACCTACCAGCCTGAAAAACTTTCGTTGAGCAGGGTAACGCACCTGACGCAATCGGCAAACGTGTTGTACAAAGGCGCGGGAGCCAACCTGATCACATTAGGCCGCCGTTCGTCGCAGACAACTCCGTGCGTGTTCATGTACGTGAACACTTTCTCCATTGCATCTTCAGGCTTGAACAGCAGCGACAGCTGCGCTCCTCTCTGATTCGAATCCGATGGAGTCAGAATGACAAAATGCGGACCGCTGGTGCTGCTGGACTCGCTGACGTCACGGTAATATGGCGACGCGCGCAGCAGCCTCTCCAAAAAGTTTGTCAGCTGCACGCTCTTTGCTCGTAGTTTTTCGATACCACCACATTTGTGCATGGTTTCCAACGAGGCCTTCAGGGACACAACGTCCAGTACGCTCGGATTGGACTGTCTAAATCCGAGCGCACTTTCGATTGGCCTGAATCTCTCGAGCATCTTGAACCGCTCGCCCGCATCGTTTCCCCACCAGCCAGCGAGCCGCGGCACGTCCGGCCTGCAATGCTTCTCGTGAACGAAGATGCCTCCGATAGCACCAGGCCCCGAATTGAGATATTTGTAGGAACACCAAGCAGCAAAGTCCACGTCCCAGTCGTGCAACTTCAGGTCCACGTTGCCAACAGCGTGGGCAAGATCCCAGCCAACCACACAGTTTTTGGCGTGAGCAAAGGCTGTGATCTTCTCAATCTCAAAGTACTGTCCCGTGTAATACTGGATACCGGGCAAGCAAACAAGCGCAATGCTCTCGCTTTGATCCCCGATCGTCTTGAGAATGTCCTCTGTCCGCAGTGTGAACTCGTTGGGTCTTGGTTCGAGCTGGATCAAGGCAGACTCCGTGAAGCCATGTAACTTGACCATGTTGAGAAAAGCATAGTAATCAGACGGAAACGCGCCTTTCTCAAACACAATTTTGTACTTTTCTTTGGTTGGCCTATAAAACGCGCACAGGAGTGAGTTCAGATTCATTGTCAGCGTTCCCATACACGCCACCTCGCTTGGTTTCGCACCGACCACTGGTGCCAGCAGAGGAACCACCGGCAGGTCGATGTCCATCCACGGAGTTCCGCCCGTATTTTCGTGCGGGTGCCTGAAATGAGACTCCACAGCGCGTGCGGCCCACGCATCCAGCTCAGCATTGACCGCCTGTGGGAGGTTCTTGGGCATAAGTCCGAGCGAGTTCCCGCAGAGATAGGTCACTTTCTGATCTGCCGGGCCATCCAACCCCATCGATTTGAATGTTGGGAAGGTGAACTCCTCGGCGTGGCACTCGTATTTCGCGTCCAGGGCGGCCGCTTCGTCAGAGACCATCAGTTTAGCTTGTGCGGAATAAGAAAAATTTAGGATTTGATAACTGTGCTTGTCTGGTGCAAGGGTGCGAGACAGATAACGACGGCAAACGGCAGCCCGCGCGGGACTGGGCGATCACTAGCCGGAACCTGGTATGCGCCCGTATGCTCTGTCATTTGCGCGCTAGACGCGTCGGTCCAGCGCTCTGGAACAGTGGGGGGCGTAGCACTAGTAAATACCCGCTGTATTTACCGAATCTTTCCATAATAAGAACAGTGCAGAGATGTTTCGGACAGAAAAAAACATAGATAGTTATTATATGTTCCCATGACACAAGAGTTTACGAGAACACAGATTTTCGGAACGGTATTCGAAACCACGTCCAGATACACGGACCTGAACCCTGTGGGGATGGGTGCGTTTGGACTGGTGTGCTCTGCAAAGGATAAGCTGACGCAACAGAACGTTGCCATCAAGAAGGTCATGAAGCCGTTCTCAACAGCTGTGTTGGCAAAGAGAACGTACCGCGAGCTCAAACTGCTCAACCACCTCAGACATGAGAACCTGATTTCGCTTGACGATATTTTCCTGTCGCCTCTGGAAGACATTTACTTTGTCACCGAGCTGCAGGGAACGGATTTACACAGACTGCTGACGTCAAGGACTTTGGAGAAACAGTTCATCCAATACTTTCTATACCAAATCCTACGTGGACTCAAGTACGTGCACTCTGCGGGGGTAATCCACAGAGATTTGAAACCAAGCAACATCTTAATTAATGAAAATTGCGACCTGAAAATATGCGACTTTGGCCTTGCCAGAATCCAGGACCCACAGATGACAGGCTACGTTTCCACCCGGTACTATCGTGCGCCGGAAATCATGCTCACGTGGCAAAAGTACGACACAGAGGTGGATATCTGGTCTGCAGGGTGTATTTTTGCAGAGATGATTGAAGGCAAGCCACTGTTCCCCGGTAAAGACCACGTTCACCAGTTCTCGATCATCACCGAGCTTTTGGGATCCCCGCCTCCAGACGTTATCGACACCATCTGTTCGGAAAACACGCTCAGATTCGTCCAATCGCTTCCTCACAAAGAGCCAGTCCCGTTGTCTGAGCGATTTAAGGGTGTCGAGCCCGAGGCGGTCGACTTGCTTTCCAAGATGCTTGTTTTCGATCCTCGCAAGCGGGTCACTGCCGAGCAGGCGCTCGAACACCCGTACTTGAGTCCGTACCACGACCCTTCGGACGAGCCGAGCGCTGAGGAGAAGTTTGACTGGAGTTTCAACGACGCAGACCTGCCGCTTGATACCTGGAGAATAATGATGTACAGCGAGATTCTGGACTTCCATGAGATCGAGAGCTCTCAGGCTCTGAGCGGCAGCAACGTCCAGCAGGAGCAGTATGAAGCAGAAATGATACAGCAGCAACATCAGCAGAGTGCTGGCCAACCTGTCAGAGACATGAACTAGGTTGCGAGCTCTGCTCTAGATAGAGGCTTCTAATTAGGTTATGAAATATCTCATCTCATTCTGCGTAGAAAGAAGTCGTCCATCGCTTGCCCCGGCTTGAGTCCGTTGGAGTTGTAGATTAATTTTTCTTCCATAAATTTCGTCTTGAACGCGTCGAATATTTCTTTCGACTTGGTAAACTGGTAGCCGTACTGCTGGAAAAATCGCTCCGAGTAGACAAAAATGAACTTCTCCATGTCTGAGATATCCACCGTGATATCCTGCTCCGGTTCTGGCCGTGTCTGTCTGGGAGTCAAGGCAGGGAACCGGTGGTCCACGGGAAGATATCCCTGCACCTGGGCCTGGAACTGCGCCACGGGCGAGCTGACTGAGCCGTTGTGAGGGGTCGACGTGTGCGAGAGCTGGTTTTTCTGCGCCGCCGGAGTGCTCTGCGGCGGAGCAAGCGACCTCGAGGGGGTGTCAGAGCCGGGATTGTTCAGCAGGTGGCTGACGTCGTACTGGTGGTACCTCTCGCTCTGGACGTTATGTGGCGCGGCGTGCTGCTGTGCGCCGTTCGAGTCCATCATGAGGTACTCCTGGTTGTCTCCCTGGTTCTGCCGGCTCTGCTGCTGCTGCCTCGTGTTGCTGAACGTCGGCTGTGGCTGAGCGAGCTGATGGTCGTAGCTCTGTGGCGGTGCATTAGGATACGAGTATTCCGGCGCAGGCATCACGCTCGAGAGCTCCGACTCAGAGGTGGTGCTGGCCGGCCCGACGCCCGACGACGTCGCCGTCTGGTCGGGCACCGACGAGCCGTTCTGCCGTCTCCCGTCGCGGCCCATCATGTTGTTCAGACCGTGCCGCTTCTTGAAAGTGGACAGCCAGCCGTGGCTGAACGACTGCAACCGCTTGGGGTCGGTCACGCCGTACTGCTTGGCGAATTTGACCCAGTACTCGCGCAAGATCGGCTCAGAAATGGGCAGATTCTGGGCCAGCCGCTCCTCAACCACTTTGTACATAGCCTTGTTGATCGGCTCGTATTTGAACGAGAGCTTGCGTTTGGAGGTGCGCAGGGACTTGGAGGTGGCGCTGTCAACCTGCTGCGTCTCGCGGTAGCGCTGGCGCAGGTCGTCCTCGTTCTTTAGCCACTCCGAGAGACTGGACGTGGAAATGGCAAACTGGTTGCGGTAGTAGTTGACAATCTCGCTCTGCGGACGCTTGGAGTCGTGGAACTGGTCCAGGATCATGATCTTCTGCTCCAGGTTGGCTCTGGGCAGCTTGCGGTTGACGGCAGGGGACATGCTGGGCTGGAAGGCCTTGTTATCTGGACCCTAAATTTACTACCCCCAAAATTCTAGTCCCGAAATTACAGGCCTCAGAAATGGCTGTCCGCCAAACCAGCACCGGGGGGGCACGGCCGGGTAACACAGATAACAGGGGAAGTTAACTATACACCAGCTATGGACACTAATGGAGACCAGTGGTTCTGCTGATCTTCTCCAGGACACTCTCGTACGCAACCTCGCTGAAGTCAGTGCCCTGGATTTCGGTTCCAACGCCGTTCAGGGCTCTTCTCAGGGCGTCCTTGGAAGATGCGTAGACCATCTTGGCTCTGACGCTGGCGGTGTCTGGCGACCACTGGTAGAAAACGATCTTGTTTCTCTTGCCGTCGCCCTGGCCGACCTCGTACTCGAAGTCGTAGACGGCGTATCTGCAGTCGTTTTCCGGCAGGTTCTCGACGAAAGCGTCGTACGCGTCCTCGGTGGAGGTCGAGTCGACGACGATCTCGGTTTTGGCGTCATTGAGCTTGTAGATGATCGACTTGAACTTCTTGCCGAGCTTCAGGTCGTTGAAAGCCTTCAAGGCCTCGTCGGAAACAGCAACACTGAGGTTAGAGACGACTCCAATGAAACACAATTCTTGCAAACTTACCCAGATCTTGACTAGAATTGTTAGAGCACTGGCACGGCCTGCCGCGGGCATTCAACACTTACCATTTTATCTAACTTGACTTGTCTATTTGTTTTGTAGTACGTAGCTTTTGGGATGGCAACAAAAAAAATACCAGCACGACATGCCTCTGCTTATGTCAGCGTTTTCTTGTGCTTCAGTTTCCTAATGAGTATTCGGCAGCTGCTGGAGACCATCGAGTCCCGCATTTTGGTGCTCGAGACGCTCTGCGAGGGCGGGTCCGACGTCTACGCGCAGCTGCGGCGCGTTGTGGAGCAGTTCCAGGGCTTTCTGGCCGAGCACGCGGACCTGATGCGTGTGCTCGAACGCGCACAGACACAGGGGCTCTTGGGTATTACTCCGGTGTCGCGCGACGACAGCATGTCTGTGGAGGAAAAATGCCGGCTCGTTGTTGCGTCCTTGCACGAGATGGAGCAGCACGTGAACAAGCTGGACGAATTGCAGCTGCGTCTCCAGCAATGGGACGATCTGATGAGCGACGCCCGGACGCGGACGGCTGCGGCGAAACTGATGGCGTTTGACCAGAGGAACGTGGCCGAGGCGATGGACGCGCTTGTGGCGCTGAAGAAACGGTTCTATGCTGCCGTTGTGCGCTCCAACCGGCTTATGCGCATGTACATGGTCGACACGTTTGAGCAGGCGACATTCTATCTGGACGTGGAGACGAAGCTCCGTCGGTACACGGCGCTGGTGGAGCAGAAGCAGAGTAAATAGGTATGTACATTAGGTGGCCTCGGCGATGACTCCGCCGCCGAGAACGCGCTCGTCTTTATACAGGACCAGGTTCTGGCCTGGTGCCACGCCGTGGACTTTTTCGCGCAGCACGAACTCGGGCTCGTCGCCGGCCACCACCGCCCTGAGCGCGCGCGGCGGCTCCAGCGACCGGACCTGGACGGCCAGCTGTGCGGTATCAAAATCCGCGAAGCCGACGGACGAGTTTATCCACCTCCAGTCGGCCACTTTGAGACGGTCTTTTTCGAAAGCCGCGCGGTCGGTCTTTTTCGAGATGACCAGCTGGTTCTTGTCGTAGTTCTTGCCCGAAATAAACCACACGCCCTTCATCTCCGGATCTCCCTGCGGCATCGAGACGCCGGACCGCTGGCCAATGGTGCCGTGCCAGAGCCCGTTGTGTCTGCCCCAGACACGGCCGTCTGCGGTGACGATGTCCCCCGGGTTCGGGGGCAGGAACTCGTCGAGGAAATCCTTGAATTTGCCGTGCTGCGAGACAAAACACAGCCCCTGCGAGTCGCGCTTGTTCTTGGAAGCCAGCCCGTACCGCTGCGCCAGCTCTCTGACCTCTGGCTTGGTGTAATGGCCAATGGGCATCAAGACTCTGCTGAGAACGGACTCCGGCATCTGGCTGAGATAGTACGACTGGTCTTTCGGCGGATAGCACGCTCTCAGAAGATGCGGCTCGCCCGTAGCTCTGTGCTTCATGATCCGCGCGTAGTGACCAGTCACCAGCCACCAGTTGTCCTGCGGGAGCCGGTTGGACAGGTGCTCGATCATCTTGCCGAACTTGACGTACCTGTTGCACCCGACGTCCGGATTCGGCGTCAGGCCCCTGCGATACATCTCGAGCATGGGCTCGAAGACGTCAGACCAGTACTCTTTTTCGAAATTCACGCGCTCACAGGGGATCCCGATCTGGTTGCAGATCGTCTGCACTTCCTCCCAGTCGCTCTCGACTGTGCACGTCGACACGCCTCCCCTGGTATCGGGCGACCAGTTCGCCATGAATATGCCTTTGACGTTCTTGTACTGTTTGGCATACATGAGCGCGGCTACCGAGGAGTCGACGCCCGACGACATCGAGACGACGATCTGGTCGTTTGGGCCGGGGGTGGGCTGAACGTAGTCTGCAAGCGTCGATCCGCGCAGGCAGCTCAGTCTTCGGGCCAGACGCAACGCTCGCAGTCTCATGAAAAATATAAAATTAAAAAAAAACGGCTACATGATTAAATCTCGTAGCAAAGCAATGGACCGCTGGACTTGGACGGCCCGAACGCAGGTAATCGGCCCAGAGGGTTTTTCCCGTGGCTGCTCAGTGCTGCTCATGTAAATCTGGACAATTTAGGCCCGGATCAGCTTATGGCCTATAGCGAATAGACGCTTTATGCCGTCAGAAAAATTCAGAAAAATTCCTACAGCCCCCAACGGCTTCCAGGGGGGCTGTGCAACACATGCGCTTGGTCCGGGCCCAAAAGGCTGGCCCCTGTACGCTACACTGCAAAAATATATTCTGGCTCCTGTTCTATGCCAATGCTGCTAAGCAAAAATTTTTGAAAAAATGGTGCATTAGCTCAGAGGTCAAGAGCATCGTGCTTATAGTCGGTCAGACGTCTATACTAACGTCACACATCGTTTCATTACGAAGTTACGCGATGGTCGCGGGTTCAAACCCCGCATGCACCAACTTTTTTTTTGGAGAAAACCTTTTACGGGCCGATCGACGTGCAATCGTCTCTTTTTTAGCACTCAATCGCCTCGCCACATGCGCTCTCTGTCTACTAGCATTCCTCTTTCTGTATCTGCTATTAGTCTTACTTATGCCTCAGCCAACTCTCTCAGACGTCTGATGGTGGATCTGATAGTGGCGGCAGCAGCAGTCGAAACGGTGTAGGCTCCTCCAGCAACAGTCTTCTTGCAGGACTTGCAAGTCCAGATTCCAGCAGCTCCTCTCTTGACGGTCTTCTTTCCGCAGAACGAGCAGTCGTACTTGGAGTGTTGTTGAACTTCGAGCTTCTTACATTGTCTTCTCAGGGAAGAACCGTATCTGACACCGTATTTACCGGTGATTCCAACCTTCTTAGTTCTCTTCGACCTGTTTGTTAGTTTGGGCACGGCGGCGGAGCAGAGCCGAAGTGACTGGCCCTGCGCCGCTATCTGAAACGTTATACCTACATCTCGGGTACTGTAGTTTGGAGAGTTTGAAAAAAGGTTTAAAATTTTTTATATCCGCGAGCCCTGTGTGTGCGCACGTGACGAGGCTGGTCGGAGTTTTGTTGTGGCGCAGCAGAGACGGCCGTTGTGGCGCAGGGCAGGATCAGGCTCTCACGAGTGTCTGGCGGCGCGGGCAGAGTCGCCATGCCAGCGGCATCCGCCTTGTCCTCCCGCGGTGACACGGCCGTTCTTTTCCGCGTCCGAAAATATGTCTCTCTTTGTTCCCCTTCCTAAATAATAAAATATTTATTTATTTGTTCATGGACGACGACGAGTTTTTGTACGGGTCCGCGGAGGACAGGGACGCGCAGCAGACAGAGACGACGATCGAGGCGAAGGACGGTGCCGAGCTGGAGCCAGCGCAGAAGGCCGCGAGCGAGGAGTCCAGCAGCGAGGAGTCCGACTCCGACTCGGACGTGGAGTTCATCATTGGGGCGTCCGAGTCGAAGGCGGTGGCCGTGGACGACAAGGCGAAAGAGCAGCCCGCTGCAGGCGCAGCACAGGCGTCCGTTCCGATTTTCACACAGACAACAGGACTAGACATAAACCAGGTGGCGTCGTACGAGGGCCAGCCGATCACGCAGCTGTCTCTGGAGGAGCTGAAGGAGAAGCCGTGGCGTCTGCCGGGCGCAGACATCTCGGACTACTTCAACTACGGCTTTGACGAGCTGTCGTGGCTGGCGTACTGCTCGAAACAGGACAAGCTGCGTGCCGAGTTCAACCCGTCGAAGCTGATCAACGACCTGATAGCGAGCGGCTCGATTCCGCCTAGTCTGAGCGGGCTGCTGGGCGGGATGCCTGGCGGGATGCCCGGTGCAAACGGCCAGACGCCGATGCCGCCTCCGTTCATGATGGGGATGCCTCCGTTCATGGCGATGCCCAACATGTTTGCGCCGAAGAAGGACGGCGCGCAGCCGCAGCAGGGCTCGAAACTGCCGTCGCGGCCGGCCTCGAACTCGACGCCCGAGCCGGGCAACAAGTCGGGCAGGGCGCAGGGCAGCCAGCGCGACCAGGCCGACAGAGACCTCGAGACGGGCTCGCCCCAGCAGAGCTACAGGGACCGCGGCGAGCGCGGCGAGCGCGGCGGCGGGGGCAGACGAAGACGCCGCTAGACACTTTCTGTACACTAATAATTCACTTCTCCGTATACACCTGGTTAGTTGAGCAGCACAGGGTCCTCGCCGCTGGCGACGTTGCACTGGTGCATGAGCCGTTTTTCGTGCGGCTCGAACTCGCCGGTGACGCTGTGGATCACGCCGCGGTTGTGGAAGATGCACAGGTCGCCCTTGCTCCAGCCGTGGCAGTAGATGTGCTGCGGCGAGATGGCGGGCCGCATGAGCCGGTGCACGATCTCGCGCGCCTGCTCGAGCTCGGCCACCACCTCGCCCGTGCTGCTGTTCACCAGCTGGTACACGCAGCACCCGTGCACCTGGAGGTGCTGGTTTTTGGTGACCGGGTTCGTCCAGACCATGGGCAGCTTCTTGACCTTGGACGGGTCCCATGGTGGCAGCTCGTCGAGAGGCACCTCCCTCGGAGGCTTTTCAGAGACGATGGTGAGACCGTCGGAGGTGGCCTTGCAGTTGTTGATGAAGATGTAGGGGTGCGGAGCGTACACGACGGTGTGGCTGAGAGCGAACTGCTTGTCCTCGTCGGAGAGCAGGTCGAACGCGATCTTGCCCGACGCAAACGCGGTGGCGCCCTTGACAAGCTCCTTGACCTCCTTGGTGTCCTCGTAGACGATTCTCTGCGTCTCGTTCTTCGACGGGACGATCAGCCCCAGCAGCGTCGTCACGACGGGCGGCGCCAGCTCGTACAGCGCCGCGTCGATGTGCCATCTGTAGAAGCGTGTCTGGCCGCGCGCAACCTCCTCGTCGCTCAGGACGTCCTTGTGGAAGTGGTGGTGGGTCGGGTGCTCCAGCGTGAAGGCCTTCATGCCCTCGTGGCCCGCCTCGAACGAGCCGTTGCCCACCATCTGGACCTCCGGCCGCGTAGGCACCGAGCGGCCGTCCTTGGCCAGAATCGACTTGGCCGAGTGGAACAGGCTCGGGTCGTGGCCGTAGCCGCTGCTGGTCGTCGGGTCGAACCGCACGGTCAGCGCGTGCTGCGACTGCGGCGACAGGCGCTCCTGGTTCGGCACCACCAGCACGGAGTACGTCATGAGCGCCTCCTTGAGCTTCTGGAAGTCGGCGTCGTTCAGCTCGGCAGGGTTGCTCGTGTAGCTTGGCAGACGCACCTCTGCACCGAAGGGCTGGCCGTGCAAAGGCACAAACTCGATACTCGTCTGCTCTGGCATCTTGTGTGTGGGCGGTGACAGGGCCTTATCTGGGGTTTATATACTTGGCAGGCGCGCATGCATGCGCAGACACACCCTTGCACGCGCAAAGATAAGATACTCTAGATGGCAATTCGGCGTGGCCGAGTTTTCGCTTGCGCCGCACACCGGGCCCCCGGCCGGGGCGCTGTCCGCGGAGAGAAACGGTGCCGCTAGCCGCACTTGGCCACCATCTGCTTGACCCACGGCTGGCGGCGGAACGCGTTTCTGGCCGCCAGCGTCTCCAGCACGCCCACCCACTCCGTCTTCTCGCGGCTGCTGTCGCAGCCAAAGTAGATCGTCTCGCCGTTCGCAAAACGGAGCCGGAACGCGTCGTTCAGCAGCAGCCGGTCGCTGTACACGCGCCGGCCGCCCTGGCCGTGCGCCGCCGTCTTCCCCACGTACTCGACGTCCACGACGCGCCGCAGGTTGATGCGCGCGCGCAGCTTCCGCGTCGTCTCGTGGTGCGCGCACAGGTCGTAGCCGTCGAGCGTGAAGAAGCGCCGCGTCCACACCTCCATGTCGCCGCCCTCCTGGTACATGTAGCCCTCGTGGCGCGTGGCGAGCGTGCCGCGCACCTGCTCGACCTGCTCGTACGCGTTCTTGATGCTCGTCGGCAGCGTCTCGTGCTCGCTGGTGCGCGGCACAAAGAGCATGTTGAAGTCGACCGCGCACGCTCTGTACGGAGCCGCCGTCCGTCCGCCCACGGCGGTCCACTCGTTCAGCGCGTCGAGCCGGAAGATCTTGGACTCGCACGTGACCTGCTCCCTGAAGCTGTCGAACGAGATCCTGAGCTTCGCGAACGAGCCGTCCGCGGCCAGCGCGTGCTCGAGCGGGTCCTTCTCGGCAGGGCGGGTCACGTACCGCGTCGACGTGACGATGTCCTTGACGCCGAGCAGCTTCGCCAGCGCGTTCTTCGGCTTCGCCCTGCGCTTCTCCACCACCTCCACCAGCTGGTCCTTGGGCTTGTCGTAGCGCAGCCGCAGCGTGAGCACGACGTCGAGCGACGCGCCCACCACGAGCTCGAACTCCTTGTTCACGGGCACAAACTGCGCGGACTCGACCGGGAAGTAGTCTGTCGTGAGCCGGTGGATCGAGTTGTCGAGGACGATCTGGAACTGCGCGTTGCGCCGCACCAGCTCGGGCAGGTTCAGCTCCCGCACCGCCATCACGCGCAGGAAGAACCGGCCCTGCTCGCCCAGCACGAGCGGCGCGGGCTCGCCCAGCTTTGTCGACGACGACAGCGCAGAGCCGACGCGCGAGTTCGTCTGCGCGTCGCCCAGCTGCGCCAGCTCGCCGTACCGGCGCGCGGTCTGGCCCGTGGCGATCGACAGCTCCGGCACGATCGCCGAGGCCCTGTCGTCGGTCTCCTCGCTTCTCGCGTCGCTCACCTGCACGCACTGCTCCAGGTGCGGCGCGTTGCTCTCGAACGTCAGCCTGCTGTTGGCCTCCTTGACCTGGAACTCGTCGCTGGTCACTTTCTTGAGGAGCATGAGCTGCTCCACCTCGTCCGCCGACATGCGCGGGATCGGGACGCTCGCGTTGTCGGTTTTCGCCGAGACAGGCTTTCTGCTCAGCGTGCCGCGCCGCCACACGTTGGAGAGCGTTTCTGCGTTGGCGGCCGGCGTGACCGGCGGCTGCACATGCGTCTCCGGCTGCCACGCCTCGATTTCCCGTAGGAACGAGTCGTCGCCGTCCAGGAGCACGTCCGAGAGGTGGATCGAGCCGAGCGACACCTTCGAGGTGTCGGTGTCCTGGATCGAGTCCAGCGGGTTGTGGAACGTCTTCTCAAGCGACACGTCTGGGGCAGCAAAGCTGGCGCGGCGGGGCTCGTCGCCCTCGTCGTCGGCGTCGTTGTCGTCCCGCACAAGCACCGGGTCTCTGATTTTGATGTCCTTGAAGTGGTCCGTGCTCACCACGTGCTTCTTCGGGTCGCAGATGCTCTGGAACGACGGCTGCGTCTTGTGCACTTTCTGGAAGTCTTCCTGCGTCGACCAGATCGCCAGGACGGCCTCCGGCTCGGCCGACTCGGCCGACGAGACGCGCTTTTGCGACGGTGCGATTTCTGGAGCTTCGAACGACTCGTACAGGTCGTCCACGAACGCGGCGTCTTTTGGACCCTGGCCGGTCTCGTGGGTCTGCATGGTGTCGTCGGCGGTCTCGTCGGCGATGTCGACCGTCGCGTCGCTGTCCGGCTCCGATGCGCGGCCGCTCGAGCTGCCCTCCTCGGCGGAAACAAAATCGTTCTCGCTCAGAGACGCGGTGCTGTGCGACGAGACGTGGCGGGCGTTATTAGGTGGGGCGGGCAGCGAGCCCGCAGAGTTTGCGCGGGGCGCCGTGGGCTGCTCGCGAGCGACGTTCTGCAGTTGCTCGTACAGGTTCTTGTGGGGGCTGCCCGGCCGTTTCTCGTCGACGGCGATGGTTCTCTCGGAGTCTGCCGACGTGCTGGACCGCGCCGACGGCGAGTCCCACAAATTGGCCGTCGCGGACGGCAGATTGGGCATCGACCTGATGGAGTAGTCCGACTCCGACGGCTTCAGGGCCGGCAGCGGCCTGTCAAACAGCTCGTCCGGCCCGATTTCCGGCTGAAATGCCAGCACGGACTTTTTGATGGGGCTCTGTTCAAGGGCACGGGGGCCGTTGAAGACGGGGGTCTCCTTTGTGCTCGAGTTGACGATGTTTTTTGTGTCGTTGTTTACATCCTCGATTTGCAGTGGTTCGGTGGTGGGGGAAGACGATCGGTGTGGGTTATGTGGGGGCTGCGAGCTGGTTTCTCGCAGCAGCTCGTCGATCGACTGGTTGGCCAGTTTGAAAATCTCGTCCGTAGAGGTCATAACGGCGAAATATAGGGGCTTTTCGAAATATATATGTTTAGTGTTATTCTCTTTCCAAAAGGGGAAGCGAACGAGTGTCGACGGAAAGCACGACTTTTTCTGCTCGACGCCGGGTCGTTCGCGAAGGGCGTGTCGACGGTGTCGACGCGAATTGGGATAATCGCCAATGATAAAGCATAGATATGTAACGCGCCAAAATAGGCAGTTGAATGCATGGCGTCGGGCAATCACAATCGCCCGCTGCACTACAGGCCTCCCCCCAACCAAGATGGAAAGCAGGCCAGAGAAGCGGTCGAATGACGAAAAAATGGGCGTTATCATCTTTTCTTTTTCGCGTCTGCAGAATGGGGTCACAAGGTTCACAGCTCTCGAGCGAGCACGCTGGCGGCCCACGGCCGCCAGCCTCGGCCAATAGGGAGCCTGCACACCCGCAAGCCCTGAGGCCGTGTTTCCGGATCCACGTTTTTCCGATTTCCGCTCTGGCGTCCTTATTCGCAGGCTAAAGAAAGGTCGTGTGCATATACCACTTGTTTCCAACAGCTAACAGAAACATGCAGTCGTATAAAAATAACTGGTTATCCGCTACAACGAGATAATTTAGCTAACTCTCCTTCTCTAACAAACAACAATGGTTCAAGAAATCTCGATTTTGGAACACACCAACATCCTCTCCAAGTATCTGGACCTGGATCAGCGCGGAAAGATCGTCGCCGAGTACGTCTGGATCGACAGTTCCGGAGAAACGAGATCCAAGGGCAGAACGCTGTCCAAGAAGATCACCGACGTGTCCCAGCTGCCAGAGTGGAACTTTGACGGCTCCTCCACCGGCCAGGCTCCCGGCGACAACTCGGACGTCTACCTCAGACCCGTCGCCTTCTACCCAGACCCATTCAGAAAGGGCGATAACATCATTGTCCTGTGCGAGTGCTGGAACAACGACGGAACCCCAAACAAGTTCAACCACAGACACGAGTGCAACAAGCTCATGACCGCCCACGCCTCGGAGCACATCTGGTTCGGTCTTGAGCAGGAGTACACTCTGCTGGACCCTGTGGACGGCTCTATCTATGGCTGGCCAAAGGGGGGTTTCCCAGCCCCACAGGGACCATACTACTGCGGTGTGGGTACAGGAAAAGTGTACGCCAGAGACGTCATCGAGGCCCACTACAGAGCGTGCCTGTACGCCGGCGTCACCATCTCCGGTATCAACGCCGAGGTGATGCCTTCCCAGTGGGAGTTCCAGGTCGGACCGTGCGAGGGAATCAAGATGGGAGACGAGCTCTGGATCGCCAGATACCTGCTCAACAGAGTTGCCGAGGAGTTTGGCGTCAAGGTGACGTTCCATCCAAAGCCGCTGAAGGGAGACTGGAACGGTGCTGGTTGCCACACCAACGTCTCCACCGCCTCGATGAGAAAGCCTGGCGGAATGAAGGCCATCGAGGAGGCCATCGAGAAGCTGTCCAAGAGACACAAGGAGCACATTGCTCTCTACGGTTCCGACAACGAGCTCAGACTCACCGGCCGCCACGAGACCGCCTCCATGGAGAGCTTCTCGTACGGTGTTGCCAACAGAGGTGCCTCTGTCAGAATTCCAAGATCTGTCCAGGCTGAGGGATACGGCTACTTCGAGGACAGAAGACCGGCCTCCAACATCGACCCTTACCTGGTCACGGGTATCATGGTCGAGACCGTTTGCGGCTCTATTCCAGACGCAGACATGACCAAGGAGTACCAGAGACAGTCCGCTTGAGGGTGAAAAAGAAACAGTGTAAAGATGAACGTAGATAATGAAGAGTCATTGAAGGTCATTTCCGGTTTCCGTGGTATTTTTCGTACAGGAAGTAGTGACTCTGCGCGATTTAAATTTTCAGTCTAGTTTGCGCTCCGATAAGCTGTAGTCTGTGGTGCAAGGATGTGTCTCGAAGGAGAGCTCCTCGTCCGAGAGCTCGGGCTCGCTGTCCGGCCTGGACGGGTGGAAGAGGCCGAGAGACGACCTGAGCTTCGGGAGCAGCGGCGAGCTGTCGGCTTTCTGTCCCATGAGCTTCCTGAGCATCGGCCGCTCCTCGTTCCTGAAGCTGGCCGCTCTGCTGTGCAGGTCCGAGATCCACTTCTCGTTCTCTTTGTTCAGGTTCTCAAAAAACGTCTTTCCCTTATTCAGCAGGTCGTTCGCATTGATGTTGCTGCTCAGACTGCTGGTAAATGTGTTGAGTGTCTTGGACAGCTGTGTACCGGGCTCCGGGCCGACTTTCTGGCTCCGCGGAGCAAAATTCAGCAGGGACGGTTTCTTTGCCAGCTTGCGTTCCCCGGGTATATCCATCAGTTTTCTACACTGCAGCTCCAGGTGACTGACCTCTGCCTCGACCGACTCCAGCTCCTCCTTCAATTCGAGCGCCTTGCGCTGTTTCGACGCGAGCTGGAACATCAGGCTGTTCAGCTCTTGTGTCCTTCCGTTGGCGTCTTTGACGTTTTCCTCAATTGGAACGTAGATTGGCAGACCGTGCTTGTCGGCGTCGTCGGCCGGGTTGTGCTTGTCGGAACTCTGGCGCAGCGCAAATTTGATTAGCCCCGTGCTTTCGCTGACGACCCGCTCTTTCAGCGGCGTGTTGGAGCCGGCGGCCGCCGCGCCGCTCAGCTGGTTCAGATGCGAGCCGGACAGTATGGACAGCGACTGTTTTTTGCGCAGCTGGCTCATGCTGTCGCTTTGTGCGGCCGGCGCTCGTTTTAAGTCCTGCGAGTAATGCTCCCAAACCGGCAATATCAAAATAAAAATCAGGAATAATAAATATTTCGCCAAGTAAATTATCGGCTGGCTGTGCTCGAAGAACTAAATCGCTAACCCTGCGGTCGATGTCGTACTTGGAATTTCTCGGGCTGCTGCGGGCGGCCATTTTCGCGCACAACGGCGCGCTCGTCGCGTCGTCGATCTCGTTCCTGCTCCAGCCAGACGTGCTCCAGAAAAAGGCCGACTACCACGCGTTTCTCGCCTCGATGCCGCCGGCCAGCATGCTCCAAATGCCGGACTCTGACCAGCAGGCCAACTGGGCCGACCTCGTCAAGGCGCACGTGCTGGTCGTCAAGGCGTTTCTCGTCGACTCCGACCTGGAAGCCGCCCTCGAGCAGGCCATCAACATGGTCCTGTCTCTGGTGCGCATCGCCCAGAAAGAGGACGGCTGGATCTGTTTGCCGCTCATGACGGCCACCTCGGAGCTGCGCCAACTCGGGTGCATGTACTGGAACATGAAGAACGGCGAAATAACCCTGAAAAACGACACCGTGCCGCTCGACGAGAGACTCGTGGACGTGCTGCAAAAGCCGTTCAAGACCTGTCTCACAGACAAGTCCGACACGCTCGCGCGCTCCAAGAAGCAGTACGTGTACTTTTTCGCCAACGAGGTGCTGCGCTGCTACTTCAAGTTCGCCAAGTACGAGGCTGCGTCCAATCTGTCCAAAGTGCTCAGCAAGGCGCCCAATCTGCCCGCTCTGGACCGTTCGCCCAAGTCGCACCTCGTCAATTTCCACTACTACAACGGCCTGGTGTGCTGTATGAACGACGACCTCGCCGCCGTCAACAGGCACATGACTGCTGCCCTGATTCACTGTCCCAGGGAAAGCGTCAAGCAGCAGCAGCTCATACTCCTGGTGCTGCTGCCCGTCAAGTTCCTCATCGAAAAGCGACTGCCTGGAACCGAGCTCTGGACGCGGTACCCGCAACTGCAGGTGTTCTACAACCTGTTCCACAGCCTCAGGGCGGGCGATCTGGCCGGCTTCGACCAGGAATTGGCGGCGCTGCAGGGCCTGCTGCTCAAAAAACGGCTCTACTCCATCTACCTGCGGCTGCGGCCGTTTGTCGAGCTGCGGCTGGCCCGCAGGGTCTTCGCCGCGACACAGAGCCACCAGCTGCAGCTGGAGGACCTGCGGCGCGGATTCGAGCTGAGCGCGGGCCGTGCGTACGCGCTGGACGAGGTCGAGAGCCGGCTCGCACACCTGATCGCGCAGGGCCTCGTCAAGGGCTACATCTCGCACGGCAACAAGGTGGCCGTCCTGAGCAAGCGGCAGCCGTTTCCAAGTCTGGTTACCCGGACATAGAAGAAACCCGGTGCAGCCTCAACGAGATTTTACGTATCTGTAAATACAACAAATGACAGTGGAGCTTCAGTTGGTAAGTGTGCCGCCCTTCCCCTACTGACCGGCAGTCGCAGTTCAGGCTTGAGGGAGACGCCATCAGCGAGATCGTCTCGAACGCCCGCACCCGTGCGATCGGCTGGGACAGCTGTGTCCGCGCAGACTATCTCACCGTGGAGGAGGCCGAGTGTCTCAAGAAAGTGGCCGGGTTCGCGGACGTGCACGAGAAAACGAAGTACATACTCAAGAACGCAGACTTTTACTCGACGAAAATCATCTCGCTGCTTGCAAAGGCGCCGCACGACGACATTGTGCGGTTTGTTCTTGTTTCTCTGATAGACACGATGGTGGCCCCGAAGTCGACCTTCGCGAAGAACATCCTGGGCATCGCGCATCTGGACGCGTCGCTTCCGTACGAGCCGCTGATCAAGCTGCTGGGCTCGAACGACGAGTCGATCAGGCTGAGCTCCTCGTACGCGCTGACTCTGCTGCTGATCGACGACGGCGAGTCGCACGACGGCCAGGAGAAGGTGCTGCGGCCGCTGTTCGACTTTCTGTCGGTCCGGCTGCTCGGCACGACGAAGGTGGACCTCAATTTCTTCTCGATCCAGCTCTTGAAGGAGCTTCTCACCATCAAGCAGTACAGAGCGTTTTTCTGGGAGAACCACGAGACGCTGTTCCCGCCGCTGCTCAGGGTGTTCACCGAGAGACGCGGCGAGCTGCAGATGAAATACTACGCGACCATGTCGATCTGGCTATTGACATTCATCCCGCAGGCGCTCGAGGACATCGAGAACCAGTACCCGGAGCTCGTGGGCACGCTGTACGCGGTGGCCAAGGACGCTGTGAAGGAGAAGATTGTGCGGCTTGCCATCGGCTCGCTGCTGAACCTGCTGAGCGTGAAGAAAGGCCGCGACCAGCTGGTGAAACAGTTCTTGCTGGTGAAGGGCCTGGAGATCACGAGGCAGCTCATTGAGCGGAAATGGGCGGACGAGGAGCTGAAAACCGACCTCGAGACGCTGCTGGGGATCCTGAACGAGGCAGTGACCACGCTCACCACGTTCGACGAGTACGAGAACGAGCTCAGAACCAAGAAGCTCATCTGGTCGCCGTCGCACAAGTCGGAGGAGTTCTGGATCGAGAACGTGGACCGGTTCAAGGAGAACAACTGGAAGCTGCTGAAGGAGCTGCTGCAGCTGCTGGACACGTCCGCGGACCCGGAACAGACGTATCTGAACCAGGCGATCGTGTGCTACGACGTGAGCCAGCTGATCAGGGTGGCCCCGGAGGTGGTGAAGGTGCTGGACAGGATCGGGGCCAAGGCGAAGATCATGTCGCTGATGAGCAGCGCAAACACCAACGTCAAGTTTGAGGCGCTGCGCACGACACAGCAGCTTGTGGCCCGCTCGTTGTAGGGGGCGTCGATCGACGCGCACAAAAACAGTCGAATAAATAATGCACATCAAATGAAAGCTGAAATATAAAATTTTTCCACCAGCCATGTCTCTGATCAACATCTGCAGAGAGAACAACGACCCGTTCTACCGGTACAAGATGCCGGCGATCCAGGCCAAGACAGAGGGCCGCGGAAACGGTATCAAGACGAACGTTCTGAACGCGGCGGACGTTGCGCGGGCGCTGGCGCGACCAACGGCGTACGTGATCAAGTTCTTTGGGTTCGAGCTCGGTGCGCTCACCAACATCGACGAGGAAAAGGAGAAGTTCGTCGTGAACGGGCAGCACGACGCGGGCAAGCTGCAAGACGTGCTGGACAACTTCATCAACCGGTTTGTGCTGTGTCCGTCGTGCAAGAACCCGGAGACAGAGCTGGTCATCACGAAGGACGACAACGTCATGCGAGACTGCAAGGCGTGCGGTAAGGTGACGAGCTGCGACCCGCGCCAGAAGCTGGTGACGTACATTCTCAAGAACCCGCCGCCGAAGAAGAGCAAGAAGTCCGGAACCGCGTCCGCGAACGTCGGCGGCGGTGGCACCAAGATCGCCGAGATCGCTGAGAAGCAGAAACAGTCGCAGGACGAGGACGTCGACGCGGTGCCGTTCGACGGCGACGCGCCTCCCTCGCAGAAGATCGAGGTCAAGGACGAGGACTGGGCCGTCGACATGTCGGAGGAGGCCGTCAAGGCGCGGGCCAGGGAGCTGGAGGGACTGACGCTGAGTTCCGACGCGCTGGACAAGTACGAGGAGTTTGGCGAGTGGCTGCTGCAGGACGAGCTGCCCGACGACGTGGAGATCTTCAAGAAGGGCTCGGAAATGGGCATTATTGGCGACGCCAAGACGATCGAGGTTCTGGCACAGGTGCTGTTCGACGAGAATATTGTGGACGAGATAGAGGAGCACAAGGGCCTGCTGGGCAAGCTGGTGACCACGGAGACGCACGAGATGTCGCTACTGGGCGGAATCGAGAGGATGATCGGCTTGAAACACCCCGAGCTCGTCAAGATCGTGCCCAAGGTGCTGATGGTCCTGTACGACAACGACCTGGCTTCGGAGGACGTGATCAGAAACTGGGGGACGCACGTGAGCAAGAAGTTTGTGCCGAAGGAGACGTCCAAGAAGGTCCGCAAGGCGGCCAAGCCGTTCCTCAAGTGGCTTGACGAGGCCGAGGAGGAGAGTGACGAGGAATAGCTCACAGCTACGTAGCTTACATTCATAATGTTTCATTACTGTATCATGGTACAGGTCCTAAAAGAAGAGCTGCTGCTCCTGGCCCAGAGAGAGCTTATCGAGCTGCTGCCGCAGGATCAGGTCGTAGTCGACGTCCGCGCTGCTGCTGTTGCTTGTTGCCGGCGTCGGATACTTGTCGTTGGCAGAGTTGGACCGCGACCGCGACGGCCGCTTCTTGCGCGCGGCGCTCGACGTGCGCTGGTGCATCTTCAGCCCCACCTCCTCGTAGAGCCGCTTGTACTGGTGTCCGCTGAGATTCGGGTCCTGCAGAACGTGCCGGACACGAGAACTCATGTGGCGGCGCAGATCGGCGTCCACAGACGGCGTAGACAGCACCTTGTACACGAACGTGGACCCGTTCGAGCTCTTGTCGCTCAGAATGTGGCGCAGCGTGTCGAGCGGCTGCGCGGCGTCCTCGTAGTCCAGCACGTCGTCACCGAAAATGCGCATCAGGATCAGGTCCCGCGTCTGCAGACTGCCCCGGTAGTTGAGCAGCTTCAGCACGCTCAGGTTGCCCACTTTCGAGCAACAGACCTTGACAAAGGCCAGACCGTCGTCCCGCTTCTCCTGCAGCAAGATTCTCGTCAACATCAGGTGCCGGTCGTCGATGACCTGGCACGTGTCGAGGAACCACGTGATCAGGATCGAGCCGTTGGGGTCGCAAACGAGCTCCCAGAACCACGTCAAAACACACGTGGCGATGGCGACGATCGTCTCGCGGCTCACGCTCTCGCTCTCGAGGCACGTCCTCACAGCACGGGCGCCGAACCTGTTCTTGGACAGCTCCAGAAACGTGCTGAGCATCGCCTCCGAGATGAAGTCGTTGTATGGAGCACCAAACTTGAGCACTCCGTGGATCACGTAGTTGGCGTACTGGTCGTTGAACAGCTGCGTGCAGTATGGCTTGACCGCCTCTGAAACCATCCACTTCTCCCTGTCTGTGGCAATGGTGTTGATGATTTTCTGCGCCGCCCAGGTGCCGTTCTTGTGCGCGCCGATCTGGGCAAAGTACGGCGTTAGCTTTTTGATCATGGAGTCTCTGATCGGGATGTCGCAGACCTCGAACAGCTTCTGCACAATGGTGTTGCCAAGGTAGTCGGAAGCGAGCTCCGGAAGCTCGTTGTGCATTGCGAGGGCCAGCTCCTCGATCTCGAGCTTCGAGAGGTGGTTGCCGTCCAGCTGTTTTCTGATTTCTCTCAGTTTTGGGGTATCAAAGTGTCTGACAACAGCAGGCTCTGGCATTTTTCCCAGGTCTGACTGGCGCACGCTTGGGTAGTTTAGGGCCTTGTTGATAATGATATTAAGATGCAATCTCTCGCTTGGAGTGAGGTTGATTTTCTGGAGAAGGACGTTCAGCGACGACTGGAAAATAAAAAACTTGTCGTTCAGAATCGTCATTTTTGAGCTCCCGTTCAGCAGCTCGTCCTTCTCGCCATTAGTAGATATGGTTGGCACATTAACAGGTGACTTGGGCTTGTCGTTGAGCGACAAGATCTTGGCAAACGATACTATGCAGCTCAGCCCGGGGAGCAGCTCCTGATAGTTCATTTTGGACTTGCATCTCATGGCGCTTTCGACGTCGGCAAACTCCGCAATGGCCACCAGGTCGGCGTTCTCCGTACAGGTCACGATCCGAACAGAAATCATCGGACCGAACTGGCTGAGCATCTTGTAGAAATTCATGGAGTTGGTGAAACTTGTGTCGCTGGGGATGTTGATGAACAGCAGCGTGTTGGTTGGCCCCAGAGACGGGTTCGTGTGGGTCGAGGTGATGGATATACACGCTTCTGGCAGGTTGTCCTGCAACTTGGGCATAGGTGCGGGATGCGGGAAGATGGCGCTGGTGTGGGAGCGCGGTCTGGTGGCAGGGTCGTCCAGTATTCCAAACTGAACGGGGGAAATTAGCTCCTCTTTGATCGGAGTGTACTGCTGCAGAAACACCTTCTCTGACGGGTTGAACATGGCATTGTTGGCAGAGTACGACCGCAGTCTATTAGCAGAGTTGACTGGAGGGGTCGTAGGCACCGCGCTCGATGCGCTGGCCGACAGGAGCGAGTCGAGGTCGATGTTGAGCTGCGGGACGTGGAGCGAGGTGTTGTTGGTGCTCAGCTCCTGGGGGACCTGCAAAAACGTCGAGCCCGCGTCCTGCTGGTCGGACCAGATGCTGCTCTGGATGGACGATGACCGGATCCGCGGCTGTGCGGGCTGGCCGAGGAAGTTTGGGTCCTCGTACACGGCGTTGAGCCCGGGACTGATGCTGACGTTGAGCGAGCTTGTCTCGGGCGGCATCAGCGGCGTGTTGGCCGCGCTGGCCGACGACACTTGCCCCGCACTCGACGCCAGCTTCGTGGGCAGTGTTCCGCTCCGGTGTCTTGTGCGAATCCCCACGTTCGACGCAGAACTGACAGAACACGAGTTCAGCGGATCGAGTGCCGGTGTTCCGAGCAGGCCGTGGTCGGAGCCCAGAAAGCTGGACACGTCAATCGAGGCCGACCGCTGCTGCGCCCCGGCCGTCTCCGGGTCCTGCGGCGGCGTCAGTAGCACATTAGGGTTTTGTTGGAAATCTCCAAACAGAGGCAGACCTTGTTGCATTGGTTCGGATTAGTGAGGAAACACACTGCTTGCTGGCAATTCTAGACGATTAAGGCTGTGTGGACGCAACTCTAGACAAACTAGTTGGTTTCTAACTATTCTATAGGGGGCAACAGGATAGTTTGCCGAATGTCCAAATGTTCTTTTATGTATTTTGTTCAAAATTCCCTCTCTTTACCGGCCGTGCCAAATTTTGTGGCGTAGACTCACGACCATTCTCGGCGCAAGCCGGGGCAGCCCTGCCGGGAATAATTGTGGGGAAAAAAAATTCAAGCGCGCGCGCAGAGCTGCTCCGGATCTCATGTCTTCTTCTTCTTGCTACGGCCGCTACAGCGGCACTTTTGCTTCGCCCTACGAGGAGCCGTCCAAATGGACGCCGCCCAGCATGTGTGGAGGGCCATTGACCGCAGTGGCCGAGCTGTGCACGCTGAAAACGGCATGGAGACTGCTCAAGGTGACACCGTTGCTTCCCTCGCTGCCCTACGACTACACAGAGCAGCGGGCCTACGGTCCGCGGTTCAAGACGCTACGGTTTACTGCCCGGCCGCCACAGCCGGCAGAAACACATCTGTCATACGCCAAAAACTTTTATTCCAGCTTTTATCAAAAAAGGACCAACTCGAGAATCCTCAACTCCATGTCCCTGCTACGCAAAATCGACCCTGCGCGCCACACCGAGCTTGGCCTCGTGGAGGACCACGTGCACGCGCTAGAGTTCGGCACGCCGCCGCCCAAAAACGTCGCGGAAACCGCCAAACAAACGGCCAGATTGATCAACAGTCTGCGGCTGCTCAACCTCGAAAACACGCTCGAGAAAAACTACGGCCGCGACAGCGAGCCGTGTCTCATGGTGCAGGACCCGGACATCTGCAACGAGATCTGGACAGAGCTCAACTTCCTGCGCACAAGCCTCGAGCCGATCTTGAACGGTCTCCTGTGCATTTCGGATATCCCCTCGTCGGCCAGCGTAGAAAGCTTATATGGACATTAACACCGCGGTTGCGTTATAAATCCTCCATCACCTCGTCGTCGTCGATCGTCTGGAACAGCTCTGTCTCCGGCGGCCGCAGCTGCTGTCTGGGCTCGGGTCTGCCACGGAGCGCGGCGTTGGCCTGCCGCGCCCGCTGTGGATGGTGCGGGTGGTTCTGAAGCAATTGGAAAAATCTCTGGATGCGCGGAACGTGTTCGGCAGGAAGCCTCGTGAAAACACACCGGCCAAAGAGCTCGAGATGCGCGCGCGGCACGTTGAGGCCGTGGAACTCGTTGATGAACCGGTCCAGCGTGTCCACAAACACGCGCAGTCTCTCTCTCTGTATCGGGTCGGCGCTGAAGAGGGCGCTGTTGACGTCGTCGACGCCGTCAATCACCGCAGCAATGATATCTAGCAGCTCGGCAGCCTCTCTCTCTGGATCCTGAGGAGTCTCGAACAGCTGCAACAGATGGTTGCGCAGCTGTGCAACTCCCTCCCCGCTGAAAACGCAAAATATGGACTTTTGATGCAAATTGAACTCCTGGGGAGGCTCGCGGCAGAACTGGGTGATGTCTGGCCGGAGGAATTGAGACACCCCCGTGAGCGATATGTGTGTAAGTTTCGGACAGGCCTTGAGCAGCCTGTAGATAGGATATATGGTTAGATTCATGCAATAACTGAGATGGACACGCTCCAACGTGTCGTCGCTGTTTCTGGCATTGTTGGCGAGAGCAAGAATGCCCTCGTCGGTGATCTGCGCGCACTTCACCAGCCCGATCCGCCTCAGTCGGGGCAGCTGCGACAGCTCGTACACTGTCTCGTTGGTCAGCTGTGTGCAACATGCAAGGTCGATATACTGCAACCGGTAGCAGCTTTTTATGAGGTCTTTGGCTCCGAAGTCTGTGATATTGCTGCAATGGCCGAGGTGCACGTAGTGCAGGTTCTTGCCGAGCGTCGCGATGGCACGGAGCGACGCGTCGGTGATGGCCGTGCACTTCGACAGCACCACGTTCCGCAGCTTCGGCGCCAGCTTGATGACCTTCTCGACGGCCCTGTCGGTGATGTTGGGACATTGCGTGAAGTCGAGGATCCGCATCTTGTCCAGACACAGCTGGGCGCCCGTCTTGGACTCGAAGCACTCGTACGTGATGTTTGCGTTCTTCGAGATCTTGAACTCCTTCAGAAACTCGAGCTTGGAGAAGAGGTTGTGCAGCGATTTGTTGGTCACCTTTTCGCAGCCATGCAGATCGATCTCAACGAGGTTCGGGCAGTGCGTGACCAGCTGGTCGACGACCTCGTCGTCGACGTTGTTGCAGTCGCTCAGCTTGACCCGCTTGAGCAGCGGACAGCTGCCGATCAGCGCCAGAACAGCCTTTTTCGACACCTGAAAAGACCCCGGCGCGTACAGGCCCTGCAGCCGCTTGCAGTTGTTGGCCAGCTCGTAGTATATGTCGTCCTGGATGCCCTTGACGCCCGTGAGGTCGATCGACTGCAGTCGGTGGCAGCCGCGTATTATTTCAGAGATGTGCTCGTGCGAGATGTTGGAGCAGTTGACGAGCGTGATTCTCTCCAGATGGTTGGCCCCGGAAAACAGGCTCAGGTACTCGTTCGTCACCAGGTGCGGCACGAGCGAGAGGTTCAGCCGCTTGATGTACTTTCTATAGTCCCACGCCGTCTGCGTGCGTGGAATCGCCATCACCTTGCCCAGTCGCTCGAAAATGGCGCGCGAAGAGATCCCCGGACGGAACCAGATCAGCTCGATGATCAGATTCGCCCAGTACCGGCACGTCAGCGCCACAGATATGAGATCCGACTTGGAGTTCAGGTACGAGAATATCACACACAAGATCTCTGGCGGAAGAACAGCGATCGGACTGCGGATCGCGCTCGAGGTGTAGCCCGACTCAGACGCGATCGAGCTGTTCCGCGCCCTCGACCGCAAAAGCAGCTTGCGCGCGTGCTGCTCGTTGTCTGTGTCCGGGTCGTTCATCTCCTCGTCGCTGCCTGCGCCGTCCAGGGCCGGGGCGCGCTCGTTCGAGTGTCTAATGCTGATTCCAAGCGGATTGGAGCTCAAAGACGACATGGACCCGAGCGATGAGCTGTTTGTGTTTGGTTGGTCAGACATGCTGAGAGCTTTGCCTGCAGGAGGTTTTCAGGAAACAACAAATCAGGATGTGGCTGTGTGGCGCTCGAAGCTATCAAAGTGTATCTGTCGTGCGTATATATGCTGGATATGGCCTCAAATACGCTCAATCCCGACCGTAAAATACAATCTTCCTTGTATCGAATTCTCTATTTATCATTGACGCCATCAGACGGGAGTTTTTAGCATGGAAAAAACACACCCTTACACCGCAGACGCGAAAAGAAGCGGCCTAGAATACCACATCCTCACCGGTCTCTTCCGCCACCGGCAGGGACTCCAGAACCTTCAGCGCGCGCGCAGCGTCCTCCCGGAACCCGCGCACCATGTCCTCTGTCTTTTGCGCCACCAGCTTGGCCGCCTGGTCTGCCTGGTAGTTGATCCACTCTTTCAGAGTCATCTCGAGCTCTTCTTCTGGCATCTCCGCCACAAAGCTCGTCAGCTTGCCCTCCAGGTCGTCATTCAGCGACCGGTAGTCCGAGTCGAGCAGTTCCTGTGTATACTTGATGGCCTCGTTGAACTCCTCCGTGTGCGATCGCTTTTTGATCGGCTCCCAGAGCGGGCCCTTGCTCACCTCTGGAGTGCTCTGGTTCTCGGATAGGTGTTCAATGTTGAGCGATAGGTTGGACAGAGAGTGGCCGGACTTCGCAGGCTCGCTGGTTGCGCACTGCAAGCCGTCCTTGGGCCCGGTTTCCCGTCTCTCAGAAAGAGCCCGATTGGGCGACGAGTCCATGTCTTGGGCCGTTGGCACAGGTGGTTCTGCAGACGGTAGCTGCAGTTGCTCTGGCTCTGCAGCTGTTCCAGAAGCGTGCTCGTCCTCTTCGTCCTTCTCCCGTCTAGTGCTTTCTTCATGCTTTGTGTCTTGCTGTTCGTAGATCTGCACCCGTTCGGGAAAAATATGGCGTTCGTATAGCGCGACCGACTCGCCCGTCTCCGCAAGCTTGGTGCGCTCACGAGCCACGTTTGTCTCTGACTCTGGTTCCGGCTCAGCTTTCTCTAAAGTGTTAGCCTCAGAGTCCTTGCTTTCTGTGCTTGGGGTCTCCTTGAGCTTCCGTGCTCTCCGCTTCGCTCTTCTCCGGAACGAGAGAGGATCGTCTGACGAGATGATGTGCCCATCAACAAGCCGTGAACGCACACGAACGTCCCTCCCAACCAGCCCTGCTGGAGATACAGTTGGCACTCTTGAAACCTCAGGAAGAGGCGTGGCATTTTCGTCGTCCAGCAGCACCTCGTTTTCGTCGTCATCATTAGCCTGCAACTCTTCCACCTTTGCATTAGGTTCATCCTCCGTTTTTTCCTCCTCAGCTTTTGTTTCGTCCTCCTCTTCAATGCTTTCCATTTTATGCTCAGCCTTTGGCTCCATCTCCTCCTCCGAGAAGTCCGTCTCCACGAGCTCCTCCACGTACTTCTTGGGCTCTGTGTGTGGAGCAGGCTCCGGAGCTTCATAAGCAGAGTCTGTTTCGGCCGGGACTAGCGACTGAACGGATTTCTCGGCCTCACGCTCCTTGAGCCCATTCCGGAGCGCCTTCTCTTTCCTTTTCTTTTCTTTCTCCTTCTTCCTCTCTCTTTTCTCCTTCTTCCTCTTTTTCTCGGCCTCCTTCTGCCTCTCCTTTTCTCTCTCCTTCTCTCTCTCCTTCTCCTTCGCCGCCTTCTTGCGCTTGTGGTGTTTTCTGTGCTTTTCTTCATGCTTCTTTCGCTTTTTGGAGGACAGGTCTTCCGCTAGCTGCTCTTCCTGCTGCCGTTCGGGCTGTTCGACCGGCTCTCCGGTCTCCTTCATTAGTATGTCATCGCGAGTGCTTTCATCAAGCATGTCCATACCGTCTGCTGGACCAACAGGATCCAGCTGTTTGATTTCTCGCAAAGACTCTTCGATTCCCATGGGAATGCTCTGACTGTCCGGCACTTCCAGCTCTGGTACACTGAAATCGGGAATATGCTCCATTGGTACGTCTTCCGCCTGCTCATGCTCCTCTTCAATTGGCTCTGGCACTTTCTCGTCCTCTGGCTCCCGAACAGGCTCTAGTTGTCTCTCGGCCGCTTCGGACGCGCGCTCGCCAAACGAAGACCGCGAACGGTTAAAGAAGGTGGACGACCGTCGCGAGTCCTCCACAAAGAAAAGATCCTCCAATTCGTTCAGCGTGGACATCGGAATCTCAACAGGCTCGGCCTCCCCTTCGACGCTCTCGTCTTCTACTATCTCCTCTTCCAGTCGCATGTCGTCCAGCACCGGTGCAGGCCGCTTGACGGGCTGTGCAACCTCTGTCTCTTGTGGACCCGCAGCATCGGCTTCCTTTGGTTCTGCCACCTTCTCGAGATCTCCAGCATCCACAAGTTCTTCGCTATTATCCAACAGCTGGCGGTCAGCCTCCTCTTCCTGCTGCTCCTTCTGCGCTGCCTCGTCAGCGTCTTTCCCCACATCCTCCCCCTCTGGCAGCTCCTGGATCACCCTCTCAACGGAAACGTCCGAGATCTCCACCACATCCATGTTCACGTCGCTGGCCCGTCTGGAGTACACCCCGCTGCGCCTTCGCCCTGCAAACACATAGCAGTCGGGCCTGCGCTTGCGGTGCTCCTCGGCAACGCTGTCGCCGGCCTCCCAGCCCTCCAGACTCGTGCCACAGTACATGCATGTGGTGGTGTCGTCGCCCTTCTCGTATGAAGCGTAGTAGAACCCGTTTTCGGCCAGCTCGCGACTGGATGGCATCTTCTTGTTCCGCTCATGCGGCCAACATGCCATCTTGAACGTCTGGTGGCGTATATCTGCCGAATCCTGCACGCTAGCAAATAAGTCGTTCTCGTCCCAGCCCAGGCCCTCGCTCTCGTGCAAATGTCTGCTGCTGAGCACCCTGGAGTACGGGCACTCGGGCGAATTCCGCAGATGGCGCACCGAGGGAGGCTCTGTTGCGCCCGGAGCCCACCCAAACTCCTTCACCTTGCACGTGAAGCACCCGACCCTGTCCATGTGAGTCTTTGTAGGATCGAAGTAAAACCCGTTGATGGCCATCGTCTCGCCCGACGGCGTCGACAGGTGCCAGTAGACCATCTCGCCGGCCTTGTAGACGCCGTCAAAGGACGCCTCGCGCTCCTTCACGGAGCCGTATTTCTTTCTCATACGCGAATAAAAATAAACAAACAAAGGAGAAGATATTTGATGTAGAGGAAATACTGAGAAATATATTCTGCGTGGGGGAGGGGGAAGGCGGTGCTAGCTTGTGCTCTGGCACCGCAGTGCACACACTACGGCTGGAGCGGCGCAGAGAGCCGCGGCGTCTGCTCTGTGACTCCTCGCCGGCCACGCCGCGGGTCCTGCCGCGGTCGTCTCGATAGCACGTCTCTGAGCCCCTCGCAAATGCCCCCGTAGCACGTCAGATCGCGGCACAGTGTGCACCCGCGATTTTTCTGCCCCCACCCTGCTACATGACGAAGGACAACTTTTCAATTTATTTAAATTTGGCCAGCTTATTTTTATTTTCATGTTCGAACAAGTCAAAGAGCGCCTGCTGCTGCTGTTCCGCACAGGAAAATACGCCCAATTGGCGCCCGCAGAGCTGGAAAACGTGTACCAGGTCTCTAAGACGTTTCTACGACTGAACGAGTCGAAGCTCGCCCCGCTGGAGTACTACACCCTCCTGGAACTGCACTATTTCCTGTGTCTGCTCACGACAAGGGACACCGAGGCAAAAACGGCGCTGGACCGGTTCAGCGACAAGTTCGAGGCCAAGAACAGCGAGAAACTGGTCGTTCTCAAGAGTTATTACGTCGAAATCCTCGGCAAGAAAGACGCCCTCGAGTACCTGGAGGCGGCGGCCGTGCCGTTGATCCAGGCAAGACCGAGTCTGACGGCGGAGCCCGTTCAGCACCACCAGAAAGACCTGCGGCAGGTCGAAAAGCGGAAGGTGGCGCTCAAAAGCGATTCGCCCGCCAGCTACATCAAAAACCTGCTTGAATATATTAGCGATACTCCGCTGGATTACGAGTCGTGGATGGAGCTCGCAGAGCAGTACGTTGCTCTTGGCGAATACGAAAAAGCATACGACTGCGTCCAGGAGGTGCTTGTGGGCGTTCCCGCGGCGTATGTGGTGTGGTGTCGTGCCGGAGAGCTCTGTCGGCTGATGTTTCTTCGCGACGGACGCGGCAAAGAGGTGCTGCAGCAGGCGATGAGGTCATTTATGCGCGCGATCGAGCTCTGCGAGCTCCACACGCGCAGCTGGTGCGGTCTGCTGGCCACTGCGAGAGACTTGAAGGACAAGAAGCTGGAGACTCTTGCCAGAAACAAGCTGGAGCAAATCGTGGAGGAGGACCGCACAAATGACACCGATGTGGGGAGAATCCGGGAAGTGCTCGCACTGGTTGGCTAGACGATGGTGCAACATCGGGACTCCTGTTTGGCGGCGCGGACCTGCTGTTTCTCGGAGTACCTGCTCTCTGAAGGCCCCCAGAGCTCGGGAATGAGCCCGTCGCGTGTCGTTTCGGTGTATTTGATGATCATGAGCGAGCTGTTCGACGCATTGATGCGCTCGCGGGCAAGCTCTTGTTTCAGCCTGTTGTTGTACTGGTTCAGTCTCTCCAGCTTCATGGTCTTCATCTTGTTCAGCTGGACGATTCTGAGCAGCTTCTCGTGTTCCGGGTCTGTGGAGCTGCCCGACGCCTTGAATGGGCTTCTTTGCGCGTTAAATTCCATCGTTTCGACGGTATCGTACTTTGAACGTCCTAATATAGTTGCTTCTTAAGATCGAATTAGCTTGTATCAGGTTTGCGTCCCAACAATGCAGTGTGAGGCTGTGCGGCTCGTGGTGCGTTGTGTGAATCAAACTGTTGCAGCACGTAGCTGTAGACTGCCTTATCCAGACTGCTGTGCGTCCGATTTGGGAACGCGCCGTAGGCATGTGTAGCCACTATTACAGTTCCCTACCTTATATAACAGAAAATAGGAAATAGCTCCATTTGTAACCCGCCACGCAAAAACCCCCAACTCAGCCCCCCACCATCTGCTCCTTCGACTCCAGCTTGATGCTTGCAAGATGCTCTTTGGTGTCGTTCTCCTGGAGCTCTTCGGCTTCGTCCTGGCCACACCCGCAGTCGTAGTCCTCTAGAATGGTGGAGCAATCGTACTCCTGCTTGTGAAGTCTCAAATTCACCTGGTTATGAATGTGGCAACCCCATAACGCAGCGGTTTTTCGCGAGCTCAGCTGTGGAGGGTACTTCTCCAGGAGCACAGCAAAGTGGCGGGCACAGTCTCCACACGGGTACACAAGGGCAAACGAGCGAATGTAGTCCGCGAGGTGCTGTTTCTGCTCGGGCGTCGGGTTCTCAGGGTATCTGGCAAGGATGGTGTGGAATAACTTCCAAGATGCATTTCCAAGCTCTGCTTTGAGCGTCTCGTTGCTCATTTTGGGCATGAACGGCACCGAGTTTTTGGCTTCGACCGGCTGTGTCTTTTGCGAGATTGGCACAGGGGCATCGAGATGGCTTTCCGATAAAGAGTTATTGGCAAGCGCAAAAACCAGTATCACCAAGATCACTGTGGTGCCGAAGACCACGCCTGGCGATTTTTTGTAAGACCGCAAAAGTCGTGAGATATTCATTGGTACGTGCTTATTATTATTTCTAGGGTTTTTTAAAATTGATTTATTTCCTATGTCAAACCGTGTCCCCAAGTATAACTCCATCGACTCGTTTCAGATCGATGCCGCGCGCAAGATGCATCAGCTCACGACGAGCAGCAGAGTGCCGATGCGTCCTCCGGTACGCCGGACGCCCGAGCAGAAGCCCAAACTGCCAGTCTCGACAGATTCTCCCAGTTGCGCCTCTTGTGGCACGGTTATAACCCCGGGCCCGGTGGCCACGTTGCCCATCAAAGACACCCCGAGCATCAAGGTCGGGGATTTCAAGATATATACCGCTCGCCATCCGATTCTGAATGCCTCTGAGATCGACGAGTTCGAGTCGATCCTCAACTTGCCCGTTCCTGAAATGATCTTTGGAAATAACCGAGTTCGCATCAGCCATCCGAGGCTCGAGATCGATTTTTGCGCGCTGGATGCCCTCAAGCTTGTGGAGTCGAACCCGTCAAACCTTATACAGGTCAGCTACGCCTCTGAATGGGTAAAGAGCCGCCAGCATAAGCACCACAACAAGTCCGATGTCGTGCTCGAGATGTACAAACCATTCGACTGGACCTACACAACGCTGTACAAGGGCACCATAACGGGGACGGCGCTCACACGTGACGACGACATGAAGATTCCTCTGGAAAAGCTCCAGCGAAAAGACCCAATTCTGTTTTTCGATGAGATGGTGCTGTACGAGGACGAGCTGGGCGATAACGGCATTTCGGTGCTGAGCATCAAAATCAGAGTTATGCATTCGTGTTTGCTGCTGCTGCAGCGGTTATTTGTGCGTGTCGACAACGTTCTACTGAGGATATGTGACACGCGGGTCTACATTGACTTCGAAGAAGACCTGGTAATCCGGGAGTTCAAACAGCAAGAGATCGAGTACGACAAGTTATTCCGTCTCTGCACGGGAAACGACCCGCGCAAGATGATGCGCGACATCAACTGGTGTTCGCAAAGACTGCCCGTGATCAAGGTCGAGCGTGAGTATGCCAGACTGACTATATAACTGGAAAAAAAATTACTAAATCTGTACATCATCAGAACGCAGTTATGAGGTTATCTCGGCCTCCGCTGATCAGGTTCTTTTCGACACCCAGAGTTGCCGTGATAGGATCCGGGCCTGCAGCGTTCTACACGTCACTCGACATCCTCAAATACGACATCCCCGTGCAGATTGACATGTTTGAAAAAAGGCCGTGTCCATTTGGACTGGTCCGGTTTGGAGTTGCTCCCGACCACCCTGAGGTGAAGAGCTGCCAGGAGCGGTTCCATGACGCCAGCAAAGACCCGCGGTTCCAATTTTTCGGAAACGTGGAAATCGGCCGAGATATTAAGCTGAAGGAGCTCTACGACAACTATGACAGCATTGTCTATGCATATGGATCCAGCAGGGAGAACAGGCTCGGAATCGCGGGAGAGGATCATCCTGCAGTGATAAACTCGAGAGATTTTGTGGGATGGTACAATGGAGACCCGAGAAATCAGGATCTAAACCCGCCTCTAGATAAGGCCGGGGAGGTCACCATCATTGGTAACGGAAATGTGGCCATGGATATAGTTAGGATTCTTCTAGCGCCCGCCAAACATTGGGAAAACACCGACATAACTCCATATGCGCTTGACATGCTGCAGAAATCCATCGTGAGAAAGGTCACGGTGAGCGCGCGGCGTGGATTTTTGGAAAGCAAGTTTTCCAACAAGGAGTTTAGAGAGTGTTTGGAACTGGACAAGTGCGGCGTGGCCTTCACTGGATGGGGTGCAGAAACGTTTGAGCCACTTTTGGCAGGAATGAAGTTGGGACGGGTGGAAAAAAGAAGGCTACAACTGGTCCAGAAATATTGCCAGCCCGCTGCAGAGGGCAAGTCGTGGAGGCTTGACTACCTGCAGACGCCCCTGGGGATCAAAGTAGACCCGAAACAGCCTTCTCTGTTGAAGGAAACCATATTCCGGAAAAACCGAATCTCGCCGTCGGGGGAAATTGTGCCCACCGAAGACCTTAGTTCGGTGTCGAACCAGCTACTAATTCTCTGCATAGGCTACAAGGGTGAGGCACTGGCTGAATTTGACGAGCTCAACATCCCTTTCGACACCAACCGTGGGGCAATCCCCAACAGGGAAGGCCGCATTGAAGGTATGGAGCGATCGTATTGCGTGGGGTGGATTGCCAATGCTTCCCGCGGATCGATCAATTCTACAGTCGCAGACAGCAGTATGGTTGCTAGCCACGTCGTGGCAGACCTGGGCAAAGTTCAGGACTCAGCCAAAAAAGGAAGAGAGGCCATAACCAAGCTGCTTGCGCAAAGAAACGTGAAAGCGATCAACTGGGACGACTGGATCAAAATCGAGCAGTATGAGCGGTCGCAAGGCCGCAAGCTCACAGATTTCAACTCAATGCTAAGTGTGTGTAACGATGGCTCATGAATTCAGCTGCTATAAAGTCTAATCATTCTAATGCTCTTTGTGGTGGGACAAGTGGAAGTAGTACTCCAAACCGTAGCCGACAGCGAGGAAGAAAAGCGAGGCGTGCAACAATGGAGCTCCAGAGCCCGTGTCGAAGTACTTTTGTCTGTACAATCCCAATGGGCTCTTAGCCTTTGGGATAGAGGCCTCACCTCTTGGAAGCTTGGAGTAGAACGACACAATGTGTTGCATTCTCTTTGCAGCCGGGTTCGAACCCAGGTTGGAGGCGGAAGCAACCTTGGGTGGGATCAAAGTGGTCAAGTTTCTTCTGAAAACAAAGGACATGGTGGCGATGTGTTTGCACAAGTTTTCGAAATATTGGAAAACTTCGCGGGCCATTTTTTAATTGGGTTGGCATAAAAAAAGTGCACATGTGCGCGACGTATATAAATCTTGGCTCACGACAGAAGGTTGTGTTGTGTAAGGAGATCCACAATTACTTTGCCTATTATCGAAGATCAATTACGTTGTGTCATACACAGAAAACCCCCCTGCAAAACAACACAGATACGAGGCGGATATGCACTAGTTTTGTAGCGAGATACGCCCCACATGCCAATTTGGCATTAAAATTGTAAACCCGATCCGAGGGATGTTTTGGGGTAAAAGGAACGCCAGTGAACGTTCTGCGTGAGTTGTGGATCTGGCATTTTATGGCTCTCCTGAATGGTCATTTGTTGCAGGCTCCAGCTAGATGTTAGTAGATGCAGGGTTGAAAGGGTGGGGAGTAAAATTACCTCTCGGTTTATTGATCTTTGGGTTGCTAATAATAAAAGAGAACAAATTACTTGCATCTAACACACACGCTATTGATCTCCCACAAGGCTTGCATTTCTTACATATTAGTCCCCCCTCTATTAAGCTTAAATCTGTCCCGCAGATTGGATCGGATCTCAGCGATAAGTCAATGTTGGATCCAAGGGCTCGTAAAAAGGAGGGATAATACGCAAAGGGGCACAGTTTCGAAAGGCAGGGAGTTCATCACAGGTTTCCCCTCCCATATGATCATTGAACTGCACAAGACAGTCTCCTCCTGCACAAATGAGAGTAGGCCCAATATGCAATGCATAGCACATCTTGCATCCCAGTGTAGATTTGTGAAATAATTATTTTTGTGTATCCCTGATATGTGAATGGTATCCCAAATTCTTTGTTCCGACTCCCAGCTTTTTATAATCTTTTGTTTGTTGCTATCAGGACGCATGTCAACGCATGGCAGGCCACAGAACTCCATATGATTGGACGACCGAACATGGTGGAAAAAACTATAAATTCCTGAGGTGCTGCTGCCGATCTAAAATCAGCAGCTCTGAGAGTTCCATGTTATTCTACCTCTTTCCATTGAACTTGAGTTGTGTACACTCCGCTTAGTGTATTGCCAGATTCTTTGAGAGTACAGTCCGTTTCGGTTGTTTAGTGACACATGATACCATCTGAAACAAATCGAACAATGGAATCTTCACCCGTTTATCTTCCACCATCTTCCACCGCTAAATTTCATACGGAAGATGCCTTATCTTCAAGCCAGATTTCCGAATCAGGTCGCTACATCACCCGCAAGAGTCCAAGACCTTTGTTGACACAGAACCAATTGGTCAATAAACCAAAGAGCCCCGAAAGACTTGAATCAAAATTTCATCCTGCAAGATCTCCTACTCAAACTACTCCTCGCACCGTCAGATTGATCAATTATGATAACTATTCCTATTCTCCTACGAACTTTTCAGTGTTCCCGGATTTCGACCTTGACACGTTGGATGTATCACAGAACTATGATCTGATTGGCAACAGTAACTACTTTGCCACTTCTGTTGATCCTGGGTCTCCCTATCTGCAGAAACCCAGCCAACATAGCCACTATCTTTTCCATCCTCTTGCTAATGAGGACTCCAGCATTCACCGCTGCTCGCTTCCCAACTTGCCTGCCTCCGACCCGATCGTGGAATATCCTTCACTCTACGATTCCAGTTCAACAACCTGTTTGAACACCCTTTCTTCGCCCCCAATGCATCCTTTTTCGTTAAAGACCCGTTCCTGTAGCGAAACAGACACATCAAAAATCCAATTTTCTTCTTTCTTCGAATTGGACGAACTGAGTGATGTGAGTGACCCAGAAAGTAACGAATTTGACGACGAAGACGACAATTATTATAACGATGACACAGATATTAATGAAGCGCAATCCCAGTATTTGAGTCCTCCCCTGATGATCGACTCCAAACCGGAAAAACTGGAGGCTGATGTTGGTTGCAACCCAAAGAAATTTTGTGGCCAAGGATTTTCCAAGTATGCCCGTAGCACTTTTTACTCGCAGGTTTCCAAACAAGACAAACACACTTTGTTGACCCCAACCAGTTGTTCTCCAACGGAATCCAGTTCAGGTATCGATGCCCCCGTTTCGCCTCCAAACTCTATGGTTTCCAGGAAAAGACTTTTCGCTGAAAGAGATGACAAACCAGACACACAAACAGAATCTGACCATGTTTTTGATTCATTGGTGTCTGATTTGGAGAATAAGGCTTACAGCCAGTACAGATCATCAATCAAAATTCCACTGCCCCCCCTTTCACAATCAAGGTACGATAAAATTACTGAGCTAGCAGCAAACAAAAACCTAGATATGGGCCAAGTTGATGACGTTCTCAAACTGTTTAAGTTGCGAAACTTTGATTTAAAACTTAAGCTGCTCTCCAGGGTTCTAGGTCAGAGACGAGGGGAGCAAATGTTTTATCCCGAGCACACCAGCGACAAGGGGTTAGTTCTGACTGAATCTAATGATGGAAGCTTGAGCATACTCGCCAAAACTTATGCTGGTCATGAGGATAGTAGCTCGATAATTGAGAATTCTATCATCTCATCGTTCAAGGATATCAAGGAGTTTGCTATCTATTTCAGGCAGCCAAATGATACGGGATCGAAAACAAGAAAGACTTCTACAGGAGGGAAGAAGCAGAGATTGGGAAAGTCACGGCTAACAGATGAGAATGGGCATGGAAGCACAATTTATATCAAAAGACCTTTGAATTCGTTTATGTTGTACCGGACATCGATGGTGAAAGCAATTGTTTTACTTTCTTTAATAGACTCATTATCTTCCTTCGTTTTCAGAAGATTGCAGATGCAGTATTCATCTTATGATTCACAGGCGGAATTAGAATATCTCAAAATAATTGATTCTCACCTGACGGAGTCTCTTGCCCAAGAGTTGAGGCAAGAATGCGTCATCCACAAATACAACCACCACCTGCTCATCCAGATAGTTGCCGTAATGTGGTCAACAGAACTCAACAGTGTGAAAAAGACGTTTATTTCGTTAGCACAATCTGAGAAGAAGATTCACGCCCAATGTTACCCCAACTACAAATACCACCCCCAAAGAAAGGGATGAATGTGTCAGCTCCTGAGTTGCTTGAGTGTTTGAGATGAGTGTTACTATTCTCTATTTCTATTCTTGATTTCTATTATCTATTCTTTTATAGTGGTAGGGTCAACTCAGAGTCTCAAATTTCGATCTTTTCCACTTCGTCACTGTCGAAATCGTTCCAACCAGGGAGTCTCATTTTCAAGTTTGACACACTCATTTCCGGATACTTCTCGGCCAACGCGTTCTTCAACAGCTGATACAGAAGCAGGTATCCTTCACCAGTGAAGTGGATCCCATCCAAAAGCAAGTTTTTGGAGCTTTTCCGCACGCTATTCTTGGCGTATTCCTCATGTGCTGCATACAAATCCACAAAAGGGACTTGGAATTTCTCGGCAAGTTGCTTCAAGCCGTTTGAGTATCTCAAGTTTTCCTCGTTCCTACGGCGGATACCCTTTTCCACATCTCCAGGGTTCAATGATTCCCAAATCTCAGGATAATGGTGACCGGGGCCAATGACTACCAGCCTAATATCTCTATCCAAAATCTGTTTTATGATAAACTCCATGTTGTCTAGAAACTCATCAAATGGAACACCATCAGGCTTTGCCAGAGCGGCGTCATTAGTCCCCAGAAACAGTGTTGCCACTTTGCATTTGCTGTACGACAAGTCGTGCTCGATACGCAGCACCTTTTCAATCATGTGTCTCCAGTAGTGAGAATTGTACCCAGAAAATCCGCGATTGATGATATCCATGCGTCGAGCATAATCGTGTTGGAGTTGTCCCATGAAACAAAATTCGAGGGAGCTATGTTCGACGACGTAGCTGCCGTTCTTATCGTATCCGTCTGCCACAAAATCAGAAATTGGGAACGGATTGGCACACCGTTCGGTGATAGAGTCGCCAATGAGCAAGAATTTTGGGAAATCTAGCGCATACTCATAGTTTTCCGGATATCTGGCCGTTGGTACAATTAGCATTTTGATGATGTTTATTATCTAAGATTTGATGGATCAATTCCGTTTTTCCAAATCCGTATATCGCGATAAAGTTCCTAAAAATTACTTATTTTCCATGTTGGAGGATTGGCTTTACAAAAAGGTAAGTGCTGCTGCTGAGACGACTAACGCCTGCTCATCAATTCCAAAGGCTTTCACCACTTTGTCCGCAATGTCCATGCGTATTTAAACAACCTCCCACCGCCTCCCCGGCAGGCTTCGCAACCTGTCTTGAATTACACACCTACGACTATACATAAGCTCAACGCATTTCGACGCCTTTTCTGGCAAGAGTTGAAGCACAGTTTTGGATTCAAACGCTAAGATTCTGGATCGATTAATGATTTATATAATGACTATACATGAGAAACAAAAGGAGACTAGTACCGTGACTCTACCACGCTGAATTGCTCAGAAGCCTTTTTGAAAGCCCTGTTGCTGGCCATGGACACATCGTTTGGTAGAGCAAACACTACTTTTTTAGAATCGTTAAACTTGAAGTCTCCAGAAGTGATGTTGGAGTCGTACCTCATAATGCTGTAAGAAGCGCTATCATTTTGCAGTGCTTTCTTAAAGTTCCAAATGATGGCAAATGGACCCACAGACGTGACGATCGCAGTTGGTTCCTTTTTCTTGGTGTTCCTATTAATGCTGAAGTTGGCCTTGGTGAAGTGAGGTTCGTTACCAGTGGCGTTGCGGATATATGCAAGATGTTCGGGTCTGAGAGACAGTTTCTTGGGGATGGGTTTGGAATCCTTATCAAACGACTTCTCAAACCCGAGGCTGTTCTTGTTCCTGCCCTGTTTTATTTTCACATCCAACAATAGAAGATACTTGTTGCACGTCGCCAAAACAAACCTTCCGTCGTCGGATGTCGTCAGGCCAACAAACTCGTCGCCAAGAGCTGGAATCAGGGTCTTCGCGTTTTTGCCCAGCTTATCGTACAGTTTAATTTCTCCGTTCTTGGTCGATGCAGCAATGTATCCGTCCTCAGTTGTTGCAATCTGCGTGAAGTTGGTTTTCGTCTTGTACTGTTTGAATTCGCTGTCGACCACTTTTTCGCGCAAACGAGGATCGACTCTAAACAGCGATTGATGCGAAAGTCCCAAAAATGTCTGGTCTTCGGTGAGCTCTCCAAACTTTTCATTTGGGGCGAAGTTGACCACAGGAAGCTCAGTGTTGTTTTTCTTCATCTCCCAGTCTTCCACCACCTTACCATATTCTAAATCCATCTTGTATAACTTGTCTTTATCGTTTTTATCCTGTAATATCATGATGGTGTCACCTTTTTGCAGCATCATATTTCCTGGACTGATAGATTTGCCTTTTTTAGTAGCACTGGATATGTTCTCGATCGCTGTGGAAAACTGAGGCTTGGACTCCTGGTCCATTCGGAAAACTCCCAGTTTGTCTCCACGCGAGACAAAGGCCAACTCATCTTTGAACGCCAGCTTCATGCCGGTATTGACTCCGCTCGCACGGAACCGCTTCATTAATCCGTTTTCGTCATCTTCGTCACTGTCACTATCGGACACAAAAAGCTTGTTGCTTCTGATGGTGGACGGCTTTTCGTCGCCACTCTCCTCTTCCGACTCGTCTTCATCAACGTCCATCTCATCTATCTTGAGGTTGTTGATCGCGTCAATCATAAATTGCTGCTCATCGTCTTTGAGCCTCATCCAACTCGTCTTGTTGTTAGTTTCGTATAGACATTTCATGAACTCTTGCTGGAAATCCTCGTAGCTCTCCTTACTGGGGAACTGAAGCGCCCACGTAAGCACTAATGAGTCTGAGTCTACGTTGAATGTAAGAGAGAGCGAGTCAAAGTCAAAAGCCGCGTCGATTGAGTTGGTGATGCCAACATCCACTAGGGTTTTCTTTGTTTCTGGAGAAATCACTTCTAAATCGTAGCTCCAGGAGTCCTTCTGCAATATTCTGGAACATGCAGCGGATACCTTGAGCTGGTAATCATCCTTCACCTCATCGTATAGCAAAAGGTCTGCGTTGGTCGAAAATAAGAGCCTTGGGTCAGTGACCTCAAGAGCATCCTCGAAGTTGTCATCAGAGTCAGAGTCATCGACTGCTTTGCTGGAGTGGATATTAGCAGATGTGCGCAGAGTGGACAACAAGTCGGGATCGTCGTCAAACAGTGATTCTCTGTCGAAAACGAACTCCTGCAGTTGCCCTAATTTGAGGTTTAGACTGGACTTTTTATACTTTCTCTCGTACTCGCACTTGTACACTGCCAACATGAACTGGTTAATACTTTCCACGGAAACAGACGGATCAACACGGAACTCAAACATGTCGCCAATATCTCCATCCAAGTCCTTCCACGCGATGACGTAGCTACCGTGTTTCTGGAACAAACAGATTTTGAGTCTTTCGTCAATCAGGAACGACTTCAATGAACTGGAGTCTTTATCAAATGCTTCTTCGTTGTCTGAAGCGTCCAATTCGTCGTCATCCAAAAGCCCCTGTCCCTCCTCTCCGGTCTTGTTGATGCTTAATTGGTAATTGAAGGGCAAGGAGGTCTCCCTAATTGAAACAACTACGTCACTGAAGAGACACTCGTTTTCGGACTTTGGGGACTTTGGAGACCGAATCAAATATAGCTGACCAGAAGGAATCAGGATCAGCTCGTCTGATGAGGCCTGATTCGCATTGGACAGCAGCCTTTTGATGATATTCATGGAACAAAAGATTGTTTTTTTTTGTTTTTTTTTTTTCTGAAGGCAACCTTATCAGGACACCCATACACCGAGAAATCTCTCACGATAGGACCGGATAGGACCTGGAAACGTCTGCCGTATCGAAGAGGAATCAGCCAGATTTACAAGTATTTGACGCTTTTCGACCCAAGGTCTTTGGATGGCAGTAAATGACGGCGTACTGGTCAGTTTGCCCTGTCGTTTCTCTATTCCATCCTTGCACCAGAGGACATAGATATTTTTCAGATAAAAAAAAAATTCCCTGCCCATAAATGTTTCTACGCCGTTTTAGCTGCTTTGTGGCGCCCTTGAAACGGACTGATAAGTGGGAACTTCCAGATTTGGAGAAGCTTCCCGGAGGGTTTCGGGGAAAAGTGTACAACCGCCGAGACTGGAAAGAGCACATTGCCAAGAACACAGATATATTTGCCAAAGAAGAGGCCGAGAAACCGAAGCCAAAATTAAAGCTGCCTCCACCAGGATGGCGCAAGGATAAGTCCTTGCCACTATACATGAGGCAGAAGTACGCCCTGAAAGAAAAGGCGGCGCAGATGGACCTCACAAAAACGAAGAAACTCTCTAGACAAGCGATCGAGGGAATTCGGGTGTTGCACTCCAAGTACCCTGACGAACTGCCGAGCTACAAGCTGGCCGAGTTTTTCCAAGTGCCTGTTGTTGCCGTGGCAAAGATCTTGAAATCGAAATGGACTCCTAAGCCCCACGAGAGGGCTGCCAAGGAGAAAAAATGGGAAGAGCGTGGAAAAGAGCTGCGGCGCAAGATCTTCTTGGAGAACCAGTTGGAAAAGTTCTTTGAGGCCAAGGAGCAAGAGCTCGGTTTACAGCTGCCGTACTTCTTCAAGCAGGAGTTGCGAGATTTTGCCAATTTGCACGGATTCAACGACCTGGAGGGCCAGTTTTACCATCTGAACCAGATGAGAGTCAAGAGAGAAAAAGAAGCTCCGGCCCTAAAGTTGGAGGACGATATTTAGAGCGCGCGTGTACATAACGATCACCAATAAATTACTTACTTCTAGCTTGCTGGACGACTTTGCGCAGATCGGCCAACTCGTCGCGCAGATCGTCCACGAGATTCAGCTTGTTGGGGCCCCGAGCGTAGTTGAGGCTTCTTTTGAATAAATACTCGCGAGGGTGGTCTGAGCTCACCATTTCAACGCAGTTCTTCAGCTGCTTCAACTGGAAAACTAGCGGCTGCATCTCGCTCACATCGCTGGCGGCGAGACGGCCGCCGAACGAGGGAACGCTGTTTTTGTGGTGGTAGCTGCTCACTCGAATCTTGCTGAGCGTATCTTTTAGTCTTTCAAGATATTGGCCCAGAACTACCGTTTGCGACAAATTGAGCTCGTTGTAATCCCTCTTCGCAACCTCGTCGTCAAAGTGCACCCCGCGGGTGTGCTCCTGCTGCACCACCGCGTCGTCCTCGTCCGTCTCTGTCGAGCACATGCTGTCTTTATACAGCAGGCCGCGATAGTTCAGCTCTACGGACGGCACAAACTTGACCTTGTTCACAAGGTTGCCATACAGAGCGCGGAGATGGCCGAAACAGTGGTTAGCCAGGTCTCGCCGCCGTTCGAAGCTCAGCTTGAGCATCGGCTTGATGACTAGCAAAACAACAGCATAGAACGCGGCCATCCCGTAACCCGACAGCGCCAGCAGCCGCAGTACATACCGCAGTGTCCCGTGCGGCCTCACGGGCGACACAGGCCCCGCGTCCTCAGGGAACGCGATCGCAGCAACAGCCATTAGTTTGTCTTCATTTTCTTTTCGCTAGCCTATTTATTCCCGGTCGTGCGTGTACCGCACAGCCAGATTTTTCAGCACGGTTGCAACCAGCGTGCTGGACTCCGTTGCTATGGCCGCTAAATTGGCCTGGAACAGGTCCGGGCCTTGCCGTTCCGGTTGTTCCTGCTGCTCGGGATCGTCCAATTTCGCTTCTTCAATAAACCCAAATAAGTTTGCGTCAAAGGTCATGTCGCCCAGCTTGTCGTTCGAGCCGATCGAGTCGTTCATCTCGTCGTCCGCCAGAGACTCCTCGACCTTGACTTTTACGCGGCCCGTGCGGTTGTACATCGCAGCTGGATCTGCCGACGCGGCCATCCACTTTTGGAGTGTTTCCGGCGCGCACCACGATGCGTAGTTGATCATCAACGTGGCCACTAGCTCGTAGCTCAACGGCTCAAATAATGATGGCTGGTACTGCGTCTGTTCCCGCAGCAGACGGCCCAGCTCGCGGTAGAAAAAGTCCAACTGCTGTCCGGCAGCGCTTTTATACACGTCACTGAGCTCAAACGTCTGCGAGGCGTCGGAGTCGATCACAAACGCAATTAGGGCCTCGAGTTTGGTGGCAGGTGCTGGCGGCCGCACAGCAGATGACCGAACGCCGCACTCAAACAGGTCGTCGTTTGCCATCTCAAGCACCATACTGTGCAGCACACGCAGCTCTCCGACCAGCTCGGCGCCCACAAGCTTCTCCAGCACCTGCCCAAACACCGACCCTTCCAGACTGGCCTCTGTCCACGTGAGCGCAGTCACGTGCCTCAGCACGTTCAAAAGCGTCGGCAGCAGGAACGGCTGGTGGCAGTATTCGAGCCCGCTTACAAGGTCGTCAAAGCCAATCATCCCCAATTGGCATGCACGCACGGCCTGGCCCACGACACACGGGATCGCCACGTAGTATTCGCGCACCGAGGCAGATTTTTTGAGCAGCTCGTCCGAAACACCGTCCGTGTTGTTGGTATCGAAGAGCGACGCTACCCAGTCGCTCATGACCGCGTTGATGCTCGATTGCGGATCCTGCAGTTGCTCCATGAGCGCCGTGTCCAGCAAAGGGTCCCAGTCAGCCATGATCCTCACGGCCTCAGAGCCCGCGTGCTCGCGCTTGAGATCCAACGAGTACCGGAAACTGCAGTACGCTACAAACAGCAGCAGCGCTCCCAGGTTCGCGTGCGTGTCCTGCAGGTTGGAAGAGTCGCCGTCGACGTCCATAGCATCCTGGCCAAACCCTCGGCCGATCGACGCGTCGAGGTAAGTCACCAGAGGTCGCACAAAGCTGTACGGGTTTTTGTGCAGCACCACACCGTCCAGCACGTGCGGCACGCTCGTCAGTGCGACCAGCAGCCGCTTCAGCCGTGCGTGGTCGTCCTCCTGGACAAAACGGGCAATGGCGTCCGCCACAAGCTGCGCCAGCCGCCGCTCGCCGGCCAGTGTGTCCACGGAGCCCACGAGCTCGCACGCTCCAGACTCTTCCAGCGGCACAAACTCCGGATTTGCGTCCTCAAACACCGCTTGGAACCGCGAGAGCTCGTCCTGTGCGGACGGCACAGCCCCCATATCAGCCACGAGCTCGCACTCGGCCAGAGTTGTCATCAGCTTCTGTTTGAGCTCGTCGTAATTCTTAATCGTCTCGAAAGCGTTCGTCAGCGTGTCTCTGAGGTTCTGCTGACTGATGGTCAGCAGCTTGAACACCTCCGGCAGCTTCGACACGATAAAGTGTTCCCAGATGTGTTGGGTCCTATAAGTGCTCAGAGTGAGGCCGTCAAACAGAGAGACCGCGAGCTCGAACGCGATCGAAACGTTTGTCGTGGATGTGGCCACCGAGGACAGGTTCAGCAGGCTCTTGAACCCTTGCAAAAACGCCTCGCTCACGGGGGAATATGCCACGGTGACCTGGTGCGCCAGCCAGACGATTTTCTTGAGTCTCGACACCTTGATAATATTCCTCGACACACGGCCCGTCTGCTCCTGTGTAGGCATGGCGTAGTCTTTCTGCATGGTCGACAGGTTGTAACTTTGGAAGAAGCTGTTCAGATAGCGGTAGGCAGTGTCGTGGTGTTTTTCCAAATACTCCAGGTACTGCTGCACCAGGGAAGTGCAAGCATTGTCGGGGCCCGCGCTGCTCTTTAGCACCTGCACCATCAGCTTTGCAATCATCAGGGCCTTTTTGGGGCTGGTCTCGGGCTGCATGCTGGCCCTGACAAACGCTGTCAGTTGCGTGACAAATTCAGGACTTTCGACGGCCTGTTTCCACGGCACTTTGCTTGAGATCTGGCTCAGCCAGATAAGAATGGAGAGCTCGTCCTTTTCGCCGATTCGCGACATGTAGTGGCCAAAAAGCGAAGTAAGCCCATCCACTGCGCCTGTGAAGTCACTTTCGACAAGAATCTCGTGCACGTAGCGGAGTTTCTGGGGAGATTGAGCGCAGTTTGTTAGGAGACAATGCAGATCGACCTCCTCTTCGCTGTTGGCCGCTACGCGGTGCTTGAACTCCCGAAACAGCTTCCCAAACGCGCTGGGCGGGTAGTTCTTCTTTAAGCTCACGTCTACCAGCTGTTCGAGTGTCAATTCGACATCTGTCGCAGGGATAGATATCGAGGACATGAATAATGCGAAAAAATATTGATCAGGTAAATGAAATAATGCTTAAATAATTTGCAAGCGAATATTTAATCATGGACAGTGGTTGTTGAGATTGCTTAGAAAAACGCTTCCTTGACCTGCAGCACTCTTTGTTTCTGGATTGGGCCCAGCTCTGAGCTTGGGAGCCAATAATGCTACTGGAGCAAATAACGAACAAAATATAACCCGTCACGGTTCTCATACGTGTTGTCATACGGCACCACTGACCAGATTGCCTCAATTGCCGGGGTCGGGCGGACTTGCTACCGGCCGCGAAAAACCAGTAGGGATACACGAGTTTCGAGCAGCTTTCGTATAACAATATTTCAACTACTGAAGTTGGCACACGTGACCTACTCATTCAAGATCTCCAAAACGTCAGCGAGAACGCGCTCAAACACTTCATTCCGCTCAATAAACAGCGCGTGTTTGCAGTTGTCGTACCACCGGATCCGGATGTCCGGAATAGCCTTCACGAAGCTGTGCACGCCTCGAGTATCCGCCAGAGGATCGTCGTAAGTCTGGCACACCAGGAACTTGCAACGTTTGAGCTCCGCATACTTTTCACGGGCCATGTCGCAGTTGTCCAGCAGATATATGCCGCGCCTCAGAATATGTATGACCTCCTCGATCGTCCCTGGCTTTGAGATCAGACGCACCTCGTTGACCGTCTTGAGCCACTTCATATCATTAGTTAGTCTGTTCCTCGTAGCCACCTTTCCGAGCTTTTCCTCTTCCAGAGCATTTTGCAGCACTTGTTGCTTTCTGATGACGTCGACATCTGTTTTTTGCAGCGTCAGCAAGTTGACCAACGGAACGTAGCTCAGAACCAGCAGGAGCAAAAATTTCCACAACGAGTTGTTGTCGCGGTGAAGCAACAGTGGCGAAGATGTCACAACAGTCCGGATTCTGTGCCTGTTGGCGCCATTCACCATGTAATTGAGGACAATGGCTCCCCCCATCGAGTGGCCGACCAGACACAGGTTGTCACTCTCGATAGCCAGGTTGTAGCTGACGAAAAACTCAAGGTCCCGGAAAGTGTAGTGGTCGTTGGTGTAATCGAATATTCCTCGAGGCCTCGAAAGCCCGTTGCGGCGCTGGTCAAATATGAAGCACGCGTAGCCGTGAAGAGTAAGAGCATCCATCATGCGAAGATGCAGCTCGCCGCACTCTCTGTAGCCATGGACAAACAAGCATCGTCCCTTGTACGGGATATCCAGGGAGGGCTCCAGAGTGATGCACCTAAAGTTGCAGCCGTTGTACGTTAGGTAAAACTGTCTCGCCCGTGCCTGTAAGACATGCGGTATATAGAACGGTGGCTGGTAGTCTGTCACTCCTGTGACCATCAGAAAAGACACCTATTTGGCAATGTTTGGCTACAACCCGTTTATAGGTATGTGCCTTAATACCCGCGATGCCCCCACATGGTGTTAATATTAATTACCCTTTTAGGGAGCAGCTAAATTAATGCGCGAGTCTAAAATCCAAACGTTTAGACCCCACGTCGGTCGTATTCAATATATAATTTTCGCGTTCTGCCGAATCCATCATCTGCCACCGCCGCTCTCTTGAGTGGTTCACATACATGTAGTATGCCTTGGTGAGAAGCAGAACGGGTAACATGGCCACCGAGAGCCAGAACAGGTCCGTGTTTCCTTTTCTGTACAGCGGAGCATCGCTTTCGTGGTAGATGTTGGCCGAGATCAAAGATCCAATCTGTGCACACATATAGTAGAGGGACAGAGAAACAGATCTGGTCTTTAGGGACCAAGAGTTGCGCGACACCCAGCTCAAGCAAATGGCGTGAATATATGGCAGCCCCAGAATGAGAGTACAAACCGCCCATGTTCCCCATTTGTTCACCATTGAATCTTTCCAAAAGGCCAGCACTCCGACAAGAGGAATTTCATAGAGCGCAAAGAGGCAGCAAACAAGCGACCTCTCGTTTATCTTCTCGCTCAGCCATGTAATTCCTATCAGCAAAATGATGTGTACGAAGCTGTAGGGGACAGTGAGTAGGACGGCATTAAGCGTAGTGAAACCAAGGTTCTTTAGCACCAAAGTCATATAGCTAGTCAGCAGATTCAACGGGATGTAGGCCAGGACACCAATGATGTAAAGAGGATACATGTTATAGTCCAATAAAGCATACAACAGGCTGGAGGCGGTGACACCTTGTCTGTTGTTCATGTCACCCTTCGATGGATCGTCTCTTAGAACCTTGTTGACGATTATTTTCTCCTCTCGCTCTGAGAGCCACCCCTTTTTGTTCCAGAACCGTTTGGTTTGCACCACAGAGGGCGCCATTACCAGGGCAGACACTAAAGCAATGAAAAGCGTGAACACCCCTTCAATAATGAAAAGCCACTGCCAACCTGCCATTCCCAGAATACCGCGCATCCGCAGAATCCCGTAAGCCATCAATGCTGTTCCGATTTGAGTTAAAGACAAAGCTGTCCAGAAGTAGGACAGCTTGATTGAAAGCTCGCTAGAAGTAAAAAAATAAGACATCCACAAGACTAGCTCAGGAGTAAATCCGCCTTCCAAAAGCCCTAGCAACGCTCTCGTCGCGTAAAATGAATGCTTATTAGTCATTTTGCATTGCAATATCGCAACCAGAGACCATGAAACCATTAAAAATGGTACCCACAGGTCAACACCCAATTTCTTGCAAATTAGTGATGAGGGGACCTCACTGACAATAAAAGTGACATAAAAAATTGTGTTTCCGTTGTTGTACATGTCTGTGGTAAGGTCCAAATCTTCCAGTAGGTTGTCTGCGACGGCCTGAGCTAGGTTGCCCCTATCGACTTGCAAGGCAACGAACATGAAGCAAGCAAGTGCAGTAACCTTCAAATCAAGCTTCCACCCTAGATTACGCTCCTCTTCGGGAGTCCACGTGAACTTAGGATCAAACCGTTCTCTGCATTCATACCGACAATCCGTGTAGACTTTGCTCCAGTAGCTGGCCACAAAAGGATCTAGAAATGGATTCGTGGCGTTGTTCACAAAGCTACTTCTGCTTTTGGAAACCACAACAGTTTGCCCAACCTTGCTATCCTCACTGTCCAACTCCATGATCAAACTACAAACCTAATTTTCCACGCCTCTTAGCTCTGAAGGGCACATATTGGTTGTGTGTTTGAGGCGCTCCCCTTATTTGGTTCACGTGGGCAGCTCCATTTTAACGTTAATTGCAGAAATTTATTTTTGATCGCGGGGACCCGTTTGTTGCATGACAGCCGAGCGGCGAGGCGGCATGCCCAAAAAAATCCTAGGATAATTAATTGAGTGTTCTGTATTTGGGCCGTGCTTTTTAAATATCCGTGAGTCATCTTAAAAAGTTTATTTGCGCTTGAACATTTCTTTCCCTTTCATTTCCCTCAATGCCCCTTTTCAGCTCAGTAAATTGTCCTCCCAGTGTACAACCAGGTGCCTTTCAATATGCTGCACAATTGGGTGGTGAGTCACCTTTGTTGGATCAGATGACGCTATGTGAACTGAAACTGAAAACTTGGTACAACTTCAACCTACAACTCATGGATTCCCTTTCGAATACATCGTTCTTGCTTGTGCTTATACACCACCATCACAAGCTGCTTGAGGTTCTTGAGGAACTGTTCAATACAAGGCGACTTGTAAACTTCACGGTTGGATCGGTCTCTAGCAGTTGTTTCAGAAACTCAGTGCTTTCTAGCTTGAAATCATTGGTGTCTGAAACCTTGGTATCGATAAGCAGCACTTACAGCGATATTTTCGAGCACGCACATTTTCTCAACATTGAAAATTTCAAATGCATTTATTCCAAAATTAACAAGGAAACATTTCAAACATCAACCAACAACGAGGACCAGTTGGTGCACATCAATTTTGAGATATTAGCCAGATCCAAAAGCTTTCTTCTCTTCAAAAAACTAAACGGAATTTTTGATTTGGATATCCTTCGAAATGAAGAGCTGGTTCTGTTGAAAAGTAGAATTGATAAATCGAAACCGAAAAACCAATACTTGTTGGAAACCGAAGAAGACGCTAGACTGCTGAAGTCACGAAATTTTCGAGACTTCCATTACCGTCGCTTGACAGAACTCCGACTTTTAAACAAGAGAATTTTCTCTTGACTCTCGCATGTATTTTATCAAATATGCACAGTAAGCATTTTTCGTGACTTGTACCGTTATGGTTCTCGCTGATCTTCAGGGAGAACCCACCGTTCCCATCCTTCTCTCAGCCTGACTACCTCAGATTTCTCTGAACCAGCCATCTCCAATAAATTGGTTCTCTTCAATGCTTGTAATATCAAATTCGAGTCTCCTCCAGACAAGATCTTCACTCTGGAGAACCCTGCTATAAACGCAACGCTCACATATCCTTCGGAGTTCATATGTTTTCTGAGAAAAATATCTTTTAGTAGATTCTCCATGGAGAAATAATACTCCAGCTGTTTTGTCAAGCGTCCCAAGTTATCATCGCTATGCTTTTCAGTAATTCCTGGATATGTTGGTGAATAGGGGGCTTGCGAGGAGTACAGCGGGAACCCCGCCGTTGGAGGAGGCATATAATATGGTTGGAAGTATGGGACTGGGGAACCTGGATCTGGGGAACCGGCGTGAGGCGGGATTCCAGGCATCACACCATAATACAAGTTAGGATCTCCATATATTGATGGAGGAACCGTTTCTGGGCTGCGGCTAGGGCTTCCATGCTGCGAGTTACGCTCACCAGTGGCCGAGATTTTAGGATCATCGGTGGATTTAGGTGAGCCCCTAGAAGAAGCCTGAGAATTCAGTTGGCTGTTCCTCCGCGATGAAGAGGGTGACATAGAAACCCCATATGGTCGTATAGGCGGCATGTAATACGGCACGTAGTAGGGGGTCGAGGAAAGAACTGGATATGGAGGAAGCGAAGGTAAGTTGGCCGATGACCGAGAATATGGGTTTCTATTTTTTTTGTTGTACCTCATGTTGTTGCCGTTAAAACTTTTGCTTCTTTGATGCTTTTGGATTTGCGGATCATTGAACTGTTCCGAGTTTTGGTCTTGAGGAGTGGAAGCAATTCCCGTGAAGCCATTATCCAGCGTGGCCTCTGATCCAGAAGTTGGAGGTGCTATCTCATGCCCCTCTGAAGAATCAATGGTAAGCTGGGAAGCAAGCTTTGCCAGTGTTTTTTCGTCTGAGACATCTGTGGCCTCAGTTGGGGCACTGGACATATTTGAAATTGTCGTAATTGTGGTTGTATCGTGCACCACAGTTTTATCCTCTTGCTGCTCAGAATTCAGTGCGAGCTTCTTGCGATTCGTGCGTTTGCTTTGGTTTTGCTTTGGGTCTTTTTTCTTGCTGTTGCCATTGGCTGATTTATTTTTCGTTTTGGTAGGGGATGAGACTGAAATTTCGGCCTCCAAAGGTACCCACTTCTGTTTTCCCGTATTCCTGGCTTTTGCAACGACAGGTTGGGCTTGCGGCTTTCCATTTGATGGTATGGCCAAAGAGTCAGGTAATTTCATGCTTTCTTTTTGCGGAGCTAAGTGTGGCGAGCTCAATGGCTTCTTCCAAGGATTCACCTCTGGAGGTGGGGCTGGATGCAAATTCGACACTTCAGGAGTTGGAGCAATGTTCGAAGGTGCAGCGTCTCCCATAATGCAAATGATGCCGAGTACAAATCAGAATAGCGTCGAATCTAGTTTTGTAGACAACAAGGTAGCGTTTAAGCAAGGATGTCTTTTGCAAACAATGAAAAAACAAAAACTTCCTCGATTCGTTTAAACCTGCTCGTGGCCTCTCCAGTCAGCAATTCCTGATAGGCCAATAAGTTGACTTTAGTGCGGATTCCAAAAAGAGTACAAAACTTGAAACCCTATCTTGCCCTCTTGGGTGTAAAAAAATGCTAGATCATTAGTGGCACGCTGTTTGGCAGATGCACAGCCGTCGAGTGCCCGATGCACAAGACAAAGAATTCGTGCTCAAGACATGTTGCATGGCTTTTCTTGCAACATTACGTGCGAGTGCGACTTTGCTACGTAGTATTTAATATCCTAATATTTAGTTTGTTTACTATGCTTCCCTGTTCATTCAATCTGCGTTGGCTCTCTCTTATCTTTTCACAGCCGTTGAAAATTTTGTTTTTTTTGTCCACCTCGACATTTCGCCTTCAGAATGAATCCTGCCATTTCCAACCTTGTTCTCATGCTGGGTATGATGCAAGTCTCTCGTAGACTTGACTTCGAAGACCCGAACATCCTTTTCTACGTCAGAGTTTTGTACATCGCCTGTACGCTCTTGACATTGGGTGTTTATCTCTATACGAGATCCATTATCATCAGGAAAAACGACCTTACCACTTTAAAGTACTTGGAGCCTCCTAGCACGTTACAAGGAGAGACTGAGTCCAAGCTCATCGTTACCACCGTTAAGGATTACGATTTGAAGCAACTCCAAAGTGCCATCAAAGGAGTCTTTACTGGTGTGGCTATGATGGCATTCATGCACTTGTACATGAAGTATGCTAACCCATTGCTTATGCAATCTATCTCTCCTCTTAAGAGTGCGTTCGAATCCAACTTGGTCCAGATCCACGTTTTCGGCAAGCCTGCAACCGGCGATCTCAAGAGGCCATTCAAGGCTAGTGCTGGATTGTTTGGCGGACTTGGTGGTCCTCAACAAAAAACGGACAAGGAATCCATCGAAAAGGCTGAAATTAGCGGCGCTGGTGGAATCAAAGAAGAGTAATTAATCGGAAATAAAGCAGATTGATTACAGTCTAGAGATAAGCGTAAGCAGAGTTATATAACATCCTAAACTTATTACCGTAAGCCATAAAACAACATTTCCGCTAGTTTTGAAGCATTCAATCTCTCTTGTGGGTCCGTGAAAGTATGGATCCATGTTTTTCGATCTTAAATATGCAATTCCGCAGATCAGCAGTCCATAACAATTAAACACTAGTCCAATATGATAAAACTGCGCAGTAAATAGTTTGAGCACAATCAGCGAAAACGATAGACATCCAAGACAGGTACGGATATATGCACCTTGGTATGTGCGTTGATGAGCTCTAATGTCAAGTTTCTGTCCGGAATTTTCCAGCAGAGTGAGCCGTGACGGACGTCGAGTCATTTCATTTACCTTTGAGATTGGGGAATTTTTTTTTTTTTTTTTATCGATGATAACCTCAAAGTTGCTGAGGCGGCTCCATTCGACAGGAGCTTCACAGCACCTGTCACGACTTGAAAGACTGAGACGTATACCGGTGAGGCATTTGAAAGACTTTCTTACAGACTCCTATGGACGCAAGCACGATTATCTTCGCATATCCATCACCGAACGATGTAATCTTCGCTGCGTTTACTGTATGCCTGAGCAAGGTGTCGACTTGTCGCCACCAGAACATATGCTCACGACAGAAGAAATAGTCAAGCTGGCCGGTCTCTTTGCACAGCACGGAATACGGAAAGTTAGATTGACTGGCGGAGAGCCGACGGTGAGGAAAGATATCGTTGAGCTTGTATCTAAACTCAATCAAATTCCGGGTATCGAAGAGATTTGCATGACATCTAATGGCCTGGCACTCCACCGAAAACTACCAGATCTCTTCAAGCATGGGTTGACATCGCTCAATTTGAGTCTTGATACTCTGATCAATGGTAAGTTTCTCTTAATTACGCGACGCAATGGACTCAGCGCAGTAATGCGAAGCTTGAGAACAGCTCTTGAATTGGACATTCCCAAGGTGAAAATCAATGTGGTAGTGATGAAGAATTTAAACGAAGATGAAATACTGGATTTTGTTCAACTCAGCAAGAATGACAAAGTCGAAATCCGATTCATAGAGTACATGCCTTTTGATGGAAACGAATGGTCTACAAGTAAGCTGGTCTCATATGAAGACATACTATCCAATATCAAAGTTAGATATCCTAATATTCGAAGACTGCCTCATAAACACGGAGAAACTGCCAAGGTCTACCAAATTCCTGGATTTAAAGGAAAAGTAGGTTTCATAACATCCATGACCTCGGACTTTTGCAGTACCTGTACACGCTTGAGAATAACTTCTGACGGAAACCTGAAAGTTTGTTTGTTCGATAACACGGAGATATCTCTGCGAGATATGCTTCGTGCTGGATACAGCGATGATCAATTGATGCAGCGCATCAGTGAAGCGGTGAAGAATAAGAAGGAGAAACATGCAGGAATCGATGAACTAGGAACTCAACCCAATAGGCCGATGATTTTGATTGGAGGATGAATGAAATTTGAAAGTTATTAATTGCTGCTGATTGCTCGCTCATTAAGAAATACTAACATGTCAAGCTTCGAAACGGTGTCTGAACCCCAAACGTTACTACTCTACTTCCCGAAAATTAACTCATCTTAACTCAAAGGGCGAAGCCCGAATGGTTGCAATCCATGAAAAAGAAGTTACTCATCGAAGTGCCGTTGCGGAGGGAGTTATCAAGTTCAGCAACTCGGAATCGATGAAACTGCTGCTGCTAGAAAGCAACAAGAAGGGAGATGTGATTTCGATTGCGAGAATTGCTGGCATAATGGCTGTGAAGAAAACAGCTGAATTGATTCCTCTCTGTCATCCAATTAGCATCACTGGAATCAAGGTTGACATGGTTCACAACGAGAAAGAGAACTCCGTCAAAGTAACCTGTGAGGTACATTGTGATGGAAAAACTGGGGTCGAAATGGAAGCACTGACAGGTGCAACAGTTACGTTGCTTACCGTTTATGATATGTGCAAAGCTGTCGACAAAATGATGACGATTAGCGATTGTCGAGTTGTTAAGAAGTCAGGGGGCAAAAGCGGCGACATAGACGTTTCTCAACCGCCTTCAACTAAGTAGAATCATAGGAAAATCCCGAAGAGTCCCGTCAGACAAACGCAAACGACGTTCAAAAGCAACGGCAGTTTAGTTTTAGAAGCTCCTTAATAAAGTTAGTATTTGCGGTTAAGGATTATATGGATAGCGTAAAAATGCTCTCAATCGTCATACTTTGGTGTCAACAAGTTTAACTTACGGTTATTCCAGATAACAGGATTGCCTTCCACCCGTGGTTCGGGTACCACCTTGATTTTCGCATTTTCCAGGATTAGCTTCCCATCAACGTCAAAGATTTTATACTTAGATGTCATGTCTTCTTCTGTGACTGACACATACTTGCCCTTCGATGCCTTTCTCACCCCACTGCTAATTAGGTCGACCCCGAGGGACCGAGGCACGCCACTTGTGATGTCAAGGTTTTGGTATTGCACCTCGCAAACTTTACTCTTTTGGTGTCTATTGCGATTACCTTTGCCAAATGGTCCATTATCAGTTTTGCCTTGAGACTGCAGCGTAGGTCTTTTTGGTGCTGGTGGATCAGTTGCTTTAGACATCTGCTCTCTAAAAGAATGGAAGTCGCTCAATAGAAGAACATTACCATCCTTATCGTAATCGACCAATCCATAATTATTAGGTTCTTGGGCAAATTCATATACGAGACCACCAGAAAACACAGAGGACATCTGGCTCGAGTAAATGCTGGATATTTCAGTGAATTGCCTTGGTAGAACTTCGTTACAGCCATATTCGGAGAAAAAGATTGGAATGCTGTAATCTTGGTAATCGCTAACCAGAATGTTGTAGCCACTTGACTGGAAAGTCTGCTCTCCACACCATTGGTAGGTATTGACCCCATAGAAGTCCACACTTTCGGAAGGACTGCTTTCGTAGCACTCCAGATATTTGGCAAGCGATATCCTGTAGTTCAAGTCGTCCGCTGCGGAATAGCCAACTGGAATCTTACGAGGCAATTGGTAGCTAATGTAATCTTTGAGATCTCTGACAACGGCTTTGATGTAGGCTGGAGAGACCTTAGCAGATAGCTTGTCGTTCACAATTTCGTTCCCAGCAAAGAACGCCAGAGTGTTATTATATCCTGAGAAGACCTCCACGGTTTTGAATATATGAGAGAGGTAATCGGTGTTATATGTGGACCAAGGCTCGTACCTGTTTAAGTGTTGGCTTGGAAGCGGCGAGTTCACATCCAGTACAAGATATATACCGGCTGCCGCTAACAGTGTCATGCACTTATCATGGTTCAAATCAGGATTGATGGAATACACTCTAATAGTATTGATTCCCAACATTTGGAATAAAACAATATCCCTGGCACATTTACTAACATCTGATAGCGGATCACTCATTTGGTTGACAGCAGAAGATCCACCGGGCTGGTAATCAACTCCTTTAATGAAGAACTGGCTGATTAGAAATCACGATGAGCGGCAATACTCACTGGTCTTCCAGTAACCGAATCATAGAAATGTCTTTCTTTGATCTCAATCGGATGAACAGCACAAAACACAGTGGTTGCAAACAATAATGCAAACACTGTCTTAGGACCAGAAAACATTATATACTCAAGAGAGTGTACTATAGGTCGTAATATTTAAAAAAAAAAGGATAAACGCTGATCCTCTTTGATCTCAAAACTTCTGCACAGCCAATATGTAACAAAATAATCACAAATTCGAAGGTATACTAGGTACAAAAGCTATTTATCCTAATACACAAAACCCAGAATCTTGCCAGCAACGTGTTTTCTCTTTGCTTCGTCGTGGTCCATAATACCGGCGGAAGTTGTGAGAATGACATAGCCGAATTGTCTGGCTGGAAGCAAGCTGTCAGTCCATTTTTCGATGTCGTTGATCTTGACGTTGTATCTTGGGCTGATTACGCCACATTTGTTCAGTCTGCCAGTCAGTTGTATCACTATTTTTCCCGACCTATGGTCATCAATGTATTCGAATTCTCCAATGTAACCTAAACTTGTTAGCATTTGAAGGGATTGAATGTCGAGGAAAAGTAAACAGACATCAATCAACAAGTATCGATGCTGTGTAAGAAGCATTTCCTGCGTCTATCTTCCGGAAACTTAAAAGACAGCAAGGGACTGACACCGACAAGCCATCCAGTTATCATTCCGGTGAATTAAGTACTTACCATGCTTTTGCATAACCTGGAGGAACTTGATGATGACCTTAGAAGATGGTCTAATGAGAACCTGTCTCTTTCCTGTCTTTTCAGCGTTGTTGATAGCGTTGAGAGCGTCGGCCAAAACAGAGATTCTAGTCATGATCTAAAATAGTTAGTGCCAGGCAAAAACCCAATAAAAGCTGCATGAGTGTCCCTATGGAGTCATGAGCATCTCAACGTGGTTATATCACTAATTACACGCCCTTCTGATTCAGAGTATTGTGGTTCTTTTTGCACTTACATTAAGAGCACTAAACCAGTTTTTCAGCACACCCAATGTTTGAACTCAAAAGAAACCATAATTTCTGAACCAGCTTGCTTTTTTGCCTTAATGTAAAACCAATCTGAACACTTGCAAATAGAAGATTATCTACGTACTCCGTTCTTGCTTTCTTTGATAGAAATATAGATGTTGAAAAATTTTTCGTCGTGAATCTCTACGTAAAGTTCTCGGTGTAAAGATGCAAACGAATAACTATACTACAAGCTTTTGAACATGCCTTCTGGCTCTGCCGATCCGGATGATATAGGGGTTTCCATTTTCAGGGAAATCAAGCAAAGTTGCGTAGATCTTTCACAGGTCACATTTGCACCGCCGGAGACCTTTACGTCGAGGGAACTAGTGGATGCCCTGAAACAGCTTGATTCCAGGCTAACACGGGTCATTGATAGCTCGCAGGATGCAAAATCTCATGGAATTCCCACAAGTCTTGCGGACTACATTTTCGTACCAATAGCGTACTTGCTGAAGCGCCCCGTCATTGAGGAGACGGAGTTGGAATATACATTGTCGATTATCAAGACGCTTATCAAAAGGTGTTGGGCATTTCCAGGATCCCTTCAAATGGAGCTGGCACAGCAGCTTATGCCATTGATTACATTTCTTATTGGCGGAAAGCCAAACTTAGATGTGAATGGATTTCCTGAGCATGCTGATGAGACAATATTGAACGGAATTGACTGTCTCCAGAATCTACTAGTTGGCATCAAGAACCAAGGTTCCAAATACTCGGACAGGTTCTTAAACGATCCCAAAAATATGCCTTCTATGGGACATATGGTCACCGTGCTGCTGGTGTTTGTTCAAAAAGGACAATCTATGAAAATTCAAGTTAAAAGCTTGGAAGTTTTAGATGATCTGTTCAAGATGTTCCATGATGGCGAAATCCTATCCTTTATGCTACCTGGAGTTGTCTCAGCGATCAGTAAAGTTTTGAAGCAGAAAACACGTCAGAAGGTGGTTGCAAAATCACTGGACTTGCTGACCACCACTATATGCTTTGTTTTCGACGACTTCGATTTAGGAATTGAGACAACGCGTAAAGTGGAAACCCTTGACGACGTCAAAGAGCAGGAAGTGGGCGTTGAACATAGCTTTCAGGTTACAATTTCTACCTCTGATGATAAAAGACTGCACAGAAATACTAGCTGGCTGAAGGCTACCATTTTTCAGCTTCAGAAGGCGTTCAAGATAATCTTGAAACTAAAACACCGCATTGATGTAAAGGAGCCATATTTCAAGCTTTGCTCGTCTATGATGAGCCGCTGTTTTTTATCCTGTTCACTTTTGATGCCGCAAATACTTGATTGTTTAGCGCAACTGTGCGACGATGAGGACTGTTACGCGAATTTTACGGAAGTCTTAGCTTTCAATTCTCATGTTCCAGAGATCCTCAAATTGATAGAGCTGGAACTGGAGAACGGAATTGGGATGATAAACACGGCTCTGAGCTCACCCGATTCTTCTAAGGGCGTCGGACTATTTAAGAAATTTTCTTTCTACTTATCAGTGCTGTCAGAATTTGAGTGGAATTATTCAGCACTAGGAGAGAAGTTGATATTTACTCTCCAAAACGAGCTGAGACTTCTCAATAGAAAGAGGAGACAACCAAAGCCGGTGGAAGTATCGTACGGCAATGAGCTCCTTTCGATAGTCCTGACTTCTAATTTCGATGTGTCTGAAAAAGTGTGGCCCTTGAACGACGTCCTCGATGCGGATGTAGAGAAATCTCTGATGAACATGCTCTCATTTTTAGGACAAAGAGGGTCAAGTTTTTTACAGCATATCTTATTTGATCTGCCAGTGATAGATTCGGTTGATTTGGCACTGGCGGAATCTATGTCTTTATGGCTTGTCATGGGTTCAGTGCAGAAGACGACGAGACTGCATCATGAAGAATATCTTATCGATGACTACAAAGACAACAGCTCTACTGAAGTCACCTACAACCTTTTGGAGAAAGCTGGGGAGCTTTTGAGTTTTACTGCTATCCATGAAGAGCCTGCCCTTACTAAGGCAACGATAATCGGGTTGCAATGTATCGGGAAGGCGTGCGACGTACTTGGGAATGATTTCCAGTCGGAACTTGTCGATTACCTTTACCCGGTGGTAGACAACCTTGCATCTCCCAATGACTTGATTCGTTTGCAAGCCCAGAAAGTGATATTGAAGATTGCTCGCCAGCTGTACGAAGGCTCAGTCGAAAGACTTATTTCGGAAAATTGCGACTATCTAGCGGACAAACTCTCAATCAACATGACTGGCGAAACCATTACGCCTCGAACTCCCATGATCGTGGGGGTCCTGGTCAAAATTGGAGGGATACAGCTAGTATCGCAATTGGATGATATAATAGCTACTATATTCACACTGCTTGATCTCTATCATCAATATGCCACTCTCTGTGAAGGTTTCTTTTTTGTATTTGGTCAGATCATTGATCAGATCTATAAAAGTGTCCTCTCCGGTGTGAGTTTGAAAGATATCGAACAGAATTCTGAGGATGTGAATGTGCTTTATCCAGAACCATGGGGCTTAAGAAATATTGAGCAGGTTTTTGAATTCGTTGAAAAACAGGCTGAAATTCCGGATTACGATCACGAGATTGAGGATGAAGTAGTTGAGGAATCGATAAAGAAGGATAAAATGCTTGATGTGGACAGCGACGATGAATCAGACACCGAAATGAAATCAGTTATTTCATCTCCGGAAGACGACACAAAATGGACATCACAAGTTTCACCAAAGGAGTATAAAATTCTAACGGATATTTTGCAGTACAGCGAACGGTTGTCCAAACACCGTTCTGTCAGAATAACAGACATTTCATTAGGCCTCATAAATAAACTGATACCCATTCTGGCTACTGAGAGAACGAAATTTTTCCCCATTGTTGCTTCCATTTGGCCTACAGCGGCCAGTTTCGTTACTAATGATGATCCCAAGCTGGCAAGTTCAGCATTGAGCGTAGTTCATACGCTGATAAGTTACGCCAATGTGTTTCTAACAAATAGGTTTTGTGACTTGGCAAAGCTCCTAATCACGAAATATGATAAGCTGATAAAAAAACATCAATCACTCTATAGAAGGCGGAGAGAGAATGCAACGAAAAGTATTGTGAACAAAACTAGCACTACCACTAATTTTGAAGACAGAATATTCCAACAGTTAGCTGTGCTCTGCAAGACAGCTCTGCTCAAGCTTGGCCGGTCTTTACCACTAGAAACTGCTCTGGACATTGCCCGTGTGGCATGTCTTTATGATGACGATGAGACACATTATGCATTTTACGACGATGTTGTATACTATCTGAAAAATAAGGTCTAAGAGGTCATATGTCCTCTAAGATTTCGAGTAAAAAGATAATTAATTGTACTTAAATTATGAGAGGAAAAAAAGGTCGTACCCGGATTCGAACCGGGGTTGTTCGGATCAAAACCGAAAGTGATAACCACTACACTATACAACCATCGACACTGTTTCAGATTGTGTCTGATCAAAAAGTGGAGCTATTAGGGAGGTTAGTAATCACTGACACCTGAAATGAGCGATATCAACTGATGACAATCACTTAACAGCTCAGTGGTAGATTTATTCGTCATTGATCGAATATAAACACCGTTCATAGGGAGAATTGAAGGCCTAATAAAGGTTCAATAATAAGTGGATATAGCTGACCAAAAAATGATTCTTCCTGCTAAGATGGACTGTAGGTCTTCGCACAGAATAATATGCTAACTACTTGTAGAATCACGCATATTATGAGATTATTATCCACATATAGATAACGGAATGGCTTCTTAGTATGCTCAAATAGTCCTCATATTGGCTATAACACAAATTAAGATTTTCGGCGCAAAAGGATGTTTATTGTGAATAGAAATGCATGTTTGGTCCATGTCCTAGTCTGTTATCTTGCAAGGTCGCTGTGCGATATATATATGACTTGGATATAAAATATTTTATAGTCCAGCTCACATATAACTCTTTTCATAAAATTCGATGTAGTTCATTTACCCTTTAGGCATTTTGTAAATAACAATTACAGGCAATTAATATAAACATTAAAACACGACGGCTCACAAGATTGTTCAATAATTTAATCGTTGCTTAATGTATGAATGTTAACACCAGTGATATAATGAAACTTAAGAGAGACATGGTATATGCTTTGGATAATTTGTCTGAAGACCAGCTAGGGTCTATAGCCAAAATTATCCAAGAAGCGATTAGCGACGTACAAATAAGCAAACCAAAACCATTTTTGCAATTGCACATCCAGGAGATCATTAAGGCTTCACATGATATTCAAACATTGGGCTTGATTATTGGGGAGCAGGATGGCAAACTAGAGCGATGGTTTGAGTCTATTCGCATAATTCTTAAAAATTATCATTCTGAGTTAAAGCAAGAGGAAAGTCGTTTAAATCGGGAATTCGTGAAATCACTAGATACAATAGCTAAGATCTTTCAGGTTTTGAAGAATTATCAAAACGAGACGCAAGATGGGTCCTTACTGAACTCTAGGATTCGGAAAATGATCGACGATCACAGACAAAATAAATTTGTGAATCTGGCGCAGTATTGTAACGAGGCAGAACCAATGTCCCAGGTGAATAGAGAGGTCGAGGATGGAATTCTCAAACTTAAACCGATCCTTCTGGAAAAGATTGTGGGGATTTCAAAGGAGATAAGAGATTTCTACTCAAGGTTAGGGATTGTGGACGAATATGATGATCAGAATTTTCTTGAGCAACTTCCATCTCTAGAAGAAAGCATAAAATACTCCACAATAGAGGAAATAGATGATATTAAAGGCATCATGTCTACGAATTTCAGTCGCTCAAGCCCCGCGCTCGAAGAGAAGATAAAAAGAGAAAAGCAGAAGCTTGAAAACTTTATCAGCGAGCAGTGTTCATTAATGAGAAATATCATGGACAGACTGAGACTTCTTGAAATTGAGTTAGAGAAAAAAGCTGACTTGGACCTTCAGCATTATTCTGATGAGGAGTTGATACAACATATCGGTATTAAAAAAGCGAGCTTTGAACGATACAATAATAAACTAGAAATCCTTTTAGACGAAAAAATGAACAGGGAGCGACAGCTCAATAATTTAATGGAAAGACTGGAAGAATTGTGGGCTGTCCTGAGACCAAATGATAACTCCATCCAGGAGTTTTTGAAAGTGAACCTAAACATTAAGCGCGAGTCGATCAGTAACTTTGAAGCTCTTGTGGAAGAGCTTGAACATGAGAAAAAGGAGAACATTTCAAAATTCATTGAAACAAGCCGTATGAGAATTATCGGGTACTGGGATCTTTTGATGTACGATGAGGAAGACCGTTTGAAATTTGAGGCATTCTATGACGAGAATTCTGACAATTTTGACGAGGACTTGCTTGATCGACATAATCAAGAAATTGCGAAGTTGAGAGCAGAAGTTGACAAACTCAAGCCCCTTCTTCAATCGATCTCCAAACTAGACGACCTTCTCAAAGAAAAAAGCTACCTGGATGAGGCTGTTAAGGATCCCAATAGACTTTTGAAAAGAGACTCATTTAAAATATTGAGGCATGAAGAAAAGATTAGGGAGAAGCTGGCTAGACAATTACCATCAACAATCCGAGATTTAAAGTTGCAGCTAAACAGCTTTGAGCTGGAGAAAGGCCGCGCGTTCAAAGTAAATGGAGAACCTTATATTTCAAGATTGGAAGAGATTGAACTAGAACTTGGTCGGAAACGGAGCTCTCGAAAGTCTCCCATCAAAACCCTACCAACAAGCAATCCTAGCAGAGTATACAAACGGGAACCAATAACAGCTACCACACGTAAAAGAAACCATCTCAGCACACATTCAAAATATCCATCAAAGGTTCAGCTATTATCGCAGTCCGCGACTTCTAACGCATATAAATCTTCGGCCAGTTTCGGATCCGTTATCAGGAGACAAAACACCGAGTGTATGACAAATCCCTTCAACTCAAGAGAAAGCTCTCCTTTGAGGAAACCCGTTCATTCTCGCCGGCACGTGAAAGCTTCACAACTTCAGGAAACACCACCTTTGAGATTCATATCTCCCATCAAGCCTCCGGTATTCTCTAGCCCTACCAGCCACTCATCAGTAAGATCCGATCATTTCATGTCAGGTTCGACCATATCCAACAAGCCAATTGTAATCAAGGGTGGATCTCCCATCAGACAAAACTCTGGATCTCAATTGCACACTCACCCACATTTGAAGATGCCCAGTTTGTCTCCGTCATCACAAAGTCCGCCTTCAAAACCAGTTCTCCAAAGACCAGCTGCATGCACTACTCTTAAGCCATTGAACTTTCAGCTCAAGGCCTCTTCCCCACCATCTTCATCTTTAATTCATGACAGCGTAAATGGAAGAACAGTGAGGCCGTTCGACAGCCTTGATTCATCGAACGATATACCTGTCGCTGAACTAAGTGACTCGATGATTGACTACAGTGAAGAGTTCAAAGAGAACATCAGCCCGAAGTCTTATAAAACACATGGAAAAGCTCAGCAAACATTCTTGAATGACGTTTCCATGAACTGGGATACCGAAACATTCTAGAGTTCTGTTGTGTATGATATGTAAAATAGCGACTTTACCAATCCCTAAGATCCACACCATCAGGTGGAGCAATATCCACCTTTTTCTGACTGACTTCCTTCCAATCTGTGCTGAGAGTCGTACCATTGCTCTCCAAGTAACTTTTCATCATGGCTCTCCTGGTATCATCGTCTGCTCCTTGGTAAAGTTTCCTGAAGAACGCATCCGGATCTTGATTAGAGTCTTCTTCGGCATCATCTACCTTGAACTCTGACCAGTTGACTTTCTTTGCAGAGGAAGATGGATAGTCAAAAGTCGTGGGACGAGTCTCTTGTTCTGGAGCCGTATCAGTTTCCACTTTTTCTAAAGCTTTCCAACTTTCCTCCGTTTCCTTGGCAAGATATAATTCCAATTTAGTTCCAAAAACTTTAAAGGATGACTTGGAGGGAAGTATTGAGCCATATAGCGGATCCAAAGAATAACTAAAGTTGGTGTTTTCACTTGTTTTGAAATCAACACTCACTGATGTCTCTTGAAAATCAACCTTCAAAGTTGTGGGAGGTATATTCTTAACGTAAATTGAAACGTTAACCATGCCTTTGGAATCATACCAGTCCACTTTGGGTTTCTCTTTAGAAGTCTGTTGGGGCAAAGGCTTCCCTTTCGAAGAGGCAGGGCTTTTGACAGAAAGATCCGCATCTGATTGAAGTTTTTTTCCTATCATGGTTTTGAACATCGAACATTCGGCGTCCTTGTTATTAAGGTTGTAAGCTTCGTTTATATTTTCCATAGCCTCGGAGAATTGTTTCTGTCGAAACAGCACAATTGCTTTCTGTTTATAAGAGGTAGCAAGATCTTCCCGTTTTCCATTATTTTGGGCAATTTGAACCAGTTTATTGGCATCTTCAAGAGCAAGATCGTATTTTTTGGATCTCAAATAAATGCGGCTTCTTAGTAGAAGTGCTTTGAATGAATCTTGGTTCTCTTGAAGTGCAGCATTAGCGTTTAACAGTGCAGTGACTAAATCATCTCTCTCATACGCAGATTCACCCTCTTGGATCCGCGTACCAATTGGCATGATAATCACGGGATGAAATTCTTTTGTCTTCTTCAGGAACACGCACAGCCTAAAAAAATATTTTTTGAATCAATTTTTTTCATCTTAATCGAATGCCCAAAGTCAACTCACTGGTGTTGGACGCAGGCCCTTTAATTACGCAGTCAGCATCGACTTTGCAACAACATGCTGACAAGTTTTTTACAACTCCAGGAGTTTTTAACGAACTGAGAGATGAACACGCTAGAAGACAGGCTGCTTTATGGGGGGAGAAGTTATCAGTGAGGCAACCAAAATTTGATGCGATCAAAGCAATGACTGATTTTGCTAAACTCACAGGTGACCATATGGTATTGTCACAAAATGATATTCACATCTTAGCTCTTGCATATGAGCTTGAATGCGAATTGAATAACGGTCCTTGGAGACTTAGATCCTATCCAGGAGAGAAAAAAGAACGTCAAAAGAAGCGTAACCAGAACTCAAAGGAACGCGACGATACTAAGGATATAGACACGGTTCAAAAGGAAAAGAGTGCTGAAACGTCACTTGAACATACGGAGGTCTCGGATACAAATGAAAGGACTAAAAGGAAAACAAGAAGAGGCGGGAAACGCCACAGAAAGAAAAGGACAAACGGCGGAGAGGAAGGTGTGGCAGACCTCAAGGAGCAGGTCGAAATTGATGGTAATGAAGATGCAGCAGTGCAACAAATCACAGAAAAATTAAAAGATCTATCCACTGATTGTCAGCTTTCACAAGCATATTCGGACTCAGAAGATGAAGGAGAATGGATTACACCGGATAATATAGTAGAAGAGATGTTTAAAGACGAGCATGAACAAGTTGAGGCAGAAAAAAGCACTTCGAAGATTAAAGTCGCTCTAGCAACCGGTGATTTCGCTGTTCAAAATGTTTCGCTTCAAATAGGCTTGAATCTGATGAATCCAATGTCAGGACTTCAAATTCAAAGAGTGAGAAACTACATGCTTAGGTGTCACGCATGTTTTACCATGATTCCAATTCCAAAAGATGGTACACCAAAACATTTCTGTTCTTCTTGTGGAGGGGCAACTTTGCTGAGATGCGCAGTTTCAGTCAATTCCAAGGGAGAGATTGTTCCTCATTTGAAAAAAAACTTTGAATGGCACAGAAAGGGTGACAGGTATTCTTTGCCCTCTCCGCTATCCAAGAACTACACCAAAAAGTATGGCAAACAGGGATATCAGCATCGCGGTAATCCGAATCTTGAGAACATTTTTTTGCGAGAAGACCAGAAGGAATACCAACAGGCGCTGAAAAATGCTAAATGGCAGCTTCGACAAAATGAGAAAGCAATGCAAGAATACGTGGGTGGTGGATCAGCGGAGAACTTCGTTTCTCCATTTTTCACTGGAACTGATCATATAAAACCGGTCCATGTGAGAGTGGGAAGGGGTAGATACGTGAATTCATCTCGAAGAAGAAAGTGAGAGAATAATTTTCTTGTATATTTAAAAGTAACAAATCATAAGGCTGTGCTCCAAAAGCAATTTCACTCCAATGTCTTTCGTACCCCTTGAGCACAAAGCTGCAGGTCATGATGGAGCAATGCAATCTATTGACGGTTCGTTGTTTATAAAGCCCACTACTACACAAGAGCTAGAGTTTTATACCACGACGCAGGCTCAGATGCAGAATATTGACGATGACATTGAGTTAGGATCAAAGTTGTTCCATTGGATGCCTGTCTTCTATGGAACAATGTCTCCTGGTGTGAGTGAAGAACTCCGAGAGAAAAACCCGGAAGCAAGCAAAGAATATCAAGACTCAGTGGTTCCCCAGCCAGAGAGCGGACAACAATACCTGGTTTTAGAGAATGTGGTATATGGTTTCAAAAACCCGAGTGTTATCGACATCAAGCTTGGAAACGTTCTCTATGACGAAAACGCAGATAAAGATAAGGTTGAACGGATGAAAAAGGTTTCGAATACTACAACTTCAGGGTCTCTACATTATCGTATTTGTGGAATGAAAATTGTCGATTCAGGCAAATCTCTGGCGAATATTAAGGGCCCAGATATGAAGAAAACGGTGCGCAAAGATAATGGTTACCTAGTATTCGACAACAATTTTGGAAAGGGGTTAACACCTGACACTGTGAAAGATGCTTTGCTATTATTTTTCAGAGCAAATAATCTTTCACCCCAGAGACAAGCAATTGTTCTTGAGAATACCATTCGTCGCTTGCAGCTTCTTTATAACTGTTTGCTTGATTACGAAATTAGAATGGTCAGTGCATCCCTATTGCTGGTCTATGAAAATGATGAAGGACGTTGGGAAGAGCTTGATAATCAAGATATACTGATAAACGAGATGGAAATTGATGAGGAATCTAGCGCGGAAGATCTCCCTCAAGCATTGAGTTTGCTGAGATTAATCGATTTTGCCCATACAAAGTATACCCCCGGAAAGGGCAGTGACGAATCCATATTAACTGGTGTTAAAAACTTATTAGAATTGATCCAAACCGTGTGATTATATCATCTCATAACGTCGGTGTAACTATATATACTCATAATTTGTTCTTCATTGAACGTAGTTTGTCCATTACCTTGACTGGATCAGTCTCCTGAGTCGAGCGCTGAATTTCAGGATCAGAGAGTCTAGCAAAAGGGTTGAAGCGTTTTTCATCTCCGATCGTGAATACACCAGTTGTAACCTCGTGTTTGATGCAATACTCCTCCAAGTTATTCAATGCCTCATTCTTAGTTCCCAGAACTATCTTTGAAAACTTAACATTTGACCGCGTGTATTCATGTCCTGGATAGACTTTAGTATCTTCCGGAAGCTCAAGTAGCTTTTCAAATGCTGCTTTCATTTGAGCGCCATCACCCTCAAAGAAGCGCCCACAGCCTGAAATGAATAATGTGTCTCCGGTAAAAACACCTTTTTGGCCAGTCTTCTGATCTTCAGCATAATAACAAATAGAGTCTTGAGTATGGCAGGGAGTATGGATTGCTTTGATTTTGACATTCTTCCCTAACTCCAAGATTTCGCCATCTTTTGGAATGCGATTAACACATGGGGAATCTTTTCCAGCGATAACATCAACCCCAGGATAGACAGATTTGAGCAATTCCTCATTACCTCCCGAGTGATCATAATGGTGATGTGTATTGACGATTGCAATTACGTCTGTTTTATTGTGGTTTAGCAAATACGAAGAAATCTCAGATGGATATGCAGGGTCGATCAACCAGGATTTTTTAGTTTCGTCATCTGAGAGGATGTAACAGTAATTATCGCCAGACTTCCATCTCATTGGCAAATAGTCAACATGCATTTTCCGTGAAAATTGAATTATTCGAGATGAAAGACCTGAGGAGCTTGTCAAAAATGATTTTAACATAATCAAAATGACAAATTCTTGCTTTTCTATTTGGGGAAGAAATCGGTAGTGTACATATATTAATCTTATGTAGCCGCTTGTCTACATTTATTGTAAAAAATATGCTTCTCCAGTAGGTCATTTCGCTTGAATGCAGTACCGCATTTGAGGCAACTGAATGGTCGCATATTATCATTTTGATGAACGATCAAGTGCCTATTCAAATGATACTTCCGTTTGAACTTCTTTTGACAAAAATTACATTCGAATTTTCTTTCGTCGGCCTTTACAGAAACATGAGTATCGTCATCACTCTCTTCAGAAACGTCATTTTGATTCACAGTCTCGTCTTCTCCATATTTTACTTTTCCGAAGTGTGTGTTGCTCGAAGTTGGTAGCAAAGACGGTGGGTCCAAATCATGATTGCTCTTCCCATGCGCCGATTCTGTTGTCTCGGTAAACCTAATTGATTGTGATTTCGCTATTATTTCTTTCGATTCCCCAACCTTCTGACGTTTGCAAATAATTGTTTTACACCGGCTGGCATGCTTCTTGTAATTGTCCGATCTTTTGAATGATTTACCGCATTCACAAATGTAGGGTCTCAGATTGAAATGGATTACTAAATGTCGTCTCAGATTACCTCTTTTGGTAAACAATTGAAAACATTTAGAGCATTTATAGGTATTATTGGGCATCAACTCGCAACGGGCAAACTCTTGGCTCACTTGCTGCTTGATTGACAATCTAATTGGATCACCAGTGTCAAATTTCGGGTGTGTGAAGATCGAATCATCATCTGCTTCCTCATCAGCTACATCATCTCCCAGTAAGTTTGTTTCGCTGTCTTCAGTTTTAGGTTCCATTTGCTCGCTTGGATCAACTCTCGTTACATCACTATCGGTGAATGGGTTCAGCATAGCTGAATCTAAGAATCGAGTCGACGAATGCGACCTTTTTGAATTCTGCGTGTGTCTTACTCTGTAGTTAGATTCTGTGGTTAGCATATCTCCAGATTGCTGTGCCGGTTCATTTGCTGTCGCAGGAGGGGTCTCCAAGGCTGCACCAAGACTTCGCCGGCCATGTCTAGATACTTCGGCTTTGGGGCGATATAGGTCTCCATCAAAGGTGTGATGGTTAATGTCGTGTTTCTCATCGCCATGGTCAGAGCGGTTACCCATATTGTCGGATAATGAAGACAGTGAGTCAGACCTGCGTTGGCTTACCGGGCTCTGGTATCTATCAGAATCATAAAACTCTGCCAATTTAATGCTCTTGCCCATTTCTTTCAACTTTTTGAGCTTCTCTTTCTTGGCCAATTCAATACTTTTGACTCTTTCAATTTCTTCGGCATCGAGTCGATTTGGATCATTTCGTAACTTATAACCACTACCGCCGGCTTTTCCTGAGGCCAGGCAACGTTTCTCGTGATTTTTCAAATTATCTGATCTTCTGAATCCACGCTCGCAGTTAGAACAGACATGAGGTCTATAATTTGTATGTGTCAATGAGTGTCTTCTCAAATGCTCCTTTCTTTTAAATGCCCTTGAGCAGAATTCGCATTCAAAAGGTTTGTCAGCGTCCTTCGGATTGTTCGAGGGCTTGATATTTTTTGACGAGATTACAGTACTGATCAGTTTGCTTCTTCTCTTCTCTTCTTCTTCGCTGTTCTCAGTGATTTCATCGTCGGAGTGGGGCTTTCTATGATTCCGAGTGGAGCGCAGTCTTCTAGATCTTGTCTGATGAGATTTATTCTGGTCAAGATTTTCTTCACTTTCACTGTTTGAAGAGTCAGAAGAATCGTAAAAGCCATTGTCAATGCGCTGTCCATGAGAATCATAATCAGATATTTCATTGATGTCCGCAAATTCCAATTCGAATTTTGAGTCCGTGGGTTGCTTGAGTCCAGTGAAATCCAACAAATTGAAATTGTAGTATTTGAATTCAAAGCGGATATTGGCCGGAATGTTTCTTGGCTTATGGAAAGTGTTACCAAATGAATACAGTTTGATGACCATTTCAGGTATTTGAATGTCTCCTAAATCGAAGAAGCTAAAATCAAAACTGTTGAAGTTGGGAATCGAGACCAGCTCAACTTCAGCTGTATCGACTTGGGGCATTTTCACAGTGACTGTATTGAGTTTTCCTATTGACAAGATGCTGTCTAATTGAGAGTTAACTTGAAATTTAACAGAATTTAGGTCAACGCTTAAACTCCGACTGTAACGGTGCATTTCGCTGTTGCACTTTCGAGTTTGATTTAAAAAGATCAGATCTTTACAACTTTCATAGTCATTATTGTGAACAATGATGCTGACCAAATTTAGTGGAAGCTCCCAAAAGTGATTCCAGTTTATCTGGCAATTGATGAGTATCAAAGAGGAAATTTGAGACAGGTTCCTCAAAGTGTTTAGTTGCTTTGAATCGATGACGCAGTCAAGTAAAACCAGCTCCCGTAGTCGATACAGAGTTGAGAAGTCGCAGTTATCAAACTCACAATGTGAGAAGTTCAAATACTGTACTTTTGAGCTCACTGAGAAGAGAGTTATCAGCTGATAAGAGAACTTCAACAGAGCGTTAACAGTGATAGCCTCCACTGAAACCAAACTGGCTAAAAGTTGATTTAGATCAAAGGCTCCAGAATCTTCATCAGCCAAAGTAAGGTTCAATTTTTTGACGTTGGGCAGTCCGATTTCATTCAAGAGTTCAATACTGATGGAGCTATCGAGCCGCAGGTCAAACTCTGTCTGTCCATTATTTGGGCATAGAACAACACTCTCTTTTGAAGTTTCATCCAATGTAAGATCCTGGTAAACCAGATTTCGAATATTGGTGCATAATTCTAGTATCTTTTGAATGTTTGTAGAAGTTTTTAATGGTCCAACAATCTCAAGCTGCAATATGGATGATAAATCATAGTTCTCAATTAAATCAATGTTTGTATCACCATCAATCACAAGGGTTGTCACCTTGTTCCAAACGTGCGTAAAATGTTCAATTTTTGAGAGATCTATTTTCAGCCCCTTCCAGCAGTTGAGTTTCACAATATCATCATAATCCGAAATATAGACTTCCTCAAAGCTAAAGTTTTCATATCTTCGATCATGCAGCAAGAATTGCTTAAAGATCTTGAATGCATCAGAACGAAGATCAATCTCACTATCTTCGGTATCACGCTGATCAACAAGCCGTATTTCGCTAATCTTCTCTAAAGACTTCTTCATGGAATACATCATTGATTCTCGGTACGGACCTTGTAGCATAGAGAAGAGCAGCAGAATGCTAAGAGGTAGGAGTTCCATGATTTTGCTAGCTAAAGTAAAACGTTCGGTTTTTTTATTCATAAAAGCGTCCATATGATTCCCAGTTTGAATGGTGTGTGTGCTGAGCTTCAAGAGCATCACTATCAGACTTTTTGTAGAAGTCAGATGTGTACCGAATGGCCGCAAGGGAGAAGATGTGGAAATTTGAATCATAACCAGTGAAAGTTCGTGAAGGTTCACTTTTCTTCTTGTTCGATTTCTGTGAAAGTGTTGATTATATATGCTCTTCACACGTATATATATAGTTGCTGATCTTATTCTCGTCGATATTAATAATCTTCTCAGTTAGGCATGTCTTAATTCATATGCCTTTGGCATCCCTTTTCTCGAGCTTCTCCTTTATTTTATTTTTCCTTTGGGCAGAATTTTATTTGTGTTATGTAATCAAGCATGAAACCCGACAAACTTTACTTACCTATTATACAAAGCCAACAAGCCTGCAGGCTAGCAATACATGAACAATGAGAGGTGTAACAATAACCAGAAAGCCAAAGTTTGAGTAACCTAGTTGTTTAATGGGCCCGAATGCTTGCCTCCTTCAATTGCTTCGCTAAGTTCATCTTCTTCCGCAACAGTTAGCTTCCTTATCCCACTTATCAGCGGCGGTTCATTCTGTTCTTCTGACTCCTCTACATTGTCTCCATCATCATCTTCATCGTCGTCTTCATCTTCATCGTCATCGTCCTCATCTTCTTTTTCTTCATCTTCATCCTCTCCTTCATCCTCTTCATCTTCTCCGCCTCTTATGTCGTCCTCGCCCTCATCGTCCTCATCATTTTCATCCTCGGGATACCCTCCCATTTTTTGAACTATTTTATCGACAATTTCATTCCAGTCCATCATTCCACCCATTCCTATTTCTCCATAACTGCTAACCACCTTTTCTGTCGGCTTCAAAATTTCTATCCACTTCATATCTTCTTTGATTGTTTTTGCATGTCTTTTGGTGACAGGGGATGTGTACGCGAAGGAAACCATAGCTGGTGCAAGAATAATTGGATATTGGGTATTCCATGCCCTAACAACGTTCGTTAGAAGATTATCGCATAGACCCATAGCAATCTTGGACATAGTATTGGCGCTTAGAGGAGCTATAATCAAAACGTCTGCCCATCGCCTTAGCTCAATATGAAGAACGGGATCCGTCCTGCCATTCCAGACTGACCATTCGTCTTTATCTCTCCATATTTGTACATTGGCTGGAAATTCACCTCTGGATACAAAATGCTCTGCAGCTTTTGTCAGTATTAACTGGATCGAAACATTGTCTTTGTATATTTGTTCAAGTTTGTTGATGATAAGTCGTGTTTTCTTGATCGAAACAGACCCGCAAGCACCAAAAAGGATATGTAGTTTGCCATCATCTTGAGGTAATCTCAAATGCACATCTGTTGAAGTCGTCGGATCAGATGTTGCGGGATGTGCAACTTCGTTGGGCTTTATTAGAGGCATTGGTGGAGCTATATGATGCGGAGCTTCTAAATCATTAGTAGATGCTGAACCAGATCTCGATCGAGCATTTGGGTGTTTCATTATATCCTCGACAGAGAAGTGAGCATGCATCGATGTGGTTCGCTGATGCTGTGGTGCTGGCATTGCAAGAACATCGTCTTCATCATGTCTCACTACTATTGGTGAGTTGGATCGTGGCACTTCCTGTTTGATAGGATTTTTCCTGAGGGACTGCGTTAGCTTGGATACATTTGATCCTGGCTCCTGGAGCTGAGCAGACCCAGCTAATCCTACAGTTCCATTCCTATTAGCTGAAGAATCATTTGCCGCGGACGCAATATCGGACAGAGGCAAAGAGTCTGCCGAGCCATGCCTTGAAGATTTTGACATCACCCCTGAAAGCGTTTCCTTTTCTTTGGATGGCTGTACTGATTGATCCATTTGAGACGGCAAGGTGGGATGTTGAAGAATGGGAGGGGGCGAAGGACATCTCAAATTAGACATTGCAATGACTGCCGGTGAAGTATCATCATTCAACCGTTTAGAGGTCTGCTTCGGCTTCAATTTCTTCGATGTTGTCCCTGCATTCTTGCTCTCAAACGTTGTCGAGTTTGTCATTTTCACTTCATCCTGTGGCGATTCTCCCACTAATTGATTGGAGTTTTCGTAACCCTCTGACATCTCTGTAGTCTCTAGGCGCTTGATGGCAACAACCAATGAATTGTCTCTGCTTGTGCGCAATCAGTGATAGGGAACTGTTATTTACCTGATTGTCTGTGAATGATTCTCATTCAACAATTAAAATTACTGGAAAAATTTACAAATAACGAAATCCTAACTGATTCGCCTATATTTTATATATGGTGGTGACCTGACTGACACTTTAGGCGATCAGTATCTTAGTAAGGATGTTTTTAAAAATTTCCAGAAGAGCATAAAGAGCATACGAACAAATGCGCACCGCACAGATACACTCCCCCTATCGGCGGAAAAAGAGGATCGGCTTACGAATGGTCAAATCCAAGTTGAAAGATCATTCTAAGCTAAGACCTCGAAACAAGAAAATACGCCCATTTTGAATTGTCTGTTTGTCTGTGGAATCAACTCTTCCAATGACTCGAACGGTCGTTGCCGAACTGCAGAGCTGTTGCTACCGAATAAAATATTTGGTTGAGGGATTTTATTTTAGTTATACTTTTCCCATTTCGATTAGAGGCTTTGACGTCACGTCCAAAAATTAATTTTATGTGTTATGTACAAATTTCCCCAACTGACACACAGCTACTACACTTGTATCTTCTGAGTAGATACAAATTGGAGAATGCCTATCAGTACCGTTACCAATACCCTTATCTGCAATTTTTCATATATGGTGTTCTAATGTAAGCCAAAATCGCAACCTAGCATTGCATGTAGTAATGGGAGTGACAAAACTTGAAGCAAGCTTCGAGACTTGGAGTGTCAGTATTTTGGAGTTGAGAAGAGTGCAAATTTCCCAATGGCAGTCTAGCTTACCTCAGCATAGGAAATGTAACATAAAGGTCATCAAAGAGCTAAGTTGGTCTGTCAACTTCGGTTTTGTACCCTGCATGAAGATCAAGTCGAAGCTGTAAATGGTTGAACATTTTCTCCTCGCAGTAACCATAAGTACTCTGTTGGGGCTCACTTGCTATGGTGCCAAATATTTGTCTTCTCTATGCATTTTTCAAATTGTGCCAACCACCATGCTAGTTTGTAGCCAGTCTAGATCGACATTAGCTTTGATATTTCAGTTCTCAGGAGGCACCAAAAAAAGGCACTGAGCAGCTTCATCATCGGACACATGGCAAGTACCCTGTGGCGGCAAATGATGTATGTTTCAGTTCTTTTTGTGCCAAGAAGTGCAAAGATTGTTTTGTTTCATCATGCTCTGGCGAAAACAAATTCAGAACTACTATCTTTCAGGTGATGAGTAAGATCTCAAGAGGCATCTGAACTACGTTATCTTGAAATTCTAAGCAGTAGCTCAAGTTATCGGCCGATAATCAGCAGTGGTACTTATCGACATAATTCAAGTCCTGATCTGATAATGGAGGGCACTTCAGTAAAAACCAATGTTCAGTGTGACATGGAGCATTATCCATGATAAGTAGATCTTTTGTGATGTCGATGCGGACTTCGTTACTGGATACAGACCTTATCTGGATATGTTTAGAGCCTTCCAGCTTCTCAGTGATGTTATTCCAGTATAGCTCATGTGTCATGAACGTGAATACTCTAAAGCCTGTCGTTGTACACGGTAAGAGCTGGTACAAAGCGTTCTATGTTTTTAGGATGCATTGTAACAACCTCGATAGTCAGTTGACAGTCAGCAGCAAGTTGTTTCTCTACTGTCCCGTTGGGATCGTATGAAAGAACATCATCATTCAAATTGTAGATGTGATCAATTTTGTATCCATAGCCAATTGTCCACTTTTCCTGATTGCAGGTGGTATATGAAATCCCTTCTTTGAGTATGAAGTATCTCCGAGTTTTTAAATGGAGCCGATCTATGCAGCATATTCTTTGTAGCTCACTATTGTAGCATAATACATTCCGCTATGGGCGGCGTAGTTGCCCGATAATCACCATCTATCATTTCGAGCTAGAAAATGTCGTATAAGTTGTCAGAGGCAGCCTTTCATCTTATTCCTTACGACACGTGACAAGTCGAGCTGCACTTTCTCTCTGGGCACGTTGCCAATTCTCATTTCTATGATCGCATTATTATCCGTTCCTTAACGACTGCAGTTTTTTTGGGAGTAGTTTTGAGTCTCTTCATGCAAACCTTTAGTGATTTAACTTATTGGGACCAAAATGCACCTCGCTGCAAATGTATCACTTCATTCAAGCAAACCGCAACTAGTCTTGGCTACATTAAAAATCCTACCAATAAATGACTCGCACAACTGTTCTTCCCTGATTTCATTGCAGTTCAATTTAGTCATAGTGATGTTGGGCTTGAGAATCACTTATTTTCTGCCTATTTTGCTATCTGAAATTCCCCGTTCATAGTACTCGGGTTGGAATCCAATGCTCGTGTACTGATGCAAGTCACGTACAAGTTCGAGCGTATAATTTCAGAAAGAAACCTGGTATGATCGATTACTGAACTCAACATCATCTACATTTTGACCGTAGATGTTTCCAATTGGGTCTCCCATGTTAGCAGTGGTTTTCTGAGCATCATCAACAGCGATTCCATTCCAAGGCAATCCATAGAGTTCCGGGCCTGCATCAATTCGAGACCAATTCAAGTTCACGTCCGAGCTGAATAAGTTGTTTATATATGTGTCGAGACTTTCTTGACTTTGAAAGAATGGTAAGTTTCTTTCGGTAGCTCCCAAAGTCAAATTGGCATCAATCATCTCTTTGGTCTTCTTTGCGATGCTTGTTATGTTAATTTTAAAATTCTCTGGTGACTTTTCGCCTTTTTCCTGTTCACTACACACTTTGTTAGTCGAATCAATGGCGAAACAAAGCATCAAAGTGAGCTTGAAGCAACAAAAGAAACCATAATCTCCGCTGAGCTCATCAATATCTGCAACACTTTGATAAAATTCACAAAGACATTTCACAAGCTGTTTTGGATGTTTGAATTTGGCCATGATATCGTCGAGCAATGAGTCTTCATGAAGTGTATCGGCTAGGCTTAACTCAAGAGAATTATAATCGATGCTGTCAAATCTGATTAGATCAGATGCGTCAATATTTTGGTTAGAATTTGTGCAATTGCTGGAAATCGAAGTAGCAAATGTCAACGAACTTCGCAGCACGAGAGCAGTCATTTGAGGCTTGAAGTAAACCACATATTTCGGTTTTGCGATTTCCAATTCGCCACGTAATATTTTGTTCACGAGAATATACGATAGAAGTGCACATTTCAGTGAGATAGTGAGTAATCTTTGATCCAACAATTCCAATAGTTTGATCTCATCATATCGTAAATCTCGTCCCTTCAATTCCTGTTTTAGCAGTTTTTGGTTTGATATAACCAGTCTCAAATTCGTGCATAGACCCTGCACCAGCTCTAAAAAATAAAACTTGGTATTCACTTTCCAAGCCACAATGTCCGAGTCTTCAGTTGGTACCATAATCAAGTCCAAAAAAGTACCAATTGATTTCCCAAATTCAATGATTTTCATTATCGTTAGTACCATCTCATTTAGAGAGACAGGACGGTTTGAATTAAAGACCAGCGAAGCTTCTCGGTATAATTCTGTAAGATCGCGAGTAATCTTGTCCCTCTCAGGCATGAAATAACTTTGGTGCTCATCTTGAGCATCCCTATTATCGGCGAAATCGTCATTCACTAGAAGCGGAGTCCCAACAGTCAGCGAGCCAAAAGCATCCAGAAACTTGAGCTGCGCCCAGATTTTGCTCCAAATGTTTGGCGAATGTGAAAACCCTGTGGCAGACGATGCTTTTCCGGTAATTGCATTGATGGAGTCCAAAGATCTGTGCAACCCCATCTGTAAAGCAGTGGACACTGCGGTATGAATAACAGGGAGCAAATTTGCACCATCACCACCGTCTCCATCGACTGCACTATATAGCAGAGATATTCTCAGTAATAGCAGTGCAAGTAAAACGTTAATATTTTGCTTTTTGTCAAACCGAGAAAGATTGAGAGAAGCTTGACAACATTCATCCAAAATTGTGAAAGACTCTTTGAGATCAAATAAGTGCTTATCTTTTTGTTCGCTCAATTCCTTGTAGTTGATGAATATAACTGAAAGCTTGACAATTGCGAAGATCATGGCTAGATTGGAGTACTCATAAGGTTTTTCCGGTTTGACAAAATGAACTTTACCATGCTCATCTCGCACGAACATTGTGTGAAAACGGGACTTTACTTGTATGATGTCAATCAGTTGATTCATCAGAAAGTTGTTAAGATGCTCGTCGAAGTAATCAATTAAGTCAAGCATAGCTGTGTAATGACGCAAAACTTTGGCCTCAATTTCCTGAGCAAATCTTTCTTCGTCTCCCTTCAAACCAAATATTGCGGATTTCGATGGTATTCTGCGGCTATCCTTCCAATGTTTTCTTTCCTGTGTTAACCTGTCGATGAATTGATGTAAAAAGAAAGTCAGTTCTTTCTGGTGGGCAATGGATGTTCTGAAGGAGGCAAATCCGAAAACTAAAAGTCGGGATTTCTTCGCATAAATACAGTTAAGCTTCAGTTTGCTTGATTTCACTGAAAAAACAGAGTTCGTTCCGTCATCTTCGCTGGTCAAAGATGAATTGTCGGAGCGTAATTGCTCATTCTTGTTACGTAACGCTTCCTCAAGGAAAACCACCCTGGTTTTCAACTCTTCAACATCAGTTTGCAAAGAAGGGCCCTCTGTTTGGCTACTCGTTAGGCTTTTGGGTTCACGAATAACCTCAAGATCCGATGAGCCGTTGGACGACCGAGTACTAGGATAATTTGAAAACAAAGGCAATTGCTGGGTTAAAGTTCCGCTCTGGAGGGCAGTTCGTCCCTCAAAGGCCCTTCCACGTCCTATACTATCTTTCAACGGAGGGTGCTTGGCGGATGAATGACGATAATGACATGAATCTGCCAGATGTGACTTCAAACAATTGGAACACGGTAATCTCTTATCACACTTGATCTTCTTTTTCTTGCAGTTGATGCAAACAAATGAGGGCCTGTTTCGCCTTTTTTGAGATTTCAGAGTCGATTCCGGCCGATCTTTGTTTATTAAAATGGTGTCAAGAGTTTTCGTCACTGAAGACTCATTAATATCGGGACTTATGTCCTCGGAACTGGCCATATTTGTATGCTTTTAGGGCTTTCAAAAAATTCCGAGACTCAGAAATGATTATTTAGATAATTGAAGCCGAGATTATTATTTTGCGGATAAAATACTTCCAGTTTCTATATACTAAAGATTTTTTTGGTTACTTACTATCTTGGTAAGCGGCGAAACTTCGGACTACCGATAATTTTGAACGGGCTTCAAGATAGGAAAAAGAAGGGGGGGATGTTTCAAAATGGGAATGGTTCTTTGTTTGCGAGAAAACGTATCATTACGAATTTTATTGCATATCTCATAATTGTACATTATCATTACATTCGTAGACTTCCAATCATTCCAAGATCATATCGATCGGGGACTTTCTGTTCCACTTGCCACATAAGTTAGCAATTTTATAGGTGGAAGTTGAAGTCGTCACTTCCTTCTCTAAAAGTAGATCTTCATGATCAGGCTGGGGCCCAAAATCCCCTTCATATATTGTTGCACCACTTTTTCTCCTTGATTCTACCACGGTGCATTCGTAGCTTCTCAAAATCTCTTCCGCAGTTGGTCTATTTGAAGGATTTGGATCGATCATCCACGTCACCAATTTATCAAGGGCTGAGCTACCATCACAAAACCAAGATGGTGCCCAACTAGGAACTCTCATTTTTTTCAAGTGATTCGCTTTAGTCATTTCCGTAGGGGATGCTGATATGCCAGTCGTAACTGTTGTATTCGTAAGAGTTGATGAGTAAGTGTTTGTGCTAGAAAAAATTGATCCTTCTAAGTCGGTCAAGTCACTAGACGACAATTTCCCTGCATCTGTTAAGTCGCCAGATCTCAGCTTTTGCCATGATGTCCCGTTGTCTGGTAAGACTATATTGGCCGCTATTTCAACCATGATAAGACCACATGAGAATATATCCGCTGGTTTCCCATATATGTGTTTTGAAATCACTTCTGGGGCAATATACTCGCGGTCTCCTTCACGGTCAAAATAGGGGGGGATAGGAAGTTTGGAAGCAACACCAAAATCCCCAATCTTCAGAGATCCCTCAAAAGTGATAAATATATTCGCAGGTTTCAGGTCAAGGTGCAATATACCACATTTATGGATAAACTTCAATCCCATCAATATTTCGTTCAAAATTTTCCATACTCTCCACTCATCTAGCTTTGACACTTTTCCATTCTCTACCAAAAACTTGTCCAGCGATCCATTTTCGCAGCAATCGGTCATTATGTATAGAAATGAATTGTGTTCCCAATAATTAATGAGGTTTAAAATATTTTCGTGGTTGTCGCCTGTATCCGCAAGGTTCTCGTCATCTGCTTCCATTGAGAAAGACCTGAACTTCGCTTGAAGGGTCTTCAGTATTTCAACTTCTTCTAATTTGCGCAATCTAGTTTTCGGTCCTCCCAAAGGATTCTTTGTTCTCTTGACTGCATATTTAATACCTTCGTACTGTATTTCGTACACCACAGAGAATTCACCGGACCCTATCAAACTACAATTTCCAAATTTTGACATCAGATGGTAGTCGATTTGGTCTTTTTTCTCCAACGATTGCTCAAAAGGTAGTGATTGATTGTGAGATCTATGGCTTGGAAGTGAGAATGTGGATGAACTATCCAACGTTAAATCACCATGCGAGTCCGAGTTTCGTGTATTCTGAAATGTTTGTGTAAATGATGGATCAACAGGAGTTTTGGGGCTATGGCCAGTCATCGAGGATATTTTTGGAGGACCCATATTCATTCGTTCTCCCGTTTTTCCTGAACTGAACATGTTATGTGTCGGGCGTTGAGAGTGAGAAGAGTTCCAGCTTGAGTTGTGCTTCGTAGGTGTGCTTCCATCGAGGTAATTGTGTGGTCCTCTGTTTCCATGTTGATTGTGTGTTGCACCCAAACGAGTAGGAGTTGGAGGTAGATTCTCCAGCGACTCAAACTCAGAAAAGCCATCAAAATTCATTTCGTCAATATTCTCTAAATCAAGGTCCTCATCCATAAAATCTTCATGGGATGATGCATCATCCAGTTTGTGTCCGTTGAATAAGGCTTGTCCCTTATGATGATTTTGCTGAGTTTCACACTCGTTAAAAGCCTTACTCCTATTATTCAAGTCTTGCAACGGCCTCCGGCAGCTATTAGGAGAAGCCTTACCAGTTCGAGTGGCTGGTGAATGGGCGGGTGTTTCACTCGCATCTCGAAAAATGCTTGTACTGTGATGACTTTCATCATCATATAAATCATCAAACTCGTTGGTGAATCTCAAAATACAGCTTTCCAGATCCGATGTGTTTATTGCCTTTTGGCTTCTTGACAACGGGCGACCATTTCCATTCGAACCACCACTACTTCGAGGAGCTCTAGTAATACCGTCGATTGAGATTGGCGTCATATTTGAAGAGTTTGGGGATATGATTTCCGATGGGCTACTCCCGCTTCTTGTCGATTTGGATGCTGACGAAGTCGCCATTGTGTGGGCAGAATAATTTAATAAAGTTGATGCATTGGATGATCCAAACGAGCTATTAGCGGCTGTCCTTTCAATCGACCCATTAACATTGAGAGTACTCAGAGGTGGCTTTTTACAAGGCGTTTCGGGCATGGTTTTTAATTTAGTGGCCAAGTTGATGGACTTTTTGCTTTGTAATCCAGTAGAATTGAATGCTGTCTGTAGCGGTTTCACGGATTTAAAAGACGCAGGTGTCACAAATCCATCGGTGTTCCTTGGAGTGAAGTGTACCTGAAGCGCGTCAGGTTTTTTGGCCTCGTACTCAATCTTGTCAGGTTTTGACAGCGAACCTGCGGGAGAACCCTTTGTAGCTTTAGGAGCAGCAGTTTTAACGTCGAGACTAATAGGACTGATTATCTTATCCATCGAAGGCTTATTGGCCGTGTCACACATGAGAGAGTCAGTTACGTCGTTAATGTGATTGTTGTTGAATATTTTTTTGAAACGGGAAGAGGCGGTCACCCTTTTGACCACTGATGGGTTCAAAAATGGAGATGGTGAGTTCGTGAATTGGTGTCCCCCTACTGTAATCCTGAAGTTTTCAAGCTGTTCGAGTTTGCGTTCACTTAGAGAAAGTCTAGGTTCTTTCTGTCGCGAATCTATGGCGCCTTCTGAAACCTTAACATTTCCCGAAGGACTAGTGACATCAGTCCCAAAGTCCAAATCACTTATGGATTTGGTGATTTCATGCTCTTTCTGTAGTTGTTTTCGAGGGCTGGTCTCGATGGATAAGTTCAAAACGCCAGCGCTTCTTCGCAGAGCTGCCTTTTTCGTTGCAAACGGGGGTGAAGGGTTTTTAAGGGTCTTCAGAGGTGATTCACGGTTACTTCTGTTCAACGGGCTCTCAGTGTTGCCTATTGAAGATTTCGGTCTTTCTGTCTGTTTAATCGTTGAGAAATCGCTCGAAGGCGAATAGAGTGTCCGTTTTTTGGTATTCAAAGGAAACCCGGTTGAGTTCATCATTGAGGAATTATGATTGATCGCATCATTCAGTTGATATTGCGTTTGCTGAATATTGAAAAGCTTCTTGGGACTCAACGGGTTATCCTGCTGCATTTTGAGAGCCTCAAACCTAACTGTTGAAGAAGGACTGGTTGTTTCTTTGTTAGTGAGCCTGTTTAGTGTTTGTGATCAATCTATGTGACTTTCTAGATTGTCCTTCATAGAGAACACTACTGACAGAACTTCAAATGGAAAACAAGTTTGTTTACTTTTTGATTTTAATGTTCCCTTCACGGCAACGCGTGGAATTTTTGTGCGTTGCACGAAAGTAAGATAAAAGTTCTGAGCGCGTTGCATAAACCATCGATTAAGATGTATGCTGAAAATAAATCTCAATAAACTAATTGAATTCTAATAAGACGAATACTCTAGATTAACACAATTGAGTAACGTTAATTCTATCTAACGAATGCTACTTGAACTTCTCTGCTTAAATGATAGTATGGGATAAAAACTAGTAATGTCCTCAAATTGAGATAAGGGAGTACAACATTGACACAATATTGGCATTATATATTCCGTTCTGATATACTCAACTCTGGTCATAGAAATCCCCACCACTGATCCAGATCAAGCGTGCTTACTACGAGGAATTGTTGCTAAACTGATTAGTACTATTTCTGATGAAATAAGAAAAAGAGTATGAACGCTCGGTGATGACTGCATCGTCTAATCAACTTGAAAGGAGTATTGCCCCATTTAACTCGTTGTCTCTCTAATACTCTGACAGTTTAATAAATAATAATCTAGTTATGGCTATCATCGAAACGTTCCGATACCGCGACGTCAAACGGTAGCGAATCGTGGAAAGCTTCTCTTGTAGGGAGTTCGAAAGTCTGCCAAATATCAGAGCTTTCTGTGGTGGTATTCTTTTTCTCCGGACCATCAACTTTCGTGTTTCCAAAATACCCCAGCATCTTGCAAGCTTGGCGAAATGAGGGGGCATTTTTTTCCAGTTCCCATATTGGTTGTTCACCGTATGCCGAGCCAGGCCATCGAAGTTGCTTGAAGATTTTGTTGATGGTCGTTCTTTCTATCAAAGTGGGGCTGTCTGTAATATTGAAGGTATTTGATGTATTCTTTTGAAATTGTTCTTTCATTTTTTGCTCTCCTAATTCTGTGAGTTGAGTAATTGTACTTGTGGATAAGACGGTTCTTCCACGATCATCGATCGTCCTCTGGAAAAAATACCTAACTAAGGGCTCCCACATTGGCGAGTCTTGGAATTGCTTCATCGAAGTCAATAATATTGCATATAACTGATTTCTATTATCATCATTGTCCACAACATTAGGGTAAGAGTTTTCGAAATACTGCAAAAACGCTATCGCGTACGGTAGATTCTGTAACTCAAACAAGATGTAATCCATGAAGAGCTTAAGAATGTCGAATTTCGGAGTCAGCACAAATGCAGAGTGATCGCTACTTCGGCTTTGACTGCAAACATTTTGCATGTAGATAAATGCTTCTCCCAATTGACCTTCTTCTAAAAGCTTTACCCTGATACCTAACGACAGCAAATCATATGCAGTACTGTAGTCAATTTTGGTCGCCGGATCGAAAAGCTCTTTAAGTATCGGGAACTGGACACCAGATTTTGCAAGATTCTTTTGGCATAGTAAGGGAATCTGAAACTTATGGAATTGGCGAAGAAATTGCAAGATTTCATGTACATCCTTCAATCCTCCACATATAATGTTCCAGGTATACTTGTTGGGGGCTATACCTTGCTGTTCCATCATATTCAAAATCGATATGCATCTTCTTACCCTATGTTTAGCCCGGGACCGCAAAATGGTGTTGAGAAAAATGTTATATGTTTGGATGTCGGGCTTCAAATCGTAAATAGTGGTCATAGAGTCAAGTATTTCTGTCATGGTCGTCAAGTCGTATTTCAAAGCAAAATGGAGTAGGATTTTGTTGAAAGATACCAGAGTAAGTTTGTGTCCTGCAATATTGATTGCTGATCCGATAGCCTGATCTATTTGGTTTTGGGATGAACGAGCATTAAAGGTATTGTAGGCTACTAGCTTTTGAATGAAATCATTCCATTCTATCGCTGAGGCTGCACTCCCTGGCATCGATGGCAATGTTAGGCTTTTTTTTCCGGCCCAGTACGAATTATGTAGAGGGTTTGTAACTTCTCGTGTCGCTTTCAAACAGAGATTAGAAAAATGAGACCGAATTGCAGATTCGCTTAGAGGTTTTTCATCTTTTGACAGATGCAAGACTGGTGGTATCATTCCCATTTGCTCATAGCCTCTCCTTATTCGCGCAGCTTTGTTGGCCTTGTCTTCAATGGCCCTCACTGTGGTGTTGTATATAAGCCTCAGATCATTTTTTAAAGTTAAATAATGAGAACTTTCCAACACATCCAGTGCTTCGTTGGCCGTGAAATACCCGTAAGTTCGATCTCCAAAAACTTCATTAATTCTCCTTACTAATGGAGCTTTCGGTCGAACGTGACAAGTTCGGAAAAATACCATTTGTCAATCCTTACAAGGTCAACTATCAAGCCTTTTTTTTTCAGTACACGCTTATTATCAACAATCCTTTTGCATAAAGGTGACGTCGATCGACGGAGGTCAGTCTAGCATTTTATATAATTTGTAGAATTCCACCATCTTTCCAATCTAGAGGAATCCACTATTTTCCTATGAAGCCTCTAGGATTGCTATTTGAATAACAATGATGAGCTCTGGGCAAGTATTTTATTGAGTATTTCACCTATACAGTCTCAGAGCTGACAGGGGTAAGTATTTGAAAATTGGGTGTCAACGATGAAGCAAAAGACGAGTCCATGCCACCTCAGTAAACCTCTCCGTAAGCCATGTCCCCCAAGGTTTACATTTATCAGTGTTCGGTACACCGTTCGAAATAAGACAAGTCAGGAGAGCTTGTGCATTTTTGTCAAGCTAGCTAACTAGTGGACAAAATATATGAACTGCACTCTCATTCATGCAACTCGATGATTTAGCGTGAGTCTTTCTAGCATGGAATGAGGCATCAACATGAAACCAGAGTCCTTTAGCAGCGAATCAACCGATAAGCAGTGCTTGGAAAGTCAACATGGAATAGTTGAGAATAGTGTTGCCTCACGAGTATATTTCACTTCTAAGACTTTTCATCATATTAGATGAAGAGGTAGCTGTTCTGGATCGGCGAAGTTACCAAGTCTCAGTTGCATGCATTGAGATCCCTTCAAAGGTAATTTTTATGGAGTCCATCAGTCAAAGGCATTTAGTGAACAGTTTGCATCAGCTCTCGGCTCGTTTCATCGTTTGCTATACGGCGTAGGCCATATGCTATCTGGAAATTAAGGTTTTTAGGGTCGAATCTAATCAATGATTGCTCATTCTTTGTACTTCTGATCAACATACTAGATTTTGAAAAATACCTATTAGTGTCCGGATCCTTTAAAGGGTATTGGATTGCCAATCTGTTTACGAACATTAAGTAGTTAGTTTTGTACAAGTGCATTGGATTTCTTCAAAGTCTCGGTATGTGAGCGATCAGTAAAACAGACATCTCCGCTTTCCAAAAGCTTCATAGTTGCCGAAACTTTTATCGCCATAACAACAAATCATACTTACTATCGCTTGTCATTTTATTTTTTGCCAAGAATTTGAAGTTTTCATTTGCTGAAGAAGACACTGGCTACAAGTCTACATGTCAATTATACGCTTTTGATAGTTGTCAAAGACCTGAAATCCGTACGAAGCTTGGCTGAAACAAAATCCATGAAAATTTCGGTTTCAATAGGCCACAGCCGGTATTGTGCTTGATACGAAAGAAGGATGTGAAAACGATCTGGGATATCTGATTGTTCACGAGCTTCTTGAATAACGTCTGACTCCTATAATGCACAATAGTTCTAACCCTTGAGGATCGAGTGGCAAATTAGCAGAAGGAGGTTGGTTGCTTGTCAGTAGAGCCCGATTACTTTATACAATTAAGAATACGTTGCCCCTTGAAGCTTCTCTGAATGATGCTTACGATGCCGGTACACAAAAGAGCTATCTTCTCCCCCATTATGAGCCTCTATCGAAAATTATAGTTTCATAGTAAACATGATACCATATATGTAGAAATATTGGCAGGAATCTAGGTTATTTGAATTGCGAGAACGCTTGACTCCTGCCAAACTTTTCTGATCGAAAGCGGGTGCCTAACATGAAAATGTTCGAACAAAGAGAAGTTAGTCGACTGGCAAAAACCAATGTCGAGGATTTGAAGCACTTTTAATGTTTTTAATTACTTGATTCGATTTAAGTTTTTAAGTTTAGGCAACGCGTGAAAAGTTAGCTAAGCTACCTTTTTTATAATTTTAGAACGAAATCGTGAAAGATGGAGCATTCTTATTCTTCTCATATATCACAACCATTGCTTAGATTTAGAGTTGTACATGTGAAAGGTATCGATAGAAATCCTACTGAGACTTTAGTTGAGGTAGTTTGCGCAATAACTACAGTCAACGCCGAACTAGGTTTTTTCAAAATACAGAGTTCATTGGATTTGATTTTTGGGGCAGCTCTGCTAGAAAGCTTTAATAGTTTCAAAATAAGGAACGAATGCTCTTCTGTATTCGTGGTTATCCATTCATCAAATCAAGATCTTGCTTCAAAGCCTGCCTTTGGTATTTTGTCCCCTGGAATTCAACATAATATCTGGACACTATATAAGTTAGTGGATGGTGCTCACATAGAGGAGAGAATATTAAGAAACCATAGTGGCAATCCTTTACTACCCGAGACTCCAACATCATGCTATCATTTCCCCAAAATAAAGAAAAGCGGCTTAGCAATTAAGGTTTCTGCTTGTCGCCTTTCTTTATGCATGACCCCTCCTAGCATCAAGTTATCAGCAGGTTTGAATTCTCCGTCAAAGCTTTCTCAAGTAGATCCCCGTGCGTTCCTTTCAGAAAGGTATTTCTCAACCCTCTACCAGAGCACAGTTCCCTTACAATTTTTTGCTAAAACTGCCCTTCCCAGAGTACATGTACTATCCCATTCAAATATTCAGTTAGCCCGCGAGACTATCTCTTCATTTATCATTCGTTCAATGACAAGCCTCTATCAGCGATTTGACTTTTCTCCTTCATCATGTACGCCCTCATTGAACCTATTGAACGATGATGAACTAAGATATCGTGTTGAATTCCTTCGTAATTACTCCGGCAAATCTGAAGACCAATTTAGAGAGTCATTGGACAATCTCAGACTAAGAGAGGCCAAACTACAAATAATTCTTAGCCTAGATTTGCTGAGGCTGCTGGATTGTGGACGAGACAATCAAAAGCCAACGCTCAGGAAATTAAGGATTACTTATGCAAAACAATCTTTGGTAGGTCGCAAGAAAAGGCTGATACCCACACTAGTTGGAACGGCAATTCCTGATCACGCAAGGTTCACGACCGATTTAAAAAATATTCTAGACAACTCAACAAATGAGCTCACTTCGAATCTCTTGATGACAAACATCAACGCTTTAATGGACAAACTATGTGTTCATGATGCTATAAAGGGACTATCACTGATCGAAGAGGACTCAACCTATAGATTTTTGGTGAGCTCTGTTGCTCCATTTTTCCAAAAATATCATCCCAAACTACTTAGAGAGTTGATTAAAAAATCTAGAGGACCTTCAGCTTCTAGAAAATCAGGAGACTCTCATGAAGAACATTCAAAGAGCATTCATTCTCCACCACCTAAGTACTCTGGGACTAGCCAATCGGACACATCAATTCTTGGTGATTCATTAGTATTTTCCAATTTGAAGCTAAAACGGAAAGCGTCTAATCTAGGAGTGACAAAGAATTTATCAAGAAAGACATTTGATATGGTCAAAAGTACTTCAATTACTCAACAACTGTCCACGTCGCAGGCCGGAATTGAATCACAGTCCCGATTGCAAATTCAAGCAAACTCAAGTAATACACGCATCAGCACGGTATCTGCTTTTGAAACCTCTGCAATTTTCAGTCATAGAAAGCGAAACACTGCCTCAAAACATATTGACAACTCGGAAGGGCAAGCTATCTCGTATACGGAGGTGGAAGCCACACCGGTGAAAAAACCACGTGCTTCTCTCGAAATTTTTGCATCTCCCGATGACCACACGACAACCGTAAATGACGTCTCTCCAATAAAGACTAGCAAGATCTCCGATACTCGCGTCACTGCTGCTCCCCTGAAAGTTCATAAAGAGGCAAATGAAAATATTGTACACACTAGTGAAAACACGCCAACAGCTTCAATCACATCATGCACTGAGCAAACCTTACCCATCGCTGAAACATCAATGGGCAATTTTGCAAACGAGATACCTGAAAACTTGGTACCATATATATCGCGCCAATCATGTCTTCTTCTACCTCCATCATCACCAAAAGACAAATCAACCGCACAAGGTTTATCAGAGACATTGGATGCTAAAGAGCACTCTAATACTAAAAGAAAGCTCATTTTCGACTGAGCTCGCTATTCTGTATCATAAGACATAATTTGAAAGTTTTCTAGCTTTGAATGGGGCTTGAAGCCCTATCATGATTCTCCAAAAAAAATTCCGCCATATATCTCTTGGGCACTCGGTTGCAAAGCGACCTCCTTAGCGAGAATGCCACCTATACGCTCTCTCAGTTTCTGTAATTCGTCGTCCCTCAGACCACGGGGCTTACCCTCATTGTGACCTTCAGTTGTCGACGGATTGCTAAGCTTGCCATCGTCGGCCATTGTACTGAGGCAATCCATCACATTTTCGATAAGTATTTTGTAGTTGGGTGAATTTTCATCAAGACCTTCTAAAATGGAGGTGGACCAGCTTCTGAGGTTACCGACCATTATTATTCGAATCACTTCTTTACCCAGAGATTTCATGCCCTTCATCGCACCAAACTGGGTCCCAATTGAATTCTTTGTGGCACTGCTAAGAAACGCCCTCAAGAGCGTTCTAGTTATCCTGGGTTTAAGAGTTTTGTATGATGAACCATACTCCTGAATGATTCTCTGGAGAAGAGAAGCAGCCAGCTCCCTAATTCTAAACTGTTCTTTGTCATCTTCCAGTTCTGAGCGTGTTCCTATTTTCTTAGCGAGAAGGAGAGTGAGTATGCATGGCATTATAGCGTGAATGTATGGGTCAAGAAAAATAGACTTATTGGATAGAAGAGAATATATCACCATTAGCATTGTTGTTAAAATCGTTGGATTTTTCAGATTGTGCGTTATTGTTTCGGCGACGAACTGTATGAAATAAGGGACAAGTTGGTGTAGTCCTGGATCAGCTTCTAATGATTCCAAAGCAGCCGCTCGAAGGCTTTCATTGGTCTCATCCAGCAATGCAGCAACAGCCTTGTCGAAATACAACTGAAGCTCTTTAGAGAGCATATGCTTGACAAGCGGTTTCACATCCAGGTCTTTCTTTCTTCCTCGTGAGTTTTGCTCAACCGTTGTTAATCCGTTAGTTGGGTTGGTTGACAAAGATATTTCATCATTATTTAAGCTCAGTATGTTATCAACCGAACCCCTTTGATTAGGAGGCAATTGCTTGATCTCGCCAGGGTTCGGGTTTTGAGGAATTGTTGGCTGCACACCCTCGATTGCAAGCCAATGGGCAGTGAATGAAGTGAACCTCGGAACTTTAGGGAGTGACTGGTTGATTAGTTTTTCAAATTCCACGTCATCATCGTCAACATAGTACAGCGTTTGACCAGGGCCAACCATTGCTTCTTTAAAAACAAGAGATCTCGAAACATCATAGCCGTACAATGGTTCCAGATTCAAAGCTTTCATGGCCCTGTCAACGTCAGATACAGTAAGTATTTTCCTTTTTCCGTGCCTCATGAATTTCAATGCTTGCTCCAAGATTTCATGAATACGGTACTCGACGTCCATGGCCAAATTTTTAGCCACGTCCTCAGTTAATTGACTTGAAAGGCCTAAACTCTCGGCTGCATCTCTCACAGTGTCATACGGAGACCATAATGTATGAGATGTAGGTATCCTGGCAGTGTTGTTTCCTGTTGCGCTTGACATGGTCTACCGTCAAGAAAAAAAACTATAAAACGAGGTTAATGAAAACAAACTTTTAAATTTTTATATTCACGTACCAGTTCGAGTGTTGGCAGATATTGCCATGCAGAACAACATAGGACCATTTATTCCAAAATAATCTTTCGTAGAAGGTAAAGCTCTCCATTCACCTTTCTTTTGAACACGATCCTGTCTACCACAGTGCCTGCAATGATCATGGATTTGGCACTATAATCTCCAACAGCAAATATTTCAGGAAATTTGTGACTGAGATAAGGGAAAAGTGAGTGATAAAGATCGGAGTATTCCAAAACGTCTTCCCTAGTTATCTCGATAGTTGTACTGACATTCTCATATGTGTCATGGATGAATCGCAACGGGGAGTCTCTGGCGGGTTTCAGATTTCTGCATCTCATTATGAACAGCAATAAAACCTGGTCTGAAAAACCTTTCTTTTCGATTTCATTGACTTCGTTAGTTCCGAATATGAATATTAGACAGTTATCGAATTCAGGGTCTAATGTAAGAGCTTTCCGCAAAGTAAGCGGTTTGAACTTTCGTATCAGTGACTTCTCTGTGGAGTCGCACAACTCATACGCTCTCTGAAATAGCGATTTTTGAGAAGACCGGTAGCGTTTAACGAGTTCTATGACCTTTTTATTGGTATTCACATTCTCCTCAATTTTCCAGGTTTTGAAAGTGGTTATACGAGAAGCTAGAATGTCTCGTAATTTCGAGAGTCCTTCAAGGTGCATCCTCAAGGTGTACTGATTTTTTTCACTCGTTAGTTGATGCAGGAAACCCATAAATCGTATCAACTCCTTAGGAAGAGGAGTAGCTAATGAAAGGTCGAAACTTAGGCCACTGGAGGATGTACCCAGAGGCAATTTAAGGCCAAATTTAATTCCAGCTTCAATTACTTCATCCTCAACTTTCAGTGTTAGCGTTGTCGTTTCTGACTCGTTACCATCGAGCACGAACCCATAATTAAGGAGTAGTTCAGTATTGGATTTGCTTCCGTAATTATTGTAGACCTCTTCTCCACGCTTGATACACTTGGCTGAAGATTTGAACACAAAATTGTTATCCTCAAAGCTCCATGTTACTTTCTCGCCATTTTTATGGTTCAGAAGGTCAACTATAGGACATAAGAAACCTATATTGAGACTTCTCTCACTCTGTTTACGCAAAAAATTGGGAAATGCTCTCGTACAATAAATAGAGTACGCCCATGAATATGCTTCAAAACTCTTCCAAGATCGAGATTCCTTGTAGAGTGGGGTTCCTTCCATAACAAGATCTGGTCTCTTTTCGTTTAATAACGACATAAGAGACCTCCATTTTTCAAAAAGCTCTTCTCGTTTTTGTCTTAATTTTGGGTACGCATCAGTCCCTTTTAGTAGTTCTTTTTCGTGATCACTCCAAAATAGTGGAAGCCCAATCTCTAAGCATGTACTTGGAAGAAATGCAATGTACGGCTCATACATTTTTGACAAACTGTTGCCATTAATCAGCGTCTCTGTCCTGTCAAATTTGAGTTTTGCTAGTAGGAGTAAGCCAAGATCATCGACGGGGTTGTCAAGGCCAAAAAATTCTGTTGCCATTTCTGGAGTAATGAATAGAGCTTCAGGTACTATAATGAGAGGTTCGTCGAAGTTGACTTCATGTTTCAAAATACCGTAGACACCCTTATCATCATTGAGAGTAAACTCAACATTATCAAAGTATGCACCATGTGACTTGGACCACTGGAGCAAGTTCTCTAAAGAGTTTTGGGACATCGTAAATAAATGTCGGACTTCTCATTGACATTCTGCTCTCAGGCACGCTTTTGATTAACAAATCAATTAGTCAGACATTATGTAGCCTAAAAATCTATTGGAGATAGAGTCGACAAGAAAAGCGACGTTTTGGAAGCTGCTTGAAATCAAATGTCTCAGATTACAGTCAACGGATCAAGACTTTTGGACGGAAAATCAAATTTCAACCTTTTAGCGAATGACACTATTCAGTCTCAATATAATAATAATAACCACAAATACGGCAAACTATATGAACTAGCTATTAAGTTATATCTCAATCGAAACTTCGAAAAAGCTTGGTCACTAATCTCCCCGATTGTTGAAAATCTACCTGAAGCTCATAATGATGGAACCGAGATCGAGAGGCCGCTTCTCGTGAAAATATTCAAACTTTATTTGTCGCTGATTGATTTGAAACTAAAAAGAGAGACGAGAGACTCTCATGACTTCTTGAATTCAGAATATTCCAAACGACTTCAGCAGGGAGTTTTATTCATACAAATTCGAAATATCTACAATGAAGAATACGACCGCATAGATCCTGAATTATTACTGCTATGCTTTATAGTGGAGCTCTCAAACGGATTTCCTTTGATTGAACTAAGAGCCCAATTGGAATTATACCTGACTTTCAATGGTATCCTTTCAAATGAAACGAAACAAACAATGAGATCATCAGGAATGATGAGAATTGCAGAATTTTACCTTCTTCATATCCTCCCAAAATTTAATGAGTTTAGGAGGTCTGAAAAGCTCATAAATCGGATATTTGCTGAGGATGATTACCGTAGGGACCACTGTCTTTCAATACTGAATCAAATAGTAACCAGTTACAAGGCAGGCGACAAAAAAGTACCATCATCAACTGACTTTAATGAGCAAAGGCTCAAGACTCGCAGAAGAAAACATGGCAAGAGGATTCAAGAACATGTCGACGATAATTCTCCGATGATTGCAGATGACAATAATGGAATTTATCGATTTTTGAAGAATGCACTGTCGACGCATCAACTACGCGGTTTGAAGAAAGTTGTCATTCGAGGAACCTTTTTGATATTTATTCTAGGAATCATTATAGGTTCATGTCAAATGTATTCACGAATTAGAGGTCGACTGTTGTGGTTTTTCATGAAAGTCAGACAGACACTGGGGATGGCACTGAAAATCACTTATATATAGTATAGTAACATCAATATAAAATGTAAGCTTTCACACCTGTGCACCGTAACGTTAGATCCCTCTCGTACGTTCCAAATTCTAAGCAAGTGTGGTTGCCTTGAAATAACGCTCAACAGTAAGATCACCCCTGCCTATTTTTAATTATATTTACATCCGGATTGACTGGTCACTGTATACCTTAATATCTGACACTATCTAAATCTTCACTCCAAGTATTGAAGTAAAAGTGTTCAGTACCTACAAAATTCAGAGTTTTTAATAATAAAAAAAAAAAACACGGAGGCATTTTATCAGTTTGTGGAACTATGAACTCACCAAATCAGGAAACTCACAAACCTACATCAGAAGAGCTCTATCCGATTGCTCTATTAATGGATGAGCTTAGGCACGATGACGTCGCCAGCAGAGTACAGGCTATGAAACGGTTGGACACGATTGCCATTGCATTAGGACAAGAGAGGACTCGCAAAGAGTTGATTCCTTTTTTGGATGACGTTATCCCAGAAGATGAAGATGAAGTCATTGCGGTGGCTGCAGAAGAGTTGGGGAAGTTTGTACCATATGTCGGTGGCCGCGAGCATGCCATTATACTTATGCCTGTCCTTGAAAAAATCGCCGCATGTGAGGAGCCAATCGTGAGAGACAAAGCAGTCGATTCGCTGAATGCTATTAGTGAGGAATTGGATGATGCTCAAATATTACAGGAGTTCATCCCATTGATTCAAAGACTAGCGAAGGAAAGATGGTTTTCCTTACATATAGCAGCAACTGGTCTTTTCAAAAGTGTGGTTGTCAGAGTTCCGTCGGAAACTAGACTGGAGTTGCTAAGACTTTACCACGATCTGATTCAAGATGATTCTCCTATGGTGAGAAAGGCCGCAGCAACGCATCTGCCCGAGCTGATTGATATTTTGGCAAAACATTTCAAGGCGCCAGAGAATATAAATGAGTTTCATTGGGATCTTATTACTTCCATGTATGAATCTCTGGTGAATGACAATCAAGATTCTGTGAAATTTTTATCTGTTGATGTGTTGATAGCAATCCTTGCCTTCTTGAATGAGATAAATGAAACATCTCATAATGAGGATCTATTCAAAAGTTTGGTCACACTGGCCAGTGACCCAAGTTGGAGAGTCAGATACATGGTTGCAGATAGATTTGAAAAATTGGTGATTAGTTTCAACGATGAACAATACACGCTAAAGTTAGTTTCAAACTTAATTTCCCTGATGAAAGACAATGAAGCCGAAGTTAGAAAAGCGATTGCAAAGCAGCTTCCTGGTGTTTGTAAATTAGCAAACGCATGCGATCCCTCTATTGTGTTAACAAGTATTGTTCCCGTTGTTTCCCAGCTCAGTATGGATGAATCAGAAACGTTAAGAAGCGCGTTGGCTAGCGAAGTTACAGGACTAGCCCCAATTCTTGGTAAAGATGCTACTATAGAGCACTTGTTGCCAATTTTTATTGAAATGCTAAAAGATGACTACAGCGAGGTCAGGCTGAATATCATTTCTAATCTTCAACTTGTGAACGAGGTTATAGGTATACAGCTTTTGTCTGAATCCCTACTACCAGCTATCACGGCGTTGGCCAACGATAAACTATGGAGAGTCAGACTAGCCATTATTGAACAAATTCCTCTTTTGGCTGAACAACTTGGGGTTGCATTTTTTGATGAAGCTTTAGGGCAACTTTGTATGGAGTGGTTATGGGATCCAGTTTACTCTATCAGAGAAGCGGCAGTTTTAAATTTGCAGAGTCTGACAAGGTTTTTTGGTGAAGAATGGTGCAAAGTGGAACTGATTAAAAGAATTGAGGCCAAGAAACAAACCAAGGATTTTGAGAATTTTATATGCAGAATCACATGTTTATTCGCCTACACAAAGTTGATTCCAGTCGTTTCAACCGAAATGGTTGTGTCAGACCTTTATCCGCTTATTGATGAACTGAAAGATGACCATGTGCCGAATATCAGATTCAATGTTGCTAAATCGTTGCTTGTTTTAGCAGAGAAGATAATTTTGGTTGATCGTGAATTCATTGTAAGCAAAATCAAGCCCACACTGGAGCTCCTTTGTTCAGACGAAGATACTGATGTCAAATACTTTGCTGAGAGCAGTCTGCACTCTGTCAATGAGATTTTGGGGAAATGAGTTGGTTTGTGTAACGCGAGACAGTCGTTTGTACATCAATCTCAGCGTTATCCATCTGACAAATCAAATATTTACCTTCCAAAGCGAGGTTCAACAGATTCTGAGGGCTAGTTTTTGAAAAACAGACTTGTCTACTCTTTTCTTCAAGCAACCAGTTCTTCTTGAATTCGGGTTCCTTTGACAACTATTGGTATGGTACCGGCTGTGGGGATCGCAAATTTTCTGTGACCCAAAGCTGTGATTATAGCACGAATTTCCCCAGCATGTGAGGTTGAACTGATATAGACATCGTCAGGATAATTCTCAAATACGTCTTGCAAGAATGCATCAGCTCGAAGGCTTTGTTCGCTCAAAGATTCTCTCCAGTCGTCTCTATAATAAATGTCTTCTTCCTGAAATCCTTTTTCAAAAGTAAAACCAAATTTGGAAAATCTTTGAGCAATTATTCTTTTTGGGGACCTCTTATCACATAGATGAGAGCCTATGGTTTCTCTTAAATTTTCCGTGACGATAGGTAAATGTCTTTTGGAGGAAAGGAGTTGAGTCGGATCTTCATTTTCTTCACAAATAGAAATGTCTTTCCAGGTGCGAACCAGTGTCATGCAAGACCGGCTAAATGGTGAGCTGAAATATCTGGTAGGAATTGGTGCTCCGTGCTCAATTTGTCTCTTCCATGCTTTATTCAACTCATCTGCCTGTCTCTCACCCAAGGGTGTCAACATCGGGTCTGGTCCCCATACAATTTCTCTTCCATCTGGTAAAGTGGTGCCGGTGCGATGAGACCAGTGATTATTCCACTCTTCGATACCGAAGATTGAGACTGCTTCATTGTGGTAACCTTGACCATGCCGAGCACATATAAGAAGCTTGTATGACTCATTCGGCTTTTTATCAAGATTTAGTTGATGGAGTTTGACTTTGAGTGCAGTCCAAGAGCTCACAGCCAGCCCAAAGTTTTTTCTGAGCAGGTCAAAGCTCAGTTCATCAGTAGACTCATCTGATTGTTTAAACATGCCCTGCACAACTTCAAATCTCCAAGGTCTCAATGTCTTGCCGGTTTGGGGATCCCGTTGATATCTGGCTTCCGATATCAATTTTGTATATATCACTTCTTGGTCGGCATTTGCATGAGCATCTTCTACATCACATTGTGTAACCTTTATCAAGTCTGACATATTGTCAACTTTTTTATTTTAATTGTTTATATGTAGAGAAGAGAAACCAAGTGGTGAATCTCAAATTACCACAGAATTTCATTTAAGGGAAAATATACACTCTTACACCACTTGAAAAGATTGGATTTCAGATACGTCAATAGTATGTTGCAAGTGAGATTTTAGTTTGGCACACACCAAAAAATTCTTATTGGGGGTCTTTATTTTGGGAAAAAGTAAACAGGTTACTTTGTCATCTTTATTGGCGCACAATTGAAATCTGGATTTGATTGTTGCTCTCAAATAGATCCGCTGATTTCCACGCACATCATATCACATTTGACTCTAGATGTCGTTCATTCACAATCATTTCAATTCTTCAAATATTCCTACGATAAGATCCGCTAGAGTATTCAGAAGAAATCCTGAGAGTGGTCCCTCTTCTCCTAACACGGCAAGATTACAGGCTCAACCAATTGGCTGTTTTTCTCAATCACAGCATACCCAGCACCAAGTTTCGAATCACAAAGAAATACGTTCATATGCAGAGCAAACGCTTGGATCAGGATCTGCCTTAGCGCAAGCTGTCAAACTACCACGAGACGAGGATCTTAATGAATGGTTAGCCGTGCATGTTGTTGACTTTTACAATCAGGTCAACATGCTATACGGAACTATTACTGAATTTTGCTCCCCAATCACTTGTCCCCGAATGATAGCTACCCAAGAGTATGAATATTTATGGCAGGACCCGATGAACAGAAGTAGCAATAAACCTACATCTATGTCTGCTCCAGGTTATGTTGAAGCTCTCATGGTGTGGATACAAGGTTTTTTGGATGATGATAGTATTTTCCCAACGAAAATGGGAGTGGGATTTCCCAAACAGTTTCCATCCTTAGTGCGGACTATAATGAAACGACTGTTTCGTGTTTACGCCCATATGTACTGCCATCATTTTGATGAAATCAATGAGCTCGGGCTGCAAACACACTTGAATACATCGTTGAAACATTTTGTGCTATTTTGCTCTGAGTTCCAGATTCTCACTTCCAAGGATTATGGTCCTCTTGATGAGCTTGTTGCTAGAATGCTGGATGACAAAAATCACAAATAATTCAACTGGCGCCATGCTACGCCTGTTTATTATATCTATGTTTACCTTTTTATTGTGTTTCTGTAAGCTTGATAACATTTATCACGTGATCGTTCATCATTTTATAGCTAGGCTGTAGTGATAGATTACAATGACAAAGCTCGTTCTACTTCTTTTGATAAGCAAAGTTTTCAATGTCTGACTTGAATACGAGTGTGGACCATAGCTGGTCTCGAAAAGTGAAAGATACGGTAAGATTGATATGCTGGCAGCAAGTAACCTAACTAACATGAAAAAGCTTGCCGGTTTTGCTGGTGGAGGAGCACAGGTCTTAGTCGGTCAGCCATTTGATCTGGTCAAGGTTCGAGTCCAAACCGGACAGTACAACTCACCAATTTCTGCGCTTTCTGATACCCTGAGAAATGAAGGCCTGGGAGCATTTTATAAAGGAACCTTAGCTCCTTTAATTGGAGTCGGAGCTTGCGTTTCTATTCAGTTTTACGGTTTTCATGAGGCCAAAAGACAAATCCTAAAAAGGAATTCCAAACAAAATGACTTGACTTTGGGGCAGTTCTATGTTGCCGGGGCATTTGCTGGTATCGTCAACGCTCCGATAACCTCTCCGGTTGAGCAAATCAGGATTTTGTTGCAGGTACAAAAAGACAGTCTAAAAGTATACAATGGTCCAAAAGATGCAATAACAAAAATTTACAAAGAGGCAGGCGTTTTGAGAGGTATTTTCAGAGGGATTGTGGTGACTTTCCTGAGAGAAGCACAAGCGTATGGTGTTTGGTTCCTGACGTATGAGTATCTGATCAACAGATTGATCCGGCTCCATCAAATAGAACGTCAGAACATCTCAACAATGGAACTTCTTGTCTGCGGCGCTGTTGCCGGAGATGCTTTGTGGCTTAGCTCTTATCCATTGGATGTGGTGAAAAGTCGGCTTCAAAGTGACCGGTTTGGAAGAAATTCGAGGTACAAGGGTTCAGCTGTCGAAGTCGTGAAACACATTATGAGGCACGAGGGACCATTGGGATTTTGGAAAGGAATCGGCCCTACCCTTTTAAGAGCGATCCCTTGTAGCGCGGCAACATTCACCACTGTTGAGTATGTTTTGAGGCTTCTAAACTGATAAGCAATTGGATCCTATCGACTAATTATCGAAAGCCTTTTCTTTTCGTACGTTCGACTGGGGCCCGAAAACTTCCATATTTTATTAAAAAAGATCTGTATTATAAGTTCGCGGGCAAATTCACTTTAGTTAGTAATCGCCTCACTTTCCGCTTCCTCATCTGCCCTTTAATCAGTCTCAATCACACCATAGCTAAGACATCTCGGGGCAAAGATATACACAGAGCTGCATTGAACAGCTAACATACAATATTCATTTGACCCATTGACGCTACTATGGCGGGCAACAGCTCCTCTACCTCGCCTCCATATCTTCCCTCTAAAAATGACAGAACTTTATCAAAAGTGGAAGACAGTTTAAAAAATGAAGCCAATGAGGGAGAATCAGCAGTGGTTAGTGATGAGGAGGATTATAACGACTGCAACGCTCGAACGGATGACACATGTGGCCCTGAATTGGATTTGCTAAACCAAAAACTTCAAAAATTCAACCTTGCGCAAAGCTCAAGAGTGGGGTCTAACCCGACTATTGAATTCAACAAAAGACCATTAAATGATACCCCTATAGTAAGTGGTACCACGTCACCACGCGTAGGGATCGCAATGTCTCCTCTCGATCTAAGTGAAGATGAAGATGATATAACAAGCAAAAATATACATAATAATACCGTGAAATGCAGAGCTGATCGCAATCAACATTTGGAGCCCTATAATATGAGCTCTAGCTCAACAAAGGCTGTCAAAACGACCCTTGATATTCCTGGCCAGACCAAGTCGAAGTTATCGCCTGACGGGACGATTGTCAATACAAGCGAAAGGGTTGTGGTGGTTATGATTGGATTACCAGCTAGGGGAAAGTCCTATCTTAGTAACAAGCTGGTCAGATATTTGAACTGGCTTCAGATTAACGCCAAAATATTTAATGTTGGATCCACACGAAGAGCAAAGGCTGCTAACGTAGGGCCAGAAAATTCACCCTTACCCGACAAGAAAGCTGGCAATTTACATGACGCAAGTTTCTTTTCCCCTGATAACAAATCCAACATTCTTTTGAGAGAGGAGTGGGCTAAAGAGACTTTGGATAACTTATTACATTACCTTTTGGAGGGTGATGGGTGTGTTGGAGTTTTTGATGCCACAAATTCCACTAAGATGAGACGCAAAACTGTCCTTGATATGATCATGGAGAAAAGCAAAGGACAGCTTAAAGTTCTCTTTCTAGAGAGTATTTGTAATGATAGGACAATACTGGAGGACAATATACTGCTCAAATTACAAGGACCTGATTACCGGAATATGGACCCCGAACTCGCCATCAAAGACTTCCTCGGAAGATTGAAAAATTATGAACTTGCGTATGAGACCATTGATGAAGAAGAAGAACAAAATAAAAACTTCCAATATGTGAAGATGATTGATGTTGGTCGTAAGGTTATCGCGTGTAATATACGGGGATTTTTGGCATCACAGATCATCTACTATTTTTTGAATTTTAATCTGAGTCCTAGACAAATATTCATCACAAGACACGGGGAATCGGAGGATAATGTCAAAGGAAGAATCGGTGGGGATTCCGATTTAACTCCGAGAGGACATGCTTTCGCTAAAGCCCTCGCAAAATTCATGGATTTCAAGAAGCGTCAGTTTAGGGAAAACCAATTAAAGGGGTTCAATGTGAGAAACGTTAGTCTTGTTTCGGGCTCTCAACTAAAAAAAACTGCACCTGAAGAGCCCTCTTTTTCTGTCTTCACTTCGATGCTACGTCGTAGCGTACAAACAGCTAAGTATTTTTCGGATGACTTCTATGATATCAAGGAAATGCGTATGCTAGACGAGCTGGGAAGCGGCAAATTTGACGGTATGACATATGAAGAAATTCAGAAACGTTTTCCAGATGAATTCAAATCTAGGTTGGAAAACAAAATGGCCTACAGATATCCTGGTGTTGGTGGTGAATCATACTTGGATGTAATTGCAAGGCTTAAACCTCTAATAACCGAGCTCGAAAGGACTACGAATCATATTTTGATTATCACACACAGAGTCGTTGCAAGGGTTCTGATTGCATACTTTTTGAACTTGAACAAAAAATCGGTGGGAGACTTGGATGTGCCTTTGCATACAATCTATATGTTTGAGCCTAAACCATTTGGCGTAGACTACCATATTTATGAGTTTGACGAAAAGACAAATTGGTTCAACGAACTAGATCCAAAGAGCTTACAAAACAGTAAGAGGATGAGGCAAGTTGGTATCTCCTTCAGGGAGCGCGCATATTCAGTGGTGCCTACGGCTCCTAGAAGGAAACAGTCACTGCTATTTTGCGATGATAATATCAACGAAGGTCCACAGACTGTAGATTCACAATCATCTATTTCTTCAAGCTCTTCATCCACCAGCCAGTCATTTGGTTCAAAGACTAACAATCGTACAAACAAGACCATTCTGGACAATATTAACTCTGCCAGAGGTTTGGGGCAAGCACCTAGTAATTGTTCGTAATGTTTTATTGTTGGGTTAAAGACAGCAAGGGAACATATATGTAAGCAAAAAGCATAAACTTTCGACCTAAATTCTACATTGCCGTTGAGTTCTTGATAAAGACCAAACTAAGCATTCGAACTATATAGCTTGCTGAACGTGAAAATATTCAAAGCTAGCTTTGCTTATTTCTTGGCAGCCTTTTGAGCAGCCTTGGTGACCTTTCCGGCACCAGCAGCAGTCTTCTCAACAGACTTGATAACACCGACAGCAACAGTTTGTCTCATATCTCTGACGGCAAATCTTCCCAATGGTGGGTACTCAGTGAAGGTCTCAACACACATTGGCTTAGA